CAGCAAGACGGAAGTACAAAAGGAATACGCCTAGCATTCCATGGGGCCAGTCCGTCCAACGCAATCGTGGTCCGAACGCTATCTGAGGTACAAGTGTACCTTCTGGCAAAAGGTGAATGGGGAAAATCAGCTGCAGCTAACCGAACGGCGATCCCTGGACACATCGATAATCGTTTCACCAGCTCCCGAACAATAGCCAAAAGTGCTGTATAATGCATTTAAAACATTTGTAGATGCAGAGGAGGACATTGATGAGTTTCCACAAGATTTTGAGTGTTTGTTACCTCCATGACATTGCACCCGCAGACTGGGTCCCGCTCTTAGCTGGAAAGTTAATAGGGAAAGCTGCAGACGCTTAGCGGGCATTACCTTACACAGACCTACGCAACCCCTGTGCAAGCTGCAGTGAATAACCGCGGTCTTCACTGGTAGCCAGTAAAGTTGAATGGGTGCCCCATACCCCCTGCGAGATACAGGTATCACCCTGACCCTTGTCCGGCACCAGCAGATCACCGAGGCAGAAAGGACCGGAGGAAAGGTAGCAGTCCAGATAGCAGGGGGAGCAGTGTACAGACTATCCACTGCTAAAGTTCACCTAGACTGGGGCGCTGAAAGTGGGATGGTCGAAGTTGTACTTATGAACCATCTCCTAGCAGAAGTATTATTTGGCAATAATCTAGGACAGGTGACCTCCATGTTTGTACCCCAAGTGACTACTGAAGAGTCCTATCCGGTGATGACCAGACAGCAGGCCCGCAGCGACCAAGACTGCTTGCCCTGGTCCCTTTCCCCTGGGATACCCTGCACAGTTTGGAAAAGAGGTAGCCTCTAACCCTTCCCTGCAGAAATATAGGGATAAAGTAGCCACTAGTCAGGCAGGGTTGGAGCTAGAACAGTTTAAGGGAGAAAAGGGTTTGCTATATAGGATAGCAGAGAGGATAGGTTCAGGAACTGCCCCGAATATTATTTTATTATTATTATTATTGCCATTTATATAGCGCCAATACTACCAGACAGCTAGTAGTACCCAGGAGGTATAGGCATGAGCTGTTGAAAATAGCCCATGATATTCCCCTAGTGGGACATTTGGTAGTGAGTCGTACCAAACCGACTCACCCAAAGTTTCTTCTGGCCAGGTATCTCTAAGGACCTATGGCAATACTGCCAGTCTTGTGATGTCTGTCAAAGTGGGGAGACTGGGTGATAGGCGCAAGGTCAAGCTCCATACCCTTCCCATTATTGAAGACCCATTTGGTAGGGTAGCTGTCTACTTCATTGGCCCCCTGGCTAAGCCTAGTCCTTCTGGGAAGAAATATATTCTGACCATTGTGGACTACACAACTAGGTATCCTGAGGCAGTGGCTCTGAATAATATTCAAGCGGAGACTGTAACAGAGGCACTGATGCAATTATTTTCCAGTATGGGTTTTCCACAGGAAATTATCTGATATCAAGGCACCCAGTTTACTGCCGAAATGATCCACCAATTGTGGAGGTTATGTGGCATAAAACCCATCAGACTAATGACCTGTGCGAGCGCTTCAACGGTACATTAAAGCAGATGCTCCGTCCGTTGGCAGTGACTCGCAAAGACTGGGAAAGATTCCTGCCACACCTCCTGTTCACATATTGGGAGGTACCGCAGGAATCTACAGGCTTCTCTCCGTTAGCGTTATTATTTGGGCGGAGAGTTAGAGGACCCCTGGATCTGGTAAGAGAACACTGGGAAGGGGAGGTGGATCACGAATGAATCACCATCGTCCCAGAGGTGCTGGAGCTTCGGGATTGACTGGATGGCAGAAATGCAGTACCTGGGCCACCGAGTAGGGTGTGGGAAGCAGAAACCTGAACCAGCCAAGATTGAGGCAGTAGCTAATTGGCCACTTCCCCGCACTAAGACACAAATGCTAGCCTTTTAAGGGACTGCCGGCTATTATAGAAAATTCATCCCAAATTACAGCGCCCTAGCCAAGCACCTCACTGACCTGACCCAAAAGCACTTGCCCCGACAAGTAAACTGGACACCAGAGTGCGAACAAATGTTTTAGGCCTCTAAGAGTGCTCTTGTAGATGCACCCGTCTTGGCCGCTCCTAATCCAAATAAATTTTTTCTCATCCACACAGATGTTTGGATTAGGAGCAGTGCTGAGCCAGGTCGGGGATGATGGCGAAGAACATCTAGTTGGTTACCTCAGCAGAAAACTACCACCAAGGGAGGTGAGCTACGCCGCCATTGAAAAGGAGTGTCTGGAGGTAGTGTGGGCCCTTAAGCTTCAACCCTACATTTATGGACAACAATTTACCTTACTTACAGATCACAACCCATTGGTATGGCTTAACCAGATCGCTGGGGATAACGCCAGGCTATTACGTTGGAGTCTGACATTACAGCCTTATGACTTTATCATCCATTATCGACCTAGGAAGCAAAATGGAAATGCCGATGGGTTATCACGACAAACAGAACTGGAGAAGTGATCCGTGAGTACTCCAAAAGACATCCCCATGCCGATCTGTAAGGATCAGACTTTGTATTGTGGTTAAGGGGTAGCTGTGTGGCGGAACCTACTGCAAATTTCATATACTTTGCCCCTGTTCGTGTTTTTTTCCCTTTTTACGTTCGGGAGTTATTATATACGAATGCCATCCATTTGTCTCCCAAACGAGGACCACCATTGTACCCCATTAGAACGTTCACACCAGCAACTTAAGTGTGAAACCACAAGGGAAGTAATTAATGAATGCTTCCCCTGGGTGGCCACCATTTTGTATAACCAAATGCACGTGGTCGACAAAAGAATGGCAGCCATCTTGTCTCACGAACGTGGGCAGCGGCACTTGGTCGTCGAGTGCCTGGAACTATTTTTGGCTAGGCACTGACACAAACCCTGGTAAAGATTAGACCATTGCCTGTTCTACTTCCTGACCACCTATGCGAACGATGTTCGGGAGATATGAACTACTGAACAGGGGGAGCATTCGTTTCCTGAAACTAAGAGATTCCCTTGCATGGTGTCCGCACAGGAATCCCTGAACAGAGACCGTCCACAACACCTATTCCCCAGGAACTGCTTTTGGCTAGCGCCTCGTGTCCGGCCGGTCAAAACTTTACCCCGGTGGCATTCCAGTTTCACCAAACTGATCTGAGTGATATTTGAATATATTATTCACTCAGATCAGGGCTATCCGGGGATATTACTTTTGTGGGGTTCCTAGTTATGGTGGGCCATTTTTGGGGTACTGTATATTTTGGATAGATTTTCTTTACCTGGGAAATAATTAAAGAAGTTATTCTCACGCAATTATCTCTTAGGCACAGAGGATCTTGGGACTGAAACCCCTGTGTTATTGTATTAAAGACAGCATGTAGGGGTCTGTGCATAAAAGCCGTATGTGGCCAGAATAAAATCAGTTGACTCCCAGCACTAGGTTTCGTCTAGTTAGTGGGGGAATGGATGTCTGTGTATTCTAATGGTTCCAGAGTGGCTGAAGGAAGGAATTAGCAAAGGTAACCAGTCGGGTTATCCGTGGTCCGCTACACAAATCACATGCCAAAACTGTGGCAACAAATTACCAAGTTGTGGGACTATGGATGAGTCAAAGCATTTTATCAGTATACAATAGCCTGAGATCTCATTTAATCTTGCCATTTAGATTAAACTCCTGAAAATTAGTGCATAACCGTTTAAACGTCTCACAGCACATATAACTCTGTAACGGATCACCTGGCACCCCGACTGGGTACCTCCGTTGAAGGATGCTCCTAGCACTTCCTGAGGACTCCAAGCACTGCAGCAGACACCAAAACCACCGAACCGTAGGAGCATATGAATGCTCTCAAGCATCTGAATGTTGTATACAGCCGAATAGGACAAAACATGCGAATCGGTTTACACTCCTAGCAGTCAAACTGGAACAGCATACAATAAATCCTCCCCCAATAATGAGACGACACTTCACTTTGAGGGTTAAGCAGGAACTGACTGTACTGGCACATACAGCCTCTTTTATTCCAAATCCACAAACTTAGTACTGCCCACAGGGTTTTACAGAACAACCAATCAATCTGTACAATATACACAGACACTCCCACACAAAATCCTCCCCTCTGCCTGTAATACAATTACCTTACACAATGGGTAATCTAATTATCCCAGACAGAGAAATACAGTTTCATAAAACACATCACAGGGACCCCAAAATATGCCCCCCAAAAGTATATCCTTGGAACCGGGGAATCTGGGTGAACCACATATCCGAAATTCATCCAGATCCGTTCAGTACTTTGGAAGATACAGTTTAATGGAGATTCTGCAGAACATATACAGGCTAAATGAAAAACAATCACTGTATAATGTGTCCCCTGCTGTATAGTCCAAAACCACTGCACGATGTCTCTGTGCACCAAATACTGGCGAGATGGCACCGTGTTGAAAAGTCCAAACAGTGTCTGTGAGTTAAAATAGCCGCCATCCATTGTTCTCACCATGTGCTTCATCCATTGTTCTCACCATGTGCCTCTGATACATGAAATGGTGGCCACCCAGTAACTCCACAGTATGTCCCCAGATGGTTCTTAAAGGGCCAGCAGCAGCACAACACAAATCCCTTATGGCCAAATCATGTCTTTAAAGGGCAATACATCCCAGGGGCCATAGTCACATGGCAGGAGGCTGGCAATCAGTCTTCTCCAATGCCCAGTGGCGAGGTCGGTTTCGCCACAAACTCTATGAAGGAAAACCTGGCATATAATGCATTGTTGCATTATTATATGACCATGTGTTGCAAAATGACTATAAAAGCATCCATTTTAATAACTACACCCGTATACATTGTAATATGGATACTTTAGCTTACACATTCTTATGACAGCACAAGCACTTTGCATTGTAGTGATTTTATATCCAGATATGATAATTTAGAACATATCCTTGGTTTGATTCTATATGAATTGGAGAATGATTCCAAATCAGCATAGTTTAACTGATTTTTATAACATGGCACTTATCAATTGTAAGCTTGTTTGAGCAAGGCTTTCAAATATCCCCTTTCTGTAAATGTAAAGTGCTGTGGAATATGTTGGCACTTTACAAATGCTAATAATAATGGTAACAGGACAGAACAATGCTCTATTTTGTGCCACAAAAATCCCAAAGTGACAGCCTTACAGTTAGACTACTGGTATTTGTCTTTTCCTAATAGGGTCATAACCTGAATGAGAGAGATAGGATATGTCCAATAACACAACATCAGTATGAATATAGTTTTTAGAACAATTGAAAATAAAAAAAGTCTATTTTGACACCCACAAACTAGGAATTTGACATTTTAGGTGTACACATTTATGTTGGAAAATGTTATTAAAGGACCACTCTAGGCACCCAGACCACTTCAGCTTAATGAAGTGGTCTGGGTGCCAGGTCCCTCTAGGATGAACCCTTTTTTTTTTTTTATAAGCATAGTTTCAGAGAAACTGCTATGTTTATAAATGGGTTAATCCAGCCTCTAAAGCCTCTAGTGGCTGTCTCATTGACAGCCGCTAGAGGCGTTTGCGTGCTTCTCACTGTGAAAATCACAGTGAGAAGACGCCAGCGTACACAGGAAAGCATTATAAATGCTTTCCTATGAGACTGACTGAATGCGCGCGCAGCTCCTGCCGCGCATGCGTATTCAGCCGAAGAGGAGGATCGGAGGCGGAGAGGAGAGCTCCCCGCCCGGCGCTGGAAAAAAGGTAAGATTTAACCCTTTCCTCTCCCCAGAGTCCGGCGGGAGGGGGACCCTGAGGGTGGGGGCACACTCAGGGCACTATAATGCCAGGAAAACTAGTATGTTTTCCTGGCACTATAGTGGTCCTTTAAATTGCCATGTTTACCTTGTCGGATTTGCACAAATTTAAAATTCCGGTGTCACTTCTCCAATATTCCATGTTCCTCTGAATCCTGGGTGTATGTGTTTCTCTGTAAAAGTCACGTATGAACTGACTAATAGCTCAGCTGTGCAGGGTATTTATAGGCTTGGTCAGTGACATCATAAGAACAGGATGACATCACTGAAGACATGTGTAGCTAATGGACACTACTGATGTCATCCAGGCACATAGAATTAGAATATAAGGTGTAGAGTAAAGGCTATTATTTTTACTAATATTTTTAAATATCTTTGTGCAATTCATTTCTTTTCTAAAATATAAGCCAGAGTGCTAATTTATGACATTATATCCTAGTAAGCCAAGTCTGTAAATTCCTCAATCCACCAAAAGGATCAGGTAACAGTTCCTGTAGGCGCACAGATCTTCTGCCCTCTTAAAAACATACAAACAAGAAAAACCCCAAAACTAAGCAGGTTCTCTACCTCAGGCTGCTCAACAGTATGAAAAAGGAGAGGGTAAGTAATCGTAAAGGGGGGGCAAATGAATATTTAGATATGGTGATCATCTTCAAGATAGTTGCCCCTGTTTAAAGGGACATTATAACTACTATGTCTCATTGGGCATAGATGTATAGGCTTTTTTTGTTTTGTATTTAATAATTTATAAAATTTGTATTTTTTTTTTTTAAATATACACTCGCTAAATAAATATGGTTAGCAAACTCCACAGTGAGTTCATTAAATTAAAAGTACTGTATATCAATATAACCAGGGGAGGGCTGGCAGCCTTAGGCCTCGGGGGCAAAACCAGTCAAGTGGCCCATTGCACCACCAAATCAGTTCACCATCCATGCCCACCTTTTCCTGGTTTTATAACGGATATTGATGTTATGCTAATCAGTAGCTCTTTGCCATACCCGCTCCTTCACGGCTCTGACTTTCAATGTTGTCAGAGCGCAGGCGGAGAATCTCTGAACCTGTGCTCTGACTCACTAACTGAGCGTCGGAACCATGAGGGAGAGGATATGATCTGACTGCACCTACTGCTGGTGTGCACCAGTGGACCACCAGCGAATAGTTTAAATTTAATATGCTGGTGTACCCCAACTTGTGAGCTGTTTTGGCTGCCGGGCGCCTCTGTTGTCATGGCACCCTGCGTGACCGCACAGCATGCACACCCCAACGGCTGGTCCTGCTGACGTACACTGATGTTACTAATTAGAAATCCCTCAATGTGTGTATGAGTGTAAGAGATGCATTGTGTTTCTGTGTGTATGTAAGAAAAGCAGTGTGTGTAAGGGTTTGCATTGTGTGTTTCTGTGTATGTGATGCATTGTCTTTGTGTGTAAGGGTTGCATTGTGTGTGTGTGTGTGTGTGTGTGTGTGTGTAAGGAAAACATGTGTTTTTGTGTGTGTAGGGATGCATTGTGTGTTTCTGTGTGTGCGTGCGTAGTGTGAAAGAGCTCCCTGTCTTGCCCCCTGTCCTACAGAGCTGTCCCTTAGAGCTCTCCCCTGTCCAACCCTCCCCTAGCGGTCTCTTCTCACACTCACCCCCCCATCCCATGTGTTCTCCTAACCCCCATCCATCTTCACCTCCCCCCATCCTTCTTCTGGTTCTTAGCTGCCGTCACATTCTATGTTTCTATGTTATCGTACTACCAACAAAGGATCTGAAAAAACCCACAGCTGCTGAAGTAGCAGATGAAATAAAACTCCAAGCCTTTACGGAGATCCCAAAGTCAGGTTTCAGACAGGACAAGACAGTTGGCAATAGTATATTGAGTTAATGAAGTAACCAAACAATATAACAATAACAGAACAATTATAGAATAGTGCAGAACAATAAGAAACATTGTGTAACTGAAAAAACTCAAACTGACCGGGAACACTTATCTTTGTAAAGATCCTGAACGTAACCACTTATTTGGGAGGAACCCTTCATTGCTTATTTGATCTAAAGCAATTTTCATAATGTAAAGAGAAAATATAACAGCAAAAAATATATAATGAAATGTTTGTTCAATAGGATGCATTCAGTACATTTATCACTAGTAATACCACCTGAGCAGGGTGTTAAGTTGCTACATAGCGTCAAGGACAAATTAGGGGACTGTGCATGCAAACAGTCTATAAAAGTTCAAAGGGTATATAGATACCAGCCATTGGGGAGTGTAAATTCACCCTAGGAGTGAATAAAACATAATAAATAGGGTTAAAATACTCAATACGGAAATTATTAAGGGAACAATCCAACTGCCATAACCGCTATAGCTTACCATGAGTGCCCTGATGAGCTGACACTCTCAGCCAATAAGCTGATACTTAGCCAATGAGCCGCATCCTGCATTGCAGACCTTAGCTCACGGGTTCTAACGGCAGATTAGCTCTCGCGAGTTTGCAGTAGAGGCAGGGAGCGGAGCCTGGAGGAACACAGGTAAGAAACCAAACTGTTCAAAAACAATCTGACTATTTACAATTGGGGAGCGCTAAGGCACTCCTGTCAGCATAACCCCTACAGTGAGGTGTAGTGCTTATGGTGCTCAGAATGTTCCTTTTTAAAAAAAGTGTAACAATGTTCCCTTTTAAATGTTCTGCAAACTTAATTATCCTTTTTCATCTAGAGCAAAAACAGAGCGGTGCGATATGGTTTAACTTGATGAAGTACTCTACAGTATTAATAGACACGTTTTCCAAATTATGGATACACCCAGATCTATTAAATTATTATAAACAAAACTAGTAAAAACCGAAGTAGATGCAATCATAATGCATTTTATTCAAGAAATAAATGCATGAATGCATCAAAATTTTGTTTTAAAGCTCATCCTCTGACATATTTTAGTTTACATAGTTCAACTTTATATGGAGACTCTCACACTGGATCTTTTGTTAAATACAGTTCAGCAAGACACTGTTCCAGAGCAGCCATTCCATATAAATTGGCTTTCTCTAGACCTCCCCGTTGTAGGATCAGCTCTCTGCAGGGTTTGCTGTTCTGGGTTAACTCGGTGAGAAGAGCCTGAAGCACAGTTACCATATCGGAGCCGACAGATGCAGGAGAAACCTGATCAAGGAGGCATAGCAAATCCTGGAGCCAGCCAGATTCAAGGACCAATGTGGACAACCATGGCAGCAGAGAAACACAACTTGAAAAAGCTTGTACACCAAGGAACCATAGTTCAGAAATCTCCTCCCATGCATCTGCATAACGCTCAGACAATGAAATACTTGGCTTGTTAGAGTCTGAATTACTTGAAGCCATGTGAGAATGTCTTAAGAAGCGAATCACAGCTGAAAAGAAGTCCCTGGAGAAATTTTCCTGCATCACTAAAATACAAAAAGCAAACAAAAAAATTATATATATATTAAATATAATGTAGAATTGTATTTGACAGCTCTACAGAGCTTGGTTGTCCTAACATAAGCAAACCATTTCACCTAGTAGTGTTGTCCTTAAATGGACACTATAGTCACCTGAACAACTTTAGCTTAATGAAGCAGTTTTGGTGTATAGAACATGCCCCCGCAGCCTCACTGCTCAATCCTCTGCCATTTAGGAGTTAAATGCCTTTGTTTATGAACTCTAGTCACACCTCCCTGCATGTGACTTGCACAGCCTTCCATAAACACTTCCTGTAAAGAGAGCCCTATTTAGGCTTTCTTTATTGCAAGTTCTGTTTAATTAAGATTTTCTTATCCCCTGCTATGTTAAAGCGGCACTGTCATGCCGAACTTACCTTTCCTCAATCACTTCCTCTTCTCCCCCTCTCTCAGGATATGTTATTCTTTTCTTCCTGTCTTCTTTAGTTTTCTTTAAAATCATAAGACAAAGTAGGGACTCTTTGCCTTATGGAGGATTCCTCCGCTTGACCAGCTCTGACCAGCGGAGGAGCAAAGTGTGCTTCATTTCAGCTGGTCAGAGCAATTTTCCCATGATCCCTAGCTTTCCTCAGTGTTCCCACAATGCTTCCTGTCATTTTACACAAAACTGCCGAATTGCGTTCTAACTGAATGAGAACAGTCTGTTCGTTTCTTTTAGAACGCAATTCGGCACTTTATTCGGATCAGAATTTCATTCGAATGAATGAAACTCCGATCCTATTGATTGCTGTGGCTGCATCTTGCAGCCGCTTAGTAGATAACTCCCTAATTCCCACGGTATCAGGGAGTTATCTACTAAAAGGCTGAAAGACCTAAATTGGTCTTTCAGCCAACTTTACTAATACGAAGTAAAGATTACTTAGCATTAGTAAATTATGCCCCTACTCGCTATACTGCGAGTAGGGGCATGTCTGGTAAACAGTGTAAAAACAAAAAAACTATTGGCCCCCACCCCTAAACGACGGGTGGGGGCCCTAAAGTAAAATAAGGGGGGAGACCAAATGACCTACTGCCCCCCCCGGCCCCCACCCCTGGGCGGCAGGTGGGGACCTACTGCCCCCCCCCACCGGCCCCCCTAACCCCTGGGCGGCGGGGGGGGCCCTAAGTCAATTACCCCCCCCCTCCAAGGTGACTAGGGGTCCCCAAGCCCCAGTCACCCACCCCCACCCAAAAAAAAAAAAAAAAAATATCCCCAAAAAAGGTCAAATAAAAAAAACCATCATAACCGTCGAATTGTAAATAAAAAAAAACCCGACCGCAAAAAAAGAGAGTACTGCCGCCGCCCCCCCCCCTCATTCTCACTGTTTTTTTTTGTTTTGTTATGACCCCCATAACAGCACAAGGGAGATTAAAATCTCCCAAATGCCCCTACTCGCTATACCGCGAGTAGGGTCATGTCCACTAAACAGTGAGAGGGGGACCTGGGGGGGCTTAGGAAGTGGTGGGGAGAACTGCTCCCTGTCGCTTCTATCTTTACATATTACAAGGAGGGAGCTGCGTGCTGGTAGCTCCCTCCTTGTAATAACCTGCACGAACAAACATACACTGATACATTGTGTTTGTTTGTTCGGCTGATATTTCTATTCACTCATTCGTCTGTCTGATGAATGAATGAATGGATGAAATTCCCGTTCGCATGTCCAGGTGTTTCACTGGGCATGTGCGGGAATCTCACAGTCTGCCTAGTGTTGGCTGATGACGTGTCCCATAGGGACTTCACCTACCCACACAAAGATGGCGGCGCCCTGAATATAGATCGGGGCAGAAAATAAGGATTAAAAAATAGGTAATGCTGGGGGCTTAGGGGCATTTGGGGGTGACTAGTGAGTCAATTGGATGTAGTGGAGGCGGGAGAGGGGTTAAAAAAAAAAAACAACAAAAAAAACAAAACAGAATTCGGCATGACAGTGCCGCTTTATTAGCTTGCTAGACCCTGCAAGAGCCTCCTGTATGTGATTAAAGTTCAATTTAGAGATCGAGATACAATTATTTAAGGTAAATTACACCTGAAAGTGAAACCAGTTTTTTTTTTTCCATGCAGGCTCTGTCAATCATAGCCAGGGGAGATGTGGCTAGGGCTGCATAAACAGAAAAAGTGATTTAACTCCTAAATGACAGTGAATTGAGCAGTGAAATTGCAGGGGAATGATATATACACTAAAACTGCTTTATTTGGCTAAAGTAATTTAGGTGAGTATAGTGTTCCTTTAATTATCAAATTATTATGGCATCGTACAGTCATTAAAAAGTAATGAGTCAATTTATAATGGGTATGAATAGATATGTTTTCTGTGCAACTTTTAAGAGGTAAAAACAAAATTCAAGAGAAATAATTAATCAAGGAATAATGAATGAAGTGTGTCTAATACAGAGACGGTTATAGAAATAAGATCAAATGGTTCATCTGACCCTAGGTCAGACAATATATTTTACAGGTTAGCTAGTGTCTATTTCCCATGTTAACAGGTCAAAACTGGTGCAAATCTGGAGCACAGTGCAAAACGTAGAGCAATTATTAGAGGCGGTTATTTTAACACATTGACATCAAACAGTTACTTCGTATTATTGTCCAGTTTTGACTTAATAAATTCAACTTTCCATTTATTTGGCTCAACTGCATGTGAGAATTTATAGGCCTCTCACGTTTGAGTATTTCATAAATATAAAATAATTTTAAAAATACTCCTACTGCCTGCATTAAGATTTCATGAAATGCCATTTAATAGGTTAAAGGGGTCTTACTTATTTTTTTTTGGTAAAAGGAAAAATACTCTCACTTTAAAAAGTAAAATGTGGAAGACTCTCACCTGCTTTTTTTTTTTTAATATAATTTATTTCTCTCACAGTTACCCATACTTCTTGAGACTCTTAGTGGGTTTATATGCTGAACACAGAGTTGTAGTCCCCAATTCACCATAATTTTTAATTTCCATTTAAATGGGCATTGTAAACACCATAGCTGCTACAGCACACTGTAGGGGTTAAGATGCCAGAAGTCCCCTGTTGCGATCTACAACAAGCAGTTAAGTTGTTTTCAAATAGTTTGACACTTATCTGGGTCCCTCAGATGCTTGTGGTCTTTTTAGCAGTCTGTGATATCGCTAAAGCAGAAGTTCCCAATCTGCTTTAACAATATCAATTTTGGTCAGCATTCGCTGGTTGAGCGTTTTAGATGAAACTTCCATTATTTACTATTGTTAGTTATATTATTCTGTGAACATAATTTAAAACTACCACAGCCAGCAAACAAAGTACAGGATACATTTTATTCTATAATGACTTCTTAGAAAACATGTTTTGATAAAATTCATTACTTGGTTGTATATTAGATGTCCTCCCATTTACATGTTATAGTTGAACAGTATCATGCTCTCATCAACTAAACATTTCAAATAATCTACCATGTCAACAATGTTCACTACAAAACCTGCCCTAGATTTAAAATATCTTTATTTATAAAATGACAGCTGCATACCTGGCTCAACTGTGAACACTGACACCGCAAGCAGAGGACAATGGTAATCTACAAAGAACACTAAATCACTATACCCACCTGGTGCGTCAGCTAATAATCGGCTCATCATTAGGCCAAGTGTAACAATGTTGGCAAGAAGAACCATATGACCGTCTTTAGAATCCAGGTTGGGAAGAGACTTCATGAGATGTGTCAGCAAAGAAGCAAAACAGGGTTCCTGTCTAAAGGAAGAGAGTCCAAAAAAAAAAAAAAAGTTGGCAAAATTTTTTTACATTATTAGTTTGTATGCCAAGAATACATTTGTTTTGAAACTTTATTATTGATTGCTTATTTCATGTGCACACAATTTATGTAGCTCAACTTTGTAGGAACAAAAATACATAGTGAGCACATGACCGGGTACAGTGAGCAGGAGCTCCTCCACCACTGTCTGCCTGCTCGGTTGTGCTACAGCAAGGTACAGGGAGAGCTGTTAACAAATATACCCTAGTGTTCAAAGTTCAGGAATTAAAGGATATGCACGCCCTTACCCAATAATGGATGGCTCTGTTACCACGAGATTGAGGAACACCCCACAGCAGCTTTGGAGGCTCAGTTCTGCCGCACTCCTGGTTTCAGCAGGCTCTGCATCCTCCGATGAAAAAACATCCCACTGTTGAAGGTAATAGTCGCAGAGCAGAGCAGAGACCCCTTCGGAAAGAAGTACCCTGCGTGCACCTTCCTCAGCACTAAGGTGGCACATAGCAGGGAGCAGGAATCTACAGAGGAGGAGAGATTGGGGATTGTTAGAGAACGTTTCAGACATATAAATCTGGGTAAACTGATATATGATTTGGTTTTAAATAAAGTCTGGACAGAACTATAGCACTGAAACAAATTTAACACAGCAGAAATGCCTACTTTTTAAGCTCATAAGAGATTTCATAAAACATTAAAAAAAAACAACAACTTGCTAGTCTTGGAGCAAAGCTGCGCAGACAAACACGTAAAAGCAGTCTTACTGGTAGCCAATAAAATAGCAAATAGTAACACAAAAATGTAGATATGCAATACAGAAAGCACTATAATCTGCTAATTGTGCTTTATTGTATATGCACATCACGGATCGAATCTAACGTTAGTAAAGTGAGAATGCAGGAGAATCTTAAGTGAAGTTGAGGTACCGTATATACTCGAGTATAAGACGAGTTTATCGGCACATTTTTTGTGCTGAAAACCCCCCACTCGTCTTATACTCGAGTCATAAAAATGGCCACCCCCCATGGGGGGCACCAAGGCTCTGCATCACATACACACACATTGCACTCATACACACACAGCAAATAAATATTCAATTAATATAATTTTTGGGGGATCTAATTTGATTTAGAAATTTACCAGTAGCTGCTGCATTTCCCACCCTAGACTTATACTTGAGTCAATACGTTTTCCCAGTTTTTTGGGTATATACGGTAAGTTTCTAATTTAAGGCCAATGTAACCTAAATGAAAGCATAGCTGCCTAAGAGAATTACTACAGTTCGGCTATATCGACTGTACATTGGAAATTCACTTTGAATTCTCACTTCAATGAATAATCCTGCATATCTTTTATTTGGGATCATTCACATGTTATGGAATTTAAGCCATGTATTCTATATTTTCATATTTCTACATTATTTACTACTGTTTGCACATTTTTTGTTTTGCTACCAGCAAGACTTGCTTTTGTGTGTTTATTTGAGCTTGCACTTGTTTTTCTGGTATGCTGTGCTCTGAGACAAGCATATATTTTTTTTTTAATTGATCATTTGTCTGATAGGGGACTTGTAATTGCAGCAATAGCACAGTTTACACAATTTTCTTCTACTGCAGAGTGCTGATTATCAGTCTTTATACATAGTTATATATTTCAAACAAGTCACAGAATATTCATTTTTATAGGGAAAAAAACTTTTTTTGTACTTGTACAGTTTATTGGAGTTGTGGAATATCTGTAATAATTGTTTAAATATACTTTTGCATACACACCTTTTCTTACTGAATGACAATCTAGGGATCATGCAAATCCCATCACAGCCTTCAATAATGTTTAATATGCAAATTTGTCTTGGTGAAGGTTATGGTTGTTAAAATATGCAAACATGCTAGATATATAGATATACACACGCATACATATAAAAAGTTATGAAATTTATAAATTTGTAAAAAGGTTTTCATGTTGTACCTTATTGCATCTCCAGGCCATACAGCTCCCCATTTGCTGCTCAGTAATGCCATCTGAGAGACTTCCTTTGACAGACCCCTGCAGGCCACACCACGCTGGTACCAAGTCCTCATATAATGCACGAGGAAGGGCAAAAGACCGATGACTTCCTTTTTCAGGCAGGAAGTTTCTTCGGCTAGCCATGCACCTATTAACCGTACTGAAGCAAGGGTGAAAGGATCCTCAATCTTTTCCCACCCTCTCTAAAAAAAAAAAAGAGACACAGACATGTTTCATGTAAGGAATTAATAACAGGGACAGAGAATAAGCACCTACACATTACGATCAACAATGAATGTATTGTCACCCAAGATAATAAGTGCTGAGGCTAGCATGATTGCCGATGTAGGACATATATTGGTCATAAATGACTATTTCCCATCATTTGTGAATGTGTAATGCGGATATTCAAACCTTTGCATTTACGATCCAATCATATTAAAGGGCGACACTCTAAGCACCAAAACAACTTTAGCTTAATAAAGCAGTTTTAATGTATAGATCATGCCCTTAGGTGCAATCTAAATTTGCATACAAGTGTGCTAAAATCTCAGGCTCAAAAATGTATGTCATTGTCCATTGCACTTATTCCTCTAAAAAAATTTTTTGCATAAAATAAGCAGAATTTTCCTAATACCTATGCACAAGTGTCTGTTTTGCCCATCATGAATTGCTGTTTTCATTGCTGAAGAAAGATCTGCAGTGAATTAGAACAGAGAAGTCTGTTTACCTGTTGTAAGTAATACATGACTGCACCACAGGCCTCTTGCATGACTTGAATGAGTTGCAGCTTCTGGTCCCTTTTCAGCAGAGGACGTTCTTCTTTGGTGCATTCTTCGATACCCATTTCAACCAAAGAATAACAGGCTGTGACAAAGGCTTGTCGGGATTCCAGAGGCTCAGGAACTTCCAATGCCATTCTCATCTCCACACAGGCCAAGTTTACCAACAGGGCCAAAAACCTGGCCCTTTCAGCTCTCTTCTCTGCAACGATCCAAGTGGAGCCATAGGTATGAGCAAGGCAGGCACCTAACTTCAAAGCAGGGTCACGTTGTGCAATGCTTAATTTACTGCTCAGGATTTTAAACAAACCATTACACAGATACTTCAAGCAATCATTACCCCATGAAGATTCCAGCACAATAGATGAAGGTGGGAGAAATGTTGGTAAAATCTCAGCTAGTTGGAATTTCCGTTCATCTTCCAATTCACTAAAATCCAAGGTGAGTTTTGTTAAAAGACGCTTAAGGTCTGTGCTACTTTTTTTCCAACATTTTGCTGGTAGTAAAGTAAGAAGCGAGATGAGAATTTGCAATGCTTGTTCCCAGCCATGATTATGATTTAAGTAAGCCTGGCATAGAGAGGATACAGTGTCACCCAAAATCAGGTGCTTTGCTCCCTGTGGAGATGCCAAGATACCAACTAGGCACTGATAAGTATCGTCCACCATAGAAGGATAATCTTTGCTGCCTTCTGCACATGGGGTATGCACAATCTCATTAAAGATGGGAATTTTGTTGAGGACCTGCGGGTGCACTGCAAGGGTAGGGTCAGTGCAGAAGCAAGCCAGTAGCGTCACTCCTAGACTACGGAATAAATGTGCAGGACACCCATCAGGGGTAGATGTGGAAAACAGGAGGCGATTTGGAAATGTAAAGCCAACTGCATCAAAAATTTTATGTCTTGTGCTGTCATCCAACTCCCCGGCTCTGGCACATTTTGTAACCTGTAAAGAAAGATTTAGCAATTTTAATTGTCCTCGACATTCCAACACATACAGAAACCACTAGTGCGCTATATGGTAGATGTGTAACATTTCTTCTTCCTGTTTTCAGACTGCCACAGATTATCTACTTTTGTATGGTGCTCTGTTCTGTGACCTGGAACAGTTGTATCAATTGTAAAGAACCAAAATGTTTGGCATGCAAAAAACACTCCAACTTTTACAAACAAACAAAAGAAAATGCCCTTGCCGTGCTAAAGCTTGCATAGTATCACTTTAAAGAGCATTACATTTTATTTAAACATTATGGTAGAAGAATTACTAGTAAATCTACAGGCTGTTTTTCTGTACACGGTCACGGGCATCTATGCTGCATGCGTGTAACAAAAATGCAATCTAAAAAGCTGTTTACCTATTGCTTGCGGTCATACAATTGTATGTAATACTACTGAGTTCATGCACCATTTGTTTTATTGCTATATGTATGAATAAGAAGACTTTGCTCACCAGCAACAGAGCTGCAAACTGTTCGCTGTCACTCTTAGCTCCTCGCAGAACCTCCAGACATCGATCCAGAGTGGAACTGCTGGCACTAGTGTCCGCAGATGGCTCTGGCTGTGTTGTCATTTTATCAATTAGCTGCAGGTAGAGAGATAACACACATTATATATACACATTTTTTTTTCTTACTAGTACAATGAACCTACTGGAACATGATTAGTGGGACACAATCTAAGCACGTAGGAAGTTATAGATAGATATTTGCTATCTCAAGGATCATGTAGTTGGAATGTATAGGGAGAGAACCATTCTTCAACAGGCTTACATACAGCTTACATGGAGAAATACTATAGCTCAATACCATACAACCTAGGCTATGATGGTCTAACCACTGATCAAGGGTGTATGGGAGACAATATCCCAAGAGCAGAGCTAGAAAAGGTATATGTTACATGGATATGAAAGTTCAAGAAAACGAGAATGAAATGACATGGGAGGATGAGAATAAAAGATTGTGTGCTAAAAGCTTAGGAAATAACATGGACAATAATAGTCCAGGAGGTGTGAAGAGTGCAGTGGCAGGTGGTGCAGCAGTGCGTGATATTGCTAGTATAGTGCTGGTTCTTTCTTCTGCTTGCCATCAATAAAAAACAAAAAAAAACCAAAGAGAGAGATCTGACCTGCCCCCAAAATATAGTACTTGATTAAAGCACAGATGTTCCCCACTGACATGAACTGATTTTCATTAGACAAATGTGAACATTTTATTATTTTTTTTGCTCAGCGGAGGCCAAAAAGACAGTTATTTTATAGTTTAGCCAAGTCTTTTTGTGTTTTTATTTTTCCTATCAAATTATTTTCAGATAAGAAATCTGAAAATTATAATTTTGCCTTCAGAAATCATGCTACATGCAGAAATATAAATAAATTACACATGCATTTTATTTTAATGCAGTGTGTTTGTACTGCAAAAATAAGAGTAAATTTAATATATGTATAATGTCTATACATCCGACTGTTTCCAAACCTATTACGCACAACATTTGAGGAAGGTGGTAAGGAGAAACTCCTTCACGATTATTTTGGATAGCCCATTTTCAGGATGTAGGCCTTTTGATTTGTGCTATCTTTTTTGAATGAAAAAAGTTCTAGCTAATAAGGAATAATAAGCAGTTATTAAAGGGACACAATATACACCCAGACCACTTCACCTCAATGAACTAAAATGTAAAACACTGTAGTCATAAAGACAGCCAGTAGAGGCACATCTGCTGCACTGACCAAGTCAAACATCTATAGGGAAGCTTGAGGGTGAGTGGCACTCGCTGCCTATGCGCAATAGGTCCCTAATTCTTATCTATGAGGAAAATTGGATTGGACCATCAAGGATCAGACCATGCTTCCTCCATGACATTGCTGGAGGCAGACTAGTAAGCAGCGCCAACGGAGCCTTGATGGTCCTTTAAAAACTTTTGACTTGTTCTAGAGCAGGGGTTGCCAACCTAGTCCTCAAGTACCCTCTAGTCATCCCGGTTTTATGGATTATCTTGTTGTGTCTAAAGAGGTGTTTTTTCCTTTTCTTTCTAAAAACACCTTAGACACAACAGGGTATCGATAAATTCTGGACTGTTAGGGGCCACTTGAGGACTGGGTTGGGAACCACTGTTCTAGAACCTAGCTCTCTCCCTCACTCTGATAGCAGACGTCGAGCTGGAGATAATCATCAGGTGGCAGTCAGGCCTATGGGTTTGAGGTGATAACCGCTTTTTGCTTACAACCCTAGAGTAAATTGTGTATTGCAAAACAAGTCTGAAGCAGAGTTCTAAAATTGGAGCAATCAACATTAATTTCTATGGTGTTTAGTGATCCAGTTTGTGGAAGCCACTAGCCATTGGAGAGTGGGAATATGGCCTAAGTGTGCCTTGTCCTTCCAATACCTAAAGGAACCTATAGTAAGGTTTGATAACAGCAGCTTATTGTAAGAACACAACTGTGGACAGCCTTTTCTGAAATGGATAATTCTGTTAACATGGCAGAATTTAAGCAGAGTAGACAACACTTTTGCTGAAAAAAGTTTAATAAAAATGAACAGACTCGAGAGCAAAATTAGAACACTTCAGTATATAAATCCCCACTGATGATAAATCAGCAGTGTGTTGCATCCCCATCTATAAATACACTTTATTTTGACGTCACTCAGTCAACTGGTATTGGGTCATTTTATCACTTTACTCCACTCCCTTACATATGAACTAGTAATACATTACAAGAAAATAAGAAGTTGACCCTGTAGTGTATAGTTGTATTTAATATCAGTGTTACATAAATACTGGGGTATAATATGTACACATAAGTACAGAGGGCATTTAAATATAACACAGAAAATCCACACGTTCAAACAGGATGGACACTTCAAACTGGAATTATTAGAAACAGGAACACAAACAACACACAAGGTTTCAGTATCAAGCCTTAATCCTGTATAGTTGTCTCCTGGTTTCTCATGAAATCCAGTTTGAAGTTGTTTGTCAGAGATTGTCTATTTCGAAGTAGTGGTTTTTCATGCCACTGTATACCAGGCTAAACTGGAATTTGCCATTTCCATAGTGCCACACCATACTACTTATTGTGCATGAAATCTAGAAATATGCATTACTTTGTATTTGTTTTTTGATGTGAAAGTAGTTTGTTGTTGTACTTGTTTAATGGCAGGACTTGAGCTTCATTATAGCTGTAGCCCAGATGCTTCTGAATGCCCAGCCCACCCGCCCTCCGTATATTTAATTTAACAGCCCCCCACCTGTTTAGCCACATATTTATATATAATTTAAAGCCTCCACCCAATGCCAATGAGTAAGGCCACTGAGGCAACCAGGGCCTTCTTATTTTACAGATGGGGCTTTTCTGGCATGGTGGAGGGATAAGGGAGGTTTTAAATATCTCCTATAGTAATCACATGGTTCATACTGACACCCAATAGTCTTATTTTTATCTTTTACTTTTTTAAATGTGTTGGCTGTCACATGGTTAACCCTCCACTGCTAAGGTTTCTTTTAAACTGTTTGCCAAATAGTTTAGATCACTAATGTTTGCGCCAGGATTTTAACAATGTGGATCCAGATTTTAGCTGTCCGGCAGCACTGGGTTCGTCTGCAGTCCAGACCACATTCTGGCTCATTCAGAGACTACTCTGCAAAATGAAGACATTGTTAAATAGTGTTAATGTCCAGATTTTTGCATTCGGAATACAAACTTTAGTGAACTACTCCGTAAAAGATAATTTATCAGGAAGTATGTAGGAAGTCTGTGAGTTACAGGCAGGTGAAGTGTGGCATTCGCTGCATAAACAAAGTGATTTAGTGCATAACCCCTTTCCCCTGTGTTATTCCATCCTGAAAATAGTGACTTTAAATGCAGTACAACGTGGGAGGTCCCTGAGTTTTGGTTTAAATCAGTATTTGCACCGGGGAGGCCCAAGTATCATTCGATACCTAGGACTTCCCTCTTTTAGCTGGGGCCATATTTAGTGCCCCCAGACTGACATATAAAGGTGTATGCAGTACTCAAAGACAGTGCTGCATACAGCCCTTAAAATCACAGTGGTTATCTTGAAATCCCAGGGGATTTCCATGCAACAGGGTGTCTTTGCATGCTCCATGATGGCAGTGATCGGTGCTGGGCTGTGCCTGCTGCCCAACACTGATCATCAGCAGGGACAGCACACAGGAGCTGCAGAAAGAGACGTAGATCTCTATCTCAAGCAGGAATCACACATTGCAGAGTGCTCTGTACAGTATAAGCTGGGAAATTCCTCTCCTGATGTCAGCAGAGGAAATCCCACTGAGTTAAGGTTAGGTTTAGTGTAGGGTAATGGTAGAGATATGGCAGCGCTACTGTGAGGGTTAGTATAGGCTTAATGTTAACTAGCAACAGTAAATAACCCTTAAAAGGACCAATATAGGCACCCAGATCACTTCAGCTTAATGAAGTGGTCTGGGTGCCAGGCCCAGCTAGGTTTAACCCTTTTAGAGAAACTGCTATGTTTATAATAAGGTTAATCCAGCCTCTAGTGGTTGTCTCATTGACAGCCGTTAGAGGGCTTCCGTGCTTCTCACTGTGAATTTCACAGTGAGAAGACGCCAGCGTCCATAGGAAAGCATTGTGAATGCTATGCACGCGCGGCTCCTGCCACGCATGTGCATTCAGCCGTGGAGGAGGAGACTCCCCCGCCCGGCGCTGGAGAAAGAGGTAAGTTTAACCCCTTCCTCTCCATTCAGCCTGGCAGGAGGGGGACCCTGAAGGTGGGGGCACCCTCAGGGCACTATAGTGCCAGGAAAACAAGTATGATTTCCTGGCACAATAGTGGTCCTTTAATGACTTGAAGCAGTTCTGAAAAGAGGAATAGGCACAATACATCTTCACCAGTAGGTTTTATTGATTAACACGAGTTGTTTTGATGATGTGAATGCTACCAAAGGATTTGACACCAGTTATAGAATGTAAAGGTTCACATGTTTTCAGTGAATGATGGATCAATATGTTAAATTGGCATGTAAAATGTAGCAAATGGTAGGGTACCTAGCACATCTATTGCAATGCAACAAAGATTACATCACCGTAGGAGAACAATTTGTGCAGAACTTAGGCATTATTTTAATGGGTAATTACATTAACATGGCAGATGGTTCATGTCCTGGATATCCTAACTAGGGATGTCAGAAATCAAGATGGAAAGTAATACTTATGCACATATGGAACATGGATCACTTATTGAGAGATAAGGAGAAAGATTTTAAAGGCAATATGTTATTATATAGGGAACCTTGGTAATGTTTTAGCGGGACAGGGAAAAGATCTCTAATTTAGAGAAATAGAAAATAATTCTAATGGCTGAGTGGAGAGATTAGGTATGGGAAACAGCTAAACACATGAAAAGGGGTTGCAATAGTCTATATTGAAAAAGACTTGCACATGCAGCGAGATAACCTATGAAGTGAGATAATGGAATGTTAAAAAGAACACTCCAAAACCCCGAAACACATTAGTTAGTCTAGTGCTTCAAAGGAGTCTCATTTGTCTTTATGTATATGAGTGCCAAGGGATGGGTGCTCTTATTTGCTAAAACGCTCTTCACAGAGAATCAATGTATCTTTCCTGGTAAAATATTTTATAAATAATAAATAAATAAATTCTAGTACAGATCGACTGCTGTGCACGCAATCTAGGAGTCTAAAGCAGGGTTCTGCAACCATTTAGCACCCGCAGGCCGGCGAAAAAAGGAGAAATATTATGCGGACCGGCGTCAGCCAGCAATAAAAACCAATGGTATGTGTGAGGGATGCAGTGTGTGTGACGGGTAGTGTGTGTGTGTATGGGGGAGAATGATTGTGGGTCTGTGGAGTTGGAAGGTAGATTGATTATATATAAATAATTTTTTTATTCATTAAAAAGAAAAAAAGTCATTTTGATATCCCCCCTCCCTGCTTACCTTTGCCTAGGAGGGGGGCCCATTTCCTGAAATCCCTGGAGGTCCAGTGGGGAAGCCCTGGCGGTCCCAGTGGTGAGAGTGAACTCTAGCAGCCTCAGAAGCTGCTAGAGTTCACTCTCACGAGATTCGGAGCATTGCCATGGTAACACCCAGAGCTCGCGAGAGGAGAACCCAGCAGAACTGCAGGTTAGATCTCCCCTGGGTCCTCTCTCTCCCTCCCTCCCCTTCCTGCATTACACTGCGAGCGGGCCAGATCTCTGATATCCCCTCCGGTCCTGCAGAGCTGGCTGGGGAGAGGGAGGCACGGTTCCCGGTGCTACGATCATAGCACCGGGGAAATATTTTGCGGCAATTATTGCCAGTCTGCGAAAGCTTTTGCCCGCTGATATAGTTGGGTAAAAGCTTTTGTGGACCGGCAATAAACTATTGCGGACCAGCACCAGTCCACGGATCAGTGGTTGAAGACTGGTTTATTTGAAGAACTGGATTTACCCATGAGATCACCATTAGTTAGAATAGCGGCCTTAAATTTAAAACCTTCTCTTTATTAATATGGAGGTCTAACTTATACCCCTAGGGTTATATACTTTTTTAATGTGGCAGCTGGCTAGCAAACACTGGCCAGCCACCACATAACCCTTGCAGTGCCAATAATTTTTATATTTTTGTCCGCTGGCTCCTAGTACTACTAGCAGGCAAATAGTACTTCAAATTATTAATTCACTGGCACAAAAAAAGCAAGCGAACCATCATTTGCCAACGTATATCCTGCCAGATGCATTCAGTTCCAAGTACTGTTAATATCTGTGTTTTCTGAATCTTCCAAATCCTATACTTTGTACAGGGTTAGTCTATGAAAGCAGTGCTTTTAACCCCTTAAGGACACATGCCATGTGAGACGTCATGATTCCCTTTCATTCCAGAAGTTTGGTCCTTAAGGGGTTAATCTCGACACCAAATGCATCCCGACAAATACAGATTCACACAACCCGACCGAATTTGACTTTAGAAAACATGAGAATTGCCATTGCATCAGAATCATTTTCACTAGATTGTGTGCATCCAGACAAAACCTGGAGTTTAGCGAATAACCGTGAAAACTTGCCAACCCTGTACTCCTAGTTATTCCATGCCCCCTGCCCCAGTCCCTCAGGTGTATCCCCACTCCTGACCTGCTCACTCACCTGACACACAACATCCCTCATCCAAACACGTGCCCCAGAACCGCACAGCCTCCTCCCACTAATCCGCTTCCGTGTCACAGCCCAGCGGTGAACCAGCCAATCCGAATTTAGTCTTTCTATACCCTCACCAATAGGAGGGCCGAAGCGAGTCCCGGAGCCGGTGTCATGGCAATGGACGCCATGCTGGGAGGAGAGAAAGGAGGTTCTGGTATCCGGGAGAATCACTGCTTCCGGGAGGAGGAGGAGGAACTGGGGGGACGGAGCCCAAGGGGAGGAGACACCGGAGACAGCTAGGGGGACAGAGAGAGAGAGAGCGACAGGTACACACAGAGGACAGGACTCCGCTCTGCCTATCAATGTATGTACAGCATGGCCTGGAACACCCTGTGTGCATGGCTTCTAGATAGAACGTCGGGGTATGTGTGAGAACGCAGGGATAGTGATAGATACAGTGTGTCTGCGTGTGGGGTTTGTAATCTGCCTGTATGGACCAAGTGTGTGCAGGGGCTTATTATAGAGAGACCAGGCGGTGTATAATAGCACTGACAAGTGTAATAATGTATATTATAGTCTCATGCTTTCCATGGATTTATAAAATGGGGTAGTATACTCCGGCTGGGGATCTGCTGTCAAGCGATCCTGGGATTGGAAATGTAAGCTCATCCTAGAGCTTTAACAAATCATTCTTACGTAAAGAGTTCTTGGTTACTAAATATTAGGTACGATTTGTAAATACCATGTCTTCTAATTTCTTATACAACATATATTTTCATTGAAAGTAATTACTAGTACATATTTTCACTGACAGTGAGCACTAGTACATATTTTCACTGACAGTGAACAGCATGGAAGAGATTGTGTGAACAGCATTATTCTATATTCACGATGCTTTTCTGACCTTCTATCTCTGTGTACATATTGGATATGGTTGCATATGTGTATGGTTGCACGCCCTGCCCATTGGAGTCATGCTGTCACGTGCCACATTACACCTGTAACCAGAAAGATGAGTGTGTAATATACAGTATGCATGCACACTGTGCATATACAAAACAGTGTTGTGGTGATATGTCTGCCTTCAAGGAAGTAGTAGTATAGTATACAAAGGATCATGAATGGTATATCTCCAGATATTGTTGAATTACAACTCCTATTATTATGGCAGTTGTATGTCTGCATCATCTACTAAGAACTGCTGCCATATTCTGTATCTCATGCTAAAAAACTGATGTTATTTTTCTCTGTTCTAGCCAAAGATAATATTCTTCATTAGTGTACTCAAAATCCAAGTAGAATCTTTCCACCCTGTCTCCCCATGGAGTAGAGTTTGAGTTGGTGGCACCACTGGAACAGAGACAGCTGACATGTTTCAGGTAAGCATTCTATGCTATACTAATTCTTTTATGTAGTTCGTAGATGAGAAATGCACTCGATTTATATGACAGAATGTATTTGCCATGTCAGCATTTAAAGCGGCCCTGTCACCGTCTGGGGAGTTTGCAGAATTTGCAAAGACCCCCTCCGGTGACATCAATGTGATGCTCCGGTGGTCGGGGGTGCAGGTAAAGGTAAGATTTACTTTCTTGAACCTGTCAATCGTGGCGTGGCCATCAAGAGTACAGTAATGAGGTTTATGGAGGATTCTGCAAGACCGCGGAATCCTTCATCAGCAGAGCCAATTCCTTGTAGTTGTCACTGGTGACTGGTGGAGTGACGCTTCTAGATGGTGGTAGTTCGCCCAGTGTCTATAAGTGTCAGGCGTAGGAAACATACAGAGACAAAGTAGCCCATACTTTGCCTCAGTATATCTTTTGACTGGATTGGTATTTCAGTTAAATTCCAACACAGTCAAAGTGAGTATTTCATAAAAATTCAATCTTTATGAAATTCTCTTTTCATGGAAGGGGAGGTGACAGTGCTGCTTTAAGTAATTTTTGTCAGTGATTTTACTGTTCAGACGAGGCAGTGCTGTGGTACAATTTTTTTGTTGTTCACTATTTCTAGTGTGATGGACATTATTGCACATAGTCCGGTCGTTCGGTCCTCCCTATGGCTTAACTCTAACATTTTGCAAAGGCTGACAGAACTTTGCTATTGTTGCTTAGTGCTGATGTTCTATATTTTGAGGGACAGATGGTTGCAGAACAGGTACAACTTTAGAGTCATATTGATATGAAGTGCCAATTTAGTTATTACCATGTAATCTCATGTAGTATAAATGAGCTAAAGCACTGCTCATGCAGGTAACGCAGGTTCTTTGGATCTATTTACCCTCTGGTCTCATCTTATGGTACCTGGAGATAGTTATCTGTAGCCCATTCTAAGAACAATGAGGTTGACTGACATAATTTTCTTTCTAATTGCAGGCCGGTTTATTATTTCAGGTAAACTTTTCAAGTTAGACCCATTTATGTTTAACATTTTTTGCATTCTTCATTTACCTTCACCACATTATTTGCAAACAGAGTGCATGAGATTATGATTCTAAAATGACTGAATTCACAGATTTTAATTTGTACCAATCTTGTGAGGCCTTTCAACATTGTATGTGCTTTGGACTATATCTTCAAACAGATATGCAATTAAGATTATTCACCAAAATGAGAATTGTCAGGAATTCAAAGTAATATTTGAAGTTTTAGACCAAAATAGCCAAACTGACTTGAAGAATTTTTTCCAATTCTCACTTTAGTAAATAACCCTGAATTTCTCCCATTCCAGATGCTGGAGGCTGTAGACTGTCTCCATAGAGGCTTGCAGTGCATTATGGGAGCTGTAGTTAATGGAATGACTTGGGTTGTATTTCCTGTATAGGAGATTCTCGGGAATCTGGGACTTCAGATGACACATTATTGCAGTCTATAGAACACTATAGCATTAGAAACAAATGCATATATTCCTAATGCTAACATGTTCTAATCCCGCGTTAGATTCAGCCCCCCTGCCTTAGTTCTTTTTAAAAAATAAATAAATAAAGGAAACTTTATTTACTTACCCTTTTTTTCAGCGCTGTATGACAGTCCTTGCAACCTTCTTGTCCAATCAAATGATTCTCATAGGCAATCATTGTGGACAAGAAGCGCGTGCATGGTGAGTGCCACGCTCTGCCAATCTATGCTTCTCTATGAGGAGCATTTGATGACGTCCTCATGGATGACAAACGTCACATGACCAACTGAAACTCACTTGTTGCAATGGAAGCCAGGAAGACTGCCACTAAAGGTGTGTTCAGCCCTGCAATCGATGTTTTGCCATATATACTAAACAGAAATATTTTACATTGCAGGGTTAAAACTAAAGGGCTACTGCACCAAAACCACTTCATTGAGATTGTCCTAAAATTGTAGAAATGCCATTAATTGTTTGTGTGCTGCGTGTACAATTGCATTGATTTTTGTCTGTGTCTTCAAAGGATTTCTGTGAATTATCGCTTTAACCTTAAAGGATCACTATAGTGTCAGGAAAACTAAGTGGTTTTCCTGACACTATAGTGCCCTGAGGGTGCCCCCACCCTCAGGGTCCCCCTCCCGTGGCGCTGAAGGGGTTAAAACCCCTTCAACCACTTACCTTTTTCCAGCGCTGGTGACCTCTCCTCCCCCACCGACGTCAGTTCCCTCTGCCGACGACAGCGGTGCCGCGCGTGCATTCAAAGTGTCCATAGGAAAGCATTTTTCAATGCTTTCCTATGGACGCTCTGTTGTGATAGAAGCATTAAATGCCTCCAGAGTCGCAGATGCGCCTATAGTGGCTGTCCAGAAGACAGCCACTAGAGGCTGGCTTAACCCTGCAATGTAAACATAGCGGTTTCTCTGAAACTGCTATGTTTGCATCTGCAGGGTTAAAACCTGAGGGACCTGTCACCCAGACCACTTCATTGAGCTGAAGTGGTCTGGGTGACTATAGTGTCCCTTTCAACATAAAATGTATTTTTATAACTTTGTAATGAGTGCACCATACTACTGTTCACTTAGAAGACATTTTCCACAGATTTATTTATTTTCCTAACAGGGTTATTTACTTAAATGATAATTACATGTGCATTCATAGGGAATTTCAAATTCAAGGCCAAAGTAGGTAAACTAGAAGCATAGCTAGAGAAAGTTTCCAATTTTTCTACTTTTACCTTGAATTTGAAAATCACTGTAAATCCTCACTACTAAATCACCTTGTGTATGTGTTCTTTAAATATATTGTTTTGATACTCACGCATGTTTGTGGTACAATTTCACGTCTGAAAGAGAATTTTACAACACCTTGTAAATAATAGAGCTGGAAAAATAGTGTTCTAACTTTGTATCACAATAGTGCTGCTCTAGGGAAAATCTTCATTTTTTTTTCCGTGTGTGTCTAAACAACAAATAAGCTTCTTTAACACCTTCAATATCCAGCTCCAGGTGGGAAAAATACCTGCCAAACCCATGTTTTTCTTCCCATTTACCCACAACGACGCTGCATTAGTACTTTGTTTACACTGGACTGTGATGTGGCAGCCTGGTATTAACAGTAGTTGTATGTAGTGATATAAGTTTTTAGTGAAGTGAAAACTAATTGCAACATTTAGAGTAAAATAGCGGACCTGTGGCTAGAGAATTGGAGAATTTTCAGTTCTGCTGTTACCTACATTTTTTAATTCTGTTTCAGTTCACTGTTTAGCAAATAAGTCCCTTGTTGCAACTTTATTTTCTACCCTATATTAATGAAAAAGACTCTGTCACCTCAAACTTACCTTTCTCCTATTATTTCCTCTTCTGTTCCGCTTTCCTCTTCTGTTCTTTTTCTCATTTCTGATCTATTTCTCTTTAAAACAAAAGACAAATATTTTGTCTTATGTATTTTTTTCTGACAGAGCCACTTTAATTTCTCTCCAAACATCCTCCGCCAATCTATCCACGGTTAAAGTGAAAGGCAGCTAAAGTATATTACTGAACTAAAAATGACCTACTCCTGTTTCGTAACTGTACCAATAAACACCAGTCGAAATAGGATAGTCATGTCCCAGCTTCACATTTCAGTCCCTGCAAAGCATTAAGCTTCCATCTCTGCCAGACAAAGATTAGTTTATTGGATTGGTTTCACAAAATGTATGTGGAGCTACTAAGCCAGATTAGTAAGCAGTTAGCCTGCTGAAACAAGTGTTTTATAATACTTGAGGTGAAAGAAGAATAATCTAAAGAGAAAATCACTAGCTCTTTTATATAAAAGTGTATTTTAAATGTTATGTGTCTGTCTGTCCCTGGCTTCACAGTGTGGAATGTTATAGCCCTTAATTTAAAGTACTTTAGTTATTAGAGTGCTTTCACTGACCATCAAATGGTATATAATTGAAAACTGAATGGCTAAGTTGGTGATTTCCCAAATCTGCTGCAGTATTTTAGTTTAATTTTTAAATTTGGATTTCAGTCAGGTGAAATTCTAAGTTCAGTGTATAAACCCTACAAAAGTGTGCAGTTGCAGCAAATTCATGGTAAATTTTAAGTTTTAGACCAAAGTAACTAAAACAAAAAGATAGCTGACCTGGATCATTTTTCTGGTTCAGCTCTTTTGGCCTAGAAATTCAAATTGAACAGGTCACACTTTAGTAAGTAGCCCTGTTGTGTAAAACTTTACAGAATTAAAATGCAGAACAGGTGTTGTATGTGTTCACTTATATTTGTCAGTTACAAAGGCTTATGGGAATTGTATGCCAATAATAAAGCATGGTCTGCCTCTTACTAAACCTAAAATGGCAAGTGACTTGCATCTAATTTATGTAAATTGAAAAAAGGACCAGTCAAGATCTTAATATTAAATAATGTCTGTTAAATGAATTTGTGTGCATTATGTGTTCTACTTTAGACTTAAATACTGATGTAAAATAAGCAGTTAATCAATTGGTTTCTTATCCAAGTGTTATGATTGATTTCTGAGTTAAGTTATGATTCATGACCCTTTCGCTGATGAATGTCCAACATTACAATGTACATGTTGTTATCTTACATTTTAAAGAGATAATAACCCATACTTGGTGTGTTGAAGTTTACGTGCGCATTGTAAAGATTTGTTTAGGAATACCTCTGGTTTCACTCATGTACTCGGAATTTAAGATGTTGAAACAATGTGTGCTACTTTAGAAATAGGCTTCACAGCAATACTATGGGAGCCCCTAGGCTAGATTGTAGACGTGATTAATGTGCGGTTAGCGACATTTTACAGCTGATGTTGACACAAATTTTACAGAATCCTCAGGCAGCCTTCAGGATTGTGGGAGTTGTAATCCAACAACTGTGGGCTGCATGATATTCGTCATGGTGCATGGTATATTCAAAAGTTAAATCAGATTATGAAACAATCCTTATTGGTTATTAGTCTAGGCGGCCCTTGTTTGCTTTGTCCAAAGGTGGCAAAAAGGATAGATCCTTAACTTTTATAGAATTACAAGCCCAAAGTATTGTAGTTATGCAACTGCTGTGGTCTACATTTTTACCTACTCTTGCTGTAGTCTACTTTTTGTGGTTGTAGTGATGGTTTTTATATTTTTTCTTAAATCAATTTTGATAAAACCATGTAATAAGATCAGGGCTGGATTTGGCTGCTTGGGGTGGTGTGTGTGTGCTGCTTGGAGTATTTTTGTGTGTGTGGGGCAGTGGCTGCAGGTGTCTGCTCGTGGTGACACACGTGAGGGTAGGCTGGTTGTGGTGTTTCTTGGGATGTTGCGTGTGCTATATGTATGTTTGTGGTTGACCGGGAATATTGTGTGTGTGTGTGTGTGTGTGTGTGTGTGTGTGCGTGTTGAGGGGTAAAGATCGCAAAAAAAAAGCTCAACGGGCTTTCCACCGGTTTGGCCGCCCTCTCTGTTGCCTCGAGGCCATGAATTTGAAGAGTCCTGGATTTGTCAGCCTAGTCCTCACCTTAAAAGGACACTCCACTGCCCAGACAAAATAAAAATATTTTTTTGGGTAGCTATACCCATGTAGAAATATGTATACATTTAAATAAATATATATATATATATATATATGTATGTGTTTTTTTTATTTTATTTTATTGCGGGTATATCAAAAAAACTGACTCCAAAAGCTGCAGATCTCTTGCCTCTGCAAGGCCTCCTCTTCTAACCCTGCACAGACTTTCTGTAGCTGGTCAATCACACATCAGTATAGCTCAATGTCTTTGCAAGGCAGGTACTCTGGGCAATTACTGTATCTTGAGTTTAGCTCTACTAAGCTAAGCAAATAATGAAGTATGAGGACCAGCAGCCTGGGTGGTGTAACCAGGTTAATTTATAAAAGTACCAATTTCTACTGAAATCTGAACTTTTTGTAAAATTATTTTAAATGGACACTCTTCACATATAAAGCACTTTAGCAAGCTAAACTAACCGTACTTTCCTTTCCTTAATGCATCTCTACAGGGAAACTTCAGCGTCTTCTTGCAGAGCATGTGCAGCACTGCCCCAGGAAGCACCTCTAGTGGCCATCTGTGGAGTGGCCACTAGGAGTGTTTTCTGAAAAGGCAGTGTTTACATTAAAAAGCATCCAGGGACAGACTATAGACACCAGAACAACAACAATAAGCTGTAGTTGTTTTGGTGACTATAGTGTTCCTTTAAGGATTTGTTGTGTGAATTCTAAAACAGATCATCACTTTTTTATTTTTCCAACAACTTTCCGTAAAGTGACTTAGTTTGTTAAAACATTTGTTTTTTAGTTTGTAATTTTTTTCACATTTCTTTACGCACACAGTCTTTATTGTTCCCTGACATTTTCCATTATTCAGCAAATATTAGTTTCACAGCAGTGCCAGCTCTGATCCCACTAATCTACCTTATTCTTTACTAAGATGTGAACAGTTCTTGTCATCACCTTTTAACTAAGAATCTTCAAATTGTACTAATACTTTAACACCTGCCTTAGTTGTTTTTTCTTTTCATAAGTGTGTGTGTGTCCTGTTTTCAAGTTATTGTGTTTACTTCAGCAGAATGTGTGACAAAATCCGAATATACTGTAATTCATTTGTATTACTGCATGGAGCATACCATATTGGATATACAAGCCTGATAATTGTTTCTCAGAAAAAGATTCTAAACATTTATAGATAGTCACTCATGCTAAAGCATTATGGTGATTTTGCTTGATGTTCTAGCTTTGTGGAGAGACACTCATATACCCTTAATCACTACAGCTAACTTTAGTCAATGCTTCCCTATGAGAAGCATTCTGTTGCATGATCGCTGTATTTGACTGGTATATTTGCATAAATTGTTGCACATGCGGCAGTTTTTTCTGTACGGAAAGGGGAGGCTGCCATCAAGGGCAATGCGGAGCACTAGTGAGAAGATTTGCTGCTGTGAAAAAAAAGTGATTTATTATTTTCATTTTGACGGGCTGTCATTTGGGGGATTAAACGAGTATTCGTTTGGGAAGAAATCAATGCTGCTGCGAGATTCTTTACCTGCCGGGTGACTTTATTTTGAAGAGTAATTTTAGGTCTACATGGAGGCTCTGCATTGCCTGCTGGTGTAACTGAATCTGAATTTAGCATTTATTTTATTTCATTTTTTCTTCATTGGAATTGGAGACAGACAGCATAGCCAATCAGAACCGTTTATGTGCCCTGCAGCTTTTGGTCTAGTTAATATTGGGTAGTTGTTACTCTGGGACTCTGAAATGGTGCAGTCAAGCTAAATCCCATATTTACTATAGCCTCCTCCCATTTTAGTCTTTCTGGACATGCAACATAAGCTGCTACTGGTTACCCATGTGATGTAGTACATATTCTTAATAGTAATAGGCAGAGGCATACCTAGGTTTCATGGCACCCCAAACTGTAATTTAAAAAAAAAAAATTTTTTCGATCTAACTCTACTTCCGAACTTCTTTTTGTTAAATTCCACATACATACTCGCATTCATATAGACAAACACATTAATATACACACAGATACACACGTTGATATTAGTGATGTCCCGAACGGTTTGCTCCGAACGGTTCGACGCGGACTCATCATTGAGTAAACTTTGATCCTGTACCTCACAGTCAGCAGACACATTCCAGCCAATCAGCAGCAGACCCTCCCTCCTAGACCCTCTCACCTCCTGGACAGCATCCATTTTGAAGCTTCATTCTTAGTGAGCTGTCCAGGAGGTGGGAGGGTCTGGGAGGGAGGGTCTGCTGCTGATTGGCTGGAATTTGTCTGCTGACTGTGAGGTACAGGGTCAAAGTTTACTCAATGATGAGTCCGTGGCAAACCGTTCGGTGTACCGTTCGGGACATCACTAGTTGATATACATACACACAGACTCATACATAAACTGACACCGATAAACACACCCAATATATACTTGCAGACTCATACACAGGCACACTTGATCCCAATTCTTTTTTTACAGGGCGGTCCACCACGCCACCCTTTTCTTACCGTGAAAGGGAGTGCTCAAGTAGAACCTGGTGTCCAGTGTGGTGCTGCCCAGATCTCTCAATACTGATGTCAGTGCTGGGGTGACGTTACATTCCGACTTTGTGACATACTTTTCAACTGCAACATTCTGTGAAACAAATGAGGGTGGGAGGTGTGAGAGGGGAACTTGGCCAGACACCCATCACTTGCTCTGTCTGGAAAGTGGGCAATCCATCCATAGACCTGACACGTCAGCCTGATGTGAATGTATGCCAGTTTGCCTGCCAATCAAGTAGGCTGACTGTTCATGCAGGGAACATGTTTTCTCTGCAGGGTCTTAATGTCCTGAGCAAATAGCAAACGTGTCTAATAATGCGCTAATGCTATGCGTGTTGGGACAGTTCCCTAGGGGTTCCAAAATCTGGACACCATTGAACAGAATTGGGATGGATAGGGGACCTGTTTTCAGTTACTTTGTCAATTCTTCAATATGGGAGGCAACCCAAAATATAAAAACCACTACCAGAGCTTCTCCATTATTGCTTACTTTTGTCTCCTGTTACCTGTTGTAAGCCACTGATCAAACTACTTGGCATTTTAAGCCAGTTTATATTCTGAAAGTGCCACTAGAAAATTAAAACAAAAATAGACAGTATGGTCTCGATTTACTATTTTGGGATAAGTGTTTCAATTGATTAAACATTTTTTTAGAAATTTATTTATGTTTTAAAATAAATATTTTAACATTTCAATATTATTTTAATATTTTTTTTTATATAGGATATATTTTTTGATATTTTGATATTATGAATATTATCATGAAGTTTTTTTCCAAAAATATTTAATAATTTGAAAAGCTTTTCCAAAATATTCAATTGTGACCTATGTTTGTGCAGTTATTTAAATAGGCTAAATTAGAAGTCACTTAACATAGACATAAATAGGAAATAAGTTTTATTATGGGAAAAATGACATTGAAAACTGAAAATGTGCTTTAGCCATACAGTTCTCTTTTTCTCCATGTTTGTAAAACGTGAAATGCAGGATTGCAATCCTAATCAGTTATCAGAAACATGTCATTAATGTAGAATTCTCTATTATCAGTCCAGTCTGTTGCAAACAGGAAATAGAGCAACTTCGATTATCCACGTGTACCACACTGTGGACTATGATATTTACCAAGAAGATCGGGTCACGTAATCTCGCAGATGTCTCGTTGAAATTTAGAATTGGTTGAGCAATAGTAATAAAAGCAGGAGAGTGGGACTACGGCTGGCTCTCTAGTTTCCCTCATAGCTGTTCAGTGCTATATCTAAATGATTTAGAAAAATGCAATCTTTTTAATTTGTTCTTTAAGCTTGATTTCCCCCCTCCCCCTCCCCCCCAAAGATTCACACATAGAAAATTGTTTTTTTTCTGATATGCAGCAGTGTATAAAACCTGTTTTTATTTTATTCTGTTGCTCAAAATTAAGTGAATCCGAATTTCTGAGAGGAAAGGTAACATACCCTGTCAGGTTTAAATGTAAGAAACATAGTCTGCCCAATTTTCTAAAATACTTTCATTAGTCTCTTATATCTAAGATAGCCTTATGTCTATCCCACGCATGCTTAAACGCCTTCACTGTGTTAAAGGACCACTATATGCACCCAGACCTCTTCAGCTAGGGTTAACCCTTTTTTTATTTTTTTATTTATAAACATAGCACTTTTTGTTCTTTCACTCCCCTGTGTACCCATTTATGCTTCTTTTTCTCCCTGCCTCTAACAACCTCCCTATAGATATAATTTTCTTGATCCCTCCTTATAAAACTTATTTTACTGCTTCTCTTGACCCCTGTGTATCATATACACACGTGCTATAAAGGAACACTATAGTCAGCAATACAACTTTAGTTTAATTAAGCAATTTTAGTGTATAGATCATGGCTATGAAGTTTCACAGCTCAATTCTCTGCCATGTAGGAGTTAAATCACTATTGTTTCTGTTTATGAAGCCCTAGCCACACCTCCCCTCGCTGTGACATGGCCTGCATGAAAAAAAAATGGTTTCAGTCTGATATAACTTAATTTAAAAGTTTTTATCTCATGCTCTGTAAATTTAACTTTAATCACACATTGGAGGCTCATGCAAGGTCTTGCAAGCTATTAACAGAGCAGCAGATTAGAAATTCTAAATGTAAACAGAATGTTCAATATAAGAAGTGTAACCATTGGATGACTCTTACAGGAAGTGTTTAGGTAGAACGTGTGGGTCACATGCAGGGAGGTGTGGCTAAGACTACATAAAAAAGTAACTCCTAAATGACAGAGAATTGAGCTTTGAGACTACAGAGGCATGATTTATATACACCACAAATGCTTCATTAAACTAAAGTTGTTTTGGTGCCTATAGTGTACCTCTAATCTAAATTCCTCACTATTTTACCCTGCTTTCATTTTTTTTCTTCCATGTTCTGTGCAACAAGGTTAAATGGCTACTATTTAGTCAAAAATTGAGTTCCAGAAGTGGCATCTGTCATATTGATTTGTCATAACTGAGCTAGGTCAATATTCATTTACTTTATTTTACTATGTTTTATGTGTTTTTTACTATGTATTTATTTTTACTATGTCTTATGTGTGAAGAGGAAATGTGGAGCAAATGATGTTGCAGCAGGAATACTCTATTGACTTGCATAGTGACTTCTATGCTTAGGGAGTGCTCCTCAAATTGGTCTTCAAAAAGCAATCCAGTGACATTTATTCGCTAGACTATAATTGATAAGATAACAGCAACATTAAAGGACCACTATAGTGCCAGGAAAACATACTCGTTTTCCTGGCACTATAGTGCCCTGAGGGTGCCCCCACCCTCAGGGTCCCCCTCGCGCCCGGCTCTGGAAGGGGGAAAGGGGTAAAAACTTACCTTTCTCCAGCGCTGGGCGGGGAGCTCTCCTCCTCCGATCCTCCCACTCGGCTGAATGTTTTCCTATGGACGCTGGCATCTTCTCACTGTGATTTTCACAGTGAGAAGCACGCAAACGCCTCTAGCGGCTGTCAATGAGACAGCCACTAGAGGATTTGAGGGCTGGATTAACCCATTTATAAACATAGCAGTTTCTCTGAAATGTTTATTTAAAAAAAAAAAAAAAAAAAAAATGGGTTAACCCTAGCTGGACCTGGCACCCAGACCACTTCATTAAGCTGAAGTGGTCTGGGTGCCTAGAGTGGTCCTTTAAAGCAAGAATAGCTAGGTTAGAAAAATAGCTGAAATCAAATATTTTCTAAATTGGTTATATAGTGTTGAATGTTTAGTGAACATACCAAATGTTAGTTTTCCTAACATCATATCTGTATTCATAAAGAATGAACTTGCTTGACTTGGTACAAACTTCTTCTTTTTAGTGTAAACACAAACAATGCACTTTTTAGTCTCTCCATCGTGTTGCTTTACAAAGATCGGATAATATTGTCCTGACTGTTCTATGAAGTCTTGAGATACACTTTATAGTCAACCGGAAGGGTTTACAGTTCTTTTAGGATGTCTTTTTAGTTTCCAGATTTTTGTATAAAAATGTATGTGTATACACCATCAGGGCTATTCATTGAATTCAAAGTGGATTTCACATTCAAAGTTTAGTAGCTGTAACAGTCACCTGGGGACTTATGGAACAGTTTACAAGTAGATGGCACAGGAGGAGGCAAAGTCCAAAACACAATACAGATTAAGGGTAAATCCAAAGGCAGGGTCAGATGAGAAGCAGAAGTCAGGGCTGGCAGCGGAGTAACAAAGTCGGTAAATCAGGCACAGGTCAGAGTCCAGGAAATCAGTCCGTAGCGAAGCAGAGATCCGGCAGGAAACACCAAACCGGCAAAATGACCAGATACTAGGTTTCAGGCAGGGCTGGCTTTTACAGCCTGCTGATTAGGTGCAGCTGACCCTAATTGGAAAAGGGCTGCAGGTGGATCAGTGCTGCTTAATCCAGGGCAAGGTGGTCCGGAAGCAGAAAAATGCAAACAGAAACTGAAGGTAAATGGACTATTGCTGAACTTAAATTAAAGTAACATGAAGTCCCAAATTAACTTTTGCTTAATGAAGTTGTTTTGTTGTATAGTTCATGCTCCTTAAGTCTCACTGCCTTATTCGCTGCAAGTTAGGAGTCAGATCAATTTGTTGATGCAGACCTAGTCACACCTCCCCAGCTATGACTCACACTGACTCTCAGCCTACACACTTAATTTTTTTTTTTTTTTATTGCACAGTATGTTCAATTTAGAATTTATCTCCTGCTCTGTTAATAACCTGCAATAACATCCTGTTTGTGATTAAAGTTGTATTATTATTAAAGTGAAGTGGTCTGGGTGCAGTGGCCCTGTAGTTTTAGTCCTGCAATGTAAAAGATTGCAGTTTTGTAGAAACCCTGATGTTTACATTGCAGGGTTAAATAGAATGCTTTACTACTAGAAGCATTGGATTTGTGAGCGGCAGAATTAAAGGGTTACTCCAATTATCACAAACCCTTCTGCCTTCTACTATTTGCATCCTTACCTTGGCCCCAACAGGCTCTGATGTTCCCTGGTGGTTCAGTGACCTCCTGCAGTGCTGCAGAAGCCTCAGCCGTTGCCATTATTTGGCATCAACTGACCTCTCTCAACCACTCAGCCAACGACTGACATTCTGTGCAATGAAAGTTAGATGTAATACACACATTGTACGTAGTTTATTAATAATTTACAGATTTTTTTCTTTTATCTCACTCCCTGACATGTTATGTAACATCATGATGTCTCACATCTAACTAATTATGTAAATTAGCACGGCTGGTATTTTTTTTCCGAAAAATGTGGTAACTCTAGAAAATGTAAACTTACCTGAACCTAAGCATCCAGTAAAGTTCCCAGCGCTCCTCTCCATGACTCTTTCCGACTTTATCCCTATACTCGCACATTCCAATGAAATGTGCCTCATGGCAACATAGAAGTAATGTTTAGGTGAACTGATTTTACTGCTTAGACTGTGCCTTTAATATACGGAGTTGGAACTGAGGTAACAACATGAAACTAGGAAAAAAACAAGAGTTGGCTTGGATTTCTTTAAAAGTCTGTTAAAAACGTAAACTTTATTGAATATACTCCTTCACCATGTAATTCTCCATTTTGAAACATATCTGTCATTTAACCATCTTTTTATCTCTTTTAAGCTAAATGTCTATATCAAGCCTCATATTTCGATTTTATAAGCAAAATCTGCAGGGGTTTGCAAAAATGTAAATTCTTTTCTATTACCCCGTATAGTACGGAAATTAATTGGCACTTAAACGAGAGGTACTTTGCTTTCAACTGTGACCACATGTGATTTTTCTAATTAAAGTACAAATGTCATCACCAAGCCCCATTCTCTAAGTCTGTTGGTATAATTAATTTTTTTAATATAATCTTTATTTTCTCAGGAAACAAGAAATGTTTTCTAAAATATCATGGCCTTTGCATTAGGAAATCTGTAACATTTCTCAGATTTCCAAGTGTGTTGATTTTGGCATACAATAGCCTGGTTATAAGAAGCCGCAAAATAGGCGAGATATTAAAAAGAAAGAAAAGGCATATAATCAACAAGCATTGTAATGTCATTTTCAGCTTGCGTTCTGTGCTTTGAAAGAAAAGGTAACCCCAAATATTTGTATAGCTGACATGGGAATTATATATTAAAAGGTTACTCCAACCATCGTAACCACTACAACCCACTGTAGTGGTTTTGATGGTAGGAGTACCCCAGCACCATTCCCCACTAATGGGGCAAAAGGTTTTACAACGGTTTGTCCCTCTTACCTGGGTCTCCGCTGGGGTCTCTACTGCAGCAAGATTGAAACATCCTGCATATATAGAACTGAGGAAGCCGCATGCCGAACCTGCCAATCCTTCATTGGCTGAGAGCATCAGCTGATTGCTCTCAGCCAATGAATGACTCTCTAAGGAATGAACTATACACATTATTGATATTAGCCAATTTTAATTGTGACTGGAGTGACACTTTAAGTGCCAACATAACCATATGATATATATGTATTTTCTATTCATTTTGTTTACTAAGGAAATTATGACTCTTTGCTCATGTGACATAAGTGGATTTGAGGGTGTTTGACACAGTGATTCTTTTTAGAGTAACAAGGGGATACATCACCTTTTAGGGGTGAAGGGATATTTAGTATCTATTTTTATTATTTTAAATGACTCCCTAAATGTATTCAGAATGTTTAGACACAAAATTAATTTTTTATTTTTTTTTCAAACATAAAATGCTTTGTAGTTTCTGGTTCTCCCTTTCCGCCTGCAAGGAGGTGAGGAGTGGCACTCCCTTCTACCATTGGTATCATTAAGAAGATTATTGATTGATAATCTTGTTATTTCTCGGTCAATGCAAAAGCTGTAGATTTTCAGCAAACACTAGAAGTATTTCCTTTTTTTTTCTTTCTTTATTAATTCTGCATTCCTTTCTTCCTGCTAACAATATTATGGGCAGCCAGACTACTTAATCTCAATTAAATGGTCTCTGTGTAATGTGCCTGCCAACTTACCCTGCAATGTAAGAATTATCAATGTTTACATTGCAGAGTTTAAATGCTTCCAGTGGCTGTCACTGACCATCACTGGAGACTCTTCTGATTAAATAATGAATGAGTAAAACTCAGCAGTTCTATGAGACGGTCTCATAGAGACCATGTCTTTGGCACTGTGCAGCATATCGCTGTGCATGCACATTAGCCTCCCAGTGGGGGGGACTCCTAACTGCTAACCATGTACTGTAGCATTAAACATACCCAGCATACAACCCTGCAGGACTTGCCATAAGCAGAGCCTGGGCCCCATACAATATTGAATCAGCTACACCCAGGACTCCCAGCACACAACCCTGCAGGACTTGCCATAAGCAGAGCCTGGGCCCCATACAATATTGAATCAGCTACACCCAGGACTCCCAGCACACAACCCTGCAGGACTTGCCATAAGCAGAGCCTGGGCCCCATACAATATTGAATCAGCTACACCCAGGACTCCCAGCACACAACCCTGCAGGACTTGCCATAAGCAGAGGTAGCATTTACTGGATGATCATCTTGAATACCTGGACTTCTTATTTCTCCTACTTTTGTTATAAACTGTATTTCTTTCTTTATCCACCCCCCACAGTATTACTGCTTAATTGATGACTATTGCACCCTCCATCCTTTAACTCTTGTTTAGTTACATGTTTGTTTTGCTAGTGTTAGTTGTTGCACTCTATGCCTCATTAATTTATGATGTTCCCTATTTATGACTTTTACCTATCTTATCTCTGCCATTCCCTCATATCCTTAAATTTAAATTCCCTTTCATCTGTTTTTTCCTTGATTTTTGTTTTTAACACCCCAATGATTCTCCACCCACAATCTGCTTTATCTAACCCCAGATTCTCTCCTTTATAGCCTGGGCCCCATACAATATTGAATCAGCTACACCCAGGACTCCCAGCACACAACCCTGCAGGACTTGCCATAAGCAGAGGTAGCATTTCTGGATGATCGCTTCCCACCCACCCCACACCCCACCCTCCCCATGGTTATCACTACATTCATAGATAGTTCAAATTACCTACCATTCCTCTGAACCAATTATGTTAGCCTCTGTCCACCAAGCCCTCCACACCCAAAAAAAGCTATACTCACTCAATACCTCTTTAACCCTTAACCCTCCTAACCACAGCTCTTAAAAATACAGCACCTACTCTCCTACTAATGTTCTCACTTCTATTTTTTACTTTCTCTCTCACTTCCCTCATCATTAAAATCTCTCTATCATTTTACTTACCTGTTCCTGCTAACACCATCTTCATTGCTCCCTCTCTGCTCCCCTCATCTCAGTATTCATCACACGCACTTTATTCATATCTATCCAGCCTTTCTCCACAAACCCTCCTAAATACCCTAAATACAAGCTCTCATCCCCAACATTTAAATCTTACTCCCACCTTCTCTTCCTTTCCATCCTACTACTCCTAGCAGCAGGTGATGTCTCTCCAAACCCTGGTCCCTCCTCTTCTCAGCCACCTGGTACAAACACCAGAAACCACAACAACCTAATACCCATTCCATGTAATTCTCACTATAATTCCTCTTTTAAAGCTGCCCTCTGGAATGCACGCTCTGTGTGCAGCACCTTTAAATCTACTTCCATCCATGACCTATTTATCTCACACTCCCTAAACCTACTTGCACTAACAGAAACATGGCTCTCTCCCTCTGATACTGCTACACCTGCCTCACTGTCTTTTGGTGGTCTTCACTTTACCCACAACCCAAGACAAGCAGAGATTAAAGGTGGCGGTGTAGGTTTTCTTCTCTCACCCCACTGCACCTTTAAAACCCTGTCTACCCCCCCTTCCCTCTCTTTCCCATCATTTGAAATTCATTCAATTCGCCTTTTCAAACCCTTCTCTGCTAACATTGCCGTAATCTATCGTCCCCCTGGTTCCCCTCTCCTCTTCCTTGACCACTTTGCTGCCTGGCTACCCTACTTCCTCTCTTCCAACATCCCATCCCTAATTCTTGGAGACTTCAATATTCCCGTTAACCCACCTTTGACCCCAGCAGCCTCTAAACTACTTTCAATCACTTCCTCCCTTGGACTTTTGCAGTGGGCTAATTCTCCCACTCATGTAGCTGGCAATACCCTCGACCTTATTTTCTCTTATTCATGTACAATATCTAATATCTGCAACACCCCATTTCCTCTCTCTGATCACCACCTCTTATCATTTGCTCTCAATTACCCCCTCACCCAACAATCTCAGCCTAACCCCCCTCAGCTCAGGAGGAACCTTAACTCTATTGACCTCAAGCAGCTGTCAGCTGACATTGATTCACAACTGCTATCCATCCCTTCCCTCTCCTGTCCCTCACTGGCCATCTCCACATATAACTCTACCCTCACATCTGCCTTGAACGCTGCAGCCCCGCTCAAAACATGCACCTCGAGGAGAACATGACCCCAACCTTGGCATAATAAATCAACACGCTATCTGCAGAGTTGCTCCCGTTGTGCTGAACGCTCCTGGAGGAAGTCCCGCACCCAGGCAGACTTTCTCCATTATAGATTCATGTTGCTTTCATACAGCGCAGCCCTCGCCAAACAGTCATACTTTTCCTCTCTCATTAGTTCATGCTCCCGCAATCCCAGACGCCTCTTTGACACCTTTAATTCCCTTCTCCGCCCTGCTGTGGCCACCCCCCAAACTAACCTTACAGCTGATAGCTTTGCATGCTACTTTACCGACAAGATTGAACAGCTAAGGAAACAATTCTCCCCTCCTTGCCGTTCTCTTTCTCAACCACATGTAAATCTTGCTTTCCCTACCCTCCAGACTTTCTACCCGGCTACTGAACAAGAGGTGGCTGCGCTTCTCCATTCCTCTCGCCCCACCACTTGCCCGCTCGATCCTGTCCCATCTCACCTCATCAGATCTCTCTCCCCTTGTCTTGTGCCTACCCTAACACACATCTTTAACTGCTCTCTCTCTTCTGGCACTGTTCCTGCTGACCTTAAACATGCCACTGTAATACCTATCCTGAAAAAACATCTCTTGACCCATCCTCCCCTTCTAACTATCGTCCCATATCCCTGCTCCCTTTCTCATCAAAGCTTTTGGAAAGGCTTGTCTTTACCCGTGTGTCCCGCTTCCTTAATTCCAACTCTCTCCTTGACCCTCTTCAGTCTGGCTTCCGCCCTCTCCACTCTACTGAGATTGCTCTTATCAAAGTGACTAATGACCTAATCTCCGCTAAATCCAAAGGTCATTACTCCATATTAATTCTCCTTGACCTCTCTGCTGCCTTTGACACCGTTGATCATGCTCTCCTCCTTCAAACTCTTCAATCGCTCGGTCTCTGTGACTCTGTCCTCTCTTGGTTTTCCTCCTATCTCTCCCAACGCTCATTCAGTGTCTCCTTTTCCAAGGATACCTCCTCCCCTCGTCCTGTCTCGGTTGGAGTTCCCCAAGGGTCTGTCCTTGGTCCCCTTCTATTTTCTCTTTATACCGCCTCTCTTGGTAAACTGATTGCCTCTTTTGGATTCCACTACCACCTGTACGCTGATGACACTCAGATATACCTCTCCTCCCCGGACCTCTCCCCTGCTGTCCTGCAACGTGTCACTGCTTGCCTTTCTTCCATCTCTGACTGGATGTCTTCACGCTTTCTGAAACTTAACCTCTCTAAAACTGAACTCCTTGTCTTTCCTCCTCCTAATACTGATCCTCCTCTCTCGCTCTCCCTTCAAGTCAGTGATATCCACATAAGTCCATCCCTGCAAGCGCGCTGTCTTGGCGTCATACTTGACTCTGGTCTCACCTTCGAGTCTCACATCCAGTTTGTTGCCAAGTCCTGTAGGTTCCAACTCAAAAACATAGCCCGCATTCGCCCCTTTCTTACGCAAGATGCTACCAAGGAGCTTGTCCATGCTCTAGTAATTTCCCGCATGGATTACTGTAACCCTCTCCTGATTGGTCTCCCCAAAAGCCGTATTGCCCCGCTACAGTCTGTAATGAATGCTGCAGCTAGACTGATTTTCCTCTCTAGTCGGTCCTCTCACACCTCACCCCTCTGCCAGGTCCTTACATTGGCTCCCTGTATGCTATAGGAGTCAATTCAAAGTGCTAACCCATACATTTAAAGCACTGAACAGTTCTAGCCCCGCTTATATCTCTTCACTGATCCATAAATATGCCCCTCCACGTACCCTCCGCTCTGCCCGTGACCACCTCCTGACCGCTGCTCGCACCCGTACGGCCAACTCGCGCTTGCAGGACCTCTCGCGGGCGGCTCCTCTCCTATGGAATAGCTTGCCTACTGCCATCAGACTCTCCCCCAGTCTTCAATCATTTAAGAAGGGCCTTAAAACCCATCTCTTCAGGAAAGCTTATGGCCTCCCAGAGTAATCTCTACCTTACATACCTGTCTCCTGCTCTCTCCTATGGGACAGTGCTTTGCTCTCTCCTCCAGCTCTGCTTCACTCCTACTTGATATTTATTGTCCTAATGTTTCAAATACCCCACCTCCAGTAGTCTGTAAGCTCGTTTGAGCAGGGTCCTCTTCAACCTATTGTTCCTGTAAGTTTTCTTGTAATTGTCCTATTTATTGTTACACCCCCCCTCTCAAAATATTGTAAAGCGCTACGGAATCCGTTGGCGCTATATAAATGGCAATAATAATAATATTTGCATTCCTAAAGCTATAGTTTTTCTTTAAGTAGGCATGGGCAATATGTTGTAGCATAGTTGCTATAATGTGTATAAAAGATGATGAGAAATAATTTGATTTAATGGGTATGCATAGAGTCCATTTTTATTCATAATAGGAATTATGTACAAGTTTTTTTTGTTATGCGGAAAGATTTAATAAACTCAACTGAAGAAGAAAAAATATTTACAAGATAAAACTATATTAAAGGATATTTATTAGTCCTAATTGTTCTATCTAGGTTTTTAAGGTTTTGGGTTGGGTATAATAATTTTCCAATTTCCTTAAAGGATCACTTTAGGGTCAGGAACACAAACTTGTATTCCTGACCCTGTAGTGTTAAAACCACCATCTAGCCCCCCCTGGATCCCTCATGCCTCCATAAATATAGCACAATCTTACTGTATTCAAGCCTGAAGCTGTAACTTTGTATGCTGTTTGACTCAGAAAAACAAGCAGTCTGCTGGCATAAGAAGTGGTAGCCTCATCCAATCACAGTGCTTCCCCATAGGATTGGCTCAGACTGACAAGGAGGCAGATCAGGGGCAGAGCCAGCATGATTCAAACCCAGCCCTGGCCAATCAGCATCTCCTCATAGAGCTGAATTGAATAAATGAATCTCTATGAGGAAAGTTCAGTGTCTGCATGCAGAGGGAGGAGATACTGAATGTTTGGATGCATTTTAGGCAGCCATGACCCAGGAAGGATCTCTAACAGTCATATGAGGAGTGGCCAGTGAAGTTATCACTAGGCTGTAATGTAAACACTGCATTTTCTCTGAAAAGACCGTGTTTACAGCAAAAAGCCTGAAGAGAATGATTCCACTCACCAAAACAAATTCACTAAGCTGTAGTTGTTCTGGTGACTATAGTGTCCCTTTAATGCACTTCGCTTTGAAACACTGCACATGCCAAGAATGTAATTTACTGGCTGAGAGTGGTCCGCTAATGCTCTCTGCTAATGAATGAGTGGCAGAATCTGCACCCAGCTGCAACAGTTCTGCAGATCCTGCATCAATGAAGATCCTGCTCCTTTCAGGACCAGGTAAGGGGCAAACCGTTGTAAAACAGTTTGCCCTATTAGTATGTTATGGCGCCATGGTTCTCCTGCCGTCATAATCACTACCAAGGGCCTTTATGCACGTGATGTTCAAAGATTTTGCAATTGTTTTATTCACTGGCTTAATTTTCAGAATAACATAATTTCTACTTTAAAATGTTACTGTAACCCTTCTTAAACATTCATTTGATTGGACCTTTCACCAGCTCAGAACACATGCGTGCACTCTGGATCGGCCAGGGGAAGGAGGGAGTGGTTGGTGGTCAGGGAAATTAAATAAATAATGCTAATTGAAAAAGAAATGCGGGAATGGCTAAATAAATAAATAGTGCCTGCAAGGGTAGAAGCTAAGTACATCTGTCCCCATCGTCCCCACACATATGAGTGTTTCAAGCTGAAACGCTGCACATACAGACTCTTACCAGCATGACTACGTTATATTAGCAAAGTGGTCATGGTGGTTGTAGTAAACCTGTTCTTTCCCTCTCCACAAATGGGCATATTTTAATTGCTCTCCTTTTTTCCCTGAATACCTACTGCCATTGACCAGCTGCCTTTGCCTTTGACCAGCTGATTAACTAATTCATCTACCCTCAACCAAAGCCATTTTGTTTAGGCTTGGACATTTTTTTTTTTTTTTTTTTTAAACACTCAACCATAACCTGTGTAAAACAATCAGTCCCTTTCCTTTTATTGCATCCGATTCTGACATTCTGATCCAAAATAAAATTGCCAATGACATTATGAACTGCCGAACCCTTTTCTCTATTTTCCCATTATTACAACTTCAATATCCACATGCATGTCTGATATTAAGCTTTTCACAGTTTTAAAGTAATCTCTCCCTTTTTTTTCTTTCTTTTTTCTATACCTTTCCTACCTTTTTTAACTATTCTCTCTACTAATTCCCACCCAGGCACTTTAAAATCCTACAGTTATAAATTGTGAGAGATACTTAAAATCTCTATAGGGGAAATCAAAGTAGATTTATTTTTAGTGTAACATTTAGAAGACTGCTAGTGAACCTGGTTGCAAAAAAATAATGTCGGTTTAGAAAATATTTCCGTGCGGCTTAATTGGATTTATTTGTTCAATTTCTGACTGTAATGTCATTGTTATAATGTCAGTGACTATAATGTCATAATCCCATTGTGAGTTGTCAGTAATACAATGTTTGTATTGGGCAGACGTTAAGATAGATGCCAAGTTGCTTGGCACAGACTTTATTCTAATGTGACAGATTGTCTTGTGTAGGAGCAGTGTCCGGACTCTTGGTGATGAATTTGTACCCTCAATCATGGAATGATCGATACAGGTGCAACACTTCGTTTGCTCACAAGATATCTGTTCCCCGCTCTGTTGGGTTCAAACAAAACCTCAGCTAATTTAGTGATTTAACCTCTTTAGAACAACCTGTATAATATAATAAACATTGGCAACTTCACTGAAACCCAGCAAAAAATATGTTTATTAAAACACCGGTTCTTAAATTCTGCCTATGACAGTTTGAAGTTCAGTAGTTTGCAACATATTGAGCCGTTTTTAGTGAAGCTTTTAAAACCTCTGTTGTATTTTCTGAACAACAGGAACTAATATTCTCGATAGATTTGGTGATCATGCTTCCACCCTTTGCCATCATTATTTTGAATTAATCAAACAAATACAATTAAATGTAGGAATCGATACTGTTGTGTTTACCTGTAACTGAACACGTCAACATTGGCCACTTGTCATTCACAGGGTTATTTACAAAGATCCCAATTTCATGGAATTCAAAGTGATCTTCACATTTAAGACATAGTAGCCAAACTGGAAGATCAGAATGCTTCCAGTTTGGCTTCTTTTTCCTAAATTTGACAATCAATTTGAATTTCTGACAGTTTTTTAGTCAATAACCCTGCAGTTTTAAGGCCTGCCCTTTGAACTCACCAGTCTGCATAGAGAGAGAAGCAGAAACAAACAAGGGGGGTTGTTTATCAAAGTATTTAGAAAAGAGACACTAAAATATCATTATTTTTATGCAATTAAAGTGCTTATTGAAGTTCTTCCAATGCAACAACAGTCAACATTTATAGAAAAAGATAAAATAGTACATATTTCATCAGAACAAAAAAATTGTTTAGCCATAGGAGAGAAGAAAGAAAAGGAAAGGTGGTGATGGCATGATGCCAGTCAGTCAGAAGGCGACTTCCCATTTAGAGCAGTACCCCCATCCATGCAGCTAAAGCATGATGATATCCACATTTGGACCCAGAGAAGAAAACCTCTCCATCTAGGGAGACCATATTTTTTTTAAAAACGTGGTAAGAAGTTTCAAGAATAGCAGCAATTTATATTTTCATTCTATTCAGGTACCATATCTAGCATCTATCTGGGTCTGTGTAGACAGGGCCATCTTCCAGCACTTAACACTGGTATGGTGTAATAATATGGTGTCATGTGTTGTTGTTCACCTGATGTTGTATGTGCCTAATTTTTTTTAAATTTGTTTTTCGTCATTCTCTTTTTATTGTTGTTTCACGTAGCATGTACAGGACACCAAACAAATGCGATATACATTGAGGAAACAGAGAAATATGAAAAAAGGCATCATTCCCCTTACAGCGGTTGTGTGGCAATTTGTCCCTTTTCCTCCCTCCCCTTGCATCGGTCTTCCCGTCTGACCCTCGCCCTCCCACCCCCCTCCCCTATCCGTCCTACGCTTACAAGCTCTATGCTATCATTGCTTGCAGACTCAGTACCTACTATATTCGCCTGTCGAGTAGAGTTGTTTATTGTATAGGGGCATGAGACTGCCACTCGCCCATGTTATATGGACCCATTCTAGGGCTACAAACTTTCCTCTCGCCTTACATCCCGGGGTTTAGTTCGCCTTACTGTGAAGACTATAGGGCTCACTCAACACCCTATCGGAAACCGGTATAACCCCGTGGGACCCCTCACTTGGTATGGGTCTCGTCTAGGAGGCTGGTGTTGGTTTAGATACCCACATCTCCACCTCCAGTGGTGGTACCCTCGGGGCGGAGGGCTCCCGCCCGTGTTCCCGGCAGAAGTCATCCAGTGTCGACAAGTGCCTATATTGTTCTTCCCGTAGCATGTGGGAGGCTGTCGACCATATAGTCCTGTCGCCCTACTACCCTTTTTGTATTTATTGGTCAGGAGTGGTCTCAAGTTCTCTCTGTATGTGCCTAATTTTAAGACCTGCTAAGGAACATATAATTGTTATGTCCTGATATGTAAAACCATAGAATTCAAAGAGGGTGTACTTTTTTCCCCATGACTGTAAATCGAGATCTATAAAATAAGGACCATCTGTGATCTTACAGAGCCTCAGTTGAATGCTTAACGGCAAGGCTAGGATAGAGCACCTGAAGATTAGCACTAGGGTGCCAATAACATCAGACAGAGGGCCAGTCTGACCCATCGCTTATTTTAAGCACACCCATCTTTCTATGGTCAGGTAAATAAGTGACCACATCACAAACTGGGGGCCTCCCAGTTCCGCAAACAGATGCGAAACTGGGTGGCCCCCGATATCTTTAGGTAATTTAGTAAAGATTTCTAAAACTTGCCTCTTGTACCCTCCCATATAAATAAGAGTAAATGTACCCCTGAAGATATGCCAAATTGTCCTTTGTAAGATGTAGGAGGATGGAGTGAAAAAAATACAATATTCTAGGAGTAGCATAATATTTACTGCGTATAGCCAAAAATGGAATTCTTATAGTGAGACCACTGTTTGGGAAGGTGCTTCAGATGTGTAATCCTAAATCCGTAATTATTCTCCTACCTAGGGGTAATAGGGAAGTGGTAGCGTTTGACAGCCACATAAAGAACTAGCCTACATGAGGTGCACCTGGGTCTGTGATGGTGTCAGATTAAGCACCTTACATTTAGTATGGTTTATAAAGCTTAGGCGGGCCCCAAACTCTGTCAGTACAGTATAGAGATCGGGCAAGGGAATTGCTGGATTGGACAGTGAAAGAAGATTATCATCAGCAAATAAGTATTCCACTCCACACATTTTGCTATTATTTTTATATATTAATTTATCAATGATGACTTATTAAAGTGATCTAAAAAATGTTTCATAGTAAATTCCACATGATTCACATTTCAAAATGCTGCCAAATTTATAGTGGCAGGAAAAATATTCATATGGAATACTTTAAGGAACATAGAAAGTGTGCTATAGAAACAAAGCATATCATCGTTTTTGTTATTCCATTTGACACAAATAGATTGTGAATATGATAAAGTAAAACAATTTAATGTGGTGGAAGGAAGAGGGGCAAGAGCGTTAAAGGGACACTATAGGCATCCAGAAACGTATCTCAATTTAGTGGTCTGGGTGCCATGTCTCTGTCTGTTTAACCCCTCATCTGAAAACGTTGCCTTTATGTTGAAATTGCAGTGTTCACATTGCATGGTTAACATGCCTCTAGTGGCTGTCTTCCTTGACTTCCCACTCTCGTTACTATTTATGAAACTGCTAATTTTTGTGAATTAAATTCTGAGTGTCAAAACCGGCTGATTTAAAAAAAATTCTCCATCTGAACTCTAGTCACAGCTGGGTTATTTTACGCTATTTTAATTTCACTACTGTTTTGAGATTAGTAATTAAAGTCTAGCTGCTTTTTCTATTGATTTTTCCCTTTAATTTATATATATATCTATATATAGTATTAAACCATGATTCCCTATTGTGGACTACATACGTTGAATGTACATGTTTATTATATTTGCTTGCCATGGAGGTCAGGTAAAAGCACATCCTGTTACATTGTGGCGCCTGCTCTCCAAACTAAAGTGTACTCACCTGGGAGACTTCCAATAATCTGCAGCTGTTACTTTCCAGCAGGCCATAAGGGAGGTAAAGCCTCAGGCTGGGAATAGTAAACCCTCTAATTAAGAGACTCTGGGCACAGTCATCACAGATGAATTTGTTGAGGGTCCTTAAAGGTGTTTACAGACTGGCTAGATTGTGACATAGAATAGATTTAAGTCAAAGGCAAACTATCAGTTTAGTGAGTTGGATGCATTATTACACTCCAAATTTGAATCTCTGAATCTGCCGAATGTTTGTTTATTTTGTGATTCTGTTTTTGTTTTTTCTTTTCTCTTTTTCTTAAAGATTCGAAGCAGCCAGAGAAGACAAAATGGAAACACACAGAACAGGATCAGCGACCCCTGACACCTCCGCTTTATCAAAGCGCCCTGCAGTGAGGTGGCAGGTGACCTGGTTTAGAAAGATACACCTGTTCACATGTCTGAGTGTGCTGTGTGCCACCTGCACCCCCACAGGTGAACTTCGTACTGGGAAATAAAGTTTTACATTATATAATGCATGCAAAGTATGCTACTAACTGCCCAAGAAATATATACAATAACCACATCAGTATTGTCATAGACCAGACTGCCCCCACATGCAGGCCATGTGCACTTGATACAATGTAAGGTTAGATGTTTCTGTGAAGTGTATTATATTGCCTATTTAAAGGTTTAAGTAGTTTATAATCTGATTTATAAAAAAGTTTGTTCTTCTCTTAAAACCTAGAAGTGCACTGCCACATTTTCATATGAGATGGGTGCTGTTGTAACTAAGCTGGTCTTTATTACAACAATGATCTAATATATGACCTTGCTTAGCACTATAAACCTTTCTGCAACATCACAAAAAAAGCAGTTTCCTTCCATTTTCCCATGATGGGACAGCTTCGAACTAGAGAGCTTAAGGGAATGTCAGCATACTAAGAACGGAAGCAGTACGTGCAAACTATATGTGTCGTTAGCAGCCAATAAGCATCCCCGAGAAGTTTGCTATATTTCACTGTGCATTAAAAAGGAAACCATTTTCTAAGCTTCTTAGAGGTGTCGGATGCCCACTGTGCCCAAAGGAAGAAAAGGCTAACCAGAAATAGGCTATTTTTTATTTTAAAAAAAAAATACAAATAGCAATATTAACAGACAACGATGATATATAGTAAATTTATAATGACACAGACACTTTGAAGATGTAGATGTTACATTAAACAAAGCCATCTTGATATTCCTCCTACTTCTCAGTCCTTTGCAAACAGTGCATTGCAGAAGCTGGAACCATTTCAGAATGTATTGTGTGCCTGTAAGACAAAAACTACAAAGGCACATTTGTTTTAGCAACACAACTAATATGCTAAATCACTGAGATTTCAACAGGGTTTTGCTTTTCTTGTAGTCTGGTGCTTATTTTCAGCCACTTACATTGTTGCCGTCTCTTTTGTTAAAGCTGAGGGTTGCTAGTAATATTGCTAATCAATTTTAAATAACATATGTTGGATTCTCTCCCTATCACATAGAGGTCCGTTTTTGGAAACAGAATCCAATATTTTGTCATAGCTATGGTGTATTAGAGTTACAGTCTGTTGACTTTAGAGCTATGTCAGATTGTGTGACTTTTTCCACCTAACATTGTGAAGATGAGGGCACATAAAATGCAAATATATGTTGTAACAGAATTGGGAGAGGGGATTTGATTTAATATCTGTTTTAATTCTGTGAAAATATGCAATTTACTGTTTCAGTGTTGGTTCTGAAAATGGTAAATATACTTGTTATAAGATGCTCATAGATGCTGAAATTAATCCGTCCAATCAGTAAGAAATTATGAAAATGTTTGCAGCTGGGTGGTATTCAAACAACACTGATAACAGAGCCACAGTGTAATTACAGGAGGAGATAGTGCTGTTCTATGCTTTGGATAATCCAAAATTATGAATGGATGACTCTGCGCCATGAGCAATATGCCCTTGGGGCGTAAAGGCATGCATTCATAGTATTTAGTATTTATTTTTATGTTAAATCACAAATATAAATAAATTTATATAGAAAGAATTTCAGATTTAAGGTGAACATTGTGTCCCTAACAATTTCAATGGAATTCTGTTTTATTTGTCCCTGGCGCCGACATTCCTTTAGGGGTTACACCGTTTGCAAATGGTTTAACCACAATGTCTTCTTTTCAGTGCCGCTGCCCTTATGTTTCTGTGCAAACAGGATGCCTCAAAATGACACTCTAAGCAAATTAGTAGCTCCCCATTCATAAAAACGACTTGAGAAAAAGACTTTGGGGGTTCAACATTTTGTGAGCGATTTAACCCCTAAAGATACCTCCTAGCACCATAACTTTATTCTGATGAATAATACCCCGGGTCATGAAAAACATACCATAACCGGCTAATAATGCGAGTGCCTATTTGTGTTGTTACAATTCTGCTGTTCTTGAACACATGCTATACATTCTATACGTGAGTTTTATGTAAGCTTATGTAAAAAATGTTTTTTCACGGAATATATACTATTTGGTTTTAGCCATCTTTACTAAAGCATCTCTTCCAAATGGTACTTCACCTATTCCGATTTATTTGCCCATTTTATGGGAATTCATGTTCCTCACTGTTTTTTGTATAGTTTTGATGTGACATTACTATCGGTGGATTAATGCATTGGTAAGTCTTATTAGAACCCATAATACACCAATGATTTAGTCCCCAAAGAATAAAACCGAATGGCAAGTCATCCACATGCACTATCCACATCTTTATTTATTTATTTATTTATTTTTACATAGGCTCAACTTCTAAGGAATGTGGTCATCTCGATGCACATTCAAATCCAGTGATTTAGGATAAAATGTAATGCTTTATAAATTTTCTCAGGGTGGTAGAAAAATAAGTAGAGGAATTTTGTGTTAAATGTCACACAGCTTGACCTAAATCTCTTTATTTGGAGTTTTTGGAGAACTGAAAATTTTGCATGGAGCAGTAAGCTTTTGCCCTCCAGAGAGATTGTGCATCTTTCATGCCTTTCGTTGTCTAGCCTGTGCATTCTGTGAGTGAACGGGTTAATTACCTCCTGCCAGTGAGCAGTGAGGGCTTTCAGAGCTCCAGACTTGCACACATTCCCTGTCATCTCGCATCACCATCTCTGGCATATGAAGTGTAATCAGGTCACAGCCGCCCTGGGGTGGGGGGAAAAGCATTAGAGCCTCATGACAGCCCAGTCCGTAGACTTTGATTTGCTATGACAGAAGGTTGGTGCCCAGTAAAGAGCCTCCGCTGTCAAAATCACATCCTGCTGGGTTATCATAAACATTGGTTGACTAACGTTGTGGAGTACAGCCCACGGAATGCCAATTCAGGGCCCTACACAGTGCTGCCTCCTCTGATTTTACAACTCTGTGCCTTTGAGTCATAACAGGAACTTAGCCCCTAGTTTGAACTACTCCACAAAGGAATGTTATCATTTAACCAAGGATTGCATCTGTGGGTTGTATAGTGCTGCTTTCAGTCCATACACTAATAAAATCATATTTTCAATCACTAATTTTCACCCTCTATTCAGGCCTGATATGTATGGCCATTTTGGAGATTACCTACAGAATTACTGCTGATGACACCCTTTTCATATATTTTTTATATCTCATGATATAGGAATGATATACATTTCACTGTGCTGATGTGATAAATAATTAAGAAGTATGGTTTCTCCTACGAACACCTTTCTCAGATTGTCAATTCACAGCAGTTTTAGCAAGTGTCATCTCTCTTTATAGTATACTATTACATGAACAATAATTCATATGTTTCTCCACTTGGTCAGGAGACAAACGTGAGATGGAGACTGGAGCGTTAACCCAGTGTCATAATCAGGGCAGAAAAATAGGACATTGTCAAGATAAAAGGCTTTACGTGTCTATAATAAACTAATTTATTCTAATACAACTTTTTTTTTATTTTGCTTGTGGTAAGTATTCTTAAACAAAGCATTTGTATGTTCAATCCATATTGTTTGTCAACTGCTAGAGTGTGGCTGAGTATCATAGGAAATGTAATTTACAAACATCGACTAAACCTCAGCTAGCATCACTGAATTATTGTATTTATCCCCCACCACCCATAGGAAATGGTACTATTTTCAGGTTCATCTTGGGTATTCGGGTAATACGTTGCAATATCCAGCTGGTCAACCAATGCCCATGTTTACTAAGCCAATTTCAAGGTTTGAATAAATATCCCATGTTGCAGATGTCTTGTGACATTGGCATGAATGCCAAATGCTTTTGATGGTTTCTTAAGACGTTGTATTACATTTTTTTACTTTTTATTTTCTGCTTCTTTTTTTTAGATGCCAGTCGAAGCAGTTCTGTATGCCAGACAGGTAGAATACAGTTTGGGCTTGGCTTGAGGACTAGTAATGAAGCTTCTCAACTGCATTTTCTTGAAGATCACCAAAGTTTGCACTCTTGCCATACACTGTGCTGCCAGAGCCACTCTTGCAATGTCTTTTGGTTGCAGGGGGGCACCTGTATCCTGTCTGACTGTTTGACACATGGATGTGTTACAACCCATGTGGATTCAGGAAATTCTGTGCTTGTTTTCTTGCACAAGGACACAATCTCAAGAGGCAAGTCACCTCCTCATGGGCAAACATTTAAAGTTTCACAGAAGGATAGAAAGATACGGACTCCAGTAGAAACAGTGGTGTCCAACAATGGGCCAAAGTATGATAGAACTCTTGACAGAGTAAGAAGGCATTTGGCAAAAGGAGAGCGAAGGAAACGTGGTTTAACAGACCCACAAAATCCAGTGTCAACCAGCATGAGTGAAGAGGGTCCTTCTTCAAAAAGAGCGAGCCAGGAAAAGATAAAGGGTTCAACGGAGGTGAGCATTGTTTCTTAATTGTATTGTTTTTTTTTTTTTTTTTTAAGGGAAACTAAGCACCAAAACCACTTGTGTTTAATTAAGTGGTTTTGTTGCTGGGAGCCTGTCCCTTTTGAGTGACAATGTTTAAAGGGCAGCTAAAGGCGCCCAGACCAGTTGATCTCAGTAGAAGTAAACTTTGCAGGTTTAAATCCACCTCTAGTGGCTGTCTTCCCAACATCAAGTAAAGGTTCTTCCTCCTCCTGAACTAAATGAAACTCAGTCATGGAATAAAATTTTGCTGATAGCTGATTTAGTCCACTATGTGTGGCCGTGCATGCTTAATTCTAATGCATTGTTTCTTGATTTTGGTTATTGTTTACTGTGTCAGTTTCTAATGCTGTGCAGACCAGTTAATTCTTGTTGCTTAACAAACCACAGAGTTAATTTTCACGTTCCTAAAGTTTTGGCTAGGTCTCTGATTAATTTACCCTGAGTTTGCAAACTCATGGTATCCTAAGGAACTGTCATCTGTACTTCTTCTTACTAATCTGATGACAGCAGGGCCTGTGTGCAGCTGTCACACCTAAAATCGACAAATAGATCTTTTTTTTTTTTTAGCTCCATTGTGCATAAACTAATGAGGAAACACTTGGCTAAAAAGTGGGAAATGCCTTTTACTCTCCTAAAATGAAGGTGCTAAGTATAAAAGCAGTAATAATTCTTGCATTATTCATGGCTCATTCTTTTAAATGCTCTCAACAGAACTTTATCCTCTTAGTCATTCTTTAGCTTCAAAGCCAGTGCGTTTAAATAACTTTTATCTTTGGAAATATTGCACTCTTAGGAGTTAAACCTAAAGATTGGTTTCAAGCGTTTTAATGAACTTTTACTGCAAAGCTGTCAGACTTGTTCCACAAATACCTTTCACGGTTGAGATTTAATTTTGTTTATTTAACCAATGTTAATCTATTTTGGATGTGATACACTGGTTTGTAGAACATATATATGGGGGAAAAAAATAGTTGTTCACTGTAGCTAAATTGTTACTGTATTAAAACCCCCAAAAAAGACATATTTTTTTCACCCTCTTCCTTTTTTAACTGCAAACTATCCACTTAATATTCCTTCCTTTTTGTCTATCCCCTCCATTCCTTCATGCATCACAGCTTCACATTCATGTTTTTGCTGCTACATTATTCCTTGTCTCCTTTTTTTGACACCTTTTGTAATAAAACATTCCTTCCTTCCCTAAATAAACTCATGTCACCTTCTTTTAATTTCCCTGTCTGTCTCCAAATCCACCTGTCTTTCCTTCCATACCAGATCTTTCTTTAGGACACTATAGTCACCAGAACAACTACAGCTTAAAGGACCACTATAGTACCAGGAAAACATACTCATTTTCCTGGCACTATAGTGCCGTGAGGGTGCCCCCTCCCGCCAGGCTGGATGGAGAGGAGGGGATTAAACTTACCTCTTTCTCCAGCGCCGGGCGGGGAGCTCTCCTTCTCCTCTCCTCCCTCTTCTCCTCCTCTTCGGCTGAATGCGCATGCGCGGCAGGAGCCGCGTGCGCATTCAGCCAGTCCATAGGAAAGCATTCACAATGCTTTCCTATGGACGCTGGCGTCTTCTCACTGTGATTTTCACAGTGAGAAACGCGGAAGCCCTCTAGCGGCTGTCAATGAGACCGCCACTAGAGGCTGGATTAACCCTAACATAAACATAGCAGTTTCTCTGAAACTGCTATGTTTATAGAAAAAAGGCTTAACCCTAGATGGACCAGGCACCCAGACCACCTCATTAAGCTGAAGTGATCTGGGTGCCTATAGTGGTCCTTTAATGTTGTTGTTTCGGTGTGTGTATAGTACGATATGTCCCTGCGGGAATTTTAATGTAAATACAGTCTTTTCAGTCACTCAGACGGCCACTAGAAGAGCTTCCTGAGTTGTGCAGCACTGACGTTCAGTGTCGCCACGCTGTGCATGGTGGCGCTGAACGTTTCTCATAGAGATGCATCTCTGAGTAGATGCTGTTTGGTGCATCGCTGTGTTTTGTCGTGCATGCACAATAGCCTCCCAATGTTTTTCTATGGCAAAGCATTGGATAGGGTAAGATTTTGAAATGTGATGATCTAGGCAGGAGTCAGCCATGAGGAGACCTGCACGGTGCTGGAAAAAGGGAAGTAATCTCAGCTTTTTCACGGGGGAGCATTTGTATTTCTGAGACAATGGTGTTCCTTTAACTCTCCTCCTATCCCACCCTCACGGTTGCACCCAATTCAATTTCAGTGTTCACACTCTCTCTAGCGAAAGGTTACTTGATCATGATGCCATGGGGATGTGTTTTGCTGAACATGTTTAATTGGGCCTCCAGGATTGATGGCTATTGCGTAGGCTCACACAGAGTGCGACTTATAGATACATGTGAATAATAACCGTATATATTGTCTCACTAAACAGGGTGCATTGGAATGTCTTTGCAGTATTACCATGCATCATAATAGAAATTATTTTTCTCTATGTTCAATAAGATGGCACATAATTGTACTGAAAATTAAATTTTTATAGCAACTTTTAGTATTTCAATAGCGTTACCCAAAGTGTAAATAGTGTGCTGTTTTTATGTAATGTGCTCTCCTGCCAGTTTGTGTCAATACATAACAATGATTTTATTTGAAGAGGTCATTGTGAGGATGTGTTTGTGACATTTTATTGATTTTCTCTCAGCAGCAGATATGTATGGCTAGCTTTTGATTAACCATTTTTTCTGACTCTAACATTTAGCCTTTTTATTAAATTGTAGTTTATCAAAGAACTGTCACTTAACAAGAAGTGACCATTCCTTCTTCCTTAAAGGACTACCATAGTGCCAGGAAAACATACTCGTTTTCCTGGCACTATAGTGCCCTAAGGGTGCCCCCACCTTCAGGGCCCCCCTCCCGCCGGGCTCTAGGGAGAGGAAGGGGTTAAACTTACCTCTTCCTCCAGCGCCGGGTGGGGAACTCTCCTCCTCTCCTCCTCCAAAGCGACGTCATCGGCTGAATGCGCATGCGCGGCAGGAGCTGCGCGCGCATTCAGCCAGTCCATAGGAAAGCATTGAAAATCACAGTGAGAAGCGCGGAAGCGCCTCTAGCAGCTGTCAATGAGACAGCCACTAAAGGCTGGATTAACCCATTTATAAACATAGCAGTTTCTCTGAAACTGCTATGTTTATAGAAGAAAGGGTTAATCCTAGCTGGACCCGGCACCCAGACCACTTCATTAAGCTGAAGTGGTCTGGGTGCCTATAGTGGTCCTTTAAACCCAGTAAGAGCTATTTCAGGATTTACTGGAGTTTATAAAGTAGCAGAGTTAAAAGCAAACAAATAAAAACACACCTTGATCAGCCACAACATTAAAACCACCTGCCTAATATCATATAGGGACCCTGGCGCTGTCAATACAGTTCTAATGGGTTGAGGCATGGACTCAACAAGACCTCTGAACGTGTGGGTTAACTAATCGTTTAAGTTCTTGCTAATGTAATGGCCAAATGTTATGACTGTAAAAACCTTGTCTGACTGGTTACACAGCCAAGCTCCCCTTTAATTGTTTTCGATGAAGCATGACATTAAAAATGTATATCTCTGGCCCTTTACTTTCCGATCCTATGGCTCTGTAGTTTGTTCTGATAAACCCTGGGGTGGAATTCTATTTGCTTTCTGTTTGAAATGGAAGAATTTGTTTCTTTGCCGACAGGATTCTCAAAGGCTGTGAAATGTGTGTTGTGTATTTTTCTTTTTCTCTGTTCCCTAAAGGGATGCTCGTGACACCCTTTTTAAATGCATTGTTGCAATTTGGAAATTATGCTTTAAACAAGTTTTTTTTAACATTGAATTTTCATCTTTCTAATTAAAAGCCTGGTGTCCCAAGTGTTTTAAGTTAGTTTCTAACACAGTCACAACCACGTAAGCCTTTGCTGTTACAGCATAAATTTGATAAAAACTATTTTGCAACCTACTTGCCAAGTAGCTTATTGTGGATGCCATATTTGTAGTGTACATTTTTTGAAAGGTTAATTTTTTTAAAGCTTCTTTTATATCAGCAGCTGGGACAGATGCTTAAAAGGTTGAACTTAATTGACTGGGCCTATGAGAGTATTACAAAGTATGCTAACCGCTCCTAAAACCATTAAATATATTATTTATCTTTATGATGAATTATGTAGTTTTTGCTTTTGGAACTTTTCTATTAATAGTTTAACCTAGTATGAGTTTATTGAGTAATACTGTGCTTTATACACCTGAATGTGTAGTCTTAATAAAAATAGAATATAATTTTTTTTGCTCCTTTCAAGGTGGTTTGTTTTCTGTGCTGGTCACAGAAGAATTTTGCAGTCCAGTAGCAAAATATATTCGTTTCAGTCCCCTTCACACTAGGTAGCTGTGTGTAGGCTCATCTGCTTATAACACATTGGGATTGTAGAGCTCCACTGGTTTAAAGCACTGGATTATCACCTGTCATTTTATAAACAGGATGTGAGGCTGAGCCAACAGACTCAGTGCAATAAACTGAAACCAGTCACTGTCACATGACTGTGTCAGCATGCTAGCATTTTAACCCTGACCCTGCCGCAAACCATACATGACTGTTTTAACGAATGCTTAATGATGTAGATAGAGAGACACATAAATTCATAAATACTGATTCCTGAAAAGCAAGATCTGAGCAGTGCAAGAAACAGAGTTGATTTCATGTAGACTGAAACAAGGATAGGGCACGTAGTTGTGACAAGTTTGTCAACATATCTTTACATTTCAAGTTTCCATGCAGTAATACCTGTCTGATTTCCATCTTGTATATTATTAGTTTTCAATATTGGTAGTATTTGAAGAATAATGAAGATCCAATTCCATAAAATGAATTAGCACCACATAATAAAAATAAAATCATCAAGACGAATAAACTAATAAAAATGTGGAATTATTATTATTATTATTATTATTTCTATAGCGCCATCACATTCCGTAGCGCTGTACAATGGGTGGACTAACAGACATGTAATTGTAATCGGACAATTGGATGTACAGGAACAGAGGGGTCAATGAATTTACATGCTAGAGGGAGTGGGGTATAGTGACACAAAGGGTAAAAGTAGGGGTATGAAGTAGATTGCTAGAAAAGTATTCAGTGAGGGCTTAGTAGGTTATTTTTGACCGTTGCAGGAGAGCAGTCATGGGGAATGGGGGATAAAAACCTGCTAACCGTTTAATTGGTATGCTTTCTTGAAGAAGTGAGTTTTCAAAGATTTTTTTTTGAAAGAGTAGAGACTGGGTGAAAGTCTTATGGAGACGGGAAGGGAGTTCCACAGAATAGGTGCAGCCCTGGAGAAATCTTGGAGGCGAGCATTAGAGGTGGGCATACGGACAGAGGATAGACGTAGGTCTTTGGCAGAGCGTAGGGGCCTCTATGGGACATACTTGTGTATCAGGGAGGATAGGTAGGTTGGAGCAGCATTATGTAGGGACTTCTAAGCAAGCACCAGTGTGGCAAACCTAGCCACTTGGACATTATTTAATACATCTGTACTGTCCCTTTAAGGGTTGCCGGTATGGGGTTCCTATTGTGTGTTCCAGCATGTATTGTAATGTAATGTTAATGATGTATTGCCTGCCTGGGCTATCTGCCGAACGCAGATAGCTGATTCCCCTTCGTTTCACGAATGGCACCTTTGCGGGCCGTTCGGGAACCGAACGAGATACCCTTTAATAGCCCACACACTTAGAGGCATGTGGCGCCTATTAACCGATTGCAACAATGTTGCAATCGGTAATTAGAGGCTCTCCTGGGTGGCCGCCGTTCGACTACCGACCATGCGGCGGTCGGCCATCTTGGATCCTTTGTTCCCTCAGCGGTGTTTGGTCGTCGAGCGCGTGGTACTAAAAACGGCTACTCGACGGCGCGAACACCGCTGAACCTCCAGACCGTTCGGGAGGTCCAGTACATTCGGTATTTTATTCCCTTATCTGTAATCGGTGTTTTCAGGCTATGTGTTAGTGAATGTGTTTTTCGTGCGGCGTTCGGTTGTTTTAGCTGGGATCTGAGCGGTAATCTCACGAATGATGCGCTCAGACCCCAGCTATCTACCGAACGTCCATTCGTTTAAATAACCCAGATATTCGTGAAGTTATTGAATTTAATATGAATTGTGAGTTCTGCTGCACGGAGGGATAATCCACTTAACGGTATATTCCAGTGGGAGGATCCCTCTCGTGCAGCAGTGCCTGATGGGAGAAATGTCCTGTATTGTAAGTCCCCCATGTAGTCCCCTCTGGGAATGCCCCTGGGAGGGGACTCAGGAAACCCCTTTCATGGGGACTTGTATAAATTGTGGAGCTGAATTAAAAGACCTCGGTTGACTCCCAGCCTATGTGTCGTCTAGTTCTTGGGAAGGAAGGGTTACTGCAGTGCTGTTTGGATTATTGTATGCTGATTCCCTGGATTATCCATTGTTGTTCCTGTTACCCAGCGGAGATATCGTGGATTATACTGCCTCTCCACTGCAACCAGAATTTGAAATTGAGCCCAATATCTAACTGGAAGCCAATGCAGGGACTGACAGAGCGGGGAGGTGTGGGAGGTGCGAGCGGACAGGAAAATGAGCCTCACAGCGGTACAATCTGGGAACACTTGTGACTTGACTATATGGAATTATATATACTGATAATGCAAATTGCAACATGCTTATGTACTCAAATTTATATGCAGTCTGTTAATGGAATCCTCTAACTTTAATAATACATTTATGTAATTTAGATGACTGGGTCCTCAATATTTTATTTTTCCAGACTTATCATATAGAAAGAAGTATGACCTAAAAACTAATGTCTAAAATAATCTATTTTTTTTTCTTTCTTTTTTTTGCCTTTAACATCAACAGGATAAAGATGTATTTTAAAAGTTGAAATTAATGGACTTGGAGTCTGTCTAGTAGAAGGTATAGTTTAGACCCTCTCTAAATGAAGACTCCAACACTAAATTAAATATATGTATTTCTATAGTATGAATATTTCTTTTTTGGTGTAGATTTACAGTTTTTGCAAGGATTTATCCAATTGCTGTTTAAACATCTGTATGGACTCGGATAACACAACCGCTCCAGGATGAAAATTCCACATCCTTATTGTTCTTACTGTAAAAAAACCACTTTCCTTTGCCTTTAGACCAGAGCTCGATGAAAACCCAGAAGCCAGGTCACCATGGAGACTAAAAATTCCGCCCTGGTGTCTGGGATGTCAGCCCTTTAATTAAGGCGGCCACCCGAGGGAGCATTAAAGAGATCCTATAGTGCCAGGAAAACAAACCGGTTTTCCTGACACCATAGGGTTAGTAGCTCGTCCCCACCCCCCTCGCTGGGCTGAAGGGGTTAAAACCCCTTTAGCCACTTACCTTAATCCAGCGCTGGGCTTCCTCGGCGCTGGTGACCTCTTCTCCCCGCTGACCTCTTCTCCTCTCGAGTGGAGCGGCATGCGTCGCCAGAGGTGCACGCGCATTCCAATCTGCCCAGTTTTTACGCAGAGAGGAGCTGCGTGAAGATTACTGCTCCCTCACATGCAGAGAGCAGCCCCACTGGACCCAAGGGAAAAATGCACCCTGCTCTCCCAAAGGTAGTGAGACTGGGTGGATTTCAGTTAAAATAAAAATGACAGTTTGTGTGTGTGCGCGCATGCGTGCCCCTGTCAGAGAGTGTGTGCGTGTTTTTACTCCCCTTTTATCCCACGCCATGCCAATTTCGCTGTGGCTGGTCCTGCCTTCATTGCTGAGATTATCTATCTTTATGATCTCAGCTAGGCCAATACTTTCCTACAGGAAAGCGTTGGGAGGATATTTTGCATGCGCAATGAAACTGTGCCAATCCGCATCTCTTCATAGACATTTTGAATCCGTGATCTCTATGGGGAACATTCAATGCTTCTATGCAGAACGTGGAGATGCTGAATGTAGGTGCTGCACACAGTGTTTACATTGAAAGGTCTGCAGGTACAGGTTATAGACACCAGAATAACTACATTAAACTGTAGTGGTTCTGGTGTCAATAGTGTCCCTTAAGAATTGCAATTTTCTTGTTTTAAAACTAAACATAAAATAAATTTTTAATAAACTGTCACCTTGCTTTTTTAGCTGGCTCCTAGATTCCAAACAAATTTGTCAAGCCCTGCCTTAAATTAACCCCTTCCCGACCGTGGACGGAAATTTTCCGTCAACCTTGTCCTTCAGTTAAGGACCGTTGACGGAAAATTTCCGTCATTTTCTTAAGTTAACCCCAGATCGCCGCGATCGCGGCAATCGCGGGGTTAACGGTGCTCCGGTCTGCCTCTGCATTAGAGGCAGACCGGGAGCACCCGATCGGGCTGCCCCAGCACCGGTGCTCGCTCTGACAGCATGTCAGAGCGAGCACATGTGCTCCACATACTCACCTTCCGCCTCCCTGCACTTCCGGGTTCTGTGTGAAGTGCAGGGAGACGGATCAGTGCTGATCTGCTTCCCTGTGTAAAAAAAAAAAAATTAAAGTTAAATCCCACCCCCCCTGCCCCTGTTTTAATAAAATTAACCCCTTCCCTGCCAATTGATCACTGACTACAGTGATCAATTGGCAGGGTATACATTTTAATGTCATCTGATTTTTTTTTTTTAACCCCTGAGGGTTAATTATTTTTTTTTTAACCCTCAGGGGTTAAATTTATTTTATTAATTAATTTAAATATTAAAAAATTATATATTTAGCTAGCTGGGATGGGTGGAAGTTAGTGGGGAATTGGGGAATTTTTTGTTAGGCTAACTAGGGGTTAACGTTAAAAAAAGTTTTAAAATAAGCTTTAAAAAGGTAAAAAAAAATTTTTTTTTAAATGTTTTAGTAACGTTTAAGTAAAAAAAAAAAAAAATACCACCCCCTTTACCCAGTGTAAATAAAAATTAACCCCTTCCCTGCCAGCTGATCACTGCCTACAGTGATCAAAATACAGATCACAGTATTATACTGTGATCTAATTTTTTTAACCCCTGAGGATTAATTTTTATTTATTTTTTTTAACCCTCAGGGGTTCCATTTAATTAATTAATTTAAATATTTTATAATTAAATATTTTGCTAGCTGGGGTGGGTGGGAGTTATGGGAAAATGGGGAATTTACGGTTAGTGCTGCTTACTGCTAGTTAGGGGTTAACGGTAAAAGAAAAGTTTAGAAAAAAAATTAAAAGTGTAAAAAAAGTTAAGATAGTGTAAAACATTTAATAAGTAAAAAAAAAAGTTTAAAAATGGGTTTTACAAAGTAAAAAAGTTTTACAAAGTAAAAAAATACATTTAAAAATGCTCATTACCACTACACTTGGTACAAGCTAGCGGAAATATTATCCCACGCTAAGGTTCAAAATATGCCTTTTGAATTACCCTGGGATGTCTTCTTTAAGAAATGATATGCCTTTATGGTGTAATTGGATGATATAGCCTTGTAAAATACTCTAAAATGGGACATGGACACAGCGTAAAAATTCAAAGTTTGGAAAAAACTGGAATGGCTGTGTCTCAAATGTGCCCCTTCAATGTCCACATATACCTGGCAAAGGTACATACGGGGGTATTGCTGTACTCAGCGACATAGCTGAACAACATATGAAGTAGTATACAGTCGTAGTACACATAAGGTTTGCAAAATATACTGCGCAAACTCACTTTGTGTGTCAAAAAGGCAGAAAAAATGCTTATTACCACTACACTTGGTACAAGCTAGCGGAAAAATTATCCCACGCTAAGGTTCAAAATAGGCCTTTTGAATTACCCCGGGATGTCTTCTTTAAGAAATGGTATGCCTTTATGGTGTAATTGGATTATATAGCCTTTTAAAATACTCTAAAATGGGACATGGACACAGCGTAAAAATTCAAAGTTTAAAAAAAATGGAATGGCTGTGTCTCAAATGTGCCCCTTCAATGTCCACATAAACCTGGCAAAGGTACATACGGGGGTATTGATGTACTCAGCCGACATAGCTGAGCAACATATGAAGTAGTATACAGTCGTAGTACACATAAGGTTTGCAAAATATACTGCGCAAACTCACTTTGTGTGTCAAAAAGGCAGAAAAAATGCTTATTACCACTACACTTGGTACAAGCTAGCGGAAAAATTATCCCACGCTAAGGTTCAAAATATGCCTTTTGAATTACCCCGGGATGTCTTCTTTAAGAAATGGTATGGCTTTATGGGGTATTTGGATTATATAGCCTGGTAAAATACTCTAAAATGGGACATGGGAACAGTGTAAAAATTTAAAGTTTGAAATGAACTGGAATGGCTGTGTCCCAAATGTGCCCCTCCGATGTCCACATATACCTGGCAAAGGTACATACGGGGGTATTGATGTACTCAGCCGACATAGCTGAGCAACATATGAAGTATTATACAGTCGTAGCACACATAAGATTTGCAAAATGTACTGCGCAAATTTACTTTGTGTGTCAAAAAGGCAAAAAAACGCTTATTACCATTACACTTGGTACAAGCTAGCGGAAAAATTATCCCACGCTAAGGTTCAAAATATGCCTTTTGAAATACCCTGGGATGTGTTCTTTAAGAAATGGTATGCCTTTATGGTGTAGTTGTAATATGTAGCCTGCTCAAGTGCTCCAAAGTGGGCACGGACGCATCAAAACCCTCCATGAAAATTCACACTTAAAAACCTTAACTTGTTACGTCTCTTTTATAGCAGTGTAACTTCACAAAATAGTGTCTAGGTCATACATTGGGCATATTGTTTTACTCAGAAGACTTAGCTGAGCATAATTTGGGGGGTTTGAACTTAGTGGCACATATGAAATGTACAAAATGCCCAGCAAAAATGTAATCCGTATGTAAAAAATGCCCAAAATTATTTTTTACCACATACTTTGGCATATATTGGTGAAAAAATGGGGGCATGTTAAGGCACAATATGCACCATATGAGATACCCTGGAGTGTCTACTTTTATAAATGGTAGGCCTTTGTGGGTTTTTTTTGAACAGTCAAACTGCTATAATACCCCAAATTGAAGCATAGGCCCATTAAATCCGCCTCTCAAAATTCTACTGTAAATGTTGAAACGGACAGGTCTCCTATATGGCACTGTAGCTTCACGAAATAGTGCCAAAGACATACAATGGGGGTATCGTTGTACTCAGCAGAAGTAACTGAACACAAAATAAAACTTTGTACAGGAATAGCACACACCAACTTTACAAAATATACATGGGAAGTTCTTTGTTATAAGTTTGTGTGCCAAAAACTCCAAAAAACTAAATTTTACTCCAATATTTAGCAGAGATTGGCGGTGAAATGGCTACTTAGAAAGTGTCAAAAAAACCTTAGGACAATAGCCTGTGATGTCTACTTTATATAAATATATACTTTTGTGTGGCAATTTTGTTTTCTTTTATGGCTATTAAGCTTACAAGACAAACATACAAAATTCTAAAATCGCTCTACATTAAAAGTTTATTTTACTCCTTGTGCTTTATGACCTGTAACTACCAAAAAAAACTTTAAATCCCAGACACATTATATATTTTGTAAATCAGAACAACTAAATAAATTTATTTTTAATTACTTTCTTTAACCTGCACTAATTAGGCACACATTATTATTGTAAAAACTGTACAAAAAACACAAAATTTTTCTTTTTTTTGCATTTTTCTGTATTTTTTAAATAATAAATAAGCATTTATATATATATATGTTACATCAAATTAAAGCCCTTTATGTCCTTTAAAAAACAGTATATAATATGTGTCGGTGCAATAAACGAGAGAGATGCAAATTGCAGTTGAACGCATACAGCAAGAAAATGCAAAAATTGCTTGTGTCATTAAGCGTAAGACAAGCTTCTGAAGCTGTGTCCTTAAGGGGTTAAACCTTTTTTCTTCCTGCCTAAATGCGTGACCTTGTGTCCTGTATATAGTCCTCTTTATGAATAGATTTCCAGATAATGGTTTGTACTGGCCCTGAATATATTTGTATAATGTTATGATTTAAAATGCTCCATTCCTTTTATCAATTTTGTAGCTTGTCTCTGAACTTTTTCTAGTGCCATAATATCCTTCTTTAGAACAGGTGCCCAAAATTGTACAGTATATTCAAGGTGTGGTCTTACCAGTGATTTATAAAGAGGAAAATTATATTTTCACCACGAGAATAAATGCCCCTATTTATGCTTGACAATTCCTTACTGGTTTTAGCAACTGCAGATTGACATTGCATATTGCAGCCGAATTTGATGTCTATAACAATTCCCAAATCCTTCTCTTGTGTTAAGTCCCTAATTCACTACTGTTTAGGGTGTAAGTTGCTTATGCATTCTTGACCCCGAAGTGCATTTTTCTACATTAAATTTAATCTGCCATTTCAGTGCCCAGTCCCCCAATCTATCTAAATCCATCCATAAAGGGAATCAACACAGTAAAGGAGGAGACTATATTTAAAAGAAGAAAAACTACCACAACAAGAGGACATAGTCTTAAATTAGAGGGACAAAGGTTTAAAAAATAATATCAGGAAGTATTACTTTACTGAGAGGGTAGTGGATGCATGGAATAGCCTTCCAGCTGAAGTGGTAGAGGTTAACACAGTAAAGGAGTTTAAGCATGCGTGGGATAGGCATAAGGCTATCCTAACTATAAGATAAGACTAATGAAAGTATTTAGAAAATTGGGCAGACTAGATGGGCAGAATGGTTCTTATCTGCCGTCACATTCTATGTTTCTATGCTTCTATCTGCAGAAAAGCAATATCTTGCTCACATTTTATTACTTTACAGAGTTTTGTGTCGTCTGCAAACACTAAAACATGGCTTTCAATGCCTATTTCAAGAGAGACACCATTTACCAATTTTGTCCAACCTGAAAATTTACCATTAATGACAACTCGTTGTACTCTATCTTTAAGCCAATGTTCTGCCTTAGAACAAGAATATTCATCTAGACCAATTTATTTTAGTTTGAAGACTAACCTATTGTGAGGAACTGTATCAAATACTTTGGCAAAATCCAAGTAGATCACATCCACTGTAACACCCTGATCTATACTTCTACTTACTTCTTTGTAGAATACAATTAAGGTTAGTTTGACATGACCTGTGCTTCATAAAACCATGCTGATTATTGCTAATAAAAAAGTTCTTCCCAATGAATTCCTGAATATTATCCCTTAATATCCCTTCAAATACTTTCCCAGTAAAGAAGAATTAAATCTAGTGTTTCTCTGTGAAAAGCACCCACCTCAACGTTTAACACTTGCTGACCCTGCTTCTGATGGAATCCCACTGGATTGTGCACACAAAGACTGCAGCCAGTAATTGGTGGCTGCCTGGCTTGTACTCCAGCAAAATAAATTGGCCAGAAATGCAATTTTTTTTATGTTCAGCTGCTCCTGATTGTGTTGGTGGGAGACATTGTTAACCAGAGTTTCTTAATCTTTTCTGAAAAGGGACCTGAATTATACACATTTCATATTTTCATTAGCTTAGTGACCTATACTTTAACTGAATAATTGAATTTCCAACAACTGGGACCAACCTAAATTACATGGTGACCACATAGGGAAAGAACCATCTATGTAAACTGTGTGCCTGAACTGCAGAGAAAGGAACATTTTGAACACACATACAATATCCTTTGTAAGACAAAGCATGGCACAGAAATGCTGTGACGTCAATCATGACTGTCCACAGAAATTTGTTTTGTTCCGTTGTTGCTGTTTTTTACCTACAGGATAAACATTTTTTTTTCTATTTATGTGTCAAATTTTGCAGCAATTAATACTAATTCATTAAAAGTGTAGATCGCTAGTGTCTAACAATAAAGAAGCAAAGTTGATAAAATGTATTTACCTAGGTTTGTGAAAGAACTACTTGTTTGTTCCTATTCCCTTAACTACTTTCTGTTAAACTGTCTGTCTTATAGGGTGACAAAATCACTCTGATTCCCACTCCACAGCCATCCTCCATAGACTCTTTTGCCGAAAAGCCACCTGCTAACATCCAATCAAATGACACCAACACTCCATCACTCGGGGATCTGTCAGCTGGGGGAAGTGGGAAGCCAAGCAGCAATGAAACACATCCAGTCTTGATACCCAGCAACACAACTACACAGCCAAGCCCAGTACCCACAAGTACCAGCACTAAAGTACCCGGTAAGAGTCCTGTATATCTTCATTACACGTTATTTGGTCTTCCTGGTTTGTGCTAATAAGCATGTTAATGAATATTAAAGGGATACTCTAAGCACCAAAACCACTTTAGCCTAATAAAGGAGTTTGTAGGTATAGATCATGTTCGTGCTAAATTCCATGTAATTTAGTAGCTAAATCACTTTGTTTTTGCAACCCTAGCCACATCTCTCACTGATACAAATAAATAAAAGGCTGCAGAGAGCATGTGATGTCAGCAGCCAATTGAAGTCTTTGATATGCAGAGTAGTTTCCAGCATTCCACTGTCCTTTGAACACTCTGATGATGCTTTACCCTCTAGTTATTTGGTTTAAATATTTTCTCAAAATGGGAGGAGGTCCATCCTCTGTTGTTTTATAAAGTAGCATGTGTCCCTTGTAAAGGTGTATACACATTGATGCAATATTTTAAAGTGTATTGTTACTTCTTAGTGGGCGTGAGAAACCATTGTGAAGGTGAAATGCTTCAATGAAATAAAGAAATGTTACAGCAAGCTTGCCAAACAGGCCTGTTATTTTTATTTTATTTTTAGAGATTTACAGCTGTGTATGTGCAAACATGTACATGTATTCCTGACCCTATAGGGTTAAAACTACCATCTAGCCACCCTGGTCCCCCTCATGTCTCCCTTAATATAGTAAAATCTTACTTGTATTCAAGTCTGCAGCTTCTGGCTTTGTCCCGGTTTCCTTTAGACCTGCCTGCTGACATTATCAAAAGTGGTATCCTGATCCAATCACAGTGCTTCCCCATAGGATTGGCTGAGACTGACAAAGAGGCAGATCAGGGGCAGAGCCAGCACAATTCAAACACAGCCCTGGCCAATCAGCATCTCCTCATAGAGATGAATTGAATCAATGAATCTCTATGAGGAAAGTTCAGTGTCTGCATGCAGAGGGAGGAGATACTGAATGTTTGGCTGCATTTTAGGCAGCCATGACCCAGGAAGGATCTCTAACAGCCGTCTGAGAAGTGGCCAGTGAAGTTATCACTAAGCTGTAATGTAAACACTGCATTTTCTCTAATGATTCTACTCACTAGAACAAATTCAATAGGCTGTAGTTGTTCTGATGACTATAGAGTCCCTTTAAATATGACTTTTATGTTGAAATCACTTTGTATTCTTATTTTAGTAAATGGCACTGATAGTGTTTGCTGTTTTAAAAATGTGTATTGTATTATTTCCATCACTAAGCAGGAAAGCATCTAAACCTGATTTGTTCCCATATTTTTTGACAAGGTTTTTTACCCCAGCTTACATATTGGTTCGATTATGGATTCTTCTTCTTGTGAAAGCGCAGTGTAAATCATTGTTCCAATATGTCATACTCCCAAATGTCCTTGAAATGGTTTTAGCCATGTAAGCATTATATTCAAAGCTTGTAGAGGTACAGGAATAGAAAAGATTTATCTAGAGGGTCTTCCTTTTTGATAGAGGTTTAATGGGAATGGGGACACCATTATCTTTTGATTTAAAACCCCCATTGCTTCATTCCTCCCAGGGACAGTAAACTGTTCATTTTCCACATCCCTAGCCTGAGGAGTGCCTGCTAACAGATTATACTTCAGGACCCACTTGTATTGTCTAATTTGGATCCCTGGTGTATTTTATTGTCCTCTTTTTGACAGCAATCCCTTTATTGTCGTTCATCTCCTGTTCAATCTTCACCTCGCATGTTTTTTGCTTTGTTCTGTTGCCAAAAAAAATAAATAAATGCAAAAATAAATTAAAATTTAGTTTTTCCCTAATCTCATTTTTGCAGACTTTTCTTTTACTTTTTCCTTCCTTTCTGTTTGTCACTCTGGTGAATTTAAGGCTAGTACTTAATTTTCTGCAAGTATAGACATTTTGTCATTTAACGGAAAGAAATACTTTAAAATAGGCTATATTTAAAAATGTGTGTGTGTATATGTATGTGTGTGTGTATATATATATATATATATACATATATATACACATACATAATATAATTTTTAAAAAAAATTTTTAAAGATCTTTTTATGTATTTTTGTGACAGAAATGAAGAGATACCAAGACCCAATATATCAATAAAAGTGTTAGTAAGATGGATTCTCGATTTACTGTTGCAACATTTTTAAAGGCACAAACTACTCGTTCTGATAACTTGCTCATTTTCATATTAAATCTTATTTATGTTTGGTTACTTTAATTTTTTTTCTATAAGTACAAAACGGAATGTTTTTATTATTTTTGACATCCGAAAAAGATGCCCCAAATTCGTACAACTAAACGACACAACACATGCAAGAATCTAATTCTGCATTGTTCCTATGTGTTTCCTGTGTACTCAATATTCTGCTTGTCCTATATTGTCTATTTAGCCCAGGCAGCTTAGAAAGGATATGGGTGACCAAAGAAAGTGACAAGTATTTAAAGGGATTTAAAGTGTGCCTATCATGCTTTACACAAGTTGACCTTAACTTAAAGAGCATCACATTTAATTTATATATTGTACTATCAAATATATAGATTTAAATTTGATGTCCTTTTTAAAGTGTTGGTTTATCTCCCACTTGTCAATCAATCCTTGGCATCAGACACGTAAGCTAAGCAGAGGACTTGAGGGACAGTTAGAGCACGGGAATCCTCTCAAAGGTAGTTGCAGAAGTAGTGTAGAACACAAGGACTTAAATATGTCGGCAGTGAAGCCAGTATGTTGAGCCATCCGAGAGAATTTTCCTGCATAGGGAAGTGTCGCGGGTGCCACTTGAAACTGTAAGTTTGATCACTTGAGATGGGTGGCCAGCGATCATGCATCAGCTTATGATCTCTAAGTTTTACTGCTAAAGAGAATGCTTCCACAATAGCCAATCACCAAAGAGGCAGTAAGACATACTCCTGAGGATACTATGCCTGTGTTAGGTGGTAGCCTGACAGACAGTTAGAGCCTCTATCATTCTGTTGCCCTAGTCCTGTGTAACTCTCTCTCCCTAACAACCCGAGTGGGGGTTTGGGGAACAGTGTGATATAGGGCTAGGGGATTGTGCAGTATTATATTTAAATAATTAAAATGACTATCTCCTTACCGACTTTTTGCTGCTAGGTGGCTGATATCTAGGCTGTCTAAGGTGGGAGATGACTAGCTGTCCAAAGGGGGGGGGGGTAGGGGAGGTGCACAATGTGTTAGAGGGGCTCAGGGGGCTTCCATGCCACACTGATGACCCCTGTAGAGTCTAGATCATGTCCCTGAAGTCTCACTGCTCAATTCTCTGCCATTTAGGAGTTAAATCACTTTCATTTTTGTTTATGCAGATCTTGGCTGTGACTGACACAGCCTGCAAAACTTACTTTAAAATGTTGTATCATCTGCCTCTAAATTGAACTTTAATCACATATAGGAGGATCCTGCAGGGTCTAGCAAGCTAATAACTAATCAAGAGACAATGAATTCTAAAGTAAACAGAATTAAACATTAGATGTCTCTTTACAGAAAGTGTTTAAGAAGGCAGTGCAAGTCACATGAAGGGAGGTGTGATCAGGGCTGCATAAACAAAGTGATTTAACTCCTAAATTACCAAAACTTGAGCAGTAAGACTGTGGGGGCATGGTCTATACACCAGCACTGCTTGACTAAGCAAAAGTTGTTTTGGTGCCTATAGTGTCCCTTTAAATAATGAATAGGTTTGGTTAGTCCTTAAAGAAAAATTTAGATTTTCAATTATTCACTAAATAGTGACTTTTTATTTTTGAAGTTAGCTGCCAAGTCGTTACAACATCTGACTTAATGAGGGAACATCATTATTTGATGCCTCTTGCTGTTCTTTGGAGAAACTGAATGTTTTATCATCTTACGTCTAATTGTGTTTAAAATTGCGGGTCAGCCCTACTTTGCATTTCTATCCACTTCATTACATTTGACAGCTTTTTGATCTAGATGCGTTCATACAGTTGTTTATGTGCTGTTTAGAATGCCACTTGACATAGTATTTGAGATATGTAACCAAAAAACAAACAAGAGTCCTGCGCATTCAGTATAGGTGTGCACACCCAGGTGCTACCACAATTTATTTGAGGACAAAGTTAAAGCAGCAAATGTTTCGAGTAACAGCTTTAACTTTGTCCTCAAATAAATTGTGGTAGCATCTGGGTGTGCACACCTATACTGGATGCGCAGGACTCTTGTTTGTTTTTTGGTTGTATTTACGCTGTTGGGACTTCAGTGTGGAGTACCTGCAGCACAGGTCCAATTTTTCTTTAATACTTTGAATTTTGTAGGCATTTTTTTGCCTCTACCTCACCCTATATGTATTTGAGATATGTGATCGCATTGCTTTCATAGTATAAGGGTTTGCAAAATATCAAAGTTCTTTTATGTTTCCTCCACAGTAGTGAACAAGCTTGTGGTATCTGCAGGGGACAGCGTTGAAGTAACCTTGCCAAAAAATGCTGTCCAGCTGAATGCTTTTGTCTTACCAGTTCCTCCAGAGGGTAAGAAAACCAGCTTTCCATGATTTAATTATTCTGTTCGAGGGTTAGCTTAACTTTTTTGTTTATCTACATTACAACCTTAAGTCCATACAGAGCCATAGGCACGACTGTGAAGAGAACCCACAGTTGTTAATTATACAATCCGGTGAGTACACTTATATATTGATGCACGCACAAATGCACCAAACCGTGGTTCCTTTGATTCTTAAAATAACTTACAGCATCAGTTGGAATCAGGGCTCCCAGCACAATGGCCCACCCCGTGCAATATAAATAGGAATCCCTAAGTCTAAGAATTCCCATGGGTGGGTTTGGCTTTCTAATTTACGAAGCGTCCCACATTATGTTAGTGTTAGAAGGTCTCATGCAGGAATGCAACTAAAGTCCAAAAATTTTTTTTGAGATTATTTTTCTTTTACAATTTGTATTGTATTTATAATTCTTTAATAAAGGAGGGAAGTCATATTCAGCCCTTCCTAATTTGATGTGAATTGGTGATCTGATGATTTCCTTAGACAAATAAGAAAGTCAGTCAATTTTATTTTCGTTTTATTGCTGAATACCTTACTGTTAATCAAATGTACACAATTATTTTAATCTTTCCTGTATTTCTTGTGTATTATCAGCTGACAATCTTTTGAGCTCTTTTTTGTCTTTCGATTGGTCTAAAAATTGACAAGTGAACTGGTAGTACTTTTTCATAGTGTAAATTAAATGCTGCTTTATTTGTGCAGTATCAACTTTATTACAAGTTGACTTTTCAATCACAACCGGACTTTTTTCAAGAAGAACGATGCTATTGAAAAAAGGTAGGATTGTGACTGAAACATTGACTAATAATATTGTTTGTTTTTTTTAAATTCTTTATTTTTGTAAGTGCAAAAGTAGGTACATTTGTCAAGGTGGCCACATAAGATTACAGTAGTAGGCAAATAAAGACAATTCTGGTGACATATTTGTTATGCGTTGCACATTGTTTTTGTTTGAGTGAGAAGTTCACGATTCGACCAAAAAGATTTGACAAAGGAAATTTACCAATAAGAGAACAAAACAGGCATATTAAAGTGACGCCAGGACAGGCGTAGCTTAATAGGCAGAAACATGTCATAGCTTTGCGCAACATCATATTATGGTGTGCATGGATATATAGAGCATGTGGGCTCGTTATGTCCCAACGGTGTTGACCAGCTTGAAATCTAATGTTTATTAACAATTAGTCAGCATGTTAAAAGTGTAGCTCATGTTTATATTGTAACATTATAGGTTGTGAGCGTATGGGCGATGTAAAAAGGATTGTGCTTGTGTTATACTGTTTGGAAATAAATATATTTAAATGAGTAGGGGTGAGTGGGGCCTCTCTCGAAGCTCCTGCCAGACATATCAAAAGGGCACTGTTCGTGCGCGATTGGGCTAATAGCTTTATAAAACAGGCTGGGGCGTTAGTAGGTGCAGGCTGAGGTTTTATTTAGTGCCGGCTGGGGCGTTATTGTGGATGCCACTGTATGACCACGTTCGAAAGTTTTTATGGGAAAACATGGTAGTGATATGTTATGTAGTGTTGTCTAGAAGGTTATGCCGTGCTTAAGGTGGTAGGTCAGGAAGTTAAGCATAAACTTTAATCGGCCTCTGCCTAATTTGGTTGTTTCGGTACGTGTTGTAGATATGGGTGTCTATATAGGTGTGGTAAACCTTTAGTATGAGTCAGCATCAATAAACAACAAAACAAGACAAAAAAAAAAAAAACCCCAACAAACACCCCACTTAGAAAAATAAAAATGCGAGCAGACCGTCTCGATTACTCTCGCTGTGGATGGGTGTTTTTGTCTGTTGGGCAGTGGGCCAGGTTGTTGCCCTGTAAAGGAAAAGAGAGGGAAAGCGTCCCGATAGTGTTTGTTCTGTTTCAGGTTGTGGGAGCCGCACGTGGTCCTGTTGGGGGCTGTCGTGGCACAAAGATTGGCGCGTCAACTGCGCCCCTCCCTGGTCTGCTTGTAGTTCCAGCCGGTGAGTTAGCGGTGTCCGGTGCCGTCAGTGGCAGCTGCATGTCTTCCAGTGTCCTTGTGGCCTCTTGTATGTTCCGCACCACTAGAGGGCCGCTTGCGCCCTCAATGTGTAGTGCGCGCCCTGGACCCCAGCGGTACCTGAGTTGTTTCTGCCTCAAGAAGGACGTAAGCTGTCTGAGGGATCTTCTCAAGCTCAGCGTTCCGCTTGAGAGATCTGCATAAAACGACAGAGTCATGTCCTCAAAAGTGTAGGTGGTTAGGCCCTTGGTGGCTTCTAGAACAGCCCTCTTGTCCCTCGCGCTTTGAAAACGGAGGATTATGTCCCCTGTGGCAGCTGGTGGTGCTGTAGGTGGCCGTGGTATGCGGAAGATGTCGTCCAATATTATGGATTTGGCCACTTTCGGGGTTAAGAGCGCAGTCAGTAGCCGCCTAGCATAATGTGGGAGCTCGGCCTCGGGTACAGAATCTGCGACCCCTCGTAGTTTTAGATTGTTTTGCTGTCGCTTGTCCTCTTGTGTGGCCAGTTGCTGGTCATGTAGTGCAGCCAGTTGTTTGAGGTCGTGTACCGTTGCTTTCAGCTCCTCTATCTGGCTGGTGTGGCTGCTTGAGGTGCATTCCACAGTCCCGAGCCGCGCTGAGAGGCCTTTCAGATCCTCCCTTATCGTGGTCACTTCTGCAGAGATTTTGCTGTGATGAGAGGCCATGAGTTCCCTGATGGCCTCCATGGTCACCGGCGTGGGAGCTATTGTAGGCACTCGAGGTCTGTCTGGCAGTAGTGGAGCGTTACTCGGCATGCAGCTCCCTGCTTCTTCCCTGCTCCTGTTGGGTGGGGTTGATGGAAGTTTGGGACAACAGCTTTGTGAGTATGTCAAGTCAGTGGGGTCCTGGAGGTTGTAGGTGAGTCGATGAGAGTTCGGGGGGGGAAGGGTGAGTCTAATTCTTCTGGGCGGGAGTGGGTCCAGGATTATTGCTTCCTCCAGTCTCTCTTCCGGGGGTTCCCGCCTGCACGGTCATCTAAGCGTTTTTTGTATTCCTAACATTCCTATATTGAGGGCAGGTTCAAGAAATGGCTACAGCCCAGGAGTGTAATTCTTATTAATCAAAATCAACCTGGGACTTGTATGTCCTACTTCTGCACTAATAAGGCAGGGAGCCACAGTGAATTTATGTGTCTCTATCTATGGCTGTATGTGTCTTGTATTTACCAGCAGCTGGAACGGCTGTTCTATCACTGTTCCAGCTGTGGGAAAAAAAAATCATATAAAAAAAAAAAACAACCAACAAAGCAAACAAACAAACCTAAAATCATGAATATAAAAGAATCAAAACTGTGAGGTGTGTATTAGGTGACAAAATGTCATCCTGGTGTTTTGGAGATATTCATACATAACTCAGCTGCTTGATATTTGGTGACATAGCCATAAGCCCTCAATGGAATTTTTTCCCCTAGTAGTTGCTTCACCGTTTCTTTTAAATCCATATCGGTCTATAATAAAATGTAAGTATATATCATTGATGGATAGAGGAAAGAAAATGAAAATGTTGAGTGATTGAATGCAATCTTCATACTGGTGAAATAAAGAAATCCCACAATTCATCTTTTGTGTTTAGGAAAAGTGTACACTTATGACTGGAGACTGATCACTCATCCAACAGATTACAGTGGAGAGATGGAGGGAAAATATTCCCAACTACTGAAACTGTCGAAGGTAAGAGTGTTTATTTTCCAAGTGCTTCTCTACTTATCATTGTGCAGTGTATAGCAGCCATCCAGTTTATAATAACACATTTATTGATTTATTTGTTGTCTTTTTGCAAGAATTGTTATCAGACATCTGAGTTCTAAATAAGAACATTAATATAAGTTGCTCTGAAATTCAAACATTATATGCACGCAGTTTTCCAATCAAAAGCGAACTGTAAATCATTTGGACAACTTTATTTTCTGTTCAAGCTCACAGCGGGTCTGTATGAGTTCAAGGTGATTGTGGAAGGAGAAAATTCATATGGAGAAGGTTTTGTAAATGTCACTGTCAAACCAGGTACCAAAGGCTTCCATTAAATGCACCGTTTACTAATTAATGTAATTTCTTTGCCCTATTTATACATCTGTTATTTTATCTCTTTTAGAACCTCGAGTGAATCAACCTCCAGTTGCCATTGTGTCACCTCGCTATCAGGAAATTTCACTTCCCACCACATCGACGGTGATTGATGGAAGCCGTGAGTATACATTAAAGAAGCACAGCCTGTTTCAGAAAGACATTTGTAGATTTAGAATAACAGTCTAATATTATGTAAAATATCAAATATACAAACAATAACATACCAACTAGTATGATGTTAAAAGAACCAAATTACATTTTTTAAGCTCCTATCTTTTGGGAACCACACACCCCTTCTGGACCCTGTTCGGTTTGGGTGGTGAGAAAAAAAAAATCTGACTGTTCACAAACTAGTATTGCGCTTTAGTATTTTGACAATATAATATCTGAAGAAGGAAAAAAAAAGACTTGCTGAACTGTGATGTAAATCACTTTGCTAAAATTATAGTGTCTGTCATTCTTGATAGAAACAAGCATTGTAATGCTTTAATTCCCATTTGTATACTTATTGTGTCGTTCCCCTAACTCAAAAGTAAAATCTTTGATTTTTTTTTTTTTCCCACTGATGACAACCTGTGCCACTTCCATGTGGCCTGGGAGAAAATCCTACAACGCGTGATAACAGACCAGGAATGGCAAGAAATGCATGGCACAGCTCAAAAAATGACCATATGAATACTGATCAAAGCAAATTACTTTAAGTCCCTAACCTGCTGGTTCCAAGATCCAGTTAAACTTCATTGTATATGCACTAGCTGCTCTCCTCTCTGCCCATGGAGCTGTGGTGAAATTGTATTTATTTATCCATGTATGGTGGGGTTGCAGGTCCTGACATTTTGGTATGAGTTTTTTCAGGATCGGGTTGTGGGAACCATGGATATTTATTTTTGTCCTCAATAAAACACCCATTCCTTTTTTCCTGTAATACAAGCCTCCAACCCTACTTTTGATGTCCCCTAATTCATTAAGCCCTATTACTACATTCCTATCCCATACTCCCCTTTTCCAGTCAGTTATCTATGGAATGACAGGATAAGTGGAAGAGAAATTGGTCAAATATTCATTATATTCTACAGCTTTTACTGTTCATCCACTCTAACTCACCATTCTATCTAAACATAATTATGCCAGATGAATCCTACCTCCTAATAACAGAGTGGACTATGGAACCTGACTTGCATGTTTGATGGTTTTTATGTTACTTGTACCTGCATATAATAGAAAGGTAAGGCCTTTCTTTTAAGTCTAGTCGGATATGTGCCCGTAACTGGCCAAATAGCCATCGATAATGGTCTGTCTGTGTCTGATGTTTTCCACACCTTATTCATGTCTGCATCGTGGATTTAAGTCTCCATCATGGAGTAAGTGGCCATGTTATGTGTTTAACACAGCACCAATGCCTTTGTGGAATATAGCGCCTAAAGTTCCCAGCAAGGGTTAGAACCTGTCCAGGTTGGGAGTAATAAGGAATATCTCAATGGAAAGTTAGACCACTTTTTTAAACTAGGGATTGTTCATCTCCTCTGCCAAGACTGCAAACACTAGGCCCCAAATATGAAAGCGAATAAAAACGAGCACAAAATGGGGGTGTAATGAACTAGGTGGATATTGGAAGTGCCCAAGCTACTCCTCAGGAAGGTGTACCCCAATGAGGGATCTATTGTGTGTTGATTTTTGCTTGAAATATGCATGTAGTCCGCAAGTATGAATGGGCTTACAAACTTTGGCACTGTCTGGCATGGGGTCAGGCCCCACCTGACAATCACTTATGATTATCTCAGCTAGTCTTACAATCCTGCATTATCATGGATGTTACCATGGTGTCTGGTTTTTATAGATGGCTCTGAAACATGTTTAGTGCGAAAGAGGAGCAGTCACTTCCCAGGTTATTTAATATTTATTATGTTTACTGTGTTCGAATGCTGGCACTCCGACCGAGTACCTCCGCCAATCGATGCTCCTAGTGCTTGCCGAGGACTCCAAGCAATCCAACCAACACCATCCGCACTGCAGACCCCACTTCCAGCGATGCAGCTGCGCCAGGGTCTCGCCGTCTTTCTCCCACCCTGGACCCAAGGCTAGGATCCAGCTTCCAGTGGGTAGACCTCTCCTATATCCAGAGAGAAGGAACAAACTCTTACAAGAGCGTATACTCAGGGGAGTATTGTGATATAGCAATCCCCAAGAGTGTAGTTATCCCATCCCAAAAGCATGAGCCAGGGCTTCAAGTAGTAATGTTTAATGGAACCAAGCACTCACAATTTATACAATTCCCCAGGCCAGAGGCACACCCCCTGGACCTGATGGTATGCAGGCATACAAAGGACACAAACCAATCAAAACAATACAACAATGTCTGACACTCCCATTCATTACAGCAAAATCCTCCCCTCTGCCTGTGATATAATTACTGAACACAATGGGCTAAAGTAATTATCACAGGCAGGAAAATATACAGTTTTATACAATTCTTATAACTTCAAATTTACACATCACATTCAAATAAAACTTAAATTTTCAGAATCAGCATACTCCAAATATATGTCAAAATCATACAAATCCCTTCAGTGGTTAAAAAGTTTGCTGGAAATCCTTTTTAACCGACTGCAAGCATGTCTTGGGTGTGGTAAACCAATTATCTCCAGGCACAGAAAATCTCTCTATTCACAAGAACAGCAAAAATACATAGAAATACATAATTCCTATCATACTGAACAGAACCCCCACATTCAACCTATCCCCACATAGCTTGGATCTGAGCACTCAATATATCCGAACAGCGCTCAGATCCCACGAACAGAACAAAATCGCCTTGGGGTTTAAGGTCCAATAAACCCAAACAGAGCTTTTGAAGGGCAATACAGTCCAGGGGCCATAGTGGCAGGGCAAGAGGCTAGCCATTAGTCCTCTCCAGGCACAAGTGGCGAAGGGCACTTCGTCACATTTACCTATTCCTAATTTTTTTTTTTTTTTAGCAAATGTGTGTTTGTGAAGTGTGAAAAAATAAAAATAAATCTAAAACTCCACATGTATTTATCCCTCCATCTAAGTTCCCTGTCAGTCATTGTTTGTACTTTGCATCTGGCAGTCAGCATAGAAAAGCCATATAGAGAAGAGGAGAAATGAAACAATATTTCCATTTCATTTCCTCATTTGCAGTTTTTGCCCTGACTTGCCTTGTCTTAACTGGATAACAATGTCATTTGGTAAATCTTTAATATAAATTTTAAAAGAAAATGCATTTTCTCATAGCAAAAAGGTTAAAGGTGACTTTTAAGGTTCCATTTAATGGTGTAAATTCCAGAGAAGTGACCGTTCCCCTTTAATGATAGTTTTTATTTCCAGAGAGCACCGATGATGAGAAGATTGTGAGCTATGAGTGGGAGGAGCTGAAAGGTCCCCTGAGAGAGGAAAAGGTCTCAGCAGAAACACCCATCTTAAAACTAACAAACTTGGTTCCTGGAAACTACACATTCAGGTGACTGTTTGTAACAGCCTTTTTACCAGGCTTAATAGGCAGTAACCCATGTCCTAAATACACAGTAATGGTGTCTTCCCTCTTCAATCCAATATCATAGTTCAATAAACCCAACAAAAATTTCTTAAAGTGATTCACACGTTTAAAATATTACTTATTAAAAATGATAAAACGACTTTCTTAATTCCAAAATAAAATAATAGTGCGGGGTAGTCTTATGTTGTAAGTGAAGAAATAAGCATAATGCATCTTTTTATGAGAATAGAGATGGTAGCCTAAAACAAGTGGCAAGTGCTGTCCCTCAGGGGTCTGTTCTGGGACATCTTCTATTTAACATGTTTTATAAATGATCTTGAAAAAAGCATTGAAAGCCATGTTTCAGTGTTTGCAGATGACACAAAACTCTGTAAAATAATACAATGTGAACAAGATATTACTTTGCTGCAGAGGGATTTAGAAAGACTGTGGGACTGGGCACTCAAATGGCAGATTAAATTTAATGTTGAAAAATGCAAAGATATGCACTTCGGCGTAAAAGAATACACAGGCAACGTATACCCTTAATGGAAGCGAATTAGGGATAACAACACACGAAAAGGACTTGGGAATTGTTATAGACCACAAACTATGCAACAATGTGCAATGTCAATCAGCAATGGCCAAGGCCAGTAAGGTATTGCCATGCATGAAAAAGGGCATTCATTCTCGAGACGAGAATATAATTGTGCCTCTTTATAAATCACTGGTAAGACCCCATATTGAATATGCTGTGCAATTTTGGGCACCTGTTCTAAAGAAGGATATTATTGCACTAGAAAAAGTGCAGAGACGGGCTACAAAATTAATAAAAGGAATGGAACATATCAGCTATGAAGAAAGGTTAACAAATTTAAACATATTTAGTTTAGAAAAACATCGCCTGAGAGGGGATATGATAACCTTATACAACTAGAAAAGCTACAATTTCTGGGGAAATTGTGTGAAGTGTTCTTGCCTCCACCAGTAGTCTACAACTGGAGTGGGCGGAGTAACTGTTATCATTTATATAGCACATTTAATTGCAACGTTGTTGCCCAGTTACATTAAACCATACATTTATAAAAACATTAGCAGGTGTTCAAAAGGCCCTGTCTATGACATCACTTGCTGCTGCAGCCTGACACAGGTCAGAGTATTTTGGCGGTTGCCATCTTCAAACGGTCGTATTTTAAAAACTATAAATCCTACAGTGAAGAGCTTTATATTGTGAGAATCACAAGACCCAGACCTACACTGTGATGCATAGTATGTCTCTGAAGTATTAAAAATGAAGGCACAGTCGCAGTTTAGAAATTGCACTTCAAATTTGAGCTTTGTAGAGTGAAGTTTCAATGAATGTCAATGGACGGCGTTAGTTGCAAACAAATGATTATATTGTGAAAACTATCAGGACTATGGCTTAGCCGTTGACATGTTTAATGGCAGCAGGGATAGCTGAACGTTTTGATATAAAATGTAGATGTGTAGGTGGGCCTGAAAATAAGGGAGTGGTGGCAGTTTAGAAATCATTTCCTGATTTTTCAGCTTTTGCCAGCTCCCACTCTAGCTTTGCCATTCATTCCTATGGGACAAATTTCGCCACAAGAATGACGATATTCCGTGAACCATTCAGCGAAACGTTCCACAAAGTAATAGCAATCCGATCGGGTACAGTCTGCACGTTTTGGTAAATTTTTGTCTATGTAGTGTAAAAACTGTGGGAGGAGTTAGGGTGGCAAATTTGGCTATAATAAGAATAATAATATATATGTGAGATAACAATAAGTGGTCTTGCTATGCAAGAACACTTAATAATATATATGTGAGATAACAATAAGTGGTCTTGCTATGCAAGAACACTTAATATATATGTGAGATAACATTAAGTGGTCTTGTTATGCAAGAACACTTAATAATATATATGTGAGATAACAATAAGTGGTCTTGCTATGCAAGAACACTTAAATATATTTGGGGCCAATACAAACCATTGTGTGGAAATCTATTCACAAACCGGAATTTACATAGGACACAAGGTCATGCCTTTAGACTGGAAGAAAGGAGATATCGTCTAAGGCAAAGGAAAGGTTTTTTTACTGTAAGAACAATAAGGATGTGGAATTCTCTGCCTGAAGAAGTGGTTTTATCAGAGTCCATACAGATGTTCAAACAGCTACTAGATGCATACTTGCACGAACAGAATATTCAAGGATATAATCTTTCAATGTAGGGTAATAACTGCTTGATCCAAGGATAAATCTCACTGCCATTCTGGGGTCAAGAAGGATTTTTTTTTTCCTAGCTTGTTGCAAAATTGTGCCTCAAACTGGGTTTTTTTTGCCTTCTTTTGGATCAACAGCAAAAAACAAATGTGAGGAAGGCTGAACTTGATGGACACAAGTTTCTTTTCAGCAATGTAACTATGTATTGTATGTTGTCATTAAAGAAACACCTCAGACTGGAATTAACCCATTATTTTTGACAAACTATATAAATAATGCATTAATTTGCAAAACAAACAGGCCAAAATAAAAAAGATAAAAATAAATGATTAATTTGAACACATTATTATTTTGTAGCAAATCTTCATGCATTACATTATCATCTTTGAGTTTTGTCGACTCTTGGAAATAGATGAATCCGCCAAGAACCTCTCATTCTAAGTCATGGAGTTTGGACGGTTTGATATGTTTTACCCAGCATTGCAAGGATTAAATTGTATATAAATCTCTAGCTATTAAAAACTCTCGTTGCAGTAACTGAAAATGTGAGTGTCACTAGCTGACACGTTCAATACACCACATATTTGAACCTGTAACAATGTCTGTATAATAGTGTGGTGAGAGCTGACTTGTACATTGTAAAAGCAATTCGTTCTGTGCAAAGCTTGTGTTTTTTGTTCTTTTTTCTGGAACTTGCAGTTCCGTTATGTGTTTTCTGCTTGTAAAATAAATTTCCCTCAGGTCGTCTTACTTTGGTTTATGTCTCTCCACAGCTTTACTGTAACTGATTCAGATGGGGCAAAAAATTCCACCACGGCCAGCTTGACTGTTAACAAAGCTGTGGATTATCCTCCTGTAGCTAATGCAGGAGCCAACCAAGTGATCACCCTCCCCAAAAACTCTATTGTGCTCTTCGGGAATCTGAGTACTGATGATCATGGCATTGTCAGCTATGAATGGTCTTTGAGTCCAAGCAGTAAAGGAAATGTTATGGAGATGCAGGTAAAGATCTTCACTATCTCAACAAGATTCTCAATGGTTCTCCCTCCTGTATTGTATAAGAATTTTAGTTTAACCCCTTAAGGACCAAAGTCTTAGGAAAAAAAGGGATTCATGACATGTCACACGTCATGTGTCCTTAAGGGGTTAAACTGCAGTTAAAAGGAATCTTGTGGAACAATATGGTGTATGGTAGTCATCAGTTCTAGTTTAAACCGCACCTTTCATGCTACACAGAAGTTTGATTTATTGAAAGAGACACTTCATTCATCTAAACTAGCATTTCAGCTCGTTTTTTTAAATCTCAGATTTTATAAACACCCCATAATAACGCCTCTTGGATATCAAGCAGCCAGCAAGGAGGGATCCTGCTTCACTCGCTTTGAACTGTTCAAAATGAAGTGGGTGCTTTTCATAGTAATCACTGATTTCTATGCTTCTCTATGAGAAGCATTGTTGGAGGATAGCAGCCATTGCCACATGTGTAATGTGTTCCAATGCTATTCTGAGATGCGTCTGATTGAACTTAAGTCAGTAATGGTGACTTCACAGGAGGCGACTTGGAGTTGCATCACAGAGATCTTCCCATCATTGGAATGAAGGTGAGATTACTTGATTTCTAATCCAACTAAACTGAGATGGGAAGACCGTAATCCAAACACAAACAGGAACCCATTAATTAAATTAAAAAAACATTATCTATAGATAAAGAGACAGATGTGTGTGTGTGCGTGTGTGTGTGCATGAATGTATGTGTGTAGGATGTTAGGTTTGGAAATTTTTGTACACTGACACGAGTTTTGTTACTTCGCCTGTTTACCAAAATAAATTCAAGTTACAGTAAAATAATGAATATGGGCTTAAAGTGCAGACTCTCCGCCTTAATTTAAGGATATCCACATGCAAATTGGAGGAAAGGTTTAGGAATTACAGCTCTTTAATATGTAGCCCCATCTTTTTCAAGTGACCAAAAGTAATTAGACAGTTGATTCAAAAGTTGTTTCATGGACAGGTGTAGGCTATTCCTTTTTTATTTAGTCATCAGTTAGACTGGTAAAAGGTCTGGAGTTGATTCCAGGTGGGGCATTCACATTTCATTAGGCTGCAAAAAAAATCCATCAGAGTTTGGAACATTCTGAGTAAGCAAAAGAATGGTGAGCTCTGCAATACAGAAAAAGCCTGGACGACCACAGAAAACAACAGTGGTGGATGATTGTAGGATCTTTCTATGATAAAGAAAAATCCCTTTCCAACATCTAGCCAGTGAAGAACACTATCCAAGAAGTAGGCATAGCATTATCCATGTCCACCATAAAGTGAAGACTTGACAAGATCAAATAGAGAGGGTTCACCACAAGATGCAAACCATTTATAGAACGGCCAGATAAGACTTTGACAAAAAAAAAACCACACATATCTAAAATAGCCAGCCTAGTTCTGGAACAGCATCCTTTGGACAGATTAAACTAAGATCCACCTGTACTAGATTGATGAAAAGTGTGGAGAAGTCTTGGAATGGCTCATTATCCGAAGCATACCACATCATATGTATAACACGGTGGAGGCAGTGTGATGGCTTGGGCATACATTTCTTCCAATGGCACTGTGTCATAGTATTTATTGATGATGTGATAGAAGGCAGAAGCAGCTGGATGAATTCTGAGGGGGATAGGGATATATTTTCTGCTCAGATTCAGCCAAATTAAAGGACTACTATAGTGCCAGGAAAACAAACTAGTTTTCCTGGCTCTATATTGTTAACAGGTCCCCCCCACCCTCAAGGTCCCACTCCTGCTGGGCTGAAGGGGTTAAAACCCCTTCAGCCACTTGCCTTTCTCCAGCGCTGGGCTCCCTCTGTGTGGCAAGGGCCGCGTGCGCATTCAAACCGCCCATAGGCAAGCATTTCGCAATGCTTTCCTATGGACATCCAGCATCTTCTCACTGTGATTTTTCACAGTGAGGATCGCAGAAGCGCCTCTCGCAGCTGTCAGTGAGACAGCCTCTAGAGGCTGGATTAACCTTCAGGGAAACATAGCAGTTTCTCTAAAACTGCTGTTTTCAGCTGCAAGGTTAACACTGGAAGGACCTGGCACCCTGTCATTGAGCTGAAGTGGTCTGGGTGCCTATAGTGGTCCTTTAACCCCTTAAGGACCAAACGTATAGAATAAAAGGGAATCATGACATGTCACACATGTCATGTGTCCTTAAGGGGTTAAGCAAAGTTGATTGGACGTCGCTTCATTTTAAAGGTAGACAATAACCCAAAACATACTGCAAAAGCAACCCAGGAGATTTTTTTTGAAGGCAAAGAAGTGCTTTGTTGGGTAATAGTTTCTTGATCCAAGGATAAATCTGACTGCCATTCTGGGGTCAAGAGGAAAAAATGTTTTCAAACACATACACATATACATATACATGAACTCATAAACACAAATATGAATGGACAGTCACATATATAAGCATACATGCAAGAGTATGGGAAAGCATAGGTCTACACATAGTACTTTGTATATAGATAGAATAAATATATTGGAATGCGTTTTAAAGTATTGATACATTAGACAGAACAGTAAGATAATGTGGGAGAGTGTTCATGTAAAGTGTTGGTAGTGGGACAGGAAACCCAAATTAATACTTAGTCCTCTATTTTTGCTGTTAAACAATTTGATCATTCTGATTTCATAAGTTTTTCTTTCTTGGGTATTTTTAAAACCCCCTTTCAGTACTTTGATTTTTAGGTCCTTCACTCAGTGGCCAGGCTGGGTAAAGTGGTGTCCCACAGGAGTGCAGTACGATCCTTCTTTGTGGTGTTTAAAGGACCACTATAGTGCCAGGAAAACATACTCGTTTTCCTGGCACTATAGTGCCCTGAGGGTGCCCCCACCTTTAGGGTCCCCCTTCCTCCGGGCTCTAGGGGTGGAAGGGGTTAAACTTACCTCTTTCTCCAGCGCCGGACAGGGGACTCTCCTCCTCCTTGGCTGAATGCGCATGCGTGGCAAGAGCCGCGCGCACATTCAGCCAGTCTCATAGGAAAGCATTCACAATGCTTTCCTATGGACGCTGGTGTCTTCTCACTGTGATTTTTCACAGGGGGAAGCGCCTCTAGCGGCTGTCAATGAGACGGCCACTAGAGGCTGGATTAACCCTATTATAAACATAGCAGTTTCTCTGAAACTGCTATGTTTATAGAAAAAAGGGTTAAACCTAGCTGGACCAGGCACCCAGACCACTTCATTAAGCTGAAGTGGTCTGGGTGACTATAGTGGTCCTTTAATGGAGTGTCTGTGTATATTCGTTCTGCCATTTAATTGCTGGGTGGTTTCCCCAATGTAACATCCTAGGTGCATTTGGTGCATTGAATCATGTATACCACATTGCTGAATGTGTAGAAGTATGATCCTTTAATGCTGTAGGTTTTATTGTTGTGTGTGGCTGTGTTGTCTGTGCATATGTGCTGACACAGTTTGCAGCAAGGTTTTTTGCATTGACTGGTCCCATTTTCTTTATTCTTACCATCAGTGGGCAGCTTCCTGTTGATTCATTTTTGTTGGAGGTTTGGTGGTTGTCTGAAGGACAAAATGGGTGTTTCAGAGAAAACGTTTTTCAGAGTCTCATCTTCTGTTAACATTGGTTGTAGGTCTTAAATGATTTTCCGTATTTTATTTAAATTAAATTCCTCTTCAGCACGTAAGCATAGACCTCTGCTGATTGGGAGAGCCTCCTGCTTCTCCTCTTCAATACTGCAACTTCAGTACATGTTCTGCATTTCTTGCTCTTACTAGAGCAATATAGGAATGGAGCTACTAAGTTTAGACACAGATTTGATGGCAATGAAGCCTGCATGTTGGAGTCATGGTGGAGGATTGCCTTGTGAAGGAAATGGATGCATGTATTACATTATTTTAACACCTTGGCAGTTGCATTGGACTGAATGTAATTATTTTTCAAAATATTTATATAATTGAATAGTTTATCTCTAAGATAAATTTTTCTCTTTGTCTGGGAGAGGTCAGTTAAAGTGAACCTGAACTTACCTGAACTTTCTCCCATGTACATTGAATATACCGCATATCACAAAGAAGATACATAGTGCATTCAGTGTAAAAGATAAAGATTTTTGGGGGCGGAGCTAAGCGTCTGAATGGAATGGCCGACAATTCTCAGAGCTCCAGCAAACTGGCAACTAACCCACGCGAGCGGGCAAGAAAACCTGATGGCGTCGGTCAATGGGCCTAGTATCGATTACAGATGGACCATTCCCAGAGCCCTAACAGTAAACAAAGAGGGCACCATACTGAGACTGTCCTCATTAGACGAAGCGGAGCCCTTCCTCCAAGCACTTGGGATTCCTCCAAAATCCAGAAAAAAACAGCAACCTCCTTGGCCTCCCCTTCCTGGGACCCGAAAAGGATACAGCCTTCGTCCCCAGGGGTGGAGAAGAGAGGGGCACTAACTTGAATCCTCTATTTGACTCTGTATCCTATTATGCTTTCGTACCTTACTCAATAACCGCATTATGTTATGTCTTTTTTAGTTTAAGGCTGATTTCTCTTTAGTTTTTAAGTTGTTTCTCACATAATTAATGCAGCTCACCATAGCTAAATAGGCAAAACCCTACCGAAGCATGACACTGAACACAAGCAAACACCTTCTCTACACTCACTCGACTTGGCTGATACCTTCAACGACCACCTACACTCGTAGCATTACAGTCTGGAGGGACGACCCACTAATTCAGGTGTACCGAAGACAGCCGCAGCCTGCCTAAAGCGGCTAGTGGTTTGACCCCCCTCTTTACAAAGCTATCCCGGTCACACACACAGAGGGTACAGTCGAGGGATCTGTCCTACACTCTTAGCATATAATGTATGCACCTTACATGATCTCCCTCTTGAGAGGGGGCCCTATTACATACACGCCAGACAATCACATTGGGGCAGTTTAGGATCACCTCACCTAAGTTAAACCTCACTGTTACAATTTTTCCTGCTGCCCAGCATCAGGCTGCCTTCCACAAGGCTTCTTCTTGTTACACCTCACATTTTAACACGCCTAATATGCGTTCCAGGCAGTAACTAAATTGTGATCAGAGAATTCATAGGTATAACCCTGTAAAGGCCTACAATGCCCTGAGCTCACACTGCGCTCACACTTACATCTGAAGGGCCTTCACCACACTTTTCCATTTAATCGCCTAGCCTACCTATTCTCGCATGTTAACACTTATTTATGTAGCATATGCTAACCTAGCGTGTTTAACCCTTATAATCATAAAAATAAAAAGGTCAGTTTCTTAGGAGTATAGATTACTGTATATCGCATGTGCAGTCGTGTATTGTCAATTGAAGATATAACTCCTTATGTCCTATTTCTGTACCGCTTATTATATGCCTCAAATAAAAAAAGAGATTGACAAAAAAAAGTTAAGATTTACTTCCTTTTCCTCTGTTTCAGTGCTGCTTTCTGTGTGTCACTGTTTGTGTAACACCCGTCTGTGCGCTGGCTTCACTCCCAGCACGCCATTATCGGAATGGAATGAAGTCACTTTTACTATACTCTCTAGCTGGCCTTAGCTTCACCGGCTAGGGAGTTTCCATAGCAACCACAGCGCATGTGTAGTGGTTGCTATTTGTGGAGAGCAGAGGGACCTCCTGTGGTAGTTCAAATCTGCTCTCTCTTAACAGTACACTGACTCATTGGCTGACAGCTGGAGAAAAAAATATTTTTAAATAGGTTTTTCTCCTGATCTATATATTTGCTAGCAAAGCAGCAAAGATAAAATCATGATTGTCATGTTGTGTGAAAAGTCAGAGTATGATGGAATGTGTGTGCCTGGACTCTGTCTGCATTTGGAAGGTTTTAAAATGATCTGTAAGCAACTTTTATTAATTAGTGGTCTTCACTGCTCAAATAACAGTTCTGTGCTGGAACAACTACTTTCTCGTTATCTTCCAATCACACGTTTACTGAACAAACTCTTTCAGTGAGGGAACATTAGGGATATGTTCTCCCAGTATATTTCAAGTATTGGGTGCTCTCTGTAACAGTTCAATGCTGCGCCTGATTTAAAAGCTTAGTACATGCAAAAAGGGAAGATGTTCATCCATTTCCTACCAGGAACTAACTAACTAACTGCAACTTCCAATTACGCAGAATACTACAGAAATCTATATGAAATATACATGCAGAAAAGAGTGCACCTTATAGAACACATTCCAAGAAAATCCTTTTTAGATATAATGTCCTTTTTCATGTTTTTTTGCAAAAAAAAAAATTGAATGTTTTGTTTCATGACAACATCCTCTCATCTCATTTTCTAGAAGGAGAGATAAATGGAAATTAGTGGGAAGTTTATTCCCTCTCTAGCATTTTCTCATTCAAGGGAATTAGAGGTGCACATATGATAGAAAACCGACAGCTTCTCCATAAAAACCTGGATGAGCAATCTTAGCCATAGTCCCATTGAAGAGAATGTCCCTCGTTATCACAAACGACTCAGAGCCTGGGGACTTGCTGTAAAAAAAGGGGGCATTCAGAGGTTAAAAGGGAGATTTACTTATTGTGCATCATATATGATAAATGCTTGACAAATTAACTCTGACATTTCATTTTAAGGCAGTGTATTATCGTAAATGTAAAAAAAAATAATAGATACAGTAATGGGAAAAAGAAAGTACACCCTTTTAAAATTTATTTTTGTTAAATAAATCATGACAATGTGTAATATGTCATGTGTTGTTCATCTGAGGTTGTAATTATTATTAAAACCTGCTAAGGAACGATTTTTATTATGTCCTGATATGTATAACCACAGAATTCAAAGAAGGAGTACTTTTTTTTTTTTTCAAATGACTGTATATTTGAAAGTGGATTCCTTTTATTAGTGTTTAGAAAGTGTCATGTTTTACCTTAAGCAAGGTATTTTGGAGGAAGAGCACAAATTAGTTAATTTAGTTAATTTCATTGAGATGTTTATCTAGCCGTGGCTTTTATTGACCTAGCCTTTTTAATTTTCATGGGAATTTGTCTTTGCACTCCATTAAAGCAGCCCTTTCATGGCCGAATTCAGTTTTGTTTTGTTTTTTACCCCCCTCCCGACTCCACTACATCTAATTGTACCCCCGGTCACCCCCAAATGCCCCATTTCCCCATTTTACATCTTTTTTTTTTTTTTTTTTGTGTGACCTAGGTCCTGGGAGCTGCCATCTTTGTGTGGGCAGATGAAGTCCCTGCACTAGATAGCTCTGTGAAATTCCCACGCATGCCCAGTTAAACACTTGGGCATGCGAACGGGAATTTAATCTATTTATTCATTCGTCAGACAGATGAATAAATAAATAGAAATTTTAAACAAATTAATGAAGAGGTTTGTTCGTTTGTTTGGTTTATTACAAGGAGGGAGCTACTGGCGCACAGCTCCCTCCTTGTAATATGTAAAAATAGAAGCGGCAGGGAGCAGTGCTTCCTGCCACTTCCTAAGCCTCCCATGTTCTCCCTCACTATGTGGGGGTCAATTTGACCCCCATAATAGCATAAGGGAGATTAAAATCTCCCGAATGCCCCTACTCGCTATGGTACCCTCCCTTAACAAATTCCCCTATGGTGGGGCATCTATTAACTAGTGGGGAGGGACATAGTGTCGGGCTCGGAGGGCTATAAAAGTAAACAGGGGACATAGGGTCCCCCTTGCCCATTCCCCCCCCCCCCCACCCAATCTTTACTTAGTGTTTGTAAATTTGGCTGAAAGACCAATTTAGGTCTTTCAGCCTTTTGGTAGATAACCCCCTATTCCCACAGTATTAGGGAGCTATCTACTAAGCGGCTGCAAGATGCAGCCGCGATCGGATCGTAATTTCATTTATTCTAATTAAATTCCGATTCGAACAAAGTCCCGAATTGCGTCCTAACACGAATGGAGAAACTGTTTTTATTCTGTTAGGACGAAATTTGGTAGTTTCGCCAGCGTTCTGTCTAAGTGACAGGACGTTCGGAAATGCTGACAGGAAGCGTTGCGAGATTACGGCGGAAAGGTAAGAATTATGGGAAAATTGCTTTGACCACAGGAAATGGAGCACACTTTGTTCCTCCGCTGGTCAAGTGTAGGAAACCTCCATAAGACAAAGTAGTCCCTACTTTGTCTTATGTTTTAAAGAAAACTAGAGCAGACAGGAAGAAATGAAGAACAGATCCTGACAGAGGGATAGAAGAGGAATCTATTAAAGAAAGGTAAGTTCGGCATGACAGTGCCGCTTTAAGTATGTGATGGCTATATTAAATAAGAACTGTCCGCTATACTATCAATATTTTTTTCCAGCGGAGTCCTTTATACATAACTAGTTCAGGAAGCATGAGAGCAAGTAAATACATTAAAACACAAATACAAAACCTTAATCTATGACTTCTCAAAAAATAATACAAGAGATAAAAAATAGATGAAATTAGATGCCCATACATTTGTTTTATTTGGCAGGGAGTCAGGACATCAACTCTACAGTTATCTGCACTGCAAGAGGGAGACTACACTTTTCAGCTGACTGTTACAGACTCTGCGGGACAGCAGTCTACCAGCGAGGTTACTGTAATTGTTGAACCAGGTAATCCAGTTTGGAAGCAATGCAAATCAATTGAATATGTCTAATGCTAAGCTCTAGTCTTGGTTTGTTTCATCCTGTGATGGTACGTCTGACATCTGAATGGATGTGATCTATTCACAGTTTCCAAGGAATAATTTAATTTGTGCACATTATAATATCAATAAGTCACTAGTGTAATGTAGTCAGTAAATGAATAAATGGTGGTAATATATGTAATATTGAAGTGTAGTAAAGTTATTCAGTAATGACTACAATGAATTATACCTCACCCAAGTTGTTTTTTTGTTTTTTTTTGTAGTGGTATTGTTTATTCATACATTTTAATAAGGTGAATGCAATAAATGTTTGTAGTAGTAACGATTCTATATATGTTGATCAGTGCTAACCATCAGGGCTCCAGATTTCCACTCTCCAACAGTCTTCAGTCAGTGAGAAATTTGTCCTGGCAAGTAGAAATTCACCTACCTACTATGAGTGTGCCATGGACAATTGTAGATTATGCTAACGTAGTGTACCTATAATCTTAATTTTAATAATGACAGGAGGCAAATATTTTGCATAACTTTCTTTACTTTATGCCTCCAGCAGCACAAGTCAATCAGAAAAAAAACTTTAAACCAATCAGTAACAGGTATCACATCCATATATAAAGCCCTGACAGACACATGACTTCCTCTTTCTTTGATGCGAAAAACAGTCTATTATAACGTCAGGGAATTCAAATAACAGTCCTGAGTAACGTGTAGCACATAACTTGAAACAAAACTTGAAACCTTACAGCTTTATCTTGTCGAATCCATCTATGATGATTATGCTGAAAAGAACAGAAATACGTGAAAGGTGATGGAAACCAACTGTTGTCCACTTATATTAAGTTAATATACTGAAACATTAAACAACCATAGTATACTTAATAAATCAACATGGATCTAACATATGTCAGCCAGGTAAGCATCCCATAAATATACTGAAATACTAAAACCTTATAATTACACTGAGAAGATGACAAACCAGAATATTAGAATTTTCCAGAGTACAGGGAGGGAAAATATTCGCCTCCTGTCATTATTAAAATTAAGATTATAGGTACACTACGTTAGCATAATCTACAATTTTATCACATGACAGGAGGCTTCATATTTTGTATTTTTAAAGCTGTGGTATGAGCGAGAAGGATGCGTGTGTGGTTGACGAAAATAAATATACGGAAGTAGTCTATCCGTGTCCAATTCGTCGCTGTAAAATATAGAGGCCCCCCGTGAAGGCCTGAGAAGCAGCCGCGCTTCGTACCTAACGAGTACCCAAAACACGTCTCCACCCCTGCTAGCGATAACAACCAATGAACCCACCTAGACAGAGTGTTCATGGTAACTGGCTTGTATGGTTGGTATAAGACCAGCAGATGTCCTGAATGTGACAATCTAAGTGTGGTCGTGATCTCCATGTAACAAAGTACCGCTTTAACTGCACAAAGACTGGGAAACCGCCGGGAACAGGGTAAGATACGAATGCGGATAAGATTTAGTTCTACGAGACGCCGTAGAAATCATTCCTGCCAGTGATACCGAAAAGACCGTCTACATCGATACCCGACGAAAAGACCTAAAAGTAAAGTGACTATGGCTGACAGCTGACGGAGGGATAGGTCCGTGTTATCTGACTAGTTCCAAAAGAACCAAATCAAAGTCCCATAACAGTGATACTTTGACGCATGGTTCTGGACAGTTTGATCCCCCGCAGAAAGTGGCATATCAAAGGCTCCTGATCGACCGGAGTGTTGTGAATCGTACTATGCGTCATCGAAATCGCGGAACGTATCCCGTTAACAGAATGGTCCGATCGGCCCGTAGTGAAAAGGTATGATAAAGATTCAGCATCGAAGAGATAGGGGTAATAAAGGGATCGCAGTCCCTTTCCATACACCAGCGAACTCCAGGTGTTCCATGCGGATAAGTTATTTCGGGGAATACCTGGTGTCCATGAGTCCCATAGTCGGTCACTAGTTGTTTGCGATAGTGCCTTGACATACCAGTCTCCCCTGAAAGACACTAATCCACCAACTCCAGACGCTCCTGCATTATCAATGGATGATCTCCTTTTGGATCTGTCTGAAGGCAAGTTAAAACTAAAGGAGCAGAGGATGATCCGATTTAAGGACAACCATTCTGGGTGCCAAGCTTGACTTCTTTACCGCGGTAACGAGTACTATCAAAGTCTTCGCTATTCTAATCCCAATTTCATAGGTGTGTCCGGATCTCAGGCAGTGAGCTTTCAGCCGCTGTCTGGCCTGGTAGTGAAGCGGTCCTGGGAAATAGTCAAAGGGTTATGGTGCCTTTCCGCCGTACCCGTCGAATTTCCTTACGAATCGTCGCTATCAATGATGTGGGAAGGTGTAATCCGCCCAAGGTGGAATCTATTCCGAAGTAGAAGAACTGAATCACTCGGAACTGGGATCGAACCGACTCCTCTCTGTTCACTATGAATCCCAACAATTCCCGAAACTGTAAACGTAGTCAGGAATTAGATTTGCAAAAGGTCAGTAAGTCGTCTAGGTATGCGACAGCGGATACCCTTTGCTCTTCAGTGCGCCGTGACCGGCTTCAGAAACTTCATGAGGCACCATGTGAACCAGTAGGTAAGTGCCCTTCAAATCCAACCTTGCGAACCCCTTTCGAGGAGTAGATCCCATAAGAGATGGATACCTTCCTTCTTGAGTTGTCGGTATGCCTCAAAACCATTGGGTTGGCGTAGGTTAATGACTGGGCGATAGTCTCCTGTCTTCTTCCTTACTACCAAACCGTTGCTGAGATAAATGGTTCTCCAAACAATAGTCCGTCCGACCTGAGGTCCTCGCTCGTTCGTACCTAACTTCAATAGTTTGAAATCCATCGTTAATCGGGCTGCTTTGCGCCGTTCTGTGCACCTGTCTGCCTTGCGTTCCCCAGCCTACATATTTCCCTTTGCACCCATTCCCTCACATCGTGAGCTTCTAGAGGTGAGTCTTGGGTGGGGTCAGGTCCGCAAAGTATAGAATTTTTTCCCGAGGCTGATCATGTCCAGTATTTCATCCTCCCTCGTTTTGAGTCCTTCTCCTACACCTTTACATGGACGCCGGCCTGCTCGGGACAAAAATATCACCAAAGGGTGCCCAGTGCTCCGGTAAACCCTATTCGGATGACCCTGGGTGTTGGATGGTGCGTGAGTCAAAACAAGAGTGTCCAGTGTGCCAATGAAAAACCTTTCTTGCTAGGCGGGTCTTGTCACTTTACCTCTTCAGATGGAGACTCTTCTGATCTCCATTCTTTCATGATCTCCAGAGAAGGGATGAAGTCCTCCACCCCTGATGATGGAGCCTGAGATGATTAATGGACAGGACGTTCTGAGAGACAGCTCCGCTAAGTCGGGGTGTTCCCTTTCCCCTTAGGAGAAGCCGCGTTGGAGCCCTTCTAATGGTGTGTAGATGGTAAGGTGTCCGACTTAACGTTGTCGGTATCTCTAGCTTCCATTGGTGTTGGTGCCGTTGCACTCGCTCTGTCGGATGGGTTGTTAGCCAGCATATTAGAGAGTACTTCTTCCCCCAAAGCTGCCATGGCGGCCTTAATCCTCGCCTGAAAATCGGTCGGGGATATTGAGGGTCACCCTCAATAAGACCGGGATGAGCGGTCAGTAATGTCGGGACATAGCCCGTGTATGGGGTGGTATGGTAGCCTCCAAATTATCCAAGGATTCGTAGTGATATAGTACTGTGGAGAATTGGCAGCACCGTGAGCTCTCCTTCCTGGCTCTGTCGATCTATATGTATCCAGTGTGTCCCGGTCTGTGCATACAGTAACAGATCGTACTCCGTGGATATGAGCCCGTCCTTGGGCGTGGGGGTTCCCCCCAGTATATGTATGTCACTAGTACCGGAATAAGATTCGCTTGGGGTTCACCCATTGTAGGGGGTTCACCCCAGTATATGTATGTCACTAGGACAGGAACTAGATTCGCTTGGGGGTCACCCAGCATAAGGGGGGGTCATCCCTGTACCACAATGTCACTTTGGAGAGTTGTCTGCCACACTTGGGGGTCACCCAGCATAAGGGGGTTCACCCCTGTTAATCACTCCGTTATGTGCCTCCACTACTGTGTCATGGGAGGTGTATCACTGTGGGGAAGGAGTGGATCCAGTGGTTGTGAGGTCCAGTGGGAGTAGGGAGCTGAGTAATTTATCAGCTCTATTTAATTTCCCTGCCAGCAGATAGAGTAATGTATCCACTATGTGCCCACAGCAGGGAACAGTCGATTCATAATCCTCCAGACGTACAATAAAACTGTTATTCAACATGTCAATTGTATAGAACAGAATAGAGCAAACTGCCAGCAGACATAGTTACATAGTTACATAGCTGAAAAGAGACTTGCGTCCATCAAGTTCAGCCTACCTCACATTTGTTTTTTGCTGTTGATCCAAAAGAAGGCAAAAAAACCCAATTTGAAGCACAATTTTGCAACAAGCTAGGAAAAAAATTCCTTCTTGACCCCAGAATGGCAGTCAGATTTATCCTTGGATCAAGCAGTTATTACCCTACATTGAAAGATTATATCCTTGAATATTCTGTTCTTGCAAGTATGCATCTAGTAGCCGTTTGAACATCTGTATGGACTCTGATAAAACCACTTTTTCAGGCAGAGAATTCCACATCCTGATTGTTCTGACAGTAAAAAAACCTTTTCCTTTGCCTTAGACGAAATCTTCTTTCTTCCAGTCTAAATGCATGGCCTCGTGTCCTATGTAAAGTCCGGTTTGTGAATAGATTTCCACACAATGGTTTGTATTGGCCCCGAATATATTTGTATAATGTTATCATATCCCCTCTCAGGCGACGTTTTTCTAAACTAAATAGGTTTAAATTTGTTAACCTTTCTTCATAGCTGATATGTTCCATTCCTTTTATTAATTTTGTAGCCCGCCTCTGCACTTTTTCCAGTGCCATAATATCCTTCTTTAGAACAGGTGCCCAAAATTGCACAGCATATTCAATATGGGGTCTTACCAGTGATTTATAAAGAGGCAAAATTATATTCTTGTCCTGAGAATGAATGCCCTTTTTCATGCCTGACAATACCTTACTGGCCTTGGCCACTGCTGATTGACATTGCACATTGTTGCATAGTTTGTGGTCTATAACAATTCCCAAGTCCTTTTCATGTGTTGTTATCTCTAATTCGCTTCCATTAAGGGTATACGTTGTTTGTGTATTCTTTATGCCGAAGTGCATAACTTTGCATTTTTCAACATTAAATTTTATCTGCCATTTGAGTGCCCAGTCCCCCAGTCTATCTAAATCCCTCTGCAGCAAAGTAATATCTTGCTCACATTGTATTGTTTTACAAAGTTTGGTGTCATCTGTAAACACTGAAACATGACTTTCAATGCGGTCTTCAAGATCATTTATAAACATGTTAAATAGAAGGGGTCCCAGAACAGACCCCTGAGGGACACCACTTGCCACCTCTGTCCAGCTTGAAAATTTACCATTAATGACAACTCTTTGTACTGTTTTTAAGCCAATGTTCTACCCAAGAACAAGCATTTTCATCTAGACCGATTTCCTTGAGTTTGAACACTAATCTATTGTGTGGAACTGTATCAAATGCCTTGGCAAAATCCAAATAGATTACATCCACGGCAACACCCTGATCTATACTTCTACTTACTTCTTCGTAGAACGCAATCAAGTTAGTTTGACATGACCTGTGCTTCATAAAACCATGCTGATTTTTGCTGATAACCATTTTCTTCTCAAGGAATTCTTGAATATTATCCCTTAATAACATTTCAAATATTTTACCAGCCACAGAAGTTAATCTCACAGGTCTATAATTTCCAGGCAAGGATTTTGAACCCTTTTTGAATATAGGAACCACATCTGCCTTCCTCCAATCCTCCGGAACACTTCCTGAAAGAAAAGAATCTTGAAAGATTAAAAACAGAGGTTCACTTATTTCTACACTTAGTTCCTTAAGTACACGTGGATGGATACCGTCAGGCCCTGGAGCTTTGTTTATATTAACTTTCTTTAGTTGCTGCAGCACCTTGTCTTGAGTTAACCAATTACAATTATTCTGCAAGTTTTTAGTAGCAATCATTTGCACATCTATTGCCATGGGTTCTTCCTTAATATATACGGAGGAGAAATAGTTATTTAAAATTCTTGCCTTTTCCTGGTCTTCATTAACTAACACCCCCGTTTCAGTTTTTAGTGTACCTACACTTTCATTTTGTTTGTTTTTTAGAATTTATGTACTTAAAAAATGAGTACTGCATCCACTATATGCACACAGCAGGGGTCAGTCCTACATATTCATGCAGAGTTACATATAAAACTTTTATTTCACATGCCAATGAAATATGACCGTATAGAGCTCAGCAGTGAACAGTCCATTCATAATCTCCCAGAAAAGGTACATATAAAACCTTTATTCCACATGCCCATGATATGTATAAGTATTGAGCTCAAAAGTACTTGTAAAACTTTGTTTTCGCAGGAAAAATATTTTAAACAGTACAGATCTAGCTGGCCGTTTGTGGGAATCACGAACTGGCTAAACGACATGGCCGACGTGAATTTCGCGAGTGCCGTGTGGCCCGCGATCGCGCGCAAAAGTGCCGTTTGGCCCGCGATCGAGGATACGATCGCGGCCCGATGGTATGGAACAGAGTCCCCCCGACACCCCTAACTCCCAGAGACCTGCCCTGAAGTCCCAGCACCAGTGAAAAAAAAAACACGATCGCGGTAAAACTATGTGATCCGTGCGAGACCAGAGTAAAGCATAGGAAAGAAAAGGTGCCAGCAACAGAAAACCAAACAGGCTAATAAAGCAGAAAATACAGGGTTAATTCGGGTGAAGGGTAATGGGGAGAATATCACACTATACAAGTCCAAATGGAAGGCAAGTGCAAAATAATGAAAAACGTTTAGATCAAAATTGCAGGACAAGCTAATAAAGTTTAACTAAAGTGGCCATGCATATCCAGAAACAGTTTGGAGAAAAACTGAATGTCCAACATTGAAATCTAACTAAAGTGATCATAGCAATATTAATTAAAAAAAAGTTGGAGCAAACTGAAAGTCAATTAATAAAGTTTAATTAAAGTGACCATTGCAATATCCAGAAAACCAGTTTGGATTAAAACTGAATGTCTAGCATAAGGTGTCTAACTACATTGACCATAGCAATATTGATAAAAACAGTTTGGAGCAAACTGAAAGTTAAGCAATACATGTTTAACTAATGACAATTTGCAATATCAGTAAAACAGTTTGGAGCAAAATACTCTGACCTGTGCCTTGGCTGGTAAGCAGAAAAGAAAGAGGTCATGTGTCTGTCAGGGCTTTATATATGGATGTGATACCTGTTACTGATTGGTTTAAAGTTTTTTTTCTGATTGACTTGTGCTGCTGGAGGCATACAGTAAAGAAAGTTATGCAAAATATCAAACTTCCTGTCATGTGATAAAATTCAGGCTTGTAGTGTACCTTTTAATTCCTGGCTAGTAACACAATATTGACATTTTAAATCATGCTAACCATTTTCTTATCTTCCAGAGAATAACAAACCACCTGAGGCTGATGCCGGACCGGACAAGGAGCTCACCCTACCGGTGGACAGTACCAGACTTGATGGCAGCCGGAGCACAGATGATCAGAAGATTGTTTCTTATCTGTGGGAGAAAACACAGTGAGTATCTAAATTCCTTACTCAGTTACCCAGGAATTTGATAATTCTGCACTCTGTACTCTCAAGAAGCAAATGCAAGTACAAAAGTAGACACGATTTATTTAAATGTGGAAACAAAGTAGGAAGTGTAGATCGGGAATTCAGATGTAATTTTGATATACCGACATTTCCTCACTTTGGAGCACAGCACACAAAACTGGCGATTGGAAGTGGACTATTTTGTGATCATTTTCGGAGTATAAATATGTGCTCATAGACCGGAGAGTATCATGTGGCTACAGTCCTAATCCCAGTACGATTAAAAGGGTTATGGGTATTTGCTTTTTCAATTATCCTTAGGAAATAGAAACGACAACAGAAGGTTGCTGAATGAAGTAGTTCATAAGAACTAAAGATGCGTAGGAAGTCTAAAAAGAGCACTATAACACCTAAAACCACACTAAAATGAAAAATGACATGTAGATACTGTGACAGCCACAACACAGGTATAGAATAGACCCAAATATTTATTGTAGTGGGATTTATTTGAAAATATGTTGAAGACTGTACAGGCTTCCTAACCTCAGAAAACAACAAACAAGTGGCCTAAGTTTTATATATGTGCAATATAACAGAGGTCTATACAATTTCTTTAGGGGACCCGATGGTGTGAAAATCATGAATGACACCAGCAGCATTGCAGTTGTGAGTGGCCTGCAAGTTGGAAACTATGAGTTTACTTTGACGGTGAAGGATGAGCGAGACTTGAAAAGCCAGAGCATTGTCAGCGTCATCGTAAAGGAAGGTATGTCCTAGTTGCAGAGTGGAAGATGGGATGTAGCATCTGATGTTTCAAATAGAAAATTCATCTCTACATTTCATATAGAAAATGTTATGCTATAGTAATGCCAAACATCGAATATTAATTCTTTCTGTTTATGATGTACATGCTGACTTTCATAAATGTATTAAAACAAAAAGCAAAATAACTTTTAAATCTACTTGCCTATTTAAGTTCTTTCCTATATGTAAAAGTATGCAAATTAATTGCACAAATAAATCTGGATCTCAAAATCTCAAAATTCCATTGAACTTTTTTTTTTTTTTTAAGTTAAAGTCTTTATTGCTATGTGATTTATGCTCTGGTAAGTTATTTCAGTAAAACAGCACTAATTCTTTTAACATTCTTTCCAGAGATGAACAAGCCACCGATCGCCAAGATTGCTGGCAACATTGTTATCACTCTCCCTAGCAATACTGCAGAACTTGATGGCTCCAAGTCTTGGGATGATAAGGGAATAGTTAGCTACCAATGGGAAAGGGATGAGGGGAGCCCTGCTGCTGGAGTGAGTAGCCCTTTGATTTCCTGCACTATTGTGTACTCATGTTAAATCTCACCCCGTTTCTCAAGGTGCTAAAAAATGCTTAAGTATCAACAGAGAAATATACACCGTTAAATTTGAAATTCACTTTGAATTCTTACTTTAGTAAATAACCCTGATTGTAGGCACACTCAAATTACTATCCATACATAAATTAAAGAGACGCTCTAAGCACCATAAGCTCTACAGCACTCCACTCGGAGTGGTTGTGGTGTCAGAAATTCTTTGGATCTGTCCCACAGTGAGCTGTCAAACCATTTCATAAATTATTTGATGCTTACCTTGCTCTGAGGTGCCTGCAGTCATTCCACTCTGCACTGAAATTCTAAAACAGAAATTTATACTTCCACATTAGCATACCAACTTTGGATATTATTCATTGGATTGGCTGAGGAGTGTTAGCGAACTCTCTCAACCAAGGAATAATCTCCAACGTTTCAACAAAATTTACGATATTGTACGTGCAGTACTTTCAACTTCCACTTTAGCATATCAGAGCGACCTGTCTGTAAATAGTTTGACAGCTTACCCTTAGAAAGCTCCAGGACAGCTTAACCTTAGAAGGCTCCAGGACAGCTTACGATTGGAAGGAGCCACAATGTAGTTTAATTTTCATGTATGTCCTATGCAGGATATATGAGATATTTTCCTGAATAGGTACTTGTGAATGTCTTGGCAGCATGGATACATATAAGAAGCGTAACATAAGGCAAAGATGGGTTGGACAGCCTCATTTCATGTAGCTTAATTCTAAGTCAGTAAGTCTTTAGGAATATTGTCGAAAAAAATTGCCATAGTAAAGTAAGGATATAATGGAGTGGATTGTGTATATATATGAAATAAAGGTGGGATCACAGGCCACAATACGCCAGAGTGATAGACTCTTTTGTTGCTGTACATGTATAGTCAAAATGCCACATTTTGTAATTGCTCTATATATGGGCAGTTAGGGCGCATTTTTCATAGTAACTTTATTGTCCTAGTACCTTGATGTAAATTGACATGCTTAGGTGCCACTCTCAGGATAGTTGCTTATCATGACCTAAGTTTGTTTAAACACTTGTTAAGATGTGTATAAAGTGAAGGTTAACATAATGATAATTCTTTCCCTTGCTACAGGATGTGCTCAATAACTCTGACCGGCATGCAGTCTTGTTTCTCTCTAACCTCGTTGAAGGCACTTACACTTTTCACTTGAAAGTGATGGATGCTAAAGGAGAGAGTGACACTGACCGGGCGACAGTTGAGGTAAAACAAGGTGAGTCCTTCTGAACACAAAAATGGCATTAAGTAACCTACTCAGGCAAATATAACTGTACTGCATGTATACAATCTGTTAGCTCTTGACGCAAAATGCTAATAATATGCTCAGATAGTGCAGTGATGTGACCTTATGTACCAAGCAAGTCTCAGCTATGTTCAGCTAGCATGTTAATCCCCATAGGCTGCATGATTGACCAGTTTACTGTATTACTAAATATCGAGACAGGCAGATTTTTTGTGCAACCATGATTCAACGTTTCCCATCCTGAATATAAAAAAAACTGTGCTATGTATTTTAATGCCATTCCTATGTTAATGTATGTTTCCATACCTGCTTGCGCCAGCTATCATGGCAGTGCAAACATGATTGTTCACGCTAAGCACAAATAAAATAAAGAATAAAAACAAAAAAAAAGGCATTAAGGCAGGGCTTGATAAATTTGTTTGGCATCTAAGAGCCAGCTAAAAAAGTTATGAGCCAGTTGTTTTTTTTAAGGGATACTATAGTAACCAGAACCACTACAGACTAAGTTCTTGTAGCCTTTTCAATGTAAACACAGCCTTTTCAGAGAAAAGGCAATGTTTACATTGCTGTTTAGTAACCCCTCTAGTGACAGACACTCAGATGGCCACTAGAGAGTCCTGTGTCAGTGCTCTGTATGGAGGCGCTGAATTTTACCCATAGAGAACATGCGTAATATCCTCCCAATGCTTTCCTACGGGAAAGCATTGGCTTAGCTGAGTTCATTAAGATCTCTGTTATGGAGGCGGGACAAGCCATGGCAAAACCAGCACGGCATGGGAAAAAAAGTGATTAAAAACACCAATCGTGATCTGAGGAGGGCAGGCACCTAAACAGACACACACTCTCTGACAGACATACATACGCACACACATTGATAGTGGCATATACACATTCATTGACAGAGACATAGACACACATACATACACACACACACACACACTTTCTCTAACACTGACAAATTTATATTTGTAATTATAATCCACCCAGCTTCCATCCTTTTGGGAGAGCTGAGTAGACTTTCCCTGGGGTCCAGTGGGGCTGCTTGCTTATCCTGCATGCGAGGGAGCAGTAATCTACCTGCAGCTGCTCTCTGCTCCCCGTAGTGATGCCGGGGCCAAAACGACATCATATTCCAGCTCCCGGCATCACTATACAGCGGGAGGGAGCAGAGAGGAGCTGCAGGAAGATCACTGCTCCCTAGCATGCTGCCCCAGCCTGCTGCCTCCATGCTCCCTGAGAGTTGTATAGAGTGATATATAAAACTGTTTAATTATTTATCGTCTGGTAAAACATGTAAAATCAATGTGTATACGAACACATGCACACTACAACTGTTAATGACTTGTCCCCTGTCTGCCCTACATTTGCAGATGCTATGAAAAACAACCTGGTTGAGATGATCCTGGATGTAAGTGTCAGCCAGCTGACCGAGAGACAAAAGGGAATGTTTATGAGGCAAATTGCAGTTCTCCTAGGGCTACTGGATTCAGACATCATTGTCCAGAAGATTCAGCTATATACGGAGCAGAGGTAAGTTGCAACCCAGTGACAATCCAGGGAGGATTTATCACCATTGGATTTCTGCATTAAAATGTTTTCTTTCATAATATCTCACATATTTTAGGAGGGAAAGAGAGCCAAATGTTGGAGAAATAGTACAAGAGAATAATGAATTTTATTGCAGCAAACATATTAGCAAACAAAGAGAAAATAATCAAGAGCATTTTTGCATTATGTTCTAACAGAACAAAAATTGTGCATTTTAAGCCTTAAGTGTTCCAATAAGTAATCCTAACAGTGCAGGATATCATAACATAATTATTTCATTTAATGACTGCAATGCGATATATGTTGTTGTGCAGGGCTTTAATGCCCGGTGTCTAGATTACTGCTGGCACTAGGTAGCCCCAAGTATCATTCACTATGTGAGGCTCCCCTCTGTCAGTCTGGGCCATAATTAGTGGCTCCAGACTGACAGATGGCTGTATGCAACTCTCAAATTGATCACCACAGCTGAATGATTGATTTGATATCCACTGATTAGCTGAAAAGACCCTGGTGAGATGTACCTGCATGCCCCCTGCTAATACCTGTGTGATCGGCGTGGTGGCATGAGTGGGAGATTTCCCTATCAACCTCCAGTCTCCCAGTATAGAGGATTCACAGAATTCTCAGTACTGTGTTATCTGGGAAATACTGACATCAGCAGAGGGAATCCCTCTGAGGTAGGTTTAACGTTGCTGTTAGGGCTAAGATTGTCAGTAGGGTTATGGTTGATGTTTGAGGTAGAATTAGGGGTAGGGTTAGGTTTAGAAATAGCACCAATGTTTAATGCTGTTCAATAGGGTGACACAGTTAATGCCACTTCACCAGATTGCATCCCTTGTATATAAGCAAAGAGGCATATACGCTATTTGACCTTACAAGTCCCTCAAACTTCTGCAAAGGTATAAATGTGGGGTTTTGTAATCAAGAACAGTAGCAGAATACAAATATGATGTCTTTACAGAAATGGGATGTGGTCTGTGAAAAGATCTATGAAAATAAACTGTGTGAAAAAACACAAAAAGTTGCACATGTGTAGAAAAAGATATTAAATGTAAGATTGAGCAAAATATTCAGTTTTTTTGTTTATATATTTTTTCTTATTTCCATTATTATTTTTATTTACATTATATTTTATTCATATTTAATTTTTATGTATACATATAGAACACCAAAATAAGGCCAATTTTCTCCTTTTAAAAAGTATATATAATATGTATAAGTGCATTTTAAAGCGACACTGTCAAGCCAAACTTGCCTTTCTACTATAGTTTCCTTCTTTTTTTTTTTTTCTCCCTCTCTCAGAATCTGTTTTTCTTTTCTTTTTCTTGCTGATCTAGTTTTCTTTAAAACATAAGACAATATAGGGACTACTTTGTCTTATGTATTTTTCCCTACACTTGACTTAAAGGTACACTGTAGGCACCCAGACCACTTCAGCTCATTGAAGTGGTCTGGATGCAATGTCTAATGCCCTTTAACCCTATGTGGTAATTAATTAATTCTCAGAAACTGCAATAATTACTTTGCAGGGGTAATTCCTCCTCTAGTGGACTTCCGGGTGCTTAGACAACTTTTGGTCATCTAAATGACACTGGACGTCCTCACGCTATGCATGAGGACTTCCAGCGTCGCTGGAATCCCCATAGTAAGGCATTGATTAATGCTTTCCTATGGGGAAATCCTAATGCGAGCCAATTGCTGCGCATGCGCATTAGGTTTTCCCCTGTCTTTGGGGGAGGAATGTTGGCCAGCTCCTAGGGACAGTGGCGCTGGATTCAGGTAAGTGACTGAAGGGGTTTAACCCGTTCAGCGCAGCGGGAGGGGGGCACTGTAGGATTCTATAGTGCCGTGAAAGCTGCTTTGTTTTCCTGGCACAAGAGAATCCCTTTAAGTCGGCTCCATTTCCTGTGTCAAGGAGAAGAGTGAGTACTTTCTCTGACACAGGAAATGGAGCTGACTTAAGCTCCTCCTTTGGTCAACGAAATTAAAGCATAGAAAAAATACCTAGGACAAAGTAGTCCCTACTTTGTCTTATGTTTTAAATAAACATAGATCAAAAATAAAGAAAAGAAGAACCGATTCGGAGAGAGGAAGAGACGAGGAAGCAATAGGAGAAAATAATATTCGGCGGGACAGTGCCACTTTTAAAAGAAACAAACACGTGGTAAAAGGCTCAAAAAAGGCCATGGTCAGAAACAAACTTTTCAATAGTTCTTGTTCCTTAAGGGGTTAAAATACATTTATCTTTCACTTTCTAATCATCTTTTAACTATTAAATTATTATTTTTATTTTTTATTTATAACACCCTAAAAGCAAATAGAGATCCATAGGTCTCAAAGCATTTTGTACCCATTTCCTGTCTTGCAGGCTCACTACAGCTATCCCTGCTCTTTTTTCTAAATTGTTTACCAATTGCAGCTTATAACAAACCATAAAGTGTGCTAAATCTCAAGGAGAAAAACATAAAACCACTTAAATCACTCTAAATGTATTAAAGTGCATATATCGTATATCTGTGCAAATCACTGTGCAAAGTTTAAGCATAAAGTGAAATGTGCAAAAACACTCAAACGGTGCAGAAAAGTACTATTGCAATTGTGCATTTCAATAAATAACATAATACTCACATAATATAGGAAAATAGTACCAGAGCGCTAAATGGATTAATGGAAGCTCTATAGGGGCAAACAACTAGAGCTTATGGAAAACGTTACAGTTTGTAATGATATACTCTATTTCAAAATTGTTTCATATATTTCAGCTACCACACTTCGTTTTCCCTTCACCACATTATAAAAGACATCTAAAATAGAATAGTTTTTAAGAAGTGGAGCGATATTAAGATAAGTACCTTCCCACATGCAACATAAATTAGAAAAATGCGAAAAAGGATGATACTTAAATTCCTCACGGAGTGACACTCTGATTCATATGGTACATGTAAAAGAAGGAATTGAGATAATAGTGCAAATCTGTATGGATAATAGTTATATACCACTTTTTTATTAGTGCTGGTTATCACGTACATTATATTGGTAGGCTGGATGTTAAAATAACAATTTATTAACAATCACAGTGATTTAACAATAAAAATATGCTAAAAATCAAAACAATAAGATTCTCCAACAGAAAATTGTGTAAACAGATGACTGCTTACTAGAATAGGTGGTGAGTACAACGGTATATGTTCCCGTTACTCACAAATATGCTGTCCCACACTGGGAGATGTCTCCTGTGGGTTGAGTCAGGCAGAGTTCCAGAGTTCTCCAATCCAGACATATATAAATTTGCATAAATGGGAGCAAACTTAGCCCCCATAGCATTCCCTTGGCATTGCAGATAATGTTTATTATAAAAAATAAAATAATTGTTGATTACAATCCATTCTATACTATTTGTTAGAAACTCTACATGCTCTACTGAGAATTTTTCAGTTCCCTGTAAACATTCACATATTACCATCCATCCTAAGCTATGGGGTATAGAGGTATAAAAGGATGATACATAACTTGTCACCAGAATAAATGTTTCTTTCCACTCTATTCCCTGTAAAATCCTAATAATATCTGTAGCATCATTTAGATATGACTGCATGGCCTTCACTATATCCTGTAAGTGGATATTGACAGATTTGGTTAAATTAGCTGATATAGAGCTTATGCCCGAGACTTTGGGTCTCCCAGGGGGTTATTTGCATCTTTGTGCACTTTTGGCAGGATATAGAAGGTAGGCGCATGTGGATGTTCCTTTTTAAGTAAATCATATTCATCATTTTTAAGTATACCCAACTCCTTACCTCTATCTAAAAGTGCATAAAGGGATATTTGAATGATAGGCGTTGGGTCTCTATCCAATTCGCTGTAGACATCTTTATCTCTTAACTGCCTATAACATTCCTTTAAATATTTCTTAGTGTCTTGTATGACTATACTACCCCCCTTTTCTGCAGGTTTAATTATGATGTTTTTATTTTCCCTTAATCTTTCCAAGGCACATTTCTCATTCAAATCTAAATTAAAGATCTGTTCATTTTTATTTCTTGATTCTATTTTCTCAAAATCTTCAATAACAGACTACTCAAATATGTCAATAGCACTGGTACGATATGTCCTCGGATAAAAATTATACTTTCTTTTTAAGTGTGATTAGTATCGGTCACCACTTCTGTCCTTTTATTGAGCTAAAAAAATCTTTTAAATGTTAACGTCCTAGAAAACTTTAGGATGTCTATATACGCTGAGAATGAATTGAACTTTCTTTATGGAGCAACTTTAAACCCTTTATTTAAAACTCTGAGTTGGGTCTACTCACCATGCGGATCCCAACCTCCTGGCACGCCACTCACCTTGTTACAGCCGCTGATCTCCAGCCGCACGCTCCGCTCTATTCCTCATTCTGGTTGGAGCCCACCGAAATTAGTATCAGGTGACCTCTTACCTCACCACTGCTTCCGGGTTATGTCGTCCTGTTCGTTCCAAGAACCGTGAGTTTTTCCCAAAAGGTTCATACGTATGCTATGTTTGGCCGCCGCATGGCTCCCATTCTTGCGAACAAAACCCCTTTCGTGTCCTTGTTCATGCCAATCCAACCATACGTTCTGTTCTATATTTCATGGTCACATTCGGTGCCATTCGTTCGTATAAATTTAACCAAACGCGATGCTCTAGTTGGTCTACTTGCAACCCTTAGCGACCACACTTCATTATGACAGTTGGTGTATTTCTATGTCATAAGTAAAAGAGTAAATCTCTGGTAACTAAAATAGTAAATTATTTTAGGCTGCTACATACTTATGCATGCGACTTAAAAAGAGAGAGAACTTAACTCTATCTCTAATTGACCCCCTTCACCCCCAAATGCCCCTAAGCCCCCACATTACCTATTTTTTATCTTTATTTCTGCCCCGATCTTTATTCAAGGCGCCGTCATCTTTGTGTGGGTAGATGAAGTCCCTGTGGGACACGTCATCTGCCCATACCAGATAGATAGGGAAACACCTGGACATGCGAACGGGAATTTCATCTATTCATTCATTCATCAGACAGACGAATGAATAGAAATGTCAGATGAACAAACTAACACTGTGTATAGGTGTTCGTTTGTTCGTTCAGTTTTTTACAAGGAGGGAGCTACCGGCATGCAGCTCTCTCCTTGTAATATGTAAAGATAGAAGCGGTAGGGAGCAGTGCTCCCCACCACTTCATAAGCCCCCAGGCCCCCCCTCACTATATGGGGGTCAATATCACCCCCATAATAGCATAAGGGAGATTAAAATCTCCCCAATGCCCCTACTCGCTATACTGCATGTCTACTAAACAGTGAGCAGCCTGTGGCTGCTCACTGTAAAAAAAAAAAACCTACGATGGGTGGGGGCCCTAAAGTAAAAAAAGGGGGGAGACCTGTTGTCACCCCACCCCCCCCACCCCTGGGCGGCAGGTGGAGGCCAAATTGATAATTGGGGGGGGAACCTACTGTCCTCCCCACCCCTGGGCGGTGGGTGGAGGCCATAATGATAATGAGGGGGGGACCTACTGTCCTCCCCCCAGGCCCCCACCCCTGGGCGGAGGGTGGGGGCCATAATGATGATGGGGGGGGGGGAACCTACTGTCCCCCACCCCTAGGCGGCGGGTGAGGGCCAAATGATGAGGGGGGGGGACCAACTCTCCTACCCCCTGGGTGGCGGGTGGGGGCCCCAACCCCCGGCCCCAACCCCTGGGTGGCGGGTGGGGGCCCTAAGTAAAATTCACCCCCCATCAAAGGTGACTAGGGGTCCCCAAGCCCTTAGTCACCCACCCCCCCCCCACCCAAATAAAAAGTCCCCTACCTACCCCCTCAAAAGGACTTTCCCACGCTGTGTAAAATGACACAGAGCACTGTGATTGGATGGCTTGAAATCCATCCAATCACAGTGCTCTGTCATTTTACACAGCGTGGGAAAGTTCTTTGGAATTTTCCCACTCTGTGTAAAATGATAAAGAGCACTCTGATTGGCTTAAACCCACCAATCAAAGTGTTCTTAGCCTAATTGCAGGGCGGGGCAAGGCTTTATAAGCCTTCCCCCGCCCTGCGGAGCTCAGTCTGCGAGGAGCCCTCCATGGGTGAAGATGGATTATTTTTTTTGCGCTCTGGTTTTTTCTTTTTCGTCTGGGTTTTTTTTTTTTTGCGCTCTGGATTTTTATTTTATTTTAAGTTCGACTGTTATGATGGTTTTTTATTTGGCCTTTTTTGGGGCTGAAAAATGAAGATTTTAGAAAAAAGAAGACGTCGAAGTTTAATTTTACTTTACAGGTTAGTTATTTTATTCCCCCCTCACCATTTTTTAGGGTGAGGGGGGGTAGGTAGGGGACTTTTTATTTGGGTGGGGGGGTGGGTGACTAGGGGCTTGTGGCTTAGTTTTCTATCTCGATGGAATGGTAAGGCAAAGTTATTCCCCTCATCTCTGAACATCCCCAGTCATATGGACCGATGCTTCAGCCCATACAGGGTTTGCAGCTATCTTGACTCCTGGTTCAGAGATTCTTGGCCAGTTGAGACCCGTGGCCTACCCTCGTTCTACACTACATCAGCTCTGTTTGAAATCTACCCTATTGTGACAGCATCCAAAGCCTGAGGGCACCTGTGGTAAGGAAAAGCAGAATGTTTCTCCGACAACAAAGCGGCTAGTGACATCATAAAAAAGGGCAGATTCTCATCACTCAACATCATCAGACTATTTAGAAGAGTGACATAGCTAGCGGCTACACTACAATTTCATTTTACATGAATACACATCCCCTGCCGCATTAACAGAGCTGTCGAGGCATTGTCTGGTTCTAATTTCTTCAGAACACACCTACAGCCAACATCAGTCCGATCAGCACGCCCTCATACCAAGACTTAATCCTGGACTAAATCGCCTTATGGCTAACAGCAAATACCTGGCCAGCTCTGCTCTCTCTACCAATACATCACAGGCTTACAATAGGGCTTTTCACTCTCTATACCAAATCCACTTATATCGATCAACGACACACATTCCCTAGACTCCATAGTGGCCTTTATCTCTTTTTGCCACCTTAACCTAAAATTATCACAGTACACCATAAAACTCTACCTCACAGGGATACATCACTTTCCATTGATCACACCAATTACAAACCAATTAGGCACTCCGACTGAAGTATGCTACTACCCCACCGGTAATCACGGGTGTCCAGTTAAATTATTGGGCTCCTATTGTTCAACTCTAGATGGTCTAAACTCAAGTACACCATTACTCTGTTACATGGCAAAACTCTGACCACCATTAAATTCATTTTATATATTAGAACACTTTTAGAAGACTCGGTCTTGACCCCTCTGCTTTTCTGGCCACTCCTTCAGAATTGGAGCTGCTACCGTGGCTTCAAGCCACAATGTACCTTCTCATATAATTAGCATTTAAAGATTTAGCTTTGTAAATATGTGTGTAATAAAGATTATTTGTATAAATCACCTTTTTGCCCTTTTATTACAAGCCTACCCCATACGTCGGTTCCGGCACACCACAACCGACTGGTGCTTACTTCTACTTATATTGTATTATTATTATTATTATGGCTTAATGTCCTCCACTACAAATGCACTTTAATACATCTAGAGTGATTCAAGTAGTTTTATGTTTTTGTCCTTGAGACTTAGCACAATTTATGGTTTGTTTTAGGTTATTTTATGTGGTTTGAGTTCTTCACAGTATATGGTGCTGCATTAAAGAAAGATTTAGGTTATACAATTTTTAGGACCATTTTTACGTATAATTGCAGCTTATGCCACTGTTTTCCTTGACATGACCTGTCTATTGTCACTTACAGCACTAAGGTTGTCTTCTTTGTGAAGAACCAGCCACCTCATCTTGTCATGAAAGGTCATCAGGTTGCCTGGAAACTCCGCAATGAGCTCCGCAAACAGCAGAGTGACTTCCTCATCTTCAAAGCATTGGAAATAGATACATTCAGTGAGTGAAGTGAAGACTGTTCTGTTTTTGTTTAATGTTGCTATCTGGCCTTTGATATGGCCTAGTTTGTTGATACTGTAATTTTGGCTTCCTGTAGAGAAAAGAGGAATTTCAATGACTCTAATTATAATAATGTATATCCAGTGTTATAGAAGATCTCCATTCAATAATATTTTAAATATGTATATTAAAATCAAAGGCCTTGATTTTTTAACATCTTTCCAGATTAATATTTATATAGCGCCAGCTTATTCCGCAGCACTATATATTAAAAGGGGAATTTAACAAATGAGACAATAACAAAATGTAACAGGAATAATAGGTAGATGAGGACACTACTCAAATGAGCTTACAGTCTGGAGGAGGTGGGGCATAGACCACAATAGGAAGGATTTTGAGGGAGACCTCAAATAAACATGGTGGGAAAGTAGCAGAAGAGGGGGCATACCTACAAATCCGTGAAGAAATGTAAGCGGGGCTAGAGTTGGTTAGAGCTTTATAGGCAAGGGTTAGTATTTTGAATTGACATATATAGGATACTGGAAGCAAGTGTAAGGATTGACAGAGGGGTAAGGGGTGAGAGGAGCGACAGGAAAGAAAGAAAGCAGCATTCATCACAGATTGTAAGGGGGTAGTATGGCTTCTGGGGAGGTAATTTAGGAGAGAATTACAGTAATCAATAGTGATGTCCCGAACGGTTCGCCGAACGGTTCACCGCGGACTCATCATTGAGTAAACTTTGACCCTGTACCTCACAGTCAGCAGACACATTCCAGCCAATCAGCAGCAGACCCTCCCTCCCAGACCCTCCCACATCCTGGACAGCATTCATTTTACATTCATTGTGAAGCTGCATTCTTAGTGAAAGGGAGCAGGGATATGGGACAATAGTTGAAAAGGTAAGCTGGGTCAAGAGATGGCTATTTTTAGGATGGGTACAACAGTAGCATGTTTAAGGGGAGCAGGGACAACACCAGAAGAAAGAGCAGTTGAAGATGTGCGTTAAAGACAGTACAAAACAAGGGGTGAGAGATCTGAAGTGAGACAGGATGGGATCAAGTGGCGGGACGAGAGCAAAGGAGAAGCTCCGCCACCTCCTGTTCAGTAGCTGGAGAGAAGGCATGGAGGGTAGAGATGGTATGATCCAAGTGAGGTTGAGATAGAGAGGAGTGAAGGTGGGAGAATTCTTTCCTTAACTGTTTAATCTTGACAGTAAAGTAACATGCAAAGCCATCCACTGAAAGATTAGTTTGGGGGTGGCCACAGCAGGGCAAAGAAGAGAGATAAAGGTATTAAAGAGATGTCTAGGATTGTGGGAGCATTAACTAATGAGAGAGGAAAAGTTGACTGTTTACCAAGTTATTCAATACTGTTAGAAAAACTTTTCAGATGATTTATCTACAAAACTTCCAATGCACTTTAATAGTGACTTCTGTAGGTAAATAATTTTGAATGTTTTTCTGAACGTATTGAATCATTTGGAAAGCTTATTTAATCGAAGCCATAGTCAGCTGACCTCTTGATGCAGGTAAGATTAATTTGAATAGTAGAAATGATTGGTGAGGTAAAGGAAAGAAAATATATTGCATTCTGAGAGCAACCTCTGAATTTTTTTTACATTCCGCGGCACGGGGAATGGGGGTATGTTTATTATAAAGGTGATCGTGACCAACATTTTTTTTGAGTAGAATCTCATTTAAAAAGGGATGCCGGTTCCATTATAAAAGTATATTCAGCATGTGTCAGTCACAAAGTCACTGTGAGAGGCCGGCCACCTGTACTAATCTAGAACATTTCTGGCACTTCCGGTTTTTCTGTGCGGTAATGGACTGTGACCATGTTTCCATTCTTAGCCTGCCAGCTAAACTGCTCTCTGCATGGACACTGCAACTCATTCACCAAGCTGTGTGTCTGTGACCCTTTCTGGATGGAGAACTTTATTCGTAGGCAGTTTGGAGACGGAGAAAGCAACTGTGGTGAGTAAAAGACAATGTGTGTGAAAACTGCAAATATATAATGCTTTCTTCTCTTCTATATGTCAATATTTTTTACATTCTGTCTGACTAAAATATGTTCCGTTGAGAGAATGTTTGTTTATTTATATATATATATATATATATATATATATATATATATATATATATATATATATATATATATATATATATACATACACACACATACAAACAAACAAAATGTTTACATAAAGCAGAATGTGTAATTATTAAATAACAGCATATAAAGTCAAGCAGTAACATTGACTTTGACAAATACGTTTCGTGGTTGTAAATAGAACACATACACTGCGAGGCTCACCGCAATTTGTCAGGAGCAGAAACACTGCCACCTGTATTGCTGCATAACAGAAGCCACACATTACTGAAACAAAAAAAATTCTTCATTGTTACAGTGTAATAGACACACATCCTTCTCTCACCCTGTTGTTGGAACACACAAGCTGCCAGAGAACATTACCACACTTTTCCAGTCACACCTGATGATCTAGGAAACTCCGTATTCATTCCCATTGGATCAGTATCCAGAATGCTGCATACTTACCCCAGCAAAAGCTACATTCTCTGTGATCTGAAATGTGGCACATATACTGATACAGCTAGAGCACCTCCAGGAACTGGTACATTGGTGCAGAAGATCCATTTCAGAATTTGCATTAATCTTAATAGAGCTCATTCTACGATTGCAGAAGATGAACCTTGCTCTGAGTACCAGTAACTCCCATATGGTGGACATAAATGCAGTATAGACAGCAGCTGCTATTGTGGACTGTTACTGGATAGACTACATAGAAAAAGCAATGTCTATGTTGCATGCAAACATGTTTTTTGTTTTATATGGTAAATAATCTTCAATTAGATGTTGTGTACCACCTAGTTTAACTTATGTTTGAGTGATCTTCATTGCCTTATTTACATCTCTCCATTGCCTCAGTTAACAATCTCTTAATATTACTACTACATATAAAGAGCGAACATATCTTAAAGCCAGTCTGTAACTATACAAATAATTGTAACAAAACAAAAGGAACAACAATTTGATGATGGTGCTCTTCCAACAAGTTTACAATTAAACAAACTCCTCTCTTTTAAGTAGATTTGATCATGTCTTTTTGAGATTGCCGGTTATAAAATGTTATGTACAAGATCCACATTGTGTTGTTATTTTGCCTGTGTCTTCTCTCCGGCAGAATGGAGTGTTCTGTATGTCATCATTACAAGCTTCTTAGTACTGGTAGCTCTAGGACTGCTGTCATGGTGTATGATCTGCTTTTGTAGAAGGTGAGTAATGTCACTCCGTTACAGACTAGAATACACCACTGTTATTTTATGTTCACGTTGTGTTTTTTTTATTTCTAGTGAGCAGATACATATTTGAAGACTTTAAGTGATATTTCTGATTTATTTTAATAACAAAACGAATAAAAAAAAAAAAAACAAGCAAATTAGATTTTCATTTAAAAAAAATAAAAAAATAAAAATAAAATCAAGATGGTACTTTTTATTTAAATTAATAATTTTGACTTTTTTTTTTTTTTTTAGCCTTATGTGAAACACTTTGAATATTGTAATAAATTCCTACACACTACAGAAAGACAATGGTTAGCAATGCCTCTATGTAGATCAACATATGGTGGGTTTGCACTTTTACTTTGAAGAGGGTGCTGTTGGCATAAAAATAAATTTTGATGCTAAACCTTGAAGCTTAATGAAATGGCCACTGGGGTATACTTCTGTAGGTCACAGCAAAGAAACAACTGGAACATGTTGGTAAAAAGAATGGTTAGTAGTAAAACTCCCAGTAGTTCAAGATAACAGTCCCTGTCTTATTATGTCCTTCAATTATTGGCAGAGTCCATAATAACAGTTGGTAAACTAGCTGTACAACCCATATAAATTGTGAAGGATACATATTTAAATACAGCACAAAATCAGGAATAATACATTATACTGCACAACATTAAAGATCAAGAGCATGTCATTAGATAAGATAGATATTCTTATATTGCATATATGAACTTTAGTATCTCTTAATAAGACGTGACTGTATGAGATAGTTAAACAAATTGCTTACCAGCTGTTAAGTGTTATTCCTTTATCAGCCATTAGATGTCAGTGGCATATTTCTTAAATGTAGATGTTCACAAATTTACCAAAACAAATAAAATATATAGCAAACCATTTAAATTCTATATTTACACACCCACTATACCTATATACCATTCATTTATTTTTAAGCATCTGGTGTCGTGTACCATCGATATTGATGTGGTAATCAATCAATAAATTGATTATTTTGTGTATCTGCCCCTGGCCAAATTAAAGAAACAGTGCGTGCACGGTCCCTGAAGTAATTCACACCAGACACAGGTTTCAGGTTGATGGAATGTTTATTCAGAGTGGACGGCAAGTCCCTTTTAAAGCAAAATTACATCATATGCATTGTCAGAGATAACATGAAATGATACATCATTAATTGGTTAGGTGTTAAGTGGTTCTCTTAATGCTCTGCCTACAAGGGGTGATGTCACTGGTATCATGAGGGTCTCCCCCAGATTCCAGCGCCATCTTGTTACACAAGGTAGTAAGTCGATGTTAGGGGGGGAAGCTTCTAGCGGCCATTTTAATTAATCACATAAAAATAGTATAATGCTGATTATAGTTAAATGAGTAAATAGACATTTTACTAGCTAAAAATTAGGTTAATATCTTATTTCCACAACAGATATAATGTCTTATAAGTTTGTTTCTGGTGGATGACACATATGGAGATCTTCACTGCTGCCTCCCGAATATCCTCCCAATCACTGCCCTCTAGCATCTGTCCCAGGTCGACTTCCCATTTGTCTATGCAATTTAGGCTTGCCCACTCTTCTGATGTGTCACTTAGATGTGTGTATAAATTCGTAAGTCCCTTTTTCATCTTATCTGTGCAGAGATGTTTAAAAAAAAAAAAAAAAATAAGTTATAGGTGTAGTTGCTGCCTTTTTGATTTTGTCCCCTTGGGCAAAAAAGTTGTAAGAACCTAAAGAAATTCCTGTTTGTTAAGGAAACAGTTTGTGTAACTTCCTCTATGGTGACCAGACTTTTGGCTGGGTACAGGTGTCCATATCTCTGAGCCCCTGTGTTCAAGCTGCAAAAATCCCCACCCGAGGACCTGTTCGCACATCGAGCAATAAAGTGCCTTTCCCACATTGCATCCACTGTTGAGGAGGGAAAAAACAGGGGAACAGAAAGAGAAACAAAACAAGAAAGAAAACATTCTCCATCCACTAAACAGGAACCTGGTCTTACTTTCTGCCAGGCCACCCAAGGAGTGGCTATCTTCCCCACCGAGGAAATAAGCTCAGGTGGGTGAGATTACCTGCTGCCAGAAGCTCTGGAGAACCCAATAGTGCTAACTTTTTGATCTCTACCATCCAAAGCACTTGTTTCATAATAAATATAACAGACCCATTGCCGGAGCAATAATTCATAAGACATCGCACACCCCTGTCATCCCTAAATGAAATGCTCCCCTCATATACCCTATTGAAATAACAAAGTACAGGGTAATAACCCACCGCTCCTGTGCAGTGTTAGATCTGTGTCCCCTACAGCTCCCACCCCAACATTAAAATGCATTCTCACCTACTTGAACGGTTGCCGAACCCCTATTTTAAAAGGCTTGTTGTTCTACAAAGCCCAATGAAACACAGCCGAGCTATACAAAATATATATTCTCCCTCACCCCGTTTTGTATTTAAAAGTGTTATACATGTGTCCTTTGTCATCCCTCAAGCCCAAATTACCCCAGAAGGCCCCTCCATGCCGGACACTCATGCCCCTTGAACATAAACTGTGTTGCATAAGAAACCAACAAGAGTATGGAGTCCTCTGCATTCCCTGCCACTACTGGCACAAGCTCTTCATGGCGATAGTGAGTGTCTTGCCTCCTGAAGGGCTGTTTGCCCCCTTTCCGTTTGTCTCTTCCCATCAACCCCTTTCCTTTGATAATAAACCTCATCCTGTGTAAATTATTAGAGATGTACAACTTATGGACACCTTAGATATTTAGGAAGATTATTAAATTGTGTTGTTGTTTCTTTGGGGAGTTTGTGCCTCCCCTCATTACCCATACACTCTGCTAGCATATACATTTTCTATTACTTCCCATAGGGGTACCTTCATGCCATGGGTCATGAGGAATTGGCCAGCACATCTCACTGTGATTCATGTGTCAGCATGTGCCACCTCTGTACCTCATGTGCCCAAGTACGCTCCTTTCAGTCAAGTTCGCTTAGTAAACATTCTGTGCAGCTCCTTCCTTCCCAAAACTATCATGTTCCCTGTTCAAGACTATGGAGTTCAGGCTGGCATTCAGTACTATTTCGGCATCAGTTCTTCCACATACATTTGGCGCTGCACCTCACTTCCACATATCGCAATGTCTCGTTAACTGTGCTGTGGATATTTGGCGAGCTTTCAATGCTCTTCAGGAATTTGAAAGTTATTGGGAAGTTCAATTCCTAATTCTCTCAAAAATTCCATAGGATCGTGATGGGGCAACAGTTCTTTCGGGCGACCCCTCTAGAATACCAAAATCATGAAGGGGTGCCCCCAAACATAATGTATTTTTCGAGACCTGAGAAGGTCAGTTATGGGTTTCCAGTCCCTTCTCTGCTGTAAGTAAGCCAGGGCCAGGTCCTGGTACAACTGCAGGTCCATACCTTCATATAAAAATGGCCTGCCAGCTCAGACATCAGCCTCTTTCATTTGGAAGTACTGGAATCACATAATTATATTCCACGGGGATTGCTTTGAACATGACCATGAAGGGTGTCTTCAAAAGTCTTCTATTCTACATTCTATAGCAGGTCTTTAACTCTAAGATTACTTGTCTGGCCTGGTTGGAGAGGTCATTCTAGGCTGTTTCTGGCTTGCAATCTGTGTCAGCAGGGAATTGGTGATGGTGGCTGTGCCATTGTGCTCCACTACAACACTTTCCATCCTACTCTTCAGTACATCTATCCTGCCTCCCACTGCCTGAATCTTAAGCTTCACCACCATGGTTTATTGGTCGATCTCCCAAGCCAAGTATTCTTTGACCTCAGCAAGAGACCAGAAAATCTCTCCAGTATTTTCTCTGTAGCTGGCCTGTGTTCCCGGGGTGCCGGGGAACCTAGTGATACTATATGCTGGATGCCATAATTTACTGCTAGGTTAAATTATATTTTTTGGGGTCTGTCTTAGTTTTTGTTAGGTAGTTGTAAGCTGATGGCTGGGTTTCTTCCCAGAGTGCGTAGTTCAGGCAGCTATTCCCATCGGCAGCCAAGTCACACACCCCTTTTCACATGCTATGTAAATTGCTTTCAGTAGATTCCTGTTTGTAATTAAAGTTCACTAAACCGAGAAGTAGAACATCTAAACATACATGCTTGCGTAATACATGTTAGAACAGCCAAAAGTAAACATACTGTGCTTTAAAAAGCTTTTTTTCATTGTTAGTCACACCCAGGGAAGGTGTGGCTAGGGCAACGTCTACATAAACGGAGGGATTTCTGCTTAATGAACTGCTTCATTAAGCTAAAGTGGTTTTGGTGCATAGAACGTGTCCCTTTAATAATAATTTTATTGAATCACATAATCACTATTTCATACTAGTTGCTGGTTTTCTGCTCCTAACGTCTGTGTGTACAAAAAAATAAATATTCTCTTTCAATATTGGTGACAGCATGGAAACATAATTTTCAAGAAATTATCTCCACATCTTATGTCTGTAGTTTAGCTCCTCTTATTATTATGTCTGTAAAAATCAGTATAGTTTCTTATTTCTAATTTCTCATAAGAATAATGTTGCCATCTGTCCTTTATCCTATCCAGAAAGAAGAGCAAACTTAAACGCAAGAGCAGGTACAAAATTCTGGAAGGAACTGATGACCAAGAGAGCATTGAGATGAAGTCTGGCCTCAAAACTGGTAAGTTAGACCAGTTTTCTCAATCTCTGCTTACAATTTTCTCTCTGCTTCACTAATCAATGTATCCGAATGAATTATTAGAATAGCGAAGACAGTACTCATGCAGCATTGGTGTTAGGTGACAATAAACATTCCCCCCAAACAGACAATAAACCTCTAAGGCAGAAAGGAGAATCGGCATACATATGCTGAAGTGAAATACTATATATAGTATATAATATATATATTTTGTTGTTTATTATTATGTATAGTGCAAAAAGTGTTTGAAAATAGATTTAAGAATAATCTTTGAAAGCCACGGTGTTAAAGCATAGCAGAGTGTGTTAATAAGATATGATGTGAATAATAGCCCAGTCTTACAAATGAGTGTTCATGAAATAAAAATTCAACAGATAGTAATATTTAGCCAATGGGGTTAGGTTTTCTTCATGTGAGTATGGGTTTAATAAAAACTAAAATTTTAAGCAAGTTGGTCATGATAACTGTAATACAACACTTGGAGCATAATAATGATATGAAGTAACTTGTAATAACTAGATTATGCAACAAACTGCAATGTCCTTCAATCATTTTTTTAGTTAATATCATATAATTTTACAGCAATAAAAATTTAGATCATAAGTTCAGTGCTACCCCAGGCTAATTAGGGGGAAATTGATGGTGCCCCCCAGGTGGCTGTCAGATGGGTATGGTGGGAAATAAAGCTTTGCTGCACACCTTTCTTTTAGCTAGGTAGTGTGACAGGATGGCTTGGGATACTGGCTGTGCTTCTTTCTTCTATACCTTCAATGAGATCCCAGAGAGCATCAACAGACTGCTATTCATAGGTAGAGAGGAGAGAATATAACACAGAAAAGGCAGCAATATGCCATAAATTACCGTCTTACTGTTAACATAAGCTTCATTTTTTTTCCTTTGGGCTTAAAGGACACTATAGTGCCAGGAAAACATACTCGTTTTCCTGGCACTATAGTGCCCTGAGGGTGCCCCCACCCTCAGGGACCCCCTCCCGCCCGGCTCTGGAAGGGGGAAAGGGTTAAAAACTTACCTTTTTCCAGCGCTGGGCGGAGAGCTCTCCTCCTCCGTTCCTCCTCCTGGGCTGAATGCGCACGCGCGGCAAGAGCTGCGCGCGCATTCAGCCCGTCGCATAGGAAAGCATTTACAATGCTTTTCTATGGACGCTTGCGTGCTCTCACTGTGAAAATCACAGTGAGAAGCACGCAAGCGCCTCTAGTGGCTGTCAATGAGACAGCCACTAGAGGGAATAGGGGAAGGCTTAACCCATTCATAAACATAGCAGTTTCTCTGAAACTGCTATGTTTATAAAAAAATGGGTTAACCCTAGCTGGACCAGGCACCCAGACCACTTCATTAAGCTGAAGTGGTCTGGGTGCCTAGAGTGGTCCTTTAAGCCCCAGGTGTTTATGAAACCTAGCAATCCCACCTAATGTTTTTTTTCCCAGACATCTGTAGTGACAATATCATACATTTAGATATAAATGATAAGGTTTTAACACAGCACATTTGCATTCAGAGAAGATGAAAACATGCTTCACGGTAGCTCTATTTTAGGTGGTGACTGAGTCCGTGCAGATATATATGTGTTGGGTGCTGTGACTTCCACTGTGACTTTTTTTCCACAGGGGTCAAGCTGAAAGCTCCAGTTCAGAACACTAGTTTGATGCATTCGGAATCAGAACTAGACAGTGATGACAACGTTTACACTTGGTCAGACAGAGAGAAGGGCAAACTCCTTCGACCACAAAATGGCTCCTTGCGTAATGGACAAGCCTCTCAAAAAAACAAGAACCAGAGAGAGGAGCTATTATAACTAAAATGAAGGATCAACCGACATGCTTGCATCTAGTTTTGTGTCGTGTGCAGGACAATGAAACTGTCCACAACTCGAACTTTCTAAACCACTGGTTTTCTTATTGGATGCAGATGCTGCTTGGAACTTCTTACATTTTTTAAAATTAGATTACCACCTCTTTTGCTTCTCCGGGAGCATGTAACTGGACATACTTGAACTGGAATTTTACAATGGGAAAATTAAAAACTACTGGATTTCTCCTTATAGGTTACTTTTTTAAAGTGACTAATGATATAGATATTTTTTTCTGCAGTTTCCTGGGACTTTCAATCCTCAGGTTTGAGCCACGGTTTTTAATTGCATCCAAGTTTAAGTGCACTATGCTGCCAATTTCTCAATGGCATTGAAGGATAAAATGTGAAAGGTGATGAACATGTACTGTGGTTCTCCCTCGCGCTCTTGTTGGATTTTCAGAGCCTTAATCTTTAGAACTTTTTCTTTTTTTCCTTTTAATTTCTGAAGACAATAACCCATTACTACTGGCTACTAAATCTCCCCTCCCCCTCCTCAAAGGAAGACTGGACCCCAAACTGAAAGGAAAAATACTGGTAGAAAAGTTGGAGAATGATTTGGGGCCAGCGGGGAAGAGCTTTAACTTATTTGTGGTCAATAAAGTCAAACACTGTATAAGAGTTTCAATCTTGCATATATTTTTGTGAATTTTATGTGCTATTGTCAAAATAAGACCTTTATTTTTGGTGGCCACATCTTATCCAAACCAAACCCCAAACAAGATAAACCTATTTAATAAGTCAAACTACAACGTGTATTTAGATTGATAAAATCTATAACTTGTCAGTTACGGATGGGGTTGTATTACTACAGGGAGGCTCTGCAAAAATGGTTCAGCTCAAATGATATATGTGTGAGCAAAAACTCCTTCACAAGCCAGTATTTGTACGGGATCACTCGGCTCACACCACTCCTTTTCCTGATTTCAAATTAATTGGTGTTTTAAATAAAAGTTGTTTCTAAATCCATTTGGTTGGTTAACACAGTCAATGAGTATGACAGCCACTTCCAGAAAGGAAGATAAGATCAGGAAGAATCTTTACTTTTAAAGTACAAAGAATGATTTCTCTATTCATCCAAAAAGCATGGCCTAGCATTGAAAATAACAGACGAACAACCGATTTTAGTATCATTCACACAATCCATATTACCCTGGAAAAGGAAAACCAAACATACATCTTTATTGAAGACTAATCCTCTTTAGGAGCAGTTAATGGTAGATGATAGACTATGAGTAGTGCATATTTATCTCAGGGACTCACACAGTAGACAGAACTTAAGACACAAGTTGACCTAGATGTTAAGTAACACAGTGAAAACGTTCTATTTGATTGTACTTCAAAATGGGCATTAAACGTAGCTTTAAAAACACTGGGGGTTTGCTGCAAAGAATGCTAAATATATATATTTTTTTATGTTCTTTATTTTGTCGTGCACAAGGGGTAAACAGACGACCTTGCGACAACAGCAGGGTCAAGTGCGTGTATACATATTTTTTACATAGTAGCATTCGTTGTATTGCCACATTTTTATAATTATATTTGCATAAACAGTAGTGGTAAACATTTTAAGAAAAACTAACGTCTGCTTTAGTAAGTTTAGTATGCATGTCCGCTTTTAGGTCCGGTTGACTGTCACTTGGTAGGTTGGTGCGTGTGCGGAGTTGGGGATACCATGTGGTGCAATACAGCAGCGGTATATTGCGCCAATCTGCGCGGGGCAGGTGAGGATTCTAGTAGGGAATTGATATGTTATCTGGGTAGGTTTATAGTGGATGGATGCGTGTATGAGGTGTGTGTGTATCTGGCAGGGGGTGGGGGGGGGAGAGAAGAGAGTCTGTCAGTGAGTGGTCGTCGAGGTCCCATTGTTCTGTCCCGTCCTGTTAGCGTGGCCTCTTGTGTGTCAGCATGGTGGAGGGGTCAGTACAGCGTCCGTCTGGGGGGGATATCCCATGGTGTTGACGGTTCTTTGTGTCGCCAGAAAAAGAGGGGGGGGGGTGGTAGGAACGGTTGTCTGCTCGGCGTTGGACGGTTCCGAGCCCGGGATTCTGTCCGTGTATTTGTGGTCACGTCCGGTGCGTCAAAGTGTCAGGTATAAGCCAGAGTGGAGTTTAGTGTACATCAACAAAAAAAAAACAGTGCAATCTAACAGTCTCGTTTACTCTTGTTAAGAGCGGAAGTTCAAAGCCTTTGGGCCGCGGGCCATATGGTTGCCTGATGAAAAAAGATGGGGAGAGCCTCCTGGTGCTCTTAGTCCTACTTTAAGTTGTGGCTGCCGCATAAGGTCCTGCGGTGGGTTGGCGTGGCATGAATATTGGTGCACCGACTGCATTCCTCCCTAGGCTGCTTGCGGGTCCTGCTGGTGGAGTCCTGTGCCGTCGGTGGTAGGGTAAGTTTATCCAGGGCCCTTGTGGCCTCTTGTAGGTTCCGCACAGCCAGAGGGCCGCTTGTGCCTTCTATGTGTAAGGCACAGCCTGGACCCCAGCGGTACCTAATTTGTTGCTGTCGTAAGAGGGATGTGAGCTGTCTGAGGGATCTTCTCCAGGTCAGCGTCCCACTCGGGAGTTCCGCATAAAACAACAGGGTCATTTCCTCGATGGTGTACGTTGGTTGTCCCTTGGTGGCTTCTAGAACGGCCCTCTTGTCCCTTGCGTTTTGAAAGCGGAGGATTATGTCCCCTGTAGCAGCCGATTGTGCTGTAGCTGGCCGCGGTATGCGGAAGATTCCGTCCAACGTAATTGATTTAGCCGCTTTCGGAGTTAGGAACGCAGTTAGCAGCCACCTGACGTAATGTGGGAGCTTGGCCTCTGGTACAGTCTGCGACCCCTCTTAGTTTTAGGTTGTTTTGGCGTCGCTTGTCCTCTTGTACGGCCAGTTGCTGGTCATAGAGTGATGCTTGTTGTTTTAAATCGGCCGAGATTTTGCCGTGATGGCCGGCCATGAGCTCTCTGATGGCCTCCATGGTCACCGGTGTGGGAGTTGGTGCAGGCGGCCGTGGTGGTGGTGCATCAGCCGGCATGAAGCTTCCCTCTCCTTCGTCGGATGTCCCATCTGAAAAATCGGAGCATCCCCCGTGCAAGGACGCCATTGTTGCGCCTGCCGCCTCGTGGGCCTGCCTCCACATGTCCCCGATGTTAATGCCCGGACGGGGCTTGTCGGGCTTTTGTTTTTTAGTTTTTCTACCGATGGGGGTTGGGTGAGTCGTGGGATCATTCTGGGGGGCTTTTGGGTCATGGTTGGGCTCTGATGGCAGCAAGTTGGAGCAATTTTAGTCGGGAGCTCCGCTGCCATGTGGACATCCGTGTCAGTAGCTAGAATGCTAAATATCTTTTATGCCGTTTGTGGGCTCAGTTTTTCTGCTCTTCAGTCCAATTCTCAAGTTACTTGAAAATAAAGCTAGCCCTAGATTTCAGTGTCGCAACACACACAAAAAAATATGAAAAGATACCAATACATATTTTTTATTGTAGTTCATAGTAAAATAAATGTACAGGAAAAGCACTATGGAGACACAAAGCCAGCATCACATTTATGAACATACATCTAATGCATTTTTTTTTTTTATTCTTTATTTTTGTAGGAAGCCATACAAACATCATGTTTACATTATGTGCAATAAAGGTTGTCAACAGGGGTTACAGTCGCAGTAAAATCGTCAGCACATGCATATATTTTCCCAAGTTTTAGTAAAATTCTCACATAAATTCCTCCTAACTGGGCATTCGGTTAGGCTGGTTATCGACTGGAGGTAGCCTGTCGATAGCGTTAACGTGTGCGCCCTCAATGTGGTCTGGTAAAGTTATGCCTAGGATTAGCGACGCTTAGGGCGCGTGAGTGATGGGTAGTATACTTCTTGTCACTGTTAGGTAAGAACATAGGCCTCTCATGGTAATTAGCCCCTAAGAAATCTTATCGGCCGGGTTGGCTGGTACCCGCGCCATGCGGTCGCGCATATGCATAAAACAGGCGTAGCACATGAAAATAAGGTGAGTGGTGGAGGGGGGGGGGTAACTTAGCTGGTCATAGTGGCTGGCTTGTTGCCTACGGAGCCAGGTGTAGGGGACATAGTTATATTTATACATTTATGCCTTCTAGAGTTAGGTAAACCTTCTAAGCAAAACAAAGTACAATAGTAAACATAAAAACATATGTAACAATATAAACAGAAAAAGTTATGTTTCAGGCAGGAGAATCGGGCGTGCTCATTCTTGTTCCCCTAGGCACAAATGGGCTGATGTTTGCGACAGTCCATGTAGGGTGGGTGACCGCCGGGGCTGCCTCGGCTGGTAGGCCCAGGGCTCGAAGGAAAGCTGGCTCTTCCGATTTATGTGTTAGGATGTGCGTCTTGCCTTCTCTCTCCACCAATAGCCGGTGTGGCCCCCACTTGTACGTGATGGATTTCTCACGAAGCTGTTGAGTAAGTTGTCCAATAGATCTCCTCCATGCCAACGTGTGCCTAGATATGTCTCTGTAAAAAGTCAGCTGTGCTCCCTCAAAGGGGACCGTGGGAGAGGCCCTGGTGGCTCCCATGAGAGCCCCCCGATCAGAGTCCCGATTGAACTTGACAAGCACGTCTCTAGGGGCCTCCTGAGGTGCTTTGGCAGCTTTCGGGAGTCGAAAACACGAGTCCACTCCCATTTGTTTCACTTGTTTGGGCAGCAGTAGTGTGGCCAGCAGCCGTCTGCAATAATGGGGTAAGTCGGGACCGGTAACCGATTCAGGGACCCTTCGGATCCTCACATTCCTTGCCTTCGCCCTGTCTTCCAACTGGGCTAGCTGTGTAGTCAGGGCACTACATTGTTTCTGCAAAGACCCCAGGGTTGCGTCTGTGGCAGTTTGTGCGAACCCCGCTCCTCTGAGGCTCTCTTCCACGGTTACCATCCGGCTTGTAAGCGTCGAGACTTCCTCCCTGACCAACGCCATGTCGGCTTGAAACATAGCCTGTATTTCTTTTGTTAGTGCCTTTATATCGGCTTTAGTGGAGGGGGCTGAGTCCCCTATTTCCAAGGGTGTCGTCGGCTTGGTGTGTGCCTTCTGTGGAGGTAAGTAGACCGCTGTCTGGCTCTCTTCGTCCGATGACGGGGAGGTATAGGCCTCCGCCATCGCCATCTTGTCGAGGTCGGACCGCGGCCGCGTGGCCGAGCATAGAAAAGCTGCAATATCTCCGGATCTAGGGCCGGGATCGGTTTTGTGCTTCTTAGTCTTCTTGCCCATAATGTGAGGCACTCAGTGAGCGTTGGGTGGCTTGTGAATTGTGCCGTTTATCGCCAAAATTCAGCCTTAGTGTAAGTTCCTTAATGGAGCTACTGTGATTTGCGTCCTGCTCGCTCGGGTGCTGGCTCTGCCCCCCCTCATCTAATGCATTTTATTATGGTGGTTGGAGGCTAGTTACTTGGTGCTAGTGTTTGGCCAGTGTTCTTGTTTTTTGTCCTAGGATATACCCTGTACATTATTCCTCAATAGCTTGACATAGAAAGAATACAGAGAGAGAACAGAATATGAGTTCTTAAAGGAACACAATAGGGTCAGGAACAGAAACATGTATTCCTGATCTTATAGTGTTTAACCCACCATTTAGGTGCCTTGCCCCTTCCCCCGAAAAGTTAATAAAACAACTTATTTCCAGTACTATGCGTGTCTGCCGGAACTGGCCCCGTCTTCTTGGCAGCATCATCAAAATTGCCAATTTTTAGTCAATCCAGTGCTTTCCCTTGTGGAAAGCATTGGATTGGCTGAAATCGGCAAGGGGGCGGGGCCAAACACCGTTTTGGCTAATTAGCACCTCCTCATAGAGATGCATTGAATCATTGCATCTGTAAGTGGAAAATTCAGCGTCCCCATGCAGAGTGTGGAGACGCTGAACGGCACTGCTGTCTACTGTGCAGCACTGAGCCAAGAAGCACCTCCAGTGGCCACTTGGAGGTGTCCCTAGGGGCAATGTAAACACTGTCACAATGATTATACTCACCAGAACCACTACATTAAGTTGTAGTTGTTTTGGTGACTATAGTGTCTCTTTAATTATTTGTGTAATTTCCCTACTAGTCTGTGACACGAATTAGTTATTTTTTGTGGGGAACATTATCTTAAAGGGATAATCTAAGCACCAAAACAACTTTAGCTTAAAGGGTTACTGCAACTAAAAATCTGTGTTTTCATAAAACACTGGTTTTGATTAGAGTTACCCTTTCTTTGGTGGTTTGCCCCTATATGCAAAAAAGTAATAAAGAAAAAAAGCTTAGCCTGATCTTCCTTGGCTAACATGGCCCACAGGAGGGAGAGACAGGGCCCAAGGGGGAGGACCATTGTCACCATTGGGCGTCTGGCACCAGCATGTCATCAATGAAAGAATTGATAGTCTTGTTTGATTGGCTTATAACTCCCGATGATGCTGCCAGATGATATGCAGAGTTTCTTTCCCATCTTGAATTTCATTTCTGGCATCTCTATATCAAATTCCCTGTGCCAAGTGTGTGTTTCTTCACTCTCTTGCTGGACTGTGAGATTGGTGAAACATGGTCATAGATGGTGGAAATGCAGGAAGATACAATATCTGGAGAGGATCCTGACGTAGGTGACAGAGATGAATTTAGGTCTAAATCACCCTCTGTAATTTTAAACAGTAGAGAAAGACCCATGTCTTGATGGTTTGACATTTTTTTTATTTTTTTTTAAATCTTAAAGTTTTCATGCCATGCTATGCCTGCACATTGTGGGCTTAAACGGCGTTACAGCATAGCGGTTTTCAGCCCTCCCCAGTACAAATATTTACCTTGCCTCCCAATCGAAGGACTGCCTGACAACCTAGGCCAGGGATAGGCAGCCTTCGGCACACCAGATGTTGTGGACTACATCCCCCATAATTCTGGCAAAGCATCATGGTAGGTGTAGTCCAAAACATCTGGAGTGCCGAAGGTTGCCGTTGCCTGACCTAGGCAATAACCCTGTAGCCAATCCAAACCTTTCGGCCATCGCAAACACATGCCCGGATTGACAGAAACACTTGCCTGGGTTGCCAGGCAGTCCCCCTGATGGTGATATCCGGGCAATGTAAGTATTTGGACCGGGGAGTTGCAAACTATTCTATAGCTGGAATGAATATATATATATATATATATATATGGAATGGGAAACACTCTTGATCTCGCCTTCACCAATCTCTGTACCACCTCTAATCTCTCCAATATTCCTTTTCCTCTATCTGGGCACCATCTGCTGACTTTTGAAATTGGCATACTTAAGACCCAATTGACACCACCATCTGAACATCAATCTCATAGAAACCTCCAATGTCTTGACCTAGAGCAGTGACTGCGAACCTATGACACGCCATCCCCTCTCTGTGGGCACACGGCCATAGGTTGCCGGGGGAGGGGGCTGCTGGCTGTCTGCAGTAATGCAGGCGCCTACTTTGCTTCTGTGTCGGGAGGACAGGGGGAGGGATCGAGGAAGCAACTCTTCTGTCTTCCTGCGAGCAATGTGTGGAGCGTTGCTGCGCGTTACCATGGCAATGCTCCACACAGCATCGCGCAGGAGGACAGGAAGCTGCTTCACAGAGCCATACTTACCACCAGGGCTGGCTGTGCCCCCCCTCCCCCCCCCCACTACACACAGCACCCCTACCCTCCACACACAGCACTCCACTCCCTTACACACAAACACTGCGGTCTGTGTATGTGTGTATTTAGCATTTGTTGGAATTACTAATAAATATAAGCTTCATTTAATCTATTTATATCCTTATTTAAAATTTGTGTCATTGAACTCTGTTGTGTTCTTCTTTTAAGTTGTTAATTAGTTCAGACAACTGTATAAGTTGTTTTTTCTAAACGTAAACCTCCATATTCAGATTTAATTGTCATGTTGGCACTTTGAGGAAAAAAAAGTTGGCATGTATTGCGGTTTGGGCACTCAGGCTCAAAAAGGTTCGCCATCACTGACCTAGAGCTTTTCTCCACTAATCTCCAAACTCCTTTTACCTATCTTAAACCTCCCCTGTCCTAGCTCTGCAACCTCCTTCTACAATTCCGCCCTCTCCTCTCAACTAGACATCATGGCACTTCCTACATTTAAACGTAGCAAGCACCCCCAACAACAACCTTGGCACACCAAGCTGACTTGATACCTCCAAAACTGCTCTAGAACTGCTGAACGCTATTGGAGAAAGTCTCACTGTGCATCTGACTTTCTCCACTATAAATGTATGCTGCGCTCATACAGCTTGGCTCTTTCCTCTGCAAAAGTAAATTACTTCAATACCCTCATAACGACACTCTCCTGCGAATCCAAATAACTATTTCACACATAACTCTCTTCTTTGCCATATTGTTCCTTGATCTATTGTTCAACTGATCTCTCATCTTTCTTCTTCCCCTTACAATACTTCCTCTAACCTCACTCCCTCTGCTGTTCTATGTTCATTCGCACCCGCTACAGTGGAAGTGGTTTATGCTCTGCTCCAGTCCTCCCGCCCCACCATCTTCTCCCTAGATCTAATTCCCTCGCATCTCATCCGTACTATGTCTTCTTTTCTTTCGCTACCTCTCACTAAAATTCTCACTCTCTATAGTTGCAAACATGCAACTATAACCCCAATTCTAAAGAAACCCAACCTTGACCAACATCTGAGGAAAGGGATTTAGGGGTGATTATTACTGATGACTTAAAGGTAGGCAGACAATGTAATAGAGCAGCAGGAAATGCTAGCAGAATGCTTGGTTGTATAGGGAGAGGTATTAGCAGTAGAAAGAGGGAAGTGCTCATGCCATTGTACAGAACACTGGTGAGACCTCACTTGGAGTATTGTACACAGTACTGGAGACCGTATCTTCAGAAGGATATTGATACCTTAGAGAGGGTTCAGAGAAGGGCTACTAAACTGGTTCATGGATTGCGGGATAAAACTTACCAGGAAAGGTTAAAGGATCTTAACATGTATAGCTTGGAGGAAAGACGAGACAGGGGGGATATGATAGAAACATTTAAATATATAAAGGGAATCAACACAGTAAAGGAGGAGACTATAGTTAAAAGAAGAAAAACTACCACAACAAGAGGACATAGTCTTAAATTAGAGGGACAAAGGTTTAAAAATAATATCAGGAAGTATTACTTTACTGAGAGGGTAGTGGATGCATGGAATAGCCTTCCAGCTGAAGTGGTAGAGGTTAACACAGTAAAGGAGTTTAAGCATGCGTGGGATAGGCATAAGGCTATCCTAACTATAAGATAAGACTAGGGACTAATGAAAGTATTTAGAAAATTGGGCAGACTAGATGGGCCGAATGGTTCTTATCTGCCATCACATTCTATGTTTCTAACTCCCCATCCAACTACTGTCCTATCTCGCTACTGCCTTTTGCATCTAAGATCCTTGAAAGAGTTGTGTATGCGAGATTGACAGACTTCCTCAAGTCCAATTCTCTGCTAGTCCGCTTCAGTCTGGTTTCCGTGCTAAGCACTCTGTGGAAACGTCACTGACCAATGTATCCAATGATCTACTCGCTGCAAAATCTCGTGGTCTCTACTCTATCCTAATTCTCCTTGACCTTTCAGCAGCTTTTGACACTTTATCATCAACAGCTTCTTCTCATCCTTCGCAATATCGGTCTACAAGATATTGCTCTCTCCTGATGCTCCTCCTACCTCTCCCAGCGCTCTTTCAGTGTTTTTCTCTAGCTCTGCTTCTTCTCCCCAACTCCTCTCTATTGGTGTCCCCTGAGGTTTAGTCTTTGGTCCCTTACTGTTCTCCTTATTTACTGCCTCCCTTGGTAAACTCATTAGCTCCTTTGGCTTCCTATATCATTTACATGCAGATGACACGCAAATCTGTCCTCTCTTGATCTCTCCCCGTCCCTCTTGACTAGTGTCTCTGACTGCCTCTCTGCTGTTTCTAACTGGATGGCTGCCCACTTCCTTAAACTCAACCAAAACTGAAATTCTGGTCTTTCCTTCCTCAAGTGTTGCTACTCCTGTGTCTGTCTCCCTACCATCAGCTCCACCATGCAGGCTTGCTGCCTAGGTGTTCTCTTTGACTCCGACCTCTCCTTCGCGCCTGATGTTCAGTCTATCGCCAAATCCTGTTGTTTCCATCTCCATAACATTGCGCGCATCTGACCCTACTTAACGCCAGATGTGTCATGCGGTAACACTTCCGGGTTCGGCACTCTGCTGTGCGGAGCCGGACCCCGCCCCCCCTCTGACGGTATTTAGGGAGACCGCCAGAGAGAGGGGGCTTAGTGATACTGGGAGCTACTTCCGCCAGACTTACCTCTCCACAGGCTCTGGCAATGTGGGTCCTACTTCTGAGTATGCACGCCGGCTCTTGGGACACGCCGGCTCTACAAGCTCTGATGTCGTCCTAGCCTTCTGGGCTAAGAAAAGTATACTTCATGCCATAGAGGATTACTGGAGAACAGAAACTCACTTACTTTACAAGTGGACCAGATCTCTGAACTATAGGAGGACTACTCACATTAACCTTAAGTATATCTTTCAGCTATTTGTCTACAATATCATTTAATAATGAACTAATGATTGCTTACTAAATCTTCACTGCTTCAAGCTACTAATTATATGGAGGACAACTCCCATCATGCTTATTCACAATGAACTGTTTCTTGCTTTGCAAATATTCTCAGCTACTTGGTTAAAGTTACTATTGAAGATTATTCTCATTAACCAAAAGAATGTTACTTAATGCTTCTTTGAGGAAATACTTATTAATGAACTTTGTGTTGTTGATTACTTGCACTTCTTCTTATTGGATTATTGCCTAAATGCAATTCATTTAAGTTTAACACTTATTAAAACTTCGTTTGAATCAAGTTACCAGCAATTCTCTCTTTTCTTAAAGCTACAGTATTGATACTTTAAAGATTCTCCGTTTCTTCACTATTGTAATTAGGGAGTTTTACAAGCTGCAGTTGAGTTCCAATCCAAATCACCCAAGTAGCGTAACAAGATGCGACTAAGGTGCTGGTCCATTCCACTGTCCTTTCTCGCCTTGACTACTGTAATCCGCTTCTCAGTGGTCTTGCGTGCTGCCAACTTGCACCGTTACAGTCCATAATGAATGTGGCAGCGAGGCTCATCTTCCTGTCTTCCCACGCCTCACCCTTCTGTCAGTCACTACATTGGCTTCCTGAAAGATATAGGGCTCAATTTAAAATTCTGGTTCTTGCTTTCAAATCTCTAGATAATGCTGCTCCCACCTATCTATCCTCCCTGATACATAAGCATGTCTCATGTAGGTCCTTACGCTCTGCTGAAGACTTACGTCTATCTTCTGTCCGTACTCCCACCTCTGATGCTCGCATTCAAGACTTCTCGAGGGCTGCACCGTTCCTGGGTAACTCCCTTACCTCCTCTGTTAGATGCTCACCCAGTCTCCCCTCCTTCAAAAAATCGTTAAAAATCCACTTCTTCATAAAAGCGTATCAATTAAACTGTTAATAGCTCCCGACTGATTCCTCTCTTGCAACTGTCATTAGTCTAATACTATCCTTACCATTTGTGTCATTTTACCCCACTCCCTCTAGCATGTAAGCTCATTGAGCAGGGCCCTCAACCAGTGGTGTATCCTGGTTTTGTGCTGCCCTAGGCAGGACAAAACTCAGGCACCCCCCCGCGCCACCCCCACCCGCGCAACCGCCACCCAACCTTCCCCCCTGCTCCGCCTTCTAAATACACACACATTCACTGACAGATACGCATTCACTTGCTAACAGAAACACACAGTCACTAACAGACACACACTCACACACTCACTAACAGACACACACACTCACAGGCAAACACACACACACACTAACAGGCAAACACACACACACACTAACAGGCAAACACACACACTAACAGACATCCACACTAACAGACATCCACACTAACAGACACACACACACTAACACTAACATACATACACTAACATTAACATACACACTAACACTAACAGACACACACACTAACACTAACATGCACACACTAACACTAACATACACACTAACACTAACATACACACACTAACACTAACATACACACTAACACTAACATACACACACTAACACTAACAGACACACACACTAACACTAACATACACACTAACACACACACTAACACTAACAGACACACACTAACACTAACATACACACACACACTAACAGACACACACTAACAGACATCCACACACACTAACATACACACACTAACACACACACACACTAACATACACACTAACAGACATCCACACACACACTAGCAGACATACACACACTCACTAGTGTTTTATTTTTATTTTTTTATTTAACCCCCCCCAGCCTCCTTACCTTTGGTAATGCTGGGGGGGGTTCTTCCTCTCCCTGGGGTCCAGTGGCTGCAGGGCGGGCGGACGGCGAGGGAGCTCTTCCCCTGAGCGCTCTGCTCAGCTCCCTCGCGCGCCGCCAGCAGAGTGAGGCTGGGAGCCGGAATATGACGTCATCAACCCGGCTCCCAGCCTCACTCTGCTGGCGGCGCGGCTCATAGGAAGTGCTCCCTCGCCAGCCGCCCGCCCGGGATGTCAGTTAGCCGCGAGGCTAACAAGACATTTGCCTTGGGCATTTGGGGGGCGGCGTTTTTTGCCGCCCCCTGAAAAATGCCGCCCAAGGCAAATGCCTTGTTTGCCTCGCGGCTAATACGCCCCTGCCCTCAACCCTTCTGTTCCTGTGTGTCCAACTTGTCAGGTTACAACTACATGTCTGTTCATCCACCCATTGTAAAGCGCTGCGGAATTTGTTGGCGCTATATAAATAATAATATATATATATACAGCTGTACAACTTTTATAAACTTGTTCTGATACCGGAGAAACTGACGGAAGCAAAGCACAGAGGGATGGACACAGGTTTCTTCAGGAAGGAAGAGATTCTTTATTGGATCACCGATCGGGACTCAGAGGGACTAATGTCACCAAAAATACAGCAAGTTCTGAGCCCTGAACAATAGTGCAGGCTCCCTATATAGGCACATAACTCCTCCCATATTAAGCTCCACCCGCACATTCTCTTGACCAATCATTACAAATAAGAATTAACTTCCTGCTTGACCGCATGGCTTGTCCAGCACAATGGAGGAGGGGAATACTACATCCTGTATTCTTGCACATGCTCCGTACACTACTGATCGTATCTTGCCTCGTGCAACCAACTGATCGATACGTCAGCATATGCACGTACACATGCCACGTGGTAATCTCGGCCTACTAAATTTATTTTTACCGAGATTCCACCACATTCCCCCCTTTGATGCCTCTTGATATTTTACAATTACTTGAGGCATCACTTAACCTTGGTTTGCATACACCACAAGTTACCTTTGAACCAGACCAGACTTATCCTATGATGTGAATCTTCAACACTCGTCTTCCTGCATTGGTTCTCCCTGATCTAGAGCCTTATATTTATAAATTGCCATTATCTGTGCAGCAGCCTTCCTCTCTGCTATATTTTCTATCAGGCTTTGCACAGACCTAACTACTAAGGGTATAAGACACGGCAGGAGTAGACACAACATTAAAATCAGTAGGACTCCACCTACCACTGCCTTAAGCCCTCCAAACCACTCATACCAGCTACCAAACCAACTACTTGGATTGTACCCTTTCCATACCTGAGTAGGCACATGCGCTAGTTTAACCATATGGCTAGTAAGCTCAGCTATTGCTTGCCCTTCGTCATCTATTTGAAGACAGCAATTGCTCAGGTTAAACTTCCCACATACACCTCCCTCTACTGCCAAAAGATAATCCAAGGCTAATCTATTTTGGTAAACTGCTGTCCTCATCCTGGTATTATGCTTCGCTAGAAGATTGAGCGCTTGTGATGTCTCGTTAGTAATGATCTCAACCACCGCCTGTAACCTTATAATGCGGTTGAGCATATAAATAGGGGTTCTATAACCAAAGGTACCATCCTCTGCCCACGTGGCTGGCCCATAATAATCTATAATACGCTGGGGAGGCCATTCATTATCTTCCCAGGCACCTATCTCTATGGGTCCCCTTTTCTTCCTATGATTCACATCATACACTTTAACACCTAAAGTCTCACCTGTTTCAATAGGCAACAAGAAGAAGATGGTTTTAACATACCCAACACACATGCCCCTTCCCAGTCCTGTGGTAACTCCGAATAGGCCTTCTTACCACAGATCCAGTACAAATTCGCTGGGGCTCTCCAGTTAGATGTGATGGATAGATCAAACCATACGTCCTTTAAATTGGCATATCTTGCAAACGGGTTAGATGGTTCTGAGACATTTGAAGCCGACCACCAAGTTGTATTCTTTGTATCATCATCATAAGCTTTTTGCCCTAGACAAGTTAATTCTCCTACAGAAGTATTATACATCATTCCTTTCCTCGCTATGCAAACATAACCTATGATGGAGGTCTTCAATCTCCACTCAGATTTACCTCTAACACTCATATGATAGTCGGCTTGTGTAGATATTAATTGGTCAACTGCCTCAGAACCGGACATTACCTCCTTTGCTTCCCAAGGCCATTGGTCTCCCATGTTAGTACCTCCACACACATAGCAGTTGGTAACATTAAGACTACCGGCAATACTCTCGGCTAAATCAATGAACAAGTTTTTAGCATTATGGGGGATCTTATTATCTATGCTCATCTCTTCATAAAAGGAATGGTATACTTGATGAGTTTGGGAGGTTACCGTATCAGTCTCTATCCCTATAAACAATATTGTCCCAGGGTCTAAACCCGTCCCATATATTTGAAACCCAAATAAATTACCATATTTATCTAAGAACTTGTCAGGGTTATTTATAAGTATATGGATTGGATTGCATTCCATAGACTTACAATATGGATTAGTAGGCAACTTAGTCACAATCATGTCCTTGTCTGCTGTCTGTCCCCAAGTCGCCCACCCCACACAAGACCAATATGGGCAGAAGTTATAATCTCTATTTGGGCATCTTGGACTTACATATTTATTTTTACTACTGGGACAAATATATTTATCGTTAGACCCATACGTCCTCTCCCATCTAAGATCCCCACATACATTCCACGGCTTTCTACCACTTGATATTGCTTTACACGCATCAAATAGCAGAGCACCTGAAGAATATACGGATTTTAATACCGTCTTATTAATTAGGGTCCCCTGAGAATCTCCATTTCTGAGAGTCAACCAAATTGTACGGGGTTGATACTCAGGACTGAAGCACTTAGGTTCTCCTACTCCTAAATGACACACACTATATTCTATATTTAAGTATCTACATCTTGATACATCTCCTTTACACTCATATTGCGAATGCCAAATTAGGGTCTGGGATATATGGTTACCTGTTCTTGTAGTCTTAATGCATACCTCACAGCTAGGAGTGTTGGTACCTCTACCTTCCTGAATATAAAAATACACATAAATAAACATTATTAAAAATACATCTTTCGTCGTCATCCTCAGTCTTCGTCCGTGTGAAGGCACCTCAGCTTCCAGGATGTAAGGACTGCAGGGAATGGAGTTCTGCTCGTCTTCACAGGGGTCCCCTCAAGACTTTCCCTGACTTATACACTCGTTGGTGAGTGGACAGGCTTTATTATGGCCTTCTCACTCACTTACCAAGTCTCTGAAACAATAAAATTTGTAATCTACAAGGTTCCTCGTCACTCCGACTGAGTCGTGCGTTTTAACCGGATCTTGCAGGGATTCTCTGGATTTGCTGTAACTTGCCAGGAATCGGCTGCTGCTGGTTTAACCCTGGAGTGATGTATCCACGGAGCCACTTCGGCTACTTTTATCGCTGTAGGGGTAGACAGAAGAACAACATAAGGACCTCTCCACTTGGGCCCTAACGGCACATTATTCCACTCTTTAATCCACACTTGGTCGCCTGGGTGGTAACTATGAATTGGGGGATAAATATTCACAGGTAATCTATCTTGTACCCATTTCTGTACCTCCTCCATAGTCTTACCCAACTCTACAACCTGCTGCCGGGTAATTCCTTCTCCCAACTGACTCAAATCCCCCCTTAAGTTACCAAGCACGGGAGGTGGTCGCCCGTACATGATTTCAAAAGGAGAGAGGCCCATCCTTCTGGTAGGTGTACTACGGATTCGCAATAGAGCTATGGGCAAGAGAACGTTCCACTTAAGTTGGGTTTCCTGACACATTTTAGCCAACTGATTCTTAATAGTTCTATTCATTCTCTCTACCTTACCAGAACTCTGGGGTCTATATGCCGTATGAAGCCTCCACTTTATACCAAGCATATGAGTCAATTGTTGTAGGCACTGATGAACAAAAGCTGGACCATTGTCCGATCCTATAGAGCAGGGTAGTCCATATCGGGGTATTATTTCTCGTAGCAGGAATCTCACGACTTCTCCTGCTTTCTCTGTACGAGTAGGACATGCTTCTACCCAGCCTGAATAGGTGCACACCACTACCAGCAGGTAGCGATGTCCACCCGATTTAGGCATCACTGTATAGTCAATTTGTAAATCGGACATGGGAAGTCCCCCCATAAACTGGACTCCTGGTGGCTTTACTGGTCCTTGTCTTGCATTATTTTTAGCACACGTTACACATCTACGTACAATGGCCTGAGTCAAGTTGGACAATCTTGGTATGTAGAAATGTTTTCTGAGAGATTCTTCTGTACTGTCTCTCCCAGAATGTGTCCCGTTATGATAGTTTTGGACAATTTCTACCGCTAGTGATGCTGGAATAACTATTCTTCCATCTTCTAACTGATACCATTTGTTCTCCAAATACTTTCCAGGTTCAGTCCTTAACCACTCCTCTTCTTGAGCTGTATAAATTGGAGTCCATTGAGACAGTGGAGTTGGTATAAGAGCAGCTATATGCCCCACATATTCCTGTCTTCCTGATTCAGCAGCACGCTTAGCTGCACTATCTGCCATCCGATTCCCTTTGGTTACATCACCATCTCCTCTCAGATGCGCCCGACAATGTATAATACCGACTTCTTTCGGCTCCCACACTGCTTCCAATAGTTGTAGGATCTCAGCTGCGTATTTGATTTCTTTGCCTTCTGAATTCAATAGTCCTCTTTCTTTATACAAAGCTCCGTGGGCATGAGTGGTTAAAAACGCATACTTGGAGTCCGTGTAGATGTTCACTCTTAAACCTTCAGCCAATTGTAACGCTCGTGTCAGTGCTATCAATTCTGCCTTTTGTGCTGATGTTCCTTTTGCCAGTGGCCGAGCTTCTATCACCTTGTCTATCGTTGTTACTGCATATCCTGCATAGCGGATCCCTTCTTTTACATAACTACTGCCGTCGGTGTAATATTGAACATCAGGGTTCTGGATGGGAAAATCACGAAGATCTGGTCTACTTGAAAATACTTCATCCATTACTTCCAAACAATCATGTTGACTTTCAGTAGGTTGTGGCAAAAGGGTAGCTGGATTTAAGGTATTTACAGTCTCTAAATGCACTCTTGGGTTTTCACACAACATTGCTTGATACTTGGTCATACGGCTGTTACTAAACCAATGATTTCCTTTGTAATCCAACAACGTCTGTACTGCATGTGGAACTCGTACATAAAGTTCTTGACCCAGAGTGAGTTTATCGGCTTCAGCTACTAGCAGGGCGGCTGCAGCTACAGCTCTTAGACAAGGTGGAAGTCCGCTGGCCACTGCATCCAGTTGCTTAGACATGTAGGCAACAGGTCTTTGCCATGATCCCAAGTACTGTGTCAATACTCCCACAGCCATTCTTCTTTGCTCATGTACATACAGGTAGAATGGCCGTGTGTGGTCAGGTAGACCTAATGCTGGGGCACTCATCAAAGCCCTCTTCACATCTTCGAATGCCGTTTGCTGTTCTTGAGTCCATAAGAAGGGGTCGTGCTCTGTACCTTTGATAGCTGCATACAGAGGTTTTGCCAGTATCGCGTAGCTGGGAATCCATATCCTACAGAAGCCTGCTGCCCCCAAGAATTCTCGCACTTGTCTTCTATTCCTGGGTATCGGTATTTGGCACACAGCTTCTTTTCTCTCTGGCCCCATAATTCTTTGACCTTCAGAGATATGGAATCCCAGATATTTGACAGTTGGCAAACACAACTGAGCCTTCCTTCTTGACACCTTGTATCCTGCCTTCCAGAGAATGTGTAGTAGATCGTGCGTTGCTTGCTGACATACTTCCTTTGTAACTGCTGCTATCAACAAGTCATCTACATATTGTAATAATACACACTCTCCTGGGATAGACTCGAAATCTAGTAGATCTTGACTTAGAGCTGAACCAAATAGGGTAGGTGAATTTTTAAACCCCTGGGGCAATCTTGTCCAGGTCATTTGGCGTTTCGAGCCCGTTACAGCATTTTCCCATTGGAAAGCGAAGATACATTGGCTTTCTGCGGCAATTCGGAGGCAAAAGAAGGCATCTTTGAGATCTAAGACTGTAAAGTAAGTAGCCCCGCCCGGAATTAAAGCAAGCAGGTTATATGGATTGGGCACGACTGGATGTATACTAACAACCGCATCATTGACTGCTCTCAAGTCCTGCACAGGTCGATACTCATCTGTACCGGGCTTTTGAACAGGCAGCAATGGGGTGTTCCAGGGGGAAGTACAGAATTTTAGGATACCATACCGTATGAACTTATCCAGATAAGATTGGATGTTCTTCTTAGCCTTCTGCGGAATATGATATTGTCTCAGGCTTACTGGATAAACCCCAAGTTTTAGTTCGATTTTAATAGGTGGAATATTGCGGGCCAGTCCTGGTGGGTTGTTCTCTGCCCAAACTCCTGGTATGTTAAATAAGGATTCATCACTCCTCGGGTTTTGGCTAGTCAACACTGTATAAAGTCGCCACTCTTCTTCCTTTGGTACGGACAATGTCATAATACCTGAGGGTCCATTAAACTTTAAGGATGTTGTTCCATTTGGTAGGAACGTAATCTGCGCTTGTAATTTGGATAGCATATCACGTCCCAGCAATTGGACTGGACACTCAGGCATATAAAGGAATTGATGTTTTACTACGTGGCCTCCCAATGTACAGAGTCGACTTTTAAGAACCGGTTTTTCAGCACTTCTTCCAGTTGCTCCTATTACAGTAATAGTTCTTCCAGATGGAGGAGCAACTTGATTAGTCACCACCGAATGTTCAGCACCAGTGTCGATCATAACGCACTCCTTTTTCCCCCTATTGATACATCGACCATAGGCTCCGCTCGACCAAGGGGGATGGAGCCCGGTCGGTATCAATAGTCCTCCATGACCGTGTCAGCCAATCCCACAAAGTCCCTACCTTCTCTATCGCGGGACCTTTGCGCTGCTGGATAGTACCTATCTTCCCTTACACTTCCTCTGTTCCCATTACTCCCTCTATTACCATTACTCCCTCCGGGGCCTCCTCTACCTCTCGCTCTGCCTCTAAAGTTTCCGTAACCTGCCCTGGGTAAGTCTCTCTCATACTGCTCTCTTTGCGGACACTCGTTCCTCCAATGCCCTTCTTCCTTACAGTACGCGCACTGATTCCTACTCAAAGGCTCCCTATTCCATCTACCATCGCCTCTATCTGGGCCCCGTCTATCTACGCCTGCGATCGCTACCGCTAGCATATCTGCCTTTCTACGCATCTTGCGCTCTTCCTCTTTCTTACTTTCTGTTTCCCTATTCATATATACTTTGTTCGCTACCTCCATTAGTTGGGTGATAGACATACCTGCAAACCCTTCTAATTTCTGTAGCTTGCGCTTAATATCTCCGTAAGCTTGGCTGACAAAGGCGGAGTTTACCATTCGGGAATTATCAGCGTCTTCCGGATTAAAGGGGGTATACAAGCGGTATGCCTCCAATAATCGGTCATAAAAGACACTGGGCGCTTCATCACTTTTCTGAATCACCTCAACTGTCTTCGACATGTTAATAGCTTTCTTCCCTCCGGCTTTCATGCCAGCAATTATAGCATCTCTATAGGCTTTAAGTTGAGCCATATCTGCGCCATTTACATTCCAGTCAGGATCGGTGTTAGGGTAATGTGTTGCGGCCCATGCTGCCGGATTGGCTTGATTTAAAGCACGGGCTCTCTCCTCTAGCGCCTTAATGGCCGCTTGGTTAATCCTTGTCCTTTCCTCATTATTGAACAATGTCATTAATAACTGCTGGCAATCAGCCCATGTCGGGTTATGTGTCTGAACTATCGAGGTGAACAGATCGGTCATAGCTTGTGGTTTCTCAGTGTACGAGGAATTGTGGGTCTTCCAATTCAAGAGATCGGTAGTCGTGAACGGGACATATACGAAGACTGGGTCAGCATGTGCCATTTGACCTGCGGCATCGATATAGGCTGACCCAGGATTCAGACGAAGAGGCATCTGATAATGTTTTAATTGTTGGGTACCGGTCAGTTGTCGGGTTAGTATGGGGCTACGTGGAGGGGCGTCAGTTAAAGGTTCCGGTCGAGAGGTAATAGGGCATGAGGATGTGGGAACTTGATTTTGGGAAAAGTTAGTGAATAGTATACTCCGAGCCGAGCTAGAAGAAGCTTGACCGGAAGTTTGAAGTGGCGCCAAATCAGGATATTCAGATCTAATGGGGGTTGGTCCTGGTTCCGGAAGGGGAGTTTTAATACGAGGGGGGGTGGATTCTGTACTGGAGGAGGAAGCGGAAGTGGATGGGGGCAATAGGGGAAGGGGTGCAGAGCTTCCTGCATTCGCGTCACTTCCTCTTAAAGGAAAGTAAGGAGGCGGCAAAGGGATCTCGGACTCAGGGGGCGTGTCCAAAATGGGCCTAACACCAGTCCTAGTGGACAAACAAGTCCTGGCCACCATGAGGCGACATTGCTCCTCGTGGCATATCCGGATCCATTTTGGCGAGTCGTTTACGGCCTGCCCCCAACAATCAATGTATGGAAACTGTCCGTAAAGTTCAGGCCTACCTGACACAGCCACGTGTACACGCTGTACCAGGGTTGGATCCAAACTGCCACGCGGCGGCCATGCCGCAACCAAAATAGGCCACTCCCTAGTGCACAAAGTGACCAAACGTACAGGAGACATTTTAACCCCAAAATCACATGTTTTGAATCCCTTTTTAAAATTCTTTACCATACAACCTAAGGGATCCGAAATCGTTGACTCTGACGCGCCCATACTTATCAATGGAACGTCGTTGACAACGAATACTATGCACGCGTTCTTATTCAACAGTCACACCCGTTTCCTCTGGCAACAGCACCACGTGGTACAGTTACCGAGTGAAACGTACACAATAACACAATAATCACTCAGGGAATTCCCGTACACACACAGCTGTTACACCAGTCACTAAATAATCAATATTATGCCCTTTGGCGAAACTATACAGTCACCCACGCTATAATTCTCTATATATGAATTACCCGTCTATAACACACCCCAGTAACATCGTCTTTTACTAGTATCGGTTACAGTACGGTTAGCATAGGTCAAAGCACAATTTAAGGTCACAATACAATTATTAGTGGTTACGGTGTTAAACATGCAATAGACGACAATGATTAGTACTTATATACAGTGTCAGTAAATATACAGGGTTATGGTACCGTGCACTATGATACAGCAACACACTATTAACACTCTCGCTAGACGGCTGAGCTCGCGCTATCTAACAAGATATACACTTTACTAACAATCTTTAACACATTTACAATCCCAACTAAACTATTGGCCAGTACCTTGAATGGACTACCTAAAACTATATACACCCGTTTTGGTTAGCCACACTGCCCAAACACCACATATAGCGAACTAGAGGGCGAAATTTACAAAATTGCCCTTCTAGTCTATTTACTCTATCAAAAGTCTAGTGGGTTCCAAATTTACACGCCTTCCCACTTAGCCAAGATAGGTTGAGAGCTAGCGAACCGAATTTACACAGGCGCCGCTTAGTCTCCCGGTCCCTCCGACCTAGCGAACGTAATATACACCCTAGAACGCTAGTCTAGACAAGACACCGGTGTCCGGCTAGGGCTATTTACACAGGACCCCGCCTGACTAACCAGATCAAACGGTCTTACTAAAGAGCGTTCGATCGAGCGGTGCGCCTTCGCTCCTTCCCTCCGACAGAGGGGGCAGATTCCATACACAGATTTAAACCCCTTTTGGGCCTACCGCACAATCGGTATACCCCTAGTGGGTCTGCCGTCTAAAACAGCAGTTGTCTTACCTCCTCGTTCCTGAACCTGAGTTCACACTCATCGACGGGGACACCCCAGCACTTCTTACGTAGAGGCCGATGATCTCCTGGACAACAGACCAGTGGCGCCGAGACGAAGGGAGGTCCACGCAGAAGTTCAGGGGTGCAGCCGTAGAGAACGTGGGCAAAGATAGACCGTCTCACGCCTCTGCCTCTCAGCTACCGTTGAACGATGAGCTTCCCGGCCAATGCACCAAATGATACCGGAGAAACTGACGGAAGCAAAGCACAGAGGGATGGACACAGGTTTCTTCAGGAAGGAAGAGATTCTTTATTGGATCACCGATCGGGACTCAGAGGGACTAATGTCACCAAAAATACAGCAAGTTCTGAGCCCTGAACAATAGTGCAGGCTCCCTATATAGGCACATAACTCCTCCCATATTAAGCTCCACCCGCACATTCTCTTGACCAATCATTACAAATAAGAATTAACTTCCTGCTTGACCACATGGCTTGTCCAGCACAATGGAGGAGGGGAATACTACATCCTGTATTCTTGCACATGCTCCGTACACTACTGATCGTATCTTGCCTCGTGCAACCAACTGATCGATACGTCAGCATATGCACGTACACATACCACGTGGTAATCTCGGCCTACTAAATTTATTTTTACCGAGATTCCACCACAGTTCTTTACACACTCTCCTAGTCTGCTGTTTTAAACACAATCTTGATGTGTGTGCTATATATTTACAAGAGGTAAATATACTGTTTCGTTACTGTATCCAAGTTATAGGGTTGATGAATGTAAGATATATGTAGACTTCAATGTATTAACAATAATTTAACCCCCTCCCCCCCCATTGCTCTCGGATAAGGAAAGCCAAGTGACAATGTCCAGCATATTAACTACCAGACATAATTCAATAAAATATTCTATGTACAGTCATTACAGGAGCCGTGAACAGTTAATATTTTAATGAACGGTGATAACCGGTAACCTTACACCTCTTTATCTCTAGCAGTCACTGCGCACACAGACCACGTGGTTCTTTCTAAGGGCCGCCATTCCGTTCCCTTTAAACTCTGTAGGCGCGGCCGGCCTCCCCCTGATTGGTGCAGCGGGTTTCGCGGGAAGATGACGTCACCTACCGGTACGTGCTGAGGGCCGGCCCTGATTTGCGGAGGACCGGAAGGAAACCACCGTTTTACGAGAGTGGGGGTAAGAGACCGGGAAATGGTGGGGGGAGGGGAGAGAGAGGAGGGGACGATGGAATGAAATGCGGATCACAGGGGCTGGTTCCCAATATAACAATGTGTAATAACACCATGACACGGACACAACTGGACACAAAGCATCACCATGCGGGGAGTGAGGAGAGGGAAACAACACAACAACACACTGCACGCTGTAACACACTGACACAGATACACTATACACACTGCATGCTGTAACACACTGACACAGATACACTATACACACTGCACGCTGTAACACACTGACACAGATACACTATACACACTGCACGCTGTAACACACTGACACAGATACACTATGCACACTGCACGCTGTAACACACTGACAGATACACTATACACACTGCACGCTGTAACACACTGACAGATACACTATGCACACTGACAGAGATACACTATGCACACTGTAACACACGGACAGAGATGCACTATAACACGCTGGAAGAGTAAGATGTACCTAAACACATAAACAGACAAAACATAGGGCAATATCGTTAATCAACCATCAACCCCTTATTTCAATGTTGCACTCACAAAATTGGAGAACATTCAGGCTCATTGATAATGCATGGACTCAGAGGTTCACCATTGCTCAGATATCCAGTGATGCATGAAAAAAATAAACATAGTACAGCGCTGATATAAAGTAAAATCACACACTTTAATGAATGTACGCTTTACAGTGTACAAGGAGTTAAAAGGACCATCAATACAACTCTGCGTTCCCAATCTATATCGTGTTGAGTAGAGGGTTCTTCACAGGAGTAGTAGGCAAGGAAGACTATATATATTTTTACTCCTGATGAATTCTAATACATTAGACGAAACGCGTAATGTTTATTTTTAATTGCATAGAGATATATAAATATCTCTATGCAATTAAAAATAAACATTACGCGTTTTGTCTAATGTATTAGACTTCATCAGGAGTAAAAATTTGATAATACACAGATAAGGTGCTTAAATCACTTTGAGGACCGAAGCTGTATTTAAAAGTCCCTCCTGCAGGTGTTAGAATCCATTCAGCCAATCCGCTTTTCTCAATTTGCTTGCTTATAATTGTCCGTTCAATCTCTTCCTTATATGGAGTTCCGGCGGAAGTCGGTGGAACGCACGTGCGTTTCACCTATCAGGAAGTGTTTTGACCGGCATCCACCGGAACTCCATATAAGGAAGAGATTGAACAAGGGTTCAGTGTCCCCTTTTCTCGCCTCTTTTACTTCTCATTTTTTTCATCTCATCATCAATCAGTTTTGTTCACCCTTTTTTCTTTGGTCATCTGTCTTTTGCCCTCCTCCCCGTTCTCTTGATCTCTTACCTAACTCTTCTCTAGTCTGTACACTGCTTTCTCCTGCCTCTCAAAACATATCTCCGTACTCTTTTTTGTAGTTGTATGTGCTGTAAGTTTGGGGTGGGGTTTGAATACATTGGAAATTAAGCTTACATGTGTACATACTCTCTGACAAAGGTATACACATGCACACATGAGACACTGACATTTACATACAGATACATGTTCTCACATATTTACATTTTTTACTTTTCTTAGAATGTTCCAACAAACTGCATGAGGTGGCCATTTATATTTATTTTAACAGAGATTGCTATTTCCTCTGGGGTTGATGGTTGATTAACGATATTGCCCTATGACTTGTTTTGTCTGTTTATGTGTTTAGGTACATCTTACTCCAAGATACAGCACATTGTGCCAGGTGGCTATTCAGAGGGCAGCTAGGAAGTGACCATGCAGCATTTCAGCAGGGGGTTAGTGTACAGTACTGGATTAGGGTTAGGGAAGGGTTGGTATAGAGTTAGGGTTATCTACCAAAAATTAATTTAGATTCAGGACTGATACATAAATCTGTTTTGAGTTCTTTGTATTTAGTTGCATTTGATGTGTAAAAATTATTCTACGTTAAAGGGGATGCTATAGTCATACTAGAACAACTATTGCCTGTCCCTGCAGGCATTTCAAGGGAAACTATAGTGCTAGGAAAACAAAATTAGTGCCACCCTCCCTCGTGCCCCCACCCCTTGATTCTAAATGGGTTAAAACCCCATATATCACTTACCTGATTCCAATGCCGCTTGTTTAGGCTCCGCCAACATGAGCTGTGGGGGGAACCTTATGCACATTTGTGGCGAGCCTCCCTCACTATAGGACTTCCTATGGATAATGGATTACTTTGTATAATGCTTTCCTATAGGATTTTGGGTGACGCTGGATGTCCGCATGCACTGCATGAGGACGTCCAGCGTTGGGCAACCAAAAGTTGCCTAACCACCTGGAAGTCTAGTAGACAGCCACTAGAGATGAAGTTAAAGGACCACTCTAGGCACCCAGACCACTTCAGCTTAATGAAATGGTCTGGGTGCCTGGTCCAGCTAGGGTTAACCCATTTTTTAATAAACATAGCAGTTACAGAGAAACTGCTATGTTTATTAATGGGTTAAGCCTTCCCCCTATTCCCTCTAGTGGCTGTCTCATTGACAGCCACTAGAGGCGCTTGTGTGCTTCTCACTGTGATTTTCACAGTGAGAGCACGCAAGCGTCCATAGGAAAGCATTGTAAATGCTTTCCTATGCGACGGGCTGAATGCGCGCGCAGCTCTTGCCGCGCGTGCGCATTCAGCCCAGGAGGAGGACAGGAGGCAGAGAGCTCCCCGCCCCGCCCAGCGCTGGAAAAAGGTAAGTTTTTAAACTTTTCCCCTTGCCAGAGCCGGGCGGGAGGGGGTCCCTGAGGGTGGGGGCACCCTCAGGGCACTATAGTGCCAGGAAAACGAGTATGTTTTCCTGGCACTATAGTGGTCCTTTAACCCCCAAAGGCAATTATTGCAATTTCTCAGTTAAGGGGACTGGGACACAGCACCCAGACCACTTCAATGAGTTGAAGTGGTCTGGGTGCCAATATTGTCTCTTTAATGTAAACACTGCCTTATCAGAGCATCTCTGTGAGGAGATGCTGATTGGCACGTCAGAATTGATATCAGCCAATCTAATGCGTTCCTATGGGAAAGCATTGTGATTGGCTGGGATAATCAATTCTGATGATGTCATCCAATAAGACGGTTTGGGGGTGTGGTAAGTATTCTTCTTTAGGGGAGCAAGGTGGACCTACATTGGTTTTTAACACTATAGGTTCAGGAGTACACGTTTGTACTTCCTATAGTGTTCCCCCCCATTTTTAAAATTTTATTTATACTTTGTGTTCTGTTAGGTATACGTATAGGATGTTAGAAGAAAGCCATTTTTGTCCTTTAAAAACAATGTATAATATGTATGGGTGCACTTAAAGATAAATCCTTAAATTACATATAGCAAAACATGTAGGTGTATTTTTGATTCAGATGTTAAGGGGTTAATCATGCACTTAACCAGCCTTTATCGGCTCCCAACAAGATAACAGAGACTGGGCATCAAAAGAGAACCAAGAGGGTTGAACCTGAGCATGCAGGCCGCTGAAGCACTAAGCAAGAGATATAGGGGAAAAGACATAATAACAGTAGTTGCAATAAGGCAAGTGGCCGCAGGGGCCCTTAATGAAAGGGCACAGACAATTCTCGTGGGTCCCCTTACTTAATGTTCCACATGGTGTGAATGCGATTTTGACACTCAGACCTGTGGCACTGGCCCAGGGGTACAGTAGCTTGTTACAGTAAGCATTCTGTTCTATCTAATACCTCAGGCCATGTGTTGGTATAAAGGTGTATATAAGTCCCAATCACAAGGGAGTAGGAATTTAGTTTATCAGAGATTTCTCCATGTATATGGTATGTTTGTTGCTGGCTTTTTGATCTTATATAAAAAAAAAAATCGTAATAAGTGTTATTACCGCCCCAAAATGGTATGACCATTGCTGTAAAAACTGCCATTTTCTCAAGGCCATTGTCTTCCTACACCTATATGAAAGCTCAGTAGGTTACTTCCAGACCACCAGTCCTCCAAAATTCCTAGTTATTTTACATTCTAATATGAATGTAAATTATAAGACTACTGGGGGGTTAAGCTGTGGCATAGTCATCCCTAATAAACCGTGATAGTGATCCCAACATTAGAAATATTTGGGTGACTGTGAAATCATGCATTTCTCCTCTCCTAACAGATATTTTATCCTTATCTTAAAAGTTATCACCTTTTATTTTTTTCCCCCCCTCCATTAGGATTTCTTGTGCGTGGGAAATACACATGTGTACTGAATCTGGTCTCTGCGGCTTAATGTTTTCATGGTAAGTGACACTTAGCTTTGCAATAAAGCATTCTGAAAGGCTTTAAGAATTTTGCAGTTCACTGATAGGTATGATATATTGGTAGCTATGCATATCTCTTCTAAAGGAGAGAAAAACACCTACTTTGCTCCTCCTCTTTCAGAGACTCAGCCAAAGGGCAATAACATCTGCTGGTAGGAGTGGATTTTTTTGTTGCCCTTCTGGTTGGAAAGTCTTTGTTTGAAAGCTAGAGAAAGCACCTTTTCCATCTGTCTCTCTCCCATCTGCTAAATTAGGAATTGACTTTTAGGAAAAAAAAAAAAAAATTAGGACCCACGAGTCAGTGAATATTTCCAAAGTGTTCTTCTCCATGGATTCTGTTTACCAAGTCAAGTAAAAAGACTTGCAGTTAAAGAAAAAAAGTTACGTATTATCCTAAAGGTTTAATTTACCACAATAAGATTCAGGTCAATTCAACTCCAACTGATAGTGAATTAAACTCTATTATCCCTAAATTTCTCAATAATTAGTTCCCACACGATTCTGGACTATATAGGTGTCTGCTGTATGCAGACGCTGGATGCATGGTTTCAGAGCAGACAGTAATAAAATAATTTTAAAAATACAAAAACATGTGCCCCCTTACGGACAGGGGCAATTGTACAAGTTCAACAACAAAACAGAATTTGAGTTATGTCTGTACACTCATAATTTAACTCTTTAATATTAAGTGCACCCACACTTGTCATTTTGTTCAGGAAAAATTAATTTCAAATCAAATATTTATATATTGAACACAATTTAATATGAATAAAATTTTAAATAAAAGTGTGAGAAATTAAGAACTTTTGTTATTTTCCAAGTTCTGCATGGAATTTAAATGTGATTGTCATAATACTGTTTGTTTTTACTGAAATAAAACACACACACTTGTATGCTCTGATGTCCCACGGGTACATTGATGTCCCCCGTCTACAGGTTTTGTGGTGTTTTGGAAATTACAGGGTCAAATATAGGGCTTGCCCATTTCAGTTTGCCTGATTTGTTTGCTTGGCCTATGTTGCCTTTGAGGCCATATGGCAGCCAAGGTTTGAGAATTACCTGCATCTTTGGCATACTATTTGCAAAAGTAAACACAGGGTATTTAAAATGGGACTTGTGCAGTCTTTTTCTGTAACCATTGGTCACAAACCCTGGCCAAAGTTAGTGTTCATATTTTTTTTTTAATTTGCGTTTTTCTCACAAGTACTGCACATTTACTAATGATATAATCATTATTATACGTTTTGCTATTTTAAATCACTCTTGTGTTCAGTGAAGTCTCACAAGTACAACAGTATTCCCCATGTACAGGTTTTAATGGTTTGGAAAGTTACACGGTCAACTATAGGGCTTGCAAATTAAATTCTCTGGACCAAGCATGTCAAACTCGCGGCCTACAATGAATATCTTTGCGGCCCAGCAAGCCTCGAGTTTGACATACTACACTCTCTGTAGTGATGCCGAATGCCGGAATATGGCGTCATTCCGGCACCGGGCATCAGTAAACTGCACGCCTGAGTGAGCAGTGAGGAGCATGGAGGAGACATCCCAAGAGAAGATCCCCAGGGAGAGGCCCCACACCAGCTCCCAAAGAAAGGGAACAATAAATAAAATTATTTGTGTGCAGGAATGTGTCAGTGTGTCTGTCATAGTTTGTGTGTGTGTTTGTTTGTCATAGTGTGTGTGTCTGTCAGTGTTGCGATGGCCGCAGCTGGACAGTGAAGGTGCATGGAGGCATGTAACGCCACGTCTCATTCCAACGTGACGTCAACGTGTTCCACCTTTACCGGGTTTCAATGAGTAGTGGGAGGAGCTGCTTTGGCACAGGGTGCGGACAGCGCCATTGGGGGTATACCTAAGGCTGGACCCTGGAGTTGCATACTGGCAGCAGCAATTTGAGTGGAGACTGCTTGTTGGCTAATACTGTTTTGTTTTTTGTTTTTAAACAAGGGCCGGGGTTTAGTAGAGGGGGAGGACTGGGAATTAGTATAGAGGGGAGGGGATGCTGTTTGTGTTTTTTTTTTTATACTGTACTTTTTAAAACAAACCTACGTTTCTATGAAAATTTTTTTTTTTTTTTTTTTACGGCCCACATAAACTTAAACCTTGTTTATTTGGCTTGGCCCATGCTAGCCCTTGAGTTTGACATGCTTGCTCTGGACCTTTCTGCCTGGTTGGCAGGCAGGCCCCTTAATATAGAATTAATAAAATCACATAATTATGTACCAATTCATATATATATTTTGAGTTTTGATGGCTCATAACATCCATCCATTTTAGAAAGATAACTTAATGCAGAATGTGAGGCAACACACTTTATTAGAAAATGCATTTAAAAACAAGTTGTATACAGAAACCATAATAAAGTGAAGAAAACCACGGTAAACTATAACCTCTAAATATTTCTGTTTGTAGTGAATCGGGAAACCTTTTGCCACTATTAAAGTCTTACAACAGTGTCCCATGGGGTGATCAGGTGTTATAAAGTGAAACCATGATCGCTTCTACCAATTATCTTTTATTTCTTGCTTGTGTCTGACTAAGAAGTAATAGACTCCACAGATTTTCTGCACTTGTCAGGGCTATTATCTGGCAGTGTATTGTGTAATTCCTGAAAGCACTTTGTGCACACAGCAACAACATGACAAAGAGCTAAATCCTGATGATACATGCTTTATTTACCTCACAAAGTTCATGTGCCGAAAGCTTTAACCCCTTAAGGACACATGACATGTTTGACATGTCATGATTCCCTTTTATTCCAGAAGTTTGGTCCTTAAGGGGTTAAAGGAACACAAGCGTATATTCCTGACCGTATAGTGTTAAAACCCAATTTTAGCCCCTGATCCTCCTTACCCACTTTAAATAAAGTAAAAACGTACTATTTTTCCAGCATCTTGTGGATCTACTGCTGATGGCCCCGCCCCCAATCAGCCTAATTGGCTGACACCCTAGGGTATTTCTAAAGGCATATTTTGAACCTTATCGTGGGAAATGTTTTTCGCTAGTTTGTACCAAGTGTATTGGTAATTAGCATTTCTCTTCCTTTTTAACAGACACAGTAATGTATTACTGTATATTTTGCAAACCTTGTGTGTGCTACGACAGTATAATACTTTATAAGATGCTCAGCTATGTTTTCTGAGTACAGCAATACCCCTGTATGTACCTTTCCCAGGTAAATGTGGACATTGAAGGGGCACATTTGAGAGACAGCCATTTCACATTTTTTCCTACTTAGAAATTTGACGCTGGGTCCATGTTCCCTTTTTGAGCATTTTAGCATGTTGCTATTTCAAACTACCCCACAGAGGCACACCAAAGTATTTCAAAAGGCATATTTTGAACCTTAGCATTGGAACATTTTTTTTCACTAGTCTGTACCAAATGTAGTGGTAATAAGCATTTTTTTTTAAGCTTTTTTTATTTTTTATTTAATGTAATGGCCAACAGTGAGCTATAAAGGCATGAGATAGAAAATCAATGCACATTTTTATATTAAAGGTGGGAAAGAAACTGTTAATTAATGTAGAAACCGTAATGCAACTACACCGGATTAGTATAAGATAGAAAGAAGGAAACCACCAGTTGATTAACAGTGTGATGTTAATACAATATGCAAGCTAAGATGCCAGACTGGGCAGGGGTAGCTAGATGGTAGCTTATTCAACCAATACCCATCCTCCCTGGGCATATATATCATCCGCTTCTCTCACCAGGCTACGAGTTGCTGGAGAGCACAGATGCCGGGCAGCCCCCAAAAACCCATTCCAAGGTTGCCCTAGGAATATCAGACGAGGGTGCCAGTGTGGGTAAGTCCAGCAAAAAGGGATTTTCACACTCTATTTAGCTTTTAGAGCAGGATCAAGCAGAAGCCCAAGCACTCTGTGACCATCCCGCGCCTTCCCTTCCCTTTTTTTAACCCATAACTAGCATAACAATAAACCCCCAATTGTCTACAAACTTCCACCCACCCTAGATACAGAAATAAATAAATATAATAAATAAAAGTTAACCCTCAGGGGTAAAAAAAACAAAAATAAAACGATCACAGTAAAAATGCAGTCAGTGATCAAAGGACAAGGAAGGGGTTACATTTTATTGGAAAGGGGTAAATGGGGTTGTAAATTTAGCTTAAAACATTTTTTTCCCAGCAGTCCCTGGAGCACATATGATCGCTCTGACTGGCTGGGACAGTGTGATTGGCTGGTTAATTTTAGTAAATGAAAGAAATTTTCTGTCATGCATCCTTAATAATAGGACTGCCATGATGGAAATTTTCCATCTAGCATCGGGAAGAAGTTAATGCTTCTTCTTCCACACATTATTCGATCACTTATTCCAAAAATTTATATTCTGGTCTTGTCACTCAAGATAACCATTGTTCCTCACACAAATAACATGGTTCTTAGCCCATTCTTGTCTCTTCCTTCTTTTGTACAAGAGATAGAAATGACTTTGTGACGGAGCTCCTTGTACACCGGCTGGATACCTCTGCCAAGTCCGCTTCCTAGCCGCTTACAGGGACCCTGTCGTCCCCTCTGCCTATTCTGCAGCAGCTCTGCTTACAGTGATTTATAGTTATTGCCTTTACAAAGGGTCTCAGGCCTAGCTCTTTTGATTTATCCCAGGGCTAGAGGGATCCTGCAAACAGGTCCGGAGTCTCTGTCACTAGGATCCCAACAAATCCACAGAGGACACAAGTTACAATAGGAACTGACATACAAAACTTTATTTCTCTTGGGACTAGCCCATATGATTACATTAAGCCTAATTTGACAGCTTAATAAAAATACAAACTCTCAAATCACATTAGATAACATACAGGAACTTATAATAACATAATGACATTTATAAAGGGGTGGGAAAGACAATAACACAAAACATCTCTCGCAGAAATAGCAATATGCAAATCTATGTGAATATGCAAATTAGCAATCCTTTCTATTCAGGTAGTGCATACAGCGGTTGCTAGATCCTTGCAACCAACAGGTGGCGCTGTACAGGCTCCACAGCTCAATCCACCTAGTTGATTGCATGCATTAGCAATACAGGAGAGCACACTAAACAATTACATTACCCACACTCTGCACCTATAATGGGTACAGGGTGACTAAAACATAAAAGTCCCGCAACGTACATAAATAGTCTGTCTGTCTGGTCCAGGTGATGGTCACAGACTTAATTAACATTTTTGAATTTACGTTTAACAGTCCTAGCACTTGTATACAAACCACTTTAAGACAATTCATTTTTAATTTATTGATTGATTAATTTGATTATTTTCGTCTGTCACTTAAGCACAGTGTTTTAATTTTGCTATCACTACTTGCTGTTGTGCACCTAATCCCGCTTTTACGAGTTTATGGAATGAAGAGTCTGCAGTTACCTCTTGCACAATGTGGAAAAACTCCTTTGGTTAAACTTGTTCATAAATGTAGCCTTCTTCACTCAGTTATTATATTACACCTCTTTCTAGCTGATCAGTCAGCTCTTTTCTCTCTTTTTTTGACATCATACTAAAGCCTTAAATTAATATTGTTGGATAGGTTTCCATATGATTACATCTTTTTGGATAAATTTTTCAACATATTAAAATATCGAAAATATATAATTTATCAAAATATTAACAAATAAAAAACATTTTCATTGCATTATTCGTTTAAAAGATTATCTAAAAATATTAAATCATTTGGAAAGCTTGCCAAAAAATGATAAATTGAGCTGTTACTGGAAGAATAACAGGAACAAACCGCAGAAGCCACACATAGAAATATGGACACAAGTCTTCAGGAAGTAAGAGGCCTTTATTCACGTACCGATCGGGTCTCAGATGGACTAATGTTCCACAACAGATCTGAGCCCAGAACACATGGAGTACATTCCTTATATAGCAATATAGCTCCTCCCATAAATAGCTACACCCACACATACCCTTAACCAATCAAAGAACAGAGTCTGGACTTGCTCATCTGGTCAGACCACATGGCTCATCCCAAACAAAGGAGAAAGGAGTGTGATTTCAGTTCCTACATTCCTGCACATGCTCAGTACATTGATTACAGTATCTTAGCTACATGTGACTAACAGATACAACAAACACCTGTACTTGTATATGCCACATGGAGATTTCAGGCCTACTAAATTTTGAACCATGTTGAAATCCCATCACAGAGCCCTGCTGAACAGCTTACTTTCAGAGTTATCAAGGTGACTTTAAAGTGAATTTCAAATTTAAGGTAAAAAGTTGAACTGGAAAAATGCTCTAAGCTAGCTATGCTTTTCATTTAGCTACTCTTTAAAGGGACACTATAGTCACCAGAACAACTACAGCTTATTGAATTTGTTCTGGTGAGTTGAATCATTATCTTCAGGCTTTTTGCTGTAAACACTCTCTTTTCAGAGAAAGTGCAGTGTTTACATTACAGCCTAGTGATAACTTCACTGGCCACTCCTCAGATGGCTTTTAGAGATCCTTCCTGGGTCGTGGCTGCCTAAAATGCATCCAAACATTCAGTATCTCCTCCCTCTGCATGCAGACACTGAACTTTCCTCATAGATATTCCTTGATTCAATTCATCTCTATGAGGAGATGCTGATTTCCAGGGCTGTGTTTGAATTGTGCTGGCTCTGCCCCTGATCTGCCTCTTTGTCAGTCTCAGCCAATCCTATGGGGAAGCACTGTGATTGGATCAGACTACCACTTCTGCTGATGTCAGCAGACTTTTTTTTTTTTTTTTAGGAAAACAGCATGCAGATCTACAGCTTCTGGCTTGAATACTGTAAGATTTTGCTATGTTTATGGAGGCATGAGAGTTCCAGGGGGGCTAGGTGGTGTTTTTAACACCATAGGGTCAGGAATACATGTTTGTGTTCCTGACCCTATAGTGATCCTTTAATGCTGATATTTGAAATTACTTTGAATTTACTTTAAATTCTCACAATAGTAAATAACCCTGTTGCGACCATTCAGACTGCAGAATCCAAATATTCTTCGCGCTGTTTAACAGTGTTTAAAGAATTAAGTCTGGATTTCAGTCTTCCGGGATCAAATCCAAACACAGACCCAGATTTAAAAAAAATATCCAAACTATTTGCCTGCTGGCAGTGCAGGGGTTAATCATGTGACAGTTCCTATTTAGTTTTAAAATGTGAAAGCACTGGTTGTAATCTGAACACTGAATGACAGTGATTGCTGCAGATTCACTAAGGCAGACTTAATCGTAACTGTATTTAGCTTTAGTAAATATGAGAATTGCCAATGAGGTTGGAATTTGGTAATTGTCATTATTTAGTGAATAATTATCAAGGAATAGAAAAATCGGTTAACAACAAAAACTCAACTTGATAACCCTCACACAACTGAATAGGATTCCTATTAGCCCTGGTACATGGGCATTTGAACTGATTGGTCAGTTTTGATAGAGAGGGACACTATAGTCACCAGAACAACTACAGCTTAATGTCACTGCCGTCTTTAACGTGGGGCAAACAGGGCAGTTGCCCTGGGCCCAGTTGCTCCTGGGGGGCCCAGAGCAGCTGCCCTGTGGGCACTGCAATTTCCGCAGACCCATGGACCTTGCGGTGCCGCACTGGCCCGCACACTAAGGAGGCCCCCTGGGTGGCCTATGCCCTAAGGGCCACCCAATGAGCATGTGTCAGCAGGGGCCCAGTCGGGCGCTGTGATGCTTAAGCAGCGTGACCGGGTCCCTTCCTGTTTGGCAGCTGGCTGGGAGGAAGTGAGTGCCGTGCGTCTCTTCCTCCCACCGGAGATAATAGCCGCGTGGGAGGAGGAAGGCAGGGAGGAGGGAAGTTCTAGAAGATAACTGCCACTGAATCCCAGGGAAACCACCCTCCAGAAAAAGTAAGGGTGGTTGAATATTATAGATGGCCCTGCTTAATGTATTTGTTCTGGTGTCTACTGCCTGTCCCTGGCTTTTTAATGTAAACACTGTCTTTCAGAGAAACTGCTTAATAAAACAGCTGCTTAAATCTCTGCCATTGTGGGTTAAAAGGACACTATAGACCTGGACCACTTCATATAATTGAAGTGGTCTCGGTGCAGAGTTCCTGTCCCTTTAACCCTGCAAGTGAAAACATTGCAGTTTTAGAGAAACTACAATGTTTACATTGCAGGGTTAAGGCTGCCGTAGTGGCTGTCTCCCAGACAGCCACTAGCAACTCTGCCTGATGTTTGAAGGAGTTTAACCCCTTAAGGACCAAACTTCTGGAATAAAAGGGAATCATGACATGTCACACTTCATGTGTCCTTAAGGGGTTAAAGGAGCACTATAGGGTCTGGAACACAAACATTTATTCCTGACCTTATAGCGTTAAAACCACCATCTGGCCCCCTCTTGCCTTCCTAAATATAGTAAAATCATATTTGTATTCAAGTCTGAATATGCTGCCTCTGCCTGTGAACTCACTCTGTCTGCTGACATCATCAGAAGTGGTGGTCTGAGCCAATCACAATGCTTTCCCATAAGATTGGCTGAGACTGTCAATGAGGCAGATCAGGGGCTGAGCCAGCATAAGTCAAATACAGCCCTGGCGAATCGCATCTCCTCATAGAGATGAATTGAATTAATGCATCTCTATGAGGAAAGTTTGTGCATGCAGAGTGTAGACACTGAATGGCAGTACTGCTTACTCTGTAGCACTGCCCAAGGAAGCAGCTTTAGCAGCTATCTGAGGAGTGGCCAGTGATGTTATAACTAGGCTGTAATGTAAACACTGCACTTTCTCTAAAAAGACAGTGTTTACAGCAAAAAGCCTGAAGGGAATGATTCTACTCACCAGAACAAATTCAATAAGCTGTAATTGTTTTGGTGACTATAGTGTCTCTTTAATGTTATGAAAATCCCCATTGGAAAGCAGTGATTAAATGTTTTGCTATGGGGAAACCTAATGCGCATGCCCGTTGCTGTGATGTCGTGGGAGGAGATAGATCCAGTGCCAAAGGACCGCGGCACTATCAGGTAGTGAAAAAAAGGGTTGTGTTTTTTTGTGTTTTTGCCCCAAACTCAGCTCAGGATTCGGGAGCTCAGGCACCACATGTATGCTCAGCTTTACACTCCACCCCCCCCTCTCCCCTGGAAAAAGGGTTTTTAACCCTTTCATTGCAGGTGGGCTACACTATTGTGTTGAGAATAAAGGTTTGTATTCTTAACACTATAGTGTTCCTTTAAATCACTTTATTTCTGCAGTCCTAGCCACACTTTCTCCTCACCTCATTTTTCTCTTTGCTTTGTACCCTTAGTGTGTGGTGAGCCAGGGTGCAACAGTTATTGCCTTCATACAGCAGTCTCTTCTTCAGTTTCCACATGGTTCAACCTCTGTGTGTGCAGGGTGCGGAACCATGACCTTACATTCCCTTCCCACTACCATGCACACACAGGAAGTACTTTCCAGCATAGAGAATGTGTATTGGCAAGAGCAAAGTGGTGGAAAGGCAATGCACAATACTATATCTGAAGCTGGTGGGGCACTGGGATGGCTGGTCTGGTCGGCCCTGTGGTAACACATCTGACCAGCACCCACGGTCAGCTGCCCCCATTTTTCATTGTCACAGACTTCATGCAACGTAACACCTACACAAGAAGTAGTGACAATAGTGGATATGGTGCCAGGAGTGCCCTGGCACCCCTCAGTAATTTGTTAACCCGTTTAAAGGCCAACTGACAGCAAACAACATTTTTTATTAATGTGTGTTGACTTTATTTTTTTGTAATAGTTTTTTTTTTTTTTGTCTGAGACACTTTCACTTTTTCATCTGGCTGAGCAGCCATGTTAGGTCTAGTCCTACTGATATCTGATTAAATGCAATTTCTCACAGAGCAATGGCAGAATCAGGCAAGTAAGGTTAAGCAGCTGTTGAATCCCCAGTTTTTTTGCCTGTCCTTTCAAGAGGAACGACATCACTCTAGACTGCGACCTGTGATAGCATTTTACTAACTGGCTTTGTAGGCATGGGGATGTCTGGAAGGATGGAGTCCTGGGAGCCCAGAAGAAGAAAGGCTGTTAGTCACAGTGGAATGCATGCTGGGAGCATGTGCTCCATGGATAAGTTCCATCAGTCTAAACCTGGGCACTGGTGACAAAAAGGCATTTTACATTCATTGGCAGAGTATACCCGAGGTGGAATGAACGTGCGGGTTGCGTTGCATCCCACCAAAGATTTCAGCATTCCTTGACCCTTCAATAAACTATCTCATGTTTCTAGTGCCAAATTCAAATTGGAACGGTTTTAACTGGCTTTACCAACCCATTAGCCTGTAACCCACATGGTGCAGGTCAGTAGCTGAGCAGTGTTCTTCCATCAGCCCTCCAACATACCTCAAGGCAGTTTCAGATAGAAACAGTTTTGTGATTTTTCTTTTTTTTTTCCATAATTTTTTTTTTCCTGGTTTTTAAACTCCATGTTTTTGATGATGGTTTGATCATGACATATTTTCTCTGTATGTCTTTTTTAATTCTAGTGTGTTTAGTCCGGCATAAACTAGAAAGGGAGATGGCAAGAAACCCTCGAGTGCGTTTGGGTTACGTTAGAATTTGGTAATCACACAATAACTAGTGTAGGTGTGATTTATAGGCCCCCAGGACAAATAGAAAAGTTAGATAATCTACTACTTGAGGAAATAGCTAAAATGACAATGAAGGGGGAAGTTATCATCATGGGTGACTTTAATCTTCCTGATGTGAACTGGAAAACCAAAATAGCTACTAGTGCCAGGAGCACACGTATTCTAAACTCCCTATTGGGATTGTCTCTAAAACAAGTCGTTGAGGACCCAACTCATAAGGAGGCCATACTAGATTTAATGTTAACAAATGGAGATTTGGTATCCGATATTACTGTAGGTGATAGTTTATGATCCAGTGATTATCAATTAGTGTGGTTTAATATAAGAACAGTGACTGAGCCACAACACACAAAAACAAAAGTTTTAGACTTTAGAGAAACAGACTTTTCTAAAATTAGAATATGTGTAAAGGAGTCATTATCAGTCTGGAGCAGTTTAAAAGGAGTCCAAGAGAAATGGGATTATTTAAAAGTTGCACTGCTGCAGGCAACAGAAAATTGCATTAGGCTTGTCAGTAAGAGCAAAAAATTTAAAGAAACCACTGTTGTACTCCAGAGAAGTGGCCAAAATAGTAAAAAAAAAAAAAATCAGAGTGAGGTAGACAGATCTATAGGATTAGGCAGAAAGAGGCTAAGCAAGTTATAAGTGCTTTCAAATTACACACAGAAGAGAAAATAGCCCAGTCAGTAAAAAAAAAAGAGGGACAAAACATTTTTAGATGCATAAATGAGAAAAGGAAAGTAAAACATGGATTAGTTAGATTAAAAATAAAAGGGGAGGCGGAGTCCGACCTCCGCGCAAGCCAGATGTGGTGAGCTGGAGCTCCTGACTATTTGGCTGGAAATCGAGATATAACCCAGCAAATACGGCTAATGCACAAAGCCAAATGTGTCCTCCAGGTCAGGGGAGCCCAGACAAGCTGATAGACTCCTCACTTGTGAGTCTCGCATACCAGGAACCTTGGCATCCTGCAGCGGCCTACCTGGAACAGAGCTAAGGGGAAGAGGCCGGCCACCTTGTGCCTTGGACCGGGGTCTGGGCTTGTAGCAATCCTACTCCCTTTCCCGCAGACGGGTGGGAAGCAATTGTTTGTGCCCACAACACTCGATCAGAGGCATCCAAGATGGTGGACGCCCCAGGCCTAGCTACACGTGGCCTGCAGCAACAAAAGCATGATTTTGCGGGGCCCAGTACGGCAGCAATGGACCCCCTGGAAGTTTTCTTTGAGAGATATTGGGCTCAGCGGCTGGAATGCACGAGACAAGCTACATCTATTCATAAGCCACTGCAAAGGGAGGAGGCTCACATGCCCACTGACACAGCTTAATCACAACATATTCACAATGTCTAGAATACCTACTGGGATTGAGTATTTAATCTTACTATGCACATTAAACAAGTGAGCTCATCCTGATCTCTATGATAAAATTGTGCTCCATACCCTACATATCATGTAATGCACACCCAACCAAGTTATATGACACTATGCGATCTGTTTTAATCAGTTTAACTGCTTGAGATGGCTCCTTACATTCCTGGTTTCAGCCTGTTTAGTGCTCAATATATGGTTAATCAGCTTAGCATAACATATATATGATGTTTAAAATGTGCAGCTTACATGTGCCATGATAATGTCTTCGATGAAAAGCTTGTGTACTGTTGTGGCACTTTCAATATGTCTGTAAATCACTTGCACCGAAAATTTTAAAAATAAAAGGAAAGTATGTAGAAGAGGATAACGGTCTAGCTGACTGCCTTTATATTTTTAAGTATTTACAGATGAAAATTAAGGAAAGGGACCTCAGTTAGGGAAAAGGACAAATGGGTCATTTGTTACATGTCAGTTTACAGAAGAAGTAGTTCCATTTCAACTGTCAAAAGTAAAGACAAATAAGTCGATGGGGCCTAATGGAATTCACCCAAAGTTATCAAAAGAGCTTAGTGGTGTACTAGCAAAACCATTAACAGATTTATTTAACCAATCATTGTTAACAGGAGTAGTCCCAGAAGATTGGAAGTTAGCGAATCAAAAAAATCAATAAGATTAGTTTGGCATGATCTCCCTGAAGTAAACCCATGTTGTCTCTGATCGTGAAATCCATGTGATTTTAGATGTTCAACAATCCTATACTTTAACATGGTTTCCATTACTTTCCCCACCTGCCGTCCTTAATGGGTTAAACAAATAATTATCAAGTGATGTATGTCCCTTTAACAGAGCAGGCGATTAAAACTTCTAAGGTAAAGATACTGTTCTGTAAGATCTGATCACATTTGTTTTGTTCTATTGGCTCTGTAAGTTACAGCCTGGAGAGGTAAGGCAAGGGCTGTATAGAGAGACTGGTTTGACAACTTACCTGGGTGTCCATGGCTACAGTGCCTGCTTAAGAATTCTTCTGCAAGGAGATTCTGGTTAGCTTAAAGGGATCCTCTAAGTACCAAAACAACTTTAGATTAATTTCCATCATGCATCATTTAAATTCTACTAATCATGGCGGATCTGGCAACCATAGCCAGTGTTTCTGGACATGACCCTTTTCAAAGGTCGCTTGTTTTGCGGTTGGTTGTTGAAAATTATGCCAGCCCCTGTGGCTGAGTATCTGCTTGGGGATTATATATTATGGAGTTTGCTCAGGGTCTTTATTTCATTAGTGTCCTCAATTGCAGGGTTTTGGTCCATGCACAGCAGGCATTTCCTATTTGGTGCAATGTCAGATTGTGAGTGGGCAGGAATGGGTGTTTCCCTGAATTACATATTGTTTAGTGGGATTTCACCCTGTAAATTTTTAAAATTACATTCTATTATATTTTAATTATTTCAAACAACCTTATGCTGGACTATTTATTTTCTTTATTTGATCAACAAAAATCTTTCACATCTTTGGCAAGGTATAGCCGGCCTACTTTTGTGGGTGCTCTTCACTTGACTTGCTGTAAGGGTCTTGTTTCTGTTTCCTTTGGTGGGGGAGCTATCTGCCTAGTTCTGTTGTTGTAGACCGTTTTAATGGGGTTTATAAAACCAAAACAAATATTCATCAGCACTCTACTGTATATATATATATATTGCATTCTTAATTTGTTTTTTGCACTTTTATTTTTCATGTAGGAAGTTGCATATTCAAATAGATTGTGAATTGATATTTCCGCGTTGCAGATTAATGCAGTGTGTGTGTGTGTATATGTGTGTGTGTGTATATGTGTGTGTGTGTGTGTGTATATATATATATATATATATATATATATATATATATATATATAATATATGTCATCAATCTGAAATTTAGATACAAACAATTGTAATTGGTTCTAATATACTATTTCCTACAAAATGGTTCTGCAAACATGCAAAATTACTTATACCAGTTTATTGTTGGGATCATGTTCTCTGGGTAAACAAAATGGAAGTGGCCTTTAAAGCTGACTGGCCCTTTAAGAGTTCTAGGCTCATGGATCGTTTGGCAATGAGTGCGCAAGCGCAGCGGCCTCCCTTTTGCGCATGCGCTTCTGCTACGCTCCCGCCCTGATGCTGTGCGCATGCGTGGTAATCCCGCTCTTTGGCTCAAACCAATCCGTCCCACGGGAAGATATTATTACTCTTTTTAAAAACTGCGTTCTCGTTCACCGTGTCTTACTCGCGTTACCTACTTGTGGTAGATTTTTCTCGTGAGTCTATTTGTGAGCGGCGTAACCTTGCCTTGGGGCCATCAATGTAATGTGGACACACACATTTATCAGTGGTACAGTCCAGACCCGCCCCTATTCCCCTCCGTTTCCCACTATGGTCTTGTCTAAACCCTCCCACTCCTCACCCCCCCCTGCGGAGTGCTGCACTTGGACGGGTCCGGGGCCGACATGGCGGAGCGGCGGGACACAGAACCCGGGTTGGCAGGGGGGTAAGAAACCGGGGAAAGAGGGCGGGGCATACCGGGTGGCTGCACGGAGAGGGGGGAGGAGGGGGGTGTGTGAGCGGAGCGCCTTATAGAGCTCCTGCCCCCCCACTAACAATGAGCCATCGGTGTGTGAGTACAATACAGCGCTCTATAGCCCTCACACAGCCAGCCAGGCTAGATAAAGCCTCTGCACCGAGCTGGCAGCGAGCAGCGCCTTCCTCACACGTGTGGGAATACAGGTAGCACCCCCCCAATACACAGAGAGAGAGAGAGAGAGAGCGGGGGGGGGGGCTCTCTCTGTAATGCAGTGTGTTCATCAGATGTGCCCCTGTGTGTCTGGACACAGTGCATTGTGGGTCCTGTGCAGATAGCTTTATTATGGGTGGTGTAATGTACACATTGTTATTATTATTATTATTATTTCAAAGAAATGTGCTGCCCATTTATCTCTTGAAACTTCCTTGTTTTTGTATTTTTGCGCAAGAAAAAAGGAGAAAAAAAAAGTTTTGCATACACATCCCACTATCCGTGATAGAGTGCATGTATTGTGGTTTCTGCAAATCTTTTGTCTTTGTAGCCACATATTATCCACCTTGTGTTTTTTTTTTCTTTTTTTTTTTTTTTTCTTTCTTTCCACCCCTTTTGTAAACCTTTGTTGATCCCAGTACCCATAATATGCTCAGTGGCCAACCTTGATCATTTATGGAGACTGCACAGTAGTGTGCAGCACTGCCTGATGATCCTTTTGTACATCTCCCTAATTAAAGAGACCGTATAGTCACATCTTGGTTCAATGGTTGCTCTTCAAATGTGAATTATATGTTTATTTTCCTCTATGCAAACTAACAGTGCTCTAAATTTTAAAAAATAATGCTGTTTAAAAAAAATATATTCATATTCTAAACCGAGCCATGTCTGCCAAGGAAATTTTGTACAATGTTTTGCTTTTAGAGGGGAATTTCTTACCAATATCTTAGTTCAGAATGCTATATACCAAAACAGTTGCTTAGTGTTATTCCAAGTACTATGACTTCAAGTGGTCATGGTGGCTAGAGTCTGTGCAGTGTTTCACTATGAAATTCTGCACATACAGAATTTAACCCTTTTTGTTGTTGTAAGTGTAACTCCACCAATGGCAGCATCAGCGAGCCCAGAATAAGAACTGACTTAGAAAATGTTTTCAATTCTCCTATTTTAAACTTAAATGGAAACTGTCACCACTTACCAGGCCCTCCACTCCTCCGCCACAATCTCCTTGCTGAGGTAAGTGTAACACATAGCTTTAAGGAGCCATCTTGCACATTTCCCATCATATCTCATATAAGACATTTTTTGTTCTATTACTAGCAAAGTGATATGTCTGCAAATTATTGCGTCAAAAGCAATACAGCCCTATGTAGTTTTTTTGGGAGTCCACTAGCTCTGTACAATGGTTATGTGCAAAACTGTTTTAACCCCTTAAGGACACATGACATGTGTGACATGTCATGATTCCCTTTTATTCCAGAAGTTTGGTCCTTAAGGGGTTAAATGGTTTAAAACCGTTTGAGGGTTCGATGGCAATCATTTATTTTGAAAGTGTCAACTGACAGACTCGACATAAAAATACAATCTAAACACGTGGAATTTATATTGCTAGTTCCGAAGAGAAGCTTTTGCTTTAGGAGCCCAAAAGTTCTCAGTCAAACCGTTCTCGGAACAGTTTGGCAATAGTGATGAAGCCAGTTAACTGATGACATTGCAACTAGTACAGCAAGTTGTAGTAGTTATGTTGCTTAGTTACCCTTAAATGTTGGATTGGGATGTAGCTTTGGGGTCCCCATTGTTCAGAACAAGAATCTAATTTGTCAGGTCCTAGGCAACTGTCCACAACAAATGGTTACTTCCTGCAGTGTGAAGATCTATTTGTTACTTGGAAGAGTATAGTGCATGGAAGGGCAAGCTTTGGCACTCCAGATGTTGTGGACTACATCTACCTTGATGGTTTGCCAGCATTATGGCTGTAAGAGCATTGTGGGAGATGTAGTCTATGATGTCTGAAGAGTAGTGATGTCCCAAACTGTTCACCGCAGATGGCGAACATATGCGCCCTCCCACCTCCTGGACAGCATCCATTTTACATTCATTGTGAAGCTGCATTCTTAGTGACTGTCCAGGAGCTGGGAGGGTCTGCTGCTGATTGGCTGGAATGTGTCTGCTGACTGTGAGGTACAGGGTCAAAGTTTACTCAATGATGACGAATAGGGGGCGGACCGAACAGCGCATATGTTCGCCATCCACGGTGAACCGTTCGGGACATCACTACTGAAGAGCTGATGGTGGCCAACTCCTGGTATAGTGAATGGGTTTGTACAGTTCATGTAGAATGAGTTGCTGGGGTAATTTTATAATTGAAGATTGGATCATCAAGCTAATGCAGTGTTTATCTGGGTATCTATCAAGAAAGTTCCTTCTTAAAGTGGCTCTGTCACTGCTTGGAGTCTTTGCATAATTTGCAAAGAACGCCAAAGTAGTCTGCTCTGCTGAATGTATGGTGGCCGCAGGCTGCAGGTGAAGGTGAGTTTTATTACTTGAACCAGTCCCTTGTGGCAGCCGGCATTGTATTCCTGCCAGTCCTCTTCAGCTCCTAGGAGCCCCGTTACAGGTTCTTGCTGGATCTGCTATACAGGTGGTCCTTGTTTTGCGACCTACCTGCTTTTCGACTGCTCGTACTTACGACCAGACCTCTCGCGGGGAGGGGAGGTAAGTTCGAGCTGTTGTGAGAACTAGAGGGATTCCATACTCTGTTGCGTTCGTCTATGTTCAGGGACATTTGCCCGAACATAGAAGAATGCAGCAGAGCAGGGAATGCCTTCACCCCCTTTACTTACCGAGCAATTCGTTCTACGACCGGGTCGTAGGAATGGAATCCGGTCGGTAAGTGAGGAGTGTCTGTATAGACGGCCTTTTTCCCTAAAGGTAGCTCTGCCTTTTTGAGACATTTTGTCTAGCATTGGGAAAATGCTAAGACAAGCTTGTCCCTACTCGGTCTTTGTATACCTTTTGACTATGTTGGAATTTCAGTGCAATTGTATCTTTACCTCTAGCATAAATTGTGTTCAGCTTGATACTTATTGAGCACATTGACATATGACATTGGAGAACTTTGTAGGCACTTTGTGTTTTCCCAAACTTCTTTGGGACTGAAATAATTCATTGACTATTTCACACATCAGTTTTTTTTTTGTTTTTTTTTTGTATTTTTAAATATAGGAATTTTTATCCTTAATGTACTTTATTATTAATCATTTGATCTTGAATCTTGGCAGAAATAACATGTAAATGCTGTACCACAAGACTATTTTAATTATGCATCATTCCTTTTTTTATATTTTGTTTTTGGATTATTAGAATTAGAAAAGGGTTACATAACCTTTTGGTAACAAATCTTACTTTTGCTCTTTTTTTGCTTGTGCATCTCCTGTTTTGCTACTGTCTGATATTTTGTTGCAAAGCGTTTTTAGTTTTATAGTTGGGTACTCTGTTGGATCTGTCTGAATAGTTATGAGTATACGTTATAGCAGTTTATTGTTGCATTGCTATTTTATTTATTTTATTTTTGTTTACTTACTGTTCTGTTAAATTATAAAATTATGATTTCAGTCTTTTAGAAAATGTTATTTTAAAGGGGTGCTCCACTGTGTAATTGTTTAAATGACACAATTGATATATTTACACCACTGTTACCAGTGGGGAGAGGGGGGGGGGTTGCGCTTGGTCTTTTGCAAAGAGTCTTTCCATTTTTCTGACAGAAAAGTGGTTGGAATTTTTCCCACCACTGCAATTTTGTCAGCTTCTGAAATGGAAATATCTGTGGAAATTGACGGAATATACTATAAACAATACTGTCATTTTTTAGATAAATTTTAATAGATGCCATTTAAAAATGACCGTTTCAGAACAAATTGGTGAATATCTCTTTTATATTTATAGATTGCATAGAATAGGAATGACCAAACAGTAAGTCCTCAACCACTAAAACAAACTACAATTTCCTTGTTGCTTTGTTGACCTATATAGCCATAATTACGACTTAATAAAATGTATGGAATGTAAGAATTGTTTTGCTCTGAAATGTTCCTGTAAGTTAGGAAGGGGTTAATAGTCTAAATATAGGAATTGTTTTTAATTTTGTTTTATATTCACCTAAATCATAAAAGTATATCTCTTTAAGAAATTTTATTTAAGTGGACTATATATGACTGCACCCATGGACATATAAGCCAGGATTTGCATTCAAAATAATTTTTTACTTGTGTGTGCATAGATCATACAAGAGAGTCGTAATTGTTTTTTTTGTTAAACACCTAACCTAGTCAAACATTATGGGTGTTTAGTTACAGTATATGATCATACATTGCATAAGCCTGCCACAAAACTGTGTGTGTGTGTGTGTGTATGTATATATAATATTTGCAGCAAGATTTTTACATGTAATCTATTTCCAGTAATAAAAAGTGATGACACTGTTCCTTTTTAGTTATACTTTATTAATCTACTTCAGCTTTGAAGTATGCTTTTTGTGTGTCTATCATTAATTATTGCAAACTGGTATCTGTAATATATAAATCAGCTGATTTATATTTTTCCAAAGTATTTTATTTTTTTTCCCGTTAATCTGTTGCTCCAACCTGTTAGAGTTCTATATAGTATGGTATCTTCTCAAACCTTTTTGTGGTACCCAACAGCTGAAGTAAAGTGAGCACCACAAAACTCATCTCTGTCCCTGATTTTATATATTTTTTATCTATCTCTGTATATTGCTAAAAAAAATAAATGGAACACAAAAATAACACATCCTAGATCTGAGTGAATTAAATATTCTTCTGAAATACTTTGTTCTTTACATAGTTGAATGTGCTGACAACAAAAATTAAAAAATGGAAATCAAATTTTTCAACCCATGGAGGTCTGGATTTGGAGTCACACTCAAAATTAAAGTGGAAAAACACACTACAGGCTGATCCAACTTTGATGTAATGTCCGTAAAACAAGTCAAAATGAGGCTCAGTAGTGTGTGTGTGGCCTCCACGTGCCTGTATGACCTCCCTACAACGCCTGTGCATGCTCCTGATGAGGTGGCGGATGGTCTTCTGAGGGATCCCCTCCCAGACCTGGACTAAAGCATCTGCCAACTTCTGGACAGTCTGTGGTGAAACAAGATGTTGGTGAATGGAGCGAGACATGATGTGCTCAATTAGATTCAGGTCTGGGGAACGGGCGGGCCAGTCCATAGCATCAATGCCTTCATCTTGCAGGAACTGCTAACACACTCCAGCCACATGAGGTCTAGCATTGTCTTACATTAGGAGGAACCCAGGGCCATATGGTCTCACAGGGGGTCTGAGGATCTGTTCTCTGTACCTAATGGCAGTCAGGCTACCTCGGGCGAGCACATGGAGGGCTGTGCGGCGCCCCAAAGAAATGCCATCCCACACCATTACTGACCCACTGCCAAACCGGTCATGCTGGAGGATTTTGCAGGCAGCAGAACGTTCTCCACGGCGTCTCCAGACTCTCACGTCTGTCACGTGCTCAGTGTGAACCTGCTTTCATCTGTGAAGAGCACAGGGCGCCAGTGGCGAATTTGCTAAACGTCCTGCACGGTGTTGGGCTGTAAGCACAACCCCCACCTGTGGACGTTGGGCCCTCATACCACCCTCATGGAGTCTGTTTCTGACCGTTTGAGCAGACACATGCACATTTGTGGCCTGCTGGAGGTCATTTTGCAGGGCTCTGGCAGTGCTCCTCTTGTTCCTCTTTGCACAAAGGTGGAGGTAGTGGTCCTGCTGCTGGGTTGTTGCCCTCCTACGATGTACTGGCCTGTCTCCTGGTAGCGCCTCCATGCTCTGGACACTATGCAGACACAGCAAACCTTCTTGCCACAGCTCGCATTGATGTGCCATCCTGGATGAGTTGCACTACCTGAGCCACTTGTGTGGTTTGTAGACTCTGTCTCATGCTACCACTAGAGTGAAAGCACCGCCAGCATTGAAAAGTGACCAAAATATCAGTCAGGAAGCATAGAAACTGAGCAGTGGTCTGTGGTCACCACCTGCAGAACCACTCCTTTATTGGGGGTGTCTTGCTAATTGCCTATAATTTCCACCTGTTGTCTATCCCATTTGCACAACAGCATGTGAAATTGATTGTCACTCAGTGTTGCTTCCTAAGTGGACCGTTTGATTTCACAGAAGTGTGATTGACTTGGAGTTACATTGTGTTGTTTAAGTGTTCCCTTTATTTTTTTTTGAGGTGTGTGTGTGTGTGTGTGTGTGTGTATATATATGTGTGTGTGTGTATTCACAAATACCAACGTGAATCATCTAAATAAGACCGAAAAAAATCCCATAAACACAGTAATACTTGGAGTTAATACAAAATAGAAATAGCAACTAGAAATAAATAATAACCTAATATGCAATCGCGTTGACAACAAAAAGTCACACTATATTGAACAATTTGCTCAACCTAAATGCACAGTTTGAGTCCGTAAATAAAGCTTTAAAGAAATGTAGTCCATTATTAGTCGAAATAGTGGTAAAATCCAGATGTGTAGTGAGACAGTCGGAAAGACCTACTGTGCACATTTCAAATAACTGCTTGTGAAGCAGAATGGATGGCTCAAGCTCCTAACTTCCCTCTTGGACAACGGATACAGATGGGGGCACTTGTGAATTGAGAAGTAAAAGTGGTCGTTCTGCGTGGCGGCTCACATTGAGCCACTTACTCGGAATGCCAGGACTTGTCACGGCCTGTGTTCCAGATTGAGCATGCCAGATAGTATTCCTGCATCCCAAATGTCCTTTGTTTTCACCGCACCTTACACGGTGTCAGATGGATAGACATCTCAAGAATTGAGGACTTGTATATACCCTCAGCAATTTTAAAAAACTGTATCCCACTAGTGGACAAATAATACAGTCATACAGTATAATATACAAAATATAAGATTTTTTTAAAAACTGCACTAATTAAAGTGACACTATAGTTACCAAAACCACTACAGCTTAATGTAGTAATTCTGGTGTCCACTGCATGTCTCTGCTGCATTGGCTTTGTAAACACTGCCTTTAGTTTAGGAGAGAGAGCCTAGAAAGCACAAAGAGAAAACCAGGCTTCTATTGTGTAGTATCCTTTATTGAATAAAACATAAAGTGTAGTTGGCTCGCCACCCTCTCATACTCACAGGATGGAGAGGGGAAGAAGGCATGTAATCTCCTTATAGGAGTCCTTTGAATCTGATGTGACAAGCTGGATCTGCTTCCCAGTTTGATTCTTATAGTTCAGTGCTGGGGTGTCAGGCGTATGTCACTTTTCTAACAATTTACTGTGGAGTCAGTAGTAAATGCTGCTCGGTCCTTGTGGTTTCCATAGTTCCATCTCTGTCTAACTGGTTTGCACGCTAGATGTTGCTGGGAGATCATGGTATAGGTGTTCACAGGGTCCAAGCTTGGAGACAAATACGATGATAGTTTTCTCCTATGTGTTTTGTGAGCTCTGCGCTCACCTGTTCAGGAAGCTACGCATTTTGTGAGCCCTGTGCTCACCTGTTCAGGAAGCTATGCATTTCTCGAGTCCTGTGCTCACTTGAGCTACGCGTTTTGTGAGCACTGCGCACACTTATTCATGGAGATGCGTACTTCAGATAGCTAAGTGAGCGTAGGGCTTGCGAAACGTGAAGGAGCAACCATTCCCCACATTTGTGTTTCTTACACTATAGTGTTCCTTTAAATAAATGACTGAAAGTATAAATTTTTACGTAATTACACTTACTTGGGGTAAAACGGGTAAATTGACCTGTTGGTGAATAGCAATACAATGGGGGTGACGTTGTTAAGGAAAAAACTTATTGGCTACTTATTTATTATGAGTAGATCTTAAAGGGATACACAAAGTTGTATTCCTAGCACTATAGCTCCATCGCGGCACCCCACCTCTCCCCGATTCCAGCGTTTATGCCAGGGCACTCCTGGCATTATAAACGCATCCGCACACTGTAGAGGTTATGGTACATGGAGTGGTCTTTTACGAGGAAAATGCATGTTACCTAATTAGTATATATTCAGAAAACCATGAAATTTTGTTTTAGGTGGAAATAATAAACAAAAGATCTTCTGCAGTAATTTCATTATTCTATCTTTTTTCTCTCTCTCTATCTCTATCTCTATCTCTATCTCTATCTATCTCATTTTTATAGTTCGAAGATAAATACATTGTTGGGAAATGCTCTGAACATAAACAAATGATTGTACCTCAAATGATTCAAACATACCACCTTGTTATATTTACCACTGAAATTGAGATTTACCATATTCTGTGAAAGTGACTTAATACTGATATTAGATCCATATCCATTAGGTGTGAAATGCTCATTACAGTGCAACCATCTTTTCTGGTGATATTACATCATTGAAAAATCATCTGTAACGTAACTTTTTGCATGCAATGCATCTTTTTATACTTTAATATGTTTAATAAAGATTTAGTAATTGGCATCATAATCCAATCCTGGGAAAAGAGACTCTATGCTCTTGCTATCCTGTCAGGTGCAAAAAGCAGAACTTATAACAACAATTGACATGGAGCCAAGATGGAGGTCAGTTCTAGGATAGAGTAGTGTGGATTTCTTCATTTAAAAAAACACTTCAGGTCCTGTAGCCACTAAATTCTGTTGTAATGGTTATAATGCACTGGTGCCCTCCCAGAGTATGTATTTAATTAGAAGGGGATGCAGTGGCATGTGCATGTCGGAATCCAAGTTGTCAGTCTGTTTTTAAACAGTTTGACTATTTACTCTGGGAGGGCACCAGTGCACTCCTAGAATCGTAACCCCTGCAGCAGACTACAGGGGCTTGGAGGGCTCCCTTACGTTTATTTTTCAGATGTCACAAACATATATTAAATGGGGAAGTCCGCATAATATTTTCAAACCGCAACCACACTTCTTTGGGTTTTTAAGGGGCTCTCTAAACACCAGACCCACTACTGCTTAATTTAGGGTTTATGGTGCAAAAACACTGTCCCTGCAGTGTGACGTTTGTAAACACTGCCTTGTCTGAGAAAATGGATTGGTTTAGAATGGATTGACTTCTTACCTGGGCTCTGCTGTGTGCTAATTCCTGCCTCCACTACTTCCTATGGGAAGCTGATCGCTCATCATTTGAGATTATCCCGACGGAGTAGGGCTTAACTCTTTGGCTGAGAGTGATAGACTGACTGACAATCAACCAGTTAACTGGTTCTGCATTGCAGGGCTTATATCAGGAGAGCTATTGGGCTATTGGCTCTTTATAGGGAGTAATAGAGGCGGGGAGTAGCATCCATCAGACCCCAAGTAAGAGGTCAAACCATTCTAAAACAGTTTGGCTCATTACAATGGGGGGAGGAGGGGCAGGACACAGCACTACAGGCAAATCTAACTTGGAATGTAAGCACAGCAGAAAATATTGGCAATCCTTGGCATGGCCTGATGCGTGGCTATGCTAAACTCAGAGCTTCCATTGACCTATAATAAAAAAAATGGAACATAGCAAAGAAACTCTTTATCTCTCACTGCCTCCACCCCCAATAGGTTGCATAGGAGCAGGATTTCAGTTTTGCAGCAAATACCACTTTTCCATCTCCCAGTCACATCTACAGAGCTTCCTGACCTACAACTGAGCACACTGAAGTTTATGGGGTGCAATGAAGTTGTCAGAGAGTTGAATGATTGAGTGCACTTGTGTATTATACGTGCAAATTACACCAGATTTCCAAAAGACACAGGTCCATGTTTGCATAAATATTCACTTGCGAGATCCTATGAGAAAATACCAAGTGCAACTAATGAAGTATAGCATGTTGTTGGTTGATTAAATTTATACAATGGTATTTATCATTATGTAAAATATATAAAGCTTTATTGTTCTAGAATGTATATTTTCCATATCTGACGGTAGTTTGAGTATATCTTATTTATACTCCCAATTATGGACACTTCAAATCAAAATGTTGAACTTTAATGTTAGATTGTTAATCTCGATCTTGTATTCTTCAGTTTTTCTTTTATTCAACTATTTATGAATATTATCGCCACACATGCATATGGCTATCTCCATTATATAGGTTGTTTTATGTTTATAAACCAGTCCCTCGACACTAATTTCCTCAGTAAAACCCTCTTTTTTATTTATTTTTTTTAAACTCTGTTTATTTTAGATGGAAGAATGGATGCAGACAGTAATCCTAGTCGAAGACCTTTGATAAGAGGAATCCCTTACAAGCTGCAAAGTCCAAAGGTGCCAGAAGAATCTCTTCTAGATGAAAACTATTTTATGAACTCAGAGGTTCTGGCAGGAATTCCTGTTGTTGGAAACGAAGATGAGCATAATTACTTGTTGAAGGGCACCACTTCCTCAGCACTGCATTCCCAGCGGAGCATGGAAGAGGAGAGGACACGCACTGAACACAGCATAGAAGGAGAGAGAGAAACTAACATCAGCAACTTTAGGCTGACCGATATTCTCCCCCAACTGAGCAAGGACTCCATGATTCAAACAATCAGAAAGGACTTTAACCTGGCGAGGGAGCGAGAAATTCAGGAGTCTTACTTACCCAAGGAGCAGGTGCGGGAAGGCGTTTTCCAGGACAATTACTCCAGAGAAACAGAGTCAAGATTAAAAGGGAGCTTTGGGACCAAGACCGGTAAGGGCATTGGATAGGTTTTTGTTGTGTGGCAAAGACTCCATTCTTCAGTGGGAGAATCAAAAATTGGGACAGTTGCCATTCAGACACACGTAAATTGTGTATATTTTTCAAGGATGCAAGTGCTATATATGAGTTGGTAGAGAGGTGTTTTTGTTTTTAGTGTTCTAGACTAGAAGGATGTCAGAGAATAATCCAGGAGTATGCAAGTAGTCAAACCCTAAGCATCAGCATCAAAGCTAATGCTTTGATGCTGAGGTCTGCCCGGCATCTATTCCATGAAAGCAAGAAATATCTCTACACTGTGCTAGTTCAGGGTGTGCTGGGCTTACCTCATTTACTGAGAGCACTCCGAAATGAGCTAGCCTTGCATGACATGGTTTAGCTAAGGATAGCTAACGGAAACTCTGTGCAGGAGCCTCCAGATCTCATTGGTTGAAGTGATCAGCACCTGGCAGACCCCATGTAAGAATGTCAGAAAGCCAAATGGTACAGGGAATGTCTCCATGAGGAACTTCTACACAACTATCTTACCTAGAGTATGGTTGTAAAGTAAGCAAAATAATTTGTATGCTAGAAGATTAATTGGAATGGTAGGGTTTTTCTCGGTAAAAGCACCAGACATATATTTGCACTAGACACCTTAATTAATATTGAGTTAACCCCGCTTCCCTCTCTTCCCCCACACTGCAGAAGCATTTATTTTCTTAAAGTGCCACTATAAGGTGGTCTGGGTGCAGTGGCCCTGTTCTTTCAGTCCCGCAAATGAAATTTTGTAGAAACTGCAATATTTTATTGCAGGGCTAAACTCGCATATAGGGTTCCATCAACTTTGCATGATTTGTAATCATTGGACTGAGGATTTTGTTTTTCCCCCCCAGCATATTTTTTTTACCTATAATTAGCTGCATTGTGGCCCTACCTTTTAAAGGTTCAAGTATAAATAATGTGTATTGTCTATGAAAATGTTTGCTGTATACACTCAAGTTTTACTGTTGACTATTTTAATTTCCCCAGTCAGTAACTTACCCTTCATATAACATTTTCATATGACGTAGAAGTGTGCCCCATGTCACTGTTACATTTTCCTTTTCATCATTCGTATGAATACTTCTTACTAATCACCAAAATAAAGCTTGTTAAAAAAGAAAAGGACACTAATTTTGTTGCTATATATCTGCAACATTACCTGCTAGGAACATAAGAATTTATGGAAATGCCTGTGGTGCTTGGCAAGGACTCATTTCTGCATGTCACAGTGGTCCTTGTGTCATTCCTGATATCTTCAATTGGTTTCAATTCTGACACTGGATGCTGTACTACTAGTTAAATTTATTTTTGTTGTTATAATTGCATCGTTTTGATGCAACCCGAAGCTGATGAGTGCTTGTTTTAAACATATTCACAAATTTTGGATTTGAAAAAGTGATGCTACTTAGTGTACCCCTTTTTGGTCTATCTTTTTTTTTAATGAATGAGATAATGTATTATCCCACTGTCACTAGCGATGGCTGTTGGAAGTGACAAAACTTTCAATGAAGTGGTCTGGGTTCAATGGTACTGTCATGTCAACCCTGCAATGTAAACCATTGTTGTTTTGTGCTTTCTCTACAATGGGCGAATACAACTCTGTCATGTTACTTAATGCAGCTTGTAGGAAAGTTTTGAATGTATGCTTTCATAGGAGAAGCATTTAGATGCACGTGCCACGCATGTGTATCAGTCCCCAATGCTCCTCTATGTGCAGCATTGAATTGGACCATTTTCTCAAGATGATGGTGGAGCTAGAGAATAGGTAAAAAAAAAAAAAAAAAGTGGGGTAATTTCTTTCCTCTTTCTAATTTTTACTCCAAACAGGGGGGTGAGAGAGGTGCTATAACTGATCATGCAGTAGGACATTGCAGTATTAGAAATACAAACCTGTATTGCAAACACGATGTGTTCCTTTTAAAGTTTTAAAGTAATAAGCTGTATCCATATTTCTCTCTCATATTGTTTGTAATGGTTCATTATGTTGCATCCCCAGAATAACTGTAAAACTACAAAAGAAACTCCATGTCTAAGCAATATATAAGCGTTCCAGTATGTCTAAAGTGATTGTTTTTTTTTTTGTTTTTTTTGTTTTTTAGGTTTTAGAGAATATATGGTATTCTTTACTATGAGCATAGCGATAGAAGTACCGTTTTCATCAAACATAGTTTGTGTGACAACATACAAATGGCCACATACATTGTTCATGGAATCTTCACATATGTTTATACTGTATGTTTTAGTCATTTGAAAAAATAAGAATAGTTGTTTTTTTGTTTTTTTTTTTTTCTGGTCTAGGTCAAATGGAGGATTCACCGCGGTCACAGTTGGTGGCGCAGGCCCCTGATAGCAGTTTCAGGGTAAGTAAAATTGTGTTTTTTGTGTGATGATGTGAGTATTTCTGCATTCTGTGAGTATATTCTAAAAAAAACACCAATCTCTGCGATTGCATGTCCCAAATGTTGATATTGTGTGAATACTAACCTGGAAAACTATATTAGAATTTAAAATCCAGAATTATTTCTTTTGATGGATTTGTTATTGTTAATGTTCACAAAATAATATTAAACACTTTGTGGGAAGTCATAACTCATATTTCCCATTTATTCTTGGTTCACCTCTCTATATAAACTGGTCTAACTGTACCATCCTTTTAATACTAAAATAAATGTTAGAACAAAATAGTCACAAAGTGCACAATTGTTTGCTTTCATAACAGAACAAAATGGAAACAGAAAGTAATAATCATACCTTTCTATTAGTGATGCATTCCATTAGGGATCGACCGATTATCGGTCTGGCCGATATTATCGGCCGATATTTGGTATTTTCGGCAATATCGGTATCGGCCAATTCAGATACCGATATTGCCGATAATATATAACAGGACCGCCGTGCACATTAGAAGCCCGGCGGTCCTGTGGGGGCCAGCCGCAAGCGCTGACTTACCTTGCATGCAGCTCTCTGTGTAAATCTCGCGAGACCCGCGGCCGCAGAGCGTTGCCACGGGTTACCATGGCAACGCTCCGCGCGGCACTAAAAGCCGCGAGATTTACATAGGGAGCTGTAGGAGCTGCTTGCAAGGTAAGTCAGCGCTTGCTGCTGCTGAGCCACCACTGTACTTAACAAGCCACTGGACCAGGGAATACTATATCCCCCTCCCTGGTAAGAAGCAGGGAGGGGGGACTAAACAAAAAACATTTCAATATTAAAAAAATATTAAAATAAAAAATTACACAAATTACATCACTACACACACACTGCACACATACTGCATTACATACACACTACACAAACACAGTACACATACTGCATTACATACACACACACTACACAGGCACACACACTGCATTACATACACACTACACAAACACACTACACAAACACACACTGCACACATACTGCATTACAGACACACACTGCACACACTAAACACATACTGCATTACATACACACTACACAGACACACTGCATTACATACACACTACACAAACACACACTGCATTACATACACACTACACAAACACACACTACACAAACACACACTGCATTACATACATACACACTACACAAACACACACACACTGCATTACATACACACACAAAAACACACTGCATTATACACACACACTACATAAACACACTGCATTATATACACACTACACACACTGCATTATATACACACACTCTGCATCCACTACACACACACACACACTACACAAACACACACAGTTCCCCTGTCTAAACACACTTCATCCACTACATGTGGCATGTATATTTTGTGCATTTACCTTTCGAATTAGTTTATTTATTCAAAATAGTAAATGTACAGAATATCGGCAAGATATCGGCTATCGGCCTGAAAGTTCGCAGAGTATCGGTATCGGCTCTAAAAAATCAATATCGGTCGATCCCTACATTCCATACGAAGTAGTGACCACCTCATCCTCTATCTTTTATTTGTTCCAGGAGTCTGGTTATGCTTACAGCAGCAAGTCACCAATGGGGGAGAGCCTTGGTAACTCTTATAATTCTGGTGTCCGGATAAAGGAGGAACCAATGGATGAAGATTATGACAGAGCTTTAGCGCCTCCTCCTGGCTTTGTGGATAAAATTAAGGATGAGCCAGATAACACAGAGGTAAATGTTTGTTGAATGAACAAACACGTTTGCATGCTGGGATATTGTTGTGGTGCTGAAATGTCAAATGTTTTATTTTGCTACACATGGTCATGCGTTTTACTCTGTCACAATATGAACTTAAAATAGTGCATACATTTCTCTCCCTCCCACTTTCATTCTCTGTTGCACATATAAAATGATAAACTTAGTCTTGCTTTGACAGCACTAAATTAATAATTCTATCTTTTTCACAACTGTGCTTTTGGCATACTACATAGCAAAATAACAAAAATATATTCAAAAACACAGTTCATTGGAAATAAAGACACAAATTAAGTTCCCATCAAATCTTTTGCCTTTGAAGTTTCTGTAATAAGCTCTCAAACCAAGAAGTTTTTAGGGCATGCATGCCAACTAAACCTTCTATAGCTCTGCTTAGCTTCTGCCTTTAGCAGTAGTTTAGGAGCACAGTAGGACTTGTTGGTTTGTTGCTTTCTACTTTAGTATTCATGAAATTGAGTTAAAAAAATAAATAAAAAATCCTGCAGGTTTGGAAGCTCAGATAAAATGCACTTATTTATAAAAAAAGTCCATAACAAACATGAGCTGAAGGAGATAAATCCTAGTCTACAATTTTGAAATCTTCAATAAATTCAAAAAATATGGTAATTGCATTGTTGGTAAGCATTACTGAGATACCTTAATGTCTTTTGGTTTTCTTGATCAAGAGGCTCCGCGTGTGCAGTAATCTATTGTAGCCACTCTGAATTTCCACAAAAAGCCGAATACTGCTTGTTTCCTGTATTTGTCGAGAATATAGAAACTTTTTGCCAAGTCTTTGTTTTTTGTCTGTTTTCCACCACTAATAATTCACTGGGAGAAGTATAGGTAAATGCTAAATGCCTTGTCTCAGACTTTTATTATTATATTTCTTTATACTTTACAGGAATATTCCCAGCAGCCAAAAACATCTGATGGGGAGTTGAAAATCAGTGCAGTGTTTTCTGTCAGTGGTAGCCCCCTGGGTGAGTACTGGCTACATGTTTCTTTCTCTGTATGTGTGATTTATTTAAAAACATTTGGAGTTCTAATGTCATGATACTACCAGGCCAGACATGCAGAATAGGAATAGAGAATGCAAATATGTTACCAGTCCTTGGGGTTGGCCAGGCTTAACACAGAGACAGGTTAAAATAACCTGATTAACAGCCGAAGGAATAGTCTATGAACAAGCCGGAGAGAAGAAATGAGTTAACAAGCTAGAGTCAAGGAATAAGGGAATGGCAAATGGTCAAGGAACTGGTTGGAGTAAAAAATACCAAGAATCAGAATGCACTTTTGGAGCACCACAAGGGAAAACTACGAAAGAACACAGTATAACTTGCAGAATGGGATTACATATCCCTAGAGAACGTCTGATAGGTAGGCCTAATTTCCGTGCTTCAAAATTCACTTCAGAAAGTCCAGTCATGAAATATAGTGACCAGCATCCAAAATGCGCTGGAGTGCATGGCAAAAGGATGCATTGGAAAGGGTGCCCGAACAGGTACAATTACATCTCCTTAGCTAACAATGACTTTACCTGATCATTACATTTTGCTACAGGTTCATTTATATAATTAAATTTGTTTGATTTCCATAACTGATAGCACTGGAACAAGATAGAAGAGATCATAAGACAAGCAGGGGCTACTTTGTCTTATAGATAAAGGTTGATTAAAAGACAGATTTCTGCTGTTTTATTTCTAAGCAGCCTTTCCTAACAATGATTTTGGAAAAAGTAATCTTCTCATGCATATTCACTGTGTGTAGTTATTGAGAGGGTCTAATGGCCTCTTAAATACGCTTCATTTGCACTCTTGCAAGATGCAAGAGCTCTTTAGTGATTGACCTTCTAGTAAATGTAAACGGGACCTGAAGATAAATTCCAGTAAGAAGACAATGGAAACCAGAGAGTGAGAATTTTAAGTTAGTATCTCTTTAGTGTCTTCCATTGCTGTTGCAGTACAAACGGACTTTTTACCTCAAGTTACAGTACTGCTTTACTATACATAAAAATATAAAATTTCCTTGGGTATTTGGGTTGCTCTACTTCTATTGTAATAGAAGATGGATCTAATTATTTACATTAACAAGCTGTTGTATAATGCTGTGAACTTATTATTTAAAGGGTTCCTTCAAAAGTGTTACATTGATGGTAGGGTAACACAGGTTAAACAGTTGTCATGAGACTAGAAACACAAAGTTTCTAACGCTCTTTGATACATTTCTGAACAGTAGGAAAGAAATAATTAATGTAAGTGTGGCAAATGGGACAATAGTATATGCAAGTGAGGCATATGGGACACTCTAAGCACCAAAACAACTTTAGCTTAATGAAGCTTTTTACTGTATAAATCATTCCTTTGAGGTTTTGCTGCTCAATTCTCTATTTTGGAGTTTCATCACTTTTGTTTCTGTTTATGCATGCCTAGATATACCTCCCCTGGCTGTTACTCACACAACCTAAACTTAAAAAAATGGTTAAATTTTCAATCAGATGTTACTGAACAGTGTGTTATCTTTAGAAGTTATCTCCTACTTTATTAATTGAACATTAATCAAACCGATGAGACTCATTCAGGTTATTAACAGAGCAGCAGATTAGAAATTCTAAATTAAACAGACTCTGCAATAAGAAAAAGTTTAAACTTTAGATTAATATATATTATTTATTTGTATTTTGGATCATGACCTATTTGCATTATAAAATGTTAACCTGCTTCTTTTCTTGCTTAGCCCCTCAACTCTCCAGTGGCTTGCAAGCACCAATCAGCTCTCCAGGAGCCACAAAGTCCCTCCCTGCAGTCCCTGCTGTCCCCCCAACAGCTGTCAGAGTATCTTGTTCAGGCTGTAAAAAGACTTTGCAGAAAGGACAGACCGCATACCAGCGGAAAGGGTCTACACAACTATTCTGTTCCACCCTCTGCCTTACTGGCTACACCGTGCCTCCGCCAAGACCCATTCAGCCACCTGCTCGGAGGACATGCTCAAGTTGCACAAAGTAATAGTGATTTTTAGTTTTTGTCATATATTGCTTTCATTAAACTCCTCACTTTTATTATGGCAGATTTCCTTTTGTCTTTGGAAAAATAATGGCACACATTCCAATAACAATCATTTTAATAATTATCAATTGTAAATTGGTCAAGTAATCAGCCCCTCGGCACAAATACATTAATGCATTGTTATATTATCAGAGATAAGATTTTGCATGTGCACTTTTCCCTCATGTATGTAAATGTCTTTGTCAGGTGATTGTAACAAAGGTTCAGCATGTCAGATTATGCCCGGAAACTAATTGCATTCACAATTGTAAGCTGTCAACCATTTTAAAAATGTTTAAAAAAAAAAAAAACAAGATTGTGCGTGGCATCATGAGCTTGGACTTTGTCGCGTGAATAATGTAGAAACTACACCCTGCGTTTTTGGTACAGATGATACAAATCTGACTGGTTTAGCGGGAGACCGTGCCCATAGCTTCATGGCACTACAATAATAAATCCTAGTTCTGGTTGTTCATGTCCCTTTAAAATTGTAGGTATACGATTGTAGAATTGTATACACTATGTATTAAATTATAGGGACAATACAGTCACCAGAATATATACAACTTAATGATGTTTTGTTTTACGGGTTACATCTTAACCCCTTCAAGACGGAGTCAATAGTACACGTTCTGATCAAAACAAAATGTAAACAAAAACTGGAATTTGCGCTATATGTCTGTTCAACCGTAATTCGCCTCTTTCATATTAAGTGCACCCACACTTATTATATATCGTTTTGTTCAGGAGAAAAAGGTCTTTATTACTCATGTTCACTATTCATATATGAAACATAATTTATTATGTATAAAATCAAAACAACTGTGAGAAATTAAGATTTATTTAAAAATTGTAGTTCCGCCTGACATTTTAGCTGTAGATGTCATTATACTGTTATCTTTGCTGAATACAAATATGTGCATTTTATTGCAGTAAAAGTCTCATGAGTACAACAGTACCTCCCCATTGACAGATTTTATGATGTTTTGGAAAGTTACAGGGTCAAAAATAGCACATTCCATTTTTCATTTTTTTTACATTAAAATTTGCCAGATTAGTAATGTTACCTTTGAGACTGTGTGGTAGCCCAGGAATGAGTATTGACCCTATGATTGCATATCATTTGCAAAAGTACACAACCCAAGGTATTACAAGTGGGGTATGTCCAGTCCTTTTTTTTTTTTTTTTTTCATTCAAGCGGTTTTATTGATATTTTTCAATAACAGGGATGTTATAATGCATTGTTTAGAGCATGGTGTATGCAGTCTCACAGGGCATAACAGTAGTGGTGATATAGTTTTACAGTACATTACAAAGTAGTCACTATTATACACATTTGGTGTAGTGTGTAGTTGGAGAGTTTCGTGCGGTGTCCATTGGTACAGTAGGAATTGGTTGACAGATGTAAAAGTGCAAAACAATACATGTAGGTCAGCGTTCGTAAAGGTCTAAAACGGACATCTCGGTCATCCATACTCGAAACCAGTGTTGTGGTGCCTTAGTGTTATTTATCTCAGTTCGAGGCTGTGGCAGGGTTAGGGGGTAATCGGGCCCTCTATGCGCCTTTGTGGAGGTGTAGGTGCAGTAGGTGTAGTCGTATATATGTGCCGTTAGTGTTGTTGTTTAGTAATTTGGAGGTTAATAGCCTATGGTCCCAGTGGGTAGACAGCACTCCTTTTATCTGGTGTTGTGTTCTGGTCTTTGAGTCTGGCCTCGTTCTCCCTGGTTCCCGGCCCCTACCTCCCCATATCCACTTTCAGGGTTCAGTGTTGTCTCGGGGTAGGTTCAAGTCCTGTCTCGTTTGGCAGTGTATGCACCGGGGGTACTGAGTTGTGTAGGGGGGGCAGGAGTTCCTGGGTGTTTTCCCTCCACCTTCCCGCTTAGGCCTGGTGTTGTCTTTTGGAGGTAGGGTTGGTGGGGATAAAACGGTTGGTCTGTCCGGGTATTGTTGGACCCGTTATAGGTTTGGCCTGGTCATTATAGTTGGCTTTTGTCTGGATCAGGGTTAGGGGTTTGTCAGTGGTGCATCATGGTGATGGGTGCGACTGGTGGAGGTGGTGTGTGGTCTTAGTGTTAAGGGTGTGGTAGGGTGGGTGTCTTGGGTTGTGCGGCGGTCGAGTCTTTTTTAGTCACAACCACTGGCCAAAGTTAGCGTTCATATTTGTTTTTGTGTGAAAAAAGAAAAAAACTAATATTCGGCCAGTGTTTGTGACTAAGTGGCTACTAGAAATGACTGGACATACCCCATTTGCAATACCTTGGGTTGTCTACTTTTGCAAATGGTATGCCATCATGGGGGTAATTCTCATTCCTGAGCTACCATACGCTCCCAAAAGCAACATTACCAAACTGACAAATTTCAATGTGAAAAAAAAAATGAAATGCAAGTCTTATATTTGACTCTCTAACTTTCCAAAACACCATAAAACCTGCACGTGATGGATACTGTTATACTCGGGAGACTTCACTTAACACAAATAAACAGTAAAACTTATTACAACAATAATATCCTCATTAAAAGTGCCGTTTGTGTGTGAAAAGTGCAAAAAACTTCACTTTTACTGAAAATATCATCGTTGTAGTTGAAACCCTAATATTTGTGTTCAGCGAAGTCTCCCGAGTAAAACAGTACCCCCGTGTACAGGTTTTATGGTGTCTTGGAAAGTTATAGGGTTAAATATAGTGCTTGCGAATTATATTCTCTGCACATTCTGCCTGGGTTGTCAGGCACGTCAATCAAATTTTAATTAATTAAATCACATAATTATGTTAAAAGAATACTTAAATTTACACGTTGAATTATAAAATATATATATGTATGTATTTAAATTCTACGTGTATAGTTATGTAATTTATGTAAATATATATTTATTTGCGGTTATTTATATTTTATAGATGGATATATATTGAATGACATTCTATATATCTCTATCTATAAAATACAAATAACCGCAAATAAATACGTGTGTGTGTGTATGTGTGTATATATATATATATATATATATATATATATATATATATATATATATATATATATATATATATATATATATATATATATATATATATATAAAATTTAAAAAAATATTTTATTTTTATTGTAATTCTAAGTATATATATATTATATGTAACTTTATTCTAAGTGTATTTTAATACTAATATATGTACTTATATTAACATTAAAATAACTACGTATGACGTTACATAAAATATATATTTTTATATATATTTTTTTTTTTTCATACTTACCACCAGCAGGGAGACTCTGACAGCCCATGCAGTCCCCCTGCAGGCAGATCCACAGCCAGCTATAGGGGACCATGTGATCATTCTTTGAGAGCGATCACATGGCCCCCGGGGTCAAGTCGTGGACCTCCAGGGGTAGAAAGCCGTTACAGCGTTCTATGCCGCCGCAACGGCTTTAAAGCCCATTATAATGGGGATGGCATAGCGTTAAGGGGTTAACGTAGTTGTTCTGGTGAGTATAGCCTGTCCCGGCAGTGCTTACATTGCTCAATGCATCTGTATGAGGAGATGCTGACTAGTCAAACCGGCGTTTGGCCATGCCCCGACTCCTTGACAATGTCACCCAATCCAATGCTTCTAATATGGAGAAGGCGAATCCGGGGCAAGCCTAGTAACAGCAGACCCGCATGATGCTGGAAGTAAGGCAAGCCAACTAAATTGTGGCTTTAACAGTGTAGGGTCAGGAAAACATTTTTTGTGTTCCTGAGCTTAGTGTTCCTTTAAATTGGTTTTCTTGATTTGTTCATTGCAAGAATGCATAAATTAAAACCATTGACCTGGAAGAAAGCATTTAGCATCTGGCATTTTGGTTACGTTAACCCAATTTACAAACTTGTTACATTATTACATTATTTTTGTTTTGTCCAATATTGTGAAACTTAACACCTTTTGCCTCATCATGGTCCTGCTGAATTGTTCACTTTTTTATCTGTATAATTTGTGGGGTTAGTAGCTCTGTTTGTGACTTTTAATATCCTATCTTATTTTTGCTGTGCTCACCATTTTCCCAATGGTTGTTTTACCCAGATACATTTCAGATCCCAAGGATGTCATCACAGCCCAGTTTGACAATCCTAGTGGCAGCAAGGATTTTTGCAGCCAGTCCTGCCTTTCAACTTATGAACTCAAACGGAAACCTATTGTTACCATCCATACAAATAGCATTTCCACAAGGTGCAGTGTGTGTCTGAAGAATGCGGTGGTAAGTGGATACACTTTCAAAACAAACTTGAAGATGGTAACAATACAGATCTTCACAAATCTTTCTAAAATCTTGGATCAGGGCAGTTGAGGGCACCTATTGTGCGAAGTACAATCTATAATATTCATCAACTTTTATATATTTATTTCAAATGTTTATTTTTAAGTAATAATAATAAAAATAACAATTATAAATTTTTGTCAATGTTGTTAGTCAATAATGTATAAACAGTATGATATAAGGATATTGACATAATAAAATAGATCTTTGTTATGGATATATTCTCAATAGTATAGTTAACATTAAAATCATAACTGGGGAAAAAATAACAGAATAGAAAAACTGGGGGAAAATGAATATATATGATATGAAATCATTAAATTTGAAAAAAATGTGTATGAAGAAATAAAATGGTTTTTAAATCATATATGTATATTTGCATAGGTGTCATATTTTAAGTGACAATCATGGTAAATAACGAGTCAAACAAAAGTGGTAAGATGATTTTTCCATTTACTTAGGTCTCTCATGAGGAATCTTAAAATATCTGTGTGTGTTTGAAATGAATGGAACATTTTGTGTGCACTTATGCACAGTAGACTTGTGCAAGAAATAGTTTTTGCCGGTTCGTCTAAAGCAAACTCCTTTCTGAGTAAATCAGTCCAATCTAGACTTACCCGTAGAGTGTTATTCAATGAATAAGACTCAAGAGGTAGATCCTGAGCAACTTCGAATGTTGATTTAAAAAGTTGTTTTGGACTAATTGCATGAAACCAAGTGTTGCACAAGTTTAATGCTTCGTATGAACAAACCCCCTTAATCATATCTATCTGTTAATAAAGATTAGACTGGATATTAGCCAGCCATAACAAGGATAACCAGTGCCCCAAAAGACTAGAATGCACAGATGAAAAAAGTCCACCTGCCCTCCCCTAAAAATATAAGTATAAGATTTAACAATGAGAACATAAGTTATGCTTGTGAAGATTCCTACCAGAGGAGAATGAGAATACAAGTGTTGTTTGCAATGAATGGAACAACACCAACACTACTAGCTAAAATTGCACTTGAGCATGCATAGCAGCTCATGTCTATGTGACCAACCGGGAGACTATTCTAGGTGCCATATCACACTTGGATTCTGGATTTGTGAAGTCTTGACGTAAATTGAAAGTATTCTGTTTTTCCTAAACTTCTTTTTGATGCAGGAAATCATTGTACCTCCATGTTGTTTCTGTATTTATTCTTCTATTCTCTCTCTTTCCTGGTTTTGTTTCTTTGATTTTATCTATTTGATTTCCTCTTTTTATTCTTTGCTGTTCATGTTGACCTATACACAATATATATATATTTTTTTAACTACTCTTTTTGCTCTGTAGATCCGACATGAGGTGAACTACCAGAATGTGGTCCATAAGCTTTGTAGTGATACCTGTTTTTCTAAATTCCGATCTGCTAACAACTTAACTATGAACTGCTGTGAAAATTGTGGAGGATACTGCTATAGTGGCTCAGGTCAATGCCACCTCTTGAACATTGATGGACAATGCAAGAAGTTCTGCAGTTCTACATGTGTCACTGCTTTCAAACAGGTAAACTCCAGTTATCTTCTTTGCACATTTGATTCCAAGTAATTGAATAGCAGTATTGAACTATGAAGAGTTAATTGAATTTTATAATATCCACTGAATTTGTGTGTTTTGTGAGCCTGTGGCTTGGATGTATGCATCCAATCCACTATCACATTAACTCGGCATTTTACACAGTAGCAAAAAGAGGTATTCATAGTACATACTGTAGGAACAGGCTAAACCTCTTCAAATAACTTAGCTAACCATTTTCATTTTCTCTTTAACCCCTGTGGTCTGTCCTGCTTATTGATAAATATTACTAATGGACAGACAAATCCTGACTCCTTAATATTATGTAATCTTATGTTTTGTGGACCCAGGACATACTTGAAAACGAGGGAAATCTCAATTTATCTTTCCTGGTAAAATATTTTATAAATAATATAAGACTTGTTGATTGACAAATAATAGACAAAACCATTACACTAAAGAGACACTATAAGAGAAACTACATATTGTAGTAGAATACATAGGTATATTTCAGAGAAAAGGCAGTGTTTACATTACAGCCAAGGAACACCTCTAGTGGCCACTCCTCAGATAACCACTGGAAGTCCTTCCTGGATCCGTGCTGCACAGCACTTGATTCAATACATCTCTTTGAGGAGTTTCTGATTGGCCAGGGTTAGGGTTTTGCTCTGCCCCAAGCCCCCCATTGGCTGAGATCATCAATTCTAATTGTCAGCCAAAGAAGCATATTGATGGTGAAGCCAACTAAGGTGGACCCGCACGGCTCTGCAAATAAGGTGAGTTTTACTTCAGAGGGGCACGGGGGGGATATATAGCTTAGAACCATAGGGTCAGGAATATATGTGTTTTTTTTTTATTTTATTATTGCTTAAAGGATCAATACAGGGTCAGGAACACAAACTCTGTTAATTAGACTGTCCTCTTACCTGATAGCCGAGTGAGGGCCAGCTTACTGAAGTTCAGGTGAAGAAAGAAACAAAAAATATAGCGTCACAGGATATATTCCATCACTGCTTCTTACTTAAAATTAATTATTTTATTCATCTAATGTAGTTAAAGCGGCACTGTCATGCCGGACTAGCCTTTCCTTAATCGCTTCCTCTCTCAGGATCTATTCATTTCTTCCTATCTGCTCCAGTTTTCATTAAAACATAAGACAAAGTAGGGACTATTTTGTCTTATGCGTATTTCCTACGCCTGACCAGGGGAGGAGCAAAGTGTGCTCCATTTCCTGTGGTCGGAGAAATTTTCCCACCATTCTCACCTTTCCTCCGTGATCTTGCGATGTTTCCTTTCACTATTCCCGAACGTTCTGTCATTTAGGCAGAACGCCGGGGAAACTACCGAATTTCGTACTAACAGTATGAGAACAGAGTGTTAATTCATGTTAGGACGACAATCGGTACTTTTAGGTGCGTTAGAAATATAATTTGAATGAATGAAATTCCGATCCGTGCTGCGGCTGCATCTTGTCTCTATCATTTCTGAAAGTTTTTTTTTCTATTTTTTATTGCTTTCTAATCAATTTGTTGTCCTTCTTTCCCTTTCCAACAGAAATCCGCTAAGATCACACCCTGTGCCCTGTGCAAAACGTTCCGTTCTTCAGCAGAAATGATAGAGAACACAAACAGCATGGGCCGCACAGAATTATATTGTTCTGTCAACTGCTTGTCTGCCTATAGGGTACAGATGGTCACTTCTTCGGGTAAGGAACATAGTTTGACACCATTGAGATTTCTACAGAAAGGGTCAATATTTAGCCATGCAATTAAAACTCTAGCTATGTTGTACTATACCTATTATTTGCTATACATAAACTACAAAAACAAACTTCTAGGGCAGGCGGAGTCTGACCGCCATGGTGATAAGATGCCAAGCACTGGAGCTTCGTGGCAGGAACTTATAAGTAAGCCTTTTGCTGAGCATTATTTCCCGCATCCTATGATATATACTCGCCTCAAATGAAGCTGTACCTCGGTGCAGCACATCAAGCTACCAGTTCAGTCGGATGTGGGGGCAGACCTTAGGCCTACCAGAGATCTATTGTGGTGGGGGGTGCTGCCTATCCCTCCGCCTACTATCTCTGCTTCCGTGACTCCATGGGTCTTCCCCCAATTTTTTCTTCCCAGTTTTGTTTTACCCTATACGCTGATCTTTAACATGCTACTTGTTCTCTGTTATTTCGCTATACATGCAACTTCTCTTACTGCACCATTTTTTGTTAGAAAATTATAGTATTTCAGACATGGTTGCGGCATTTTATTTAACATTTTATTTGCAATGTCCCTGATATTTAAAAAAAAAAATAAAAAATAAAAATTCCAGTTATGTTTAAGATGTTTTACTAAAGACAAGAGCAGACAGTTTTTTCAGACCTTATATCATAAGAAAATTAGTCATCTTTCATTACAACAATCCCTAATCTCTTTCTATTTATTTTTGCTGAAGGTGTACAGGTTCAGTGTAACAGCTGCAAGACTCTGGCTGTGCCCCAGTATCACTTGGCAATGTCTGATGGGAGCATCCGCAATTTTTGCAGTTACAACTGTGTGGTGTCATTCCAGGTGAGACTTCAGTTGAATGAGGAAGTGTACTTGGGTATTCTGGCACCCCTGGCCTCTGAACAATAATACTTTTTTTTTTTTTTTTGTGTCTTCCTCTATTCCACCACCATTCCAGTATTGCACGCCCATGCTGTCATTCATGTACACTTGCACATTCATATTGCATGTATTTACACACAGACACGTACATATACACACTGATTCATACACATACATTCTAACATCCATACAGGCATGTAATTAAAACCTTAGCCATGGTGCCTATTGGGGAGTTGCTGGGATCACTCTATCTACTGATTGCTACCCAGCTCCTTGCAGATTAGCACTGATCACTACTGGGCAATTTTGGGAAGCTGGTTGGTGACCAGTCAACATGAAGCACACCCTTTTCTTATAAAATTGTGTACTTCAGGCAGTCAGTACATCTCCCCGTTTCTAAATTAGAGTTCATATTTCAGTTTGCTGTTTATCAGAATAAATCTGTCACTCTTTGTAGGTATCACCTCTGCGAAACAGTGCTTTCATAACCTGGTGTTGGGTGTGCACTAGTCTATAAAGGTGCTGTTTAGTAGACTTGTTAGTGCTTTATTATTAACAACCCTTGTGGTGGCTAAAATATGAGATGACATTTGTTTTTTTCATATATCTGCTGGAAAGGCATCTGCAGTTAGTTCAGATATTGGTTTTAATGGTCTGTTTCAGTACCAAAACACAGACAATATTTTTAACGTGGAAAAGAATAGTGTGTTTTGAACTTGGTAACGGTATTCATTAGTTTTCATGCTATACATCACTTATTTTAATCTTGCTTGATTGAACTTTTTATGATTGCATCAAATGTGACCTGAACACATATTTCAGATTGTTCTACTCCATGCTTGTCTGGCAAATACTAAAATAATGTGTTTTCCTTCCATCTACTTACAGAACCTCTTCAACAAGCCGACTGGTATGAACGCCTCTGTAGTCCCACTGTCCCAGGGCCAAGTTATCGTGAGTGTATCAGCAGGAGCAACAACTCAAGCTGGGAACACCACTCCATCTGTAGTGTCCGCAACATCCACCTCCTCATCGTCATCTGTTAGCAATTCTGCAGCTGTTGGCTTACAGAGGTTGGCAGCACAATCACAATCCCAGACACCTTCGCAACAGCCGCCTCTTCCGCAGCAGCAGCAACAGCAGCAAGGCTCCTTCTCGCGAGCCGCGGTGAAGCTAAGGTGCCAGCATTGCAATCGGCAGTATGCCACCAAACCAGAACTTCTAGATTTCAAGGTATAAAAAAAGCATATTAAGATTTATTTGTCAGGTTAAAGTGCTTGGCAAAAAAAAAATATTCTTGTCGAATATGTAGTTTGTGTTTATATTCCCTTCTTAAAGGAACACTCACAACATTAAAATCAACGTTCTGTTTTAAAGGACCACTCTAGGCACCCAGACCACTTCAGCTTAATGAAGTGGTCTGGGTGCCAGGTCCTTCTAGGGTTAACCCATTTTTTCATAATTATAGCAGTTTCAGAGAAACTGCTATAATTATGAATGGGTTAAGCCTTCCCCCTAATCCTCTAGTGGCTGTCTCATTGACAGCCACTAGAGGCGCTTGCGTGCTTCTCACTGTGAAAATCACAGTGAGAGCACGCAAGCGTCCATAGGAAAGCATTGCAAATGCTTTCCTATGAGACCGGCTGAATGCGCGCGCAGCTCTTGCCGCGCGTGCGCATTCAGCCGGCGGGGCGTAACGGAGGCGGAGAGGAGGAGGAGAGCTCTCCGCCCAGCGCTGGAAAAAGGTAAGTTTTTACCCCTTTCCCCCTTCCAGAGCCGGGCGGGTGGGGGCACCCTCAGGGCACTATAGTGCCAGGAAAACAAGTATGTTTTCCTGGCACTATAGTGGTCCTTTAAGATTATATAAGAGCTGATTTTTCTTTTAATTTGCACTTTTATGAATTGGGATAAAGAGGGCACGGAGTTTGGAGTGTAACTTTAGGCAGGTTTGTTTGTGATGTTTCAATAGCCAGTACTGTAATTTTCAATTTATAATATCCTTGTCCAGCTGAGCTCAAGGCCACTAGTCAGGTTTAAATATTCATTTTTCTCAATAGTTTAATGTGATGCCAGCTGATTGATACCAAATCTAAGTGTGTTATTGCACTATGAAAATAATTTTGTATATCAAGCTCTTGAGAGAGTAGTTTGTGTGTGTGTGTATAGTATAAATAGTTCGGCGCTTGTTTTTTTCTGTATATCTGTTTGTGTGTTTTTTGTTTTGTTTTTTGTTTCATTATCTTTACTTATCCCTATATTTAACAAATATATGTTTATGAGGAGTAAAAAATAAAGTGTAAAAATTCACATTTTATTATCCTACAGCTCAGGACCTGTATATTGGCTCCCTGTCATTCCTTGTTACAGTCTTTGTCCTTTGCACTTGGTAGTGAGCATAGAGAACGCACACAAAGAAGTAATATAAAAACCGGTCTAATATTCCAAAAGTAGGAACGACACCATGGAAACCAGAAAAACAAGCAGTCAACCACTAGTAGCTGGACCGCTTTTACATCTTTAGAACACTTTTTTATACTTCTCCTCTTTAATTTCCAATCTTAGCAGTTTCCACTATTATAATGTAGTTCCCTTGTGAGCAACACCTAGAAGACTTTTGGGGTCCCTATTTTGTTCTTTCTTTACCTACTGTAAATTTTGAAAATGTTTTGATTAACTTTCCGCACGTGGCTTGAAATGGTTTATTTTCTTTTTTTAGCTTGCATAGTCCCAGCTAACATTTTAATTGTGTAATAGCATTTACTATAATTGTTTAGGTTTGAATGCTTTGTATTTTGAAAAGAATATGAAGAAACATCTTCTTTTTATGCAGGGTAAAATGTACCAGTTTTGTGGAAAAACTTGCTGTGATGAGTATAAGAAAATCAATATGGTTTTGGCGATGTGCGAGTACTGCAAGATAGACAAGATTGTTAAGGAGTCTGTTCGCATCTCTGGCTTAGACAAGATGTTTTGCAGTGAAGGTGAGCTCAGCATATATATTCATAGCTTTTAATCAGAGCCATGATGCTCTGCAGAATATAATGTACAACACAACTGAATATTATTGGGTATATTTGTATGATTGTAAACTTCTCTGTGCTGGGCTGGGGATAAGCAATATGAATCTAAGAAATCTTAATTTTAGTCTAGTAACAAATCTTTTAATGTTAGTGTCTACACACAAGCAATATATCCGTTTTCTCTAAAGTGAGCGTTTTCTATTTTTGTTAGGACCAATGAAAAATACCACATTGCAAATCTCATGCTGCTGTTTTAAAAATGCATATTTTTAATTGTCATCTGCTATTTTGTGACTTCTCTATAGGTTGCAAGCTTCTTTACAAGCATGACCTGGCAAAGAAGTGGGGGAATCACTGTAAAATGTGCAGTTACTGCTACCAAACCTCTCCCAAGCTGGTTCGGAATCATTTTGGGGGAAGGTTAGAGGAATTCTGTGGGGAGGAATGCATGTCCAAATTCACAGTTTTGTTCTACCAGGTAAATTTTTTTAAATATATAAATATTATTGGCTTGTTAATTTATATTCTTTTTTGCCCTTTGTTTTCCAGTTAGACAAAGGATTACATTTTGCTAATAAGACACATTCTCTTAAATATTACTGGCACTAAATAAATTCAGACCACATCTTACTGTATTAGGTACCCTGCACTTAGTCCAGGTGTAGTAAACTGTTATTGTTGCACTGCATCTTCCATGTTTCTGAACTAGTTTGTGTTTTGTTTTGTTTTTAGTTTATTTATTTTTTATTCTGGGTGCTAGCTAGTCAACGATAAAGTCCTTTCAAGAATTGCTTTAGAGATGAAGTAAACAAAAACAATTGCATACCCATTCCATTGTTTATATCGTGTGCTGAATGTCTGTTACAGATCTTGGTATCATCAGCATAAAGACATACCTTACCATCAAGACCTTCTGCAATATCACTAATAAAAATATTAAATTCAAAGTACATGCAAAAATTGAGAAATTTTCCATTTAAAATTCAATATGTAGGTAGGAACAAATTACCTCTAAATTTAGCAGAAACTAGGAATGAGGCAACCAACTAAAAAGACTCAATTCCTCATAATATGATGTCCAAATGTCTTTTATTGCAAATGGTATGCTGTGATAAAGGTAAAGTGTATATCGGGACTCCAATTTTCTCCTAAAAGTGAAATGGGACTGTTTAATCCATCAGTGGAAATTAGGGGTTCTATTTGCACAAACAAACATTTGTGTAGCATTTTTTTCTGTTTGTAGTTATATGTTGATGTTCGCTTGTCTTGGTAAACAAAGATTTAGGAAGCGGGCTGTCCATGTCTACTGCAGACACGCTGGTGGCTGATGAGGCCAATGCGCGAGAGGCAGATTCGGCCACAACAGCTGTAAAGGAAAATCTGGTCTGACTTTGATGCCACTATGTTATGGTCCTTCCTCTGTTTCTTTTTATTCTCAATATCTGCCCTGCATGCATTCTCAAAGGAGGAGACAACCTGATGAATGTGTCCAAGTCTCTATCGGAAATTTGAGCAGACCAGTGATGATGGTCAATGTGACAAGCACAAAGTGATTTCTTCTTTGGTGCTCCTGTGTTGCGGTGCCTAGTGGTGAGTTCACCATTCAGCACAGCCTTAGGTAGGTGATGATCCTTGAGAAATGCCCTGCCTAGCACAGCTGCAACTTCAAAAGCATTGCCTCAATGCTGGTGGTCTTTGCCTCTTGAGAACTTTGATGTTGGTGATGAAGTCATTCCAATAGATGTTAAGGATTGTGCAGAGACAGTGTTTTTGAAAAGGTTTATGGAGTTGCAGGTGATGGTGATAGGTAACCCACGACTCAGAGCCATACAGGAGAGTGGTCTGTACAACATCTCTGTACACTCAACGTTGTGCCTCCTTCTAGATGTTTGTTGTTCCAGACTCTCTTATACAGTCTGCTGAACGCTCTGTTTGATTTTGCCAGTCTATCTATCGCTTTGTCGATCTTGGCATCTGAACAGAGAAGGTAGCTAAACTGATGCATCAGTGTGGTAACGGTTGTAGACACCATCTTCTTTATCAAGGTCTACCGTGGCCCTTTGAAACATCAAGCTGAAAAAGATTGTGAAGAGAGTTGGTGGAAGAACACAGGTTGGTGCGGTTTCTGACTTGACCTTGACCCCTGATACCTTCATGTAGCTGAACGATCATATTGAGAAACTTAGGGGAATTCCTTAGTGTTTCAGCATTTGCCACATACCTTTTCTGCACCATTTTTAATGCTTTGGTGGGGTCAATAAACGTCACGTACAATGACTTGTTCTGTTCCCGACATTTTTTATTGGAGCTGTCTGAGAACAAATAGCTCTGTAGTCGCATTGGCTCTCTCGAAACCGTTATTCTGCAATGGTGCATACCAAACTGTTCAAAAGTATCCTGCAAGAGTTTTTCCTCCGACGGAGAGCAGCGTTATCCCCGGATAAGTGGGATTCTTATATAGGATAATGATTATAGTGTCACAGAGGTCCTGTGGTAGTTTACCTTGTTTCCAGCAGCAAACCAATCATGAAGTTTAGTGTGTAAGGCTGGGCCCCATACTTCCAGATTTCAGGTGGAATTCCCTCGACTCTTGCTGCCTTAACAGTCTCCTCAATAGTGGGATTCTTGTTCAGACTCTGGGGATTTTTTTGACGTTGTGGAATGCAATGAAGTGCAGAAATTTGTACCATGCGGTTGGTGCTAAAGAGAGACTGGAAATGTTCTGACCACCGATTCAGGATGGGTGCCTTTTCTGTGAGGAATGATTGACCATCTGCACTGCGCAATTAATTCTGTATCTGGTGTAAAGGGCCATACACTGCCTTCAGGGATTCATAATGCCCTCTGCGCTTGGCATTACTCGATTGAGTAGGACTTCTCAAATGTCTGTCGTATCATGATGTAAGCTATAAGGTGCCAATGTTTGGACCGAAGGTGTATCCAAGTTGTCTACAGACAATTTATTTGCTTGAAGATGATGTTGGTGAAGACAAATTTCAGCTCCACACAAAACTCTTAACAGAAGGTGCCAAACATGCTGTTTCCAACAACATGTTTGTCAAGTACTACTTTCCAGGCTTCTGAGTCCTTGCCTACTCTGGCATTGAAGTTGCCATGAATGTGTAGTTCAGTGTAGAGCCTTAGCCGACTTCTAAGATAATAAAGGTTCAATGTGAATGGCTATACTTAATGAAAGAGCAGGAAATTACAGAGAAACCAATGTATGAAAACTGTCCAAACAGCCTCAGTCCAAAACACACAGAATCTCAGAATAACGTCAGTCAGTAAGGGGTTAAAAGGACAAAGCTGCTAGGACCATTTTGTATTGATTTATTGACTTGCTGAATAAATTGTTTCTTGCAGCACTAATTCACTCAAGAAGAAGTGGGCTTTGTAACCAATACATGGCTGATGTTCATACAATTTTTCTTTCTTTTTAGATGGGAAAGTGTGACAGTTGTAAGCGGCAAGGCAAGCTGAGTGAGTCCCTGAAATGGCGAGGAGAAGTGAAACATTTTTGCAACTTGCTCTGTGCCCTTGTCTTCTGCAACCAGCAGTGTGCATCAGAACCCACTACACTTATTAACTCAGGTAGAGTAACCACTGCTAACAACAAACTCTATGCTTTGGGCCATCAAATCGTTTACCATATTTAAAATTTGATTATTATTGATGTGTTTGTCTAAAACCTGTCATTGTTTTTTTTTTTTGGCAGCCAATGTTCCCATGGTGCAGGCAATCCCGGCATCAACATGCTCCTCTGGGGCAAAGGATTCCACTCCAGTCATTGCCAATGTAGTATCACTAGCAAGTGCTCCTGCTACCCAACCCACCGCTAACTCTACCAATGTTTTGCAGGGTGAGTACCTACAAACAACAATCTCTACAGTCTGTTATATTAAATTACGGTGTTAGATCAAAACGTCTGGGTTTGAGATTTTTTTCAGGTCTTGCCTTTTGAGGGAGAACCTTTTTATTTTATTTTTTAATTTTTATTTTGCACCTTCACCATGATTTTGTTTATTTTTTTTATAATGCACTATATCATCTTAGTACTGTCCTTTTCATTATATAAAAAAAAAAAAATAGGAATAGGAATATTAAGGTTGTTGTTTCTTTTATTTAGCTGAAGGTGGTTTTTCCCCGTTAGTCAAAAAATGCTTACTGGTTCCAATCCAGTCCTCAAGACACAGCAGCAGTGCAGGTGTTGTCATTATCCTTATAGGAACAGGATTGATAAATTAATAAATCCTTTTCCCAGTGGTTCCCAATCCAGTTCCCCATAAGAACTGGATTGGGAACCACTGCCATAGCTTGTAGCATTTTAGTAGCTTATTTGTGTATGGTTAATTTGCCCAGATAGGGAATTATGAGGTTTGCATTATGTGAAGTGCTTTGAATAGTTCGCAATAATAAATTTTGAATTTTATTGTAGCCATAAAAAGTATGTGTATAATGTGTTGAGGAATTTTGAGCGAGGAATATTGATAGCATTACTGTTTTTATCTAACCTGCATCTTTTTATTTAAATCCTTCTCGGCTTCTTTATTTTCTAATAGATATTTCCTTAATTCCTTTTCCATTTCCCCTCTCTTCCCAGGAGCTGTACCAACCTTGACTCCAAAAATCATTGGGGATGTAAGTCACCCTATTTTAATACAATTTGTGATGTTTTACCATATGAATCTTATGCACTATAAAATCAAGTTTTTTGGGTACTTGCCGCTTGGGAGTAAGACAAGTGATTTTAGGTTTAGCCTTTAAATTGGTGATTCAAAGTCAGACAACATATTTCCTCTGTGCTTTTTTATTTTATTTATTTATTTTTTATTTTAAATAAATAGATCTCATCTCTATCCCAGGTGTCAACGAATCCCACTGCATTAAAGGGAATGTTTAATTTTAGGAATACAAGCCTATTCCTGACATTTCATGCAGTTTTAGATCTAGGTCCCACTTTAAAAGTGAAAGTCAAGCAGTTTTACAATCTTTCATCACTCATCATACTGTTTTCACCAAGGCGTCACCAAATCTCCTCTATAGAGAAGCGTTGTGGGGCTTAATGTCTATGTGCAGCAATTGCCACACTGCATTAATCCGCATCTCCTTATGTTTATGGAGTGTGTTCAGCGTATTCATGCTGAGCTTGAGGACACCAATGTTCTTCATGCAGATATTGTTGGACTTTAATAGGAATCTCTTCTATTGGCTGTCAGACGTGTTCGGTGTTCTTAGGGACAAATGTAAACGTAACATTTTACTTAAATGTAATAATATGAGGCATTGATATAATTTTTTGTGTGGATTTAATTTGGACTTTCCTCTGCTTATTTTCAAGGCAAGTACACAGACAGATGCCCTGAAGCTCCCTTCCTCTCAGCCTCCTCGGCTTCTCAAGAACAAGGCCCTGCTTTGCAAGCCCATTACACAAACAAAGGCCACCTCGTGCAAACCTCACACACAGCACAAGGAGTGTCAGACAGGTATGTCTTGCAAAAAAAAGTGATCAGCTATAAAACAAATAGGATGGTCTGAAATGTTGGGTTGGGGTGTAAAAGCTGCTGTCAAGACTATTCGGTAAATCCATGCCACTAGATCACTAGATGCTCCTGCTGTCTTAGTCTTAGGAAGGAGTTCCAACATATGAGCAAAAACTTATCAGTAGGATATCCCTGCTGGCTTGTATGGCATTGCTCCAAGCCTGGCTAAAGACTGAGATTTCAGGCATGCATGTTAGCGTTTAATGTACAGGATACATATATTAGGGAGCTGCACCAGACTTTGGCTTCCTTTACTAAAACATGTCCTGTGCCTGGTATCCTCTCGTTCCTCTCTTTTTACAATATTAATTTATTTTTTTTTTTTTTTTTTTTCTCTGGTCTGCACAATACTAGTTATTCCAAACAGGCAACGAGTGTATTCATGCAATTAGTCTTTTATGTTCTTACAGTTTTTTGAAAACTGCCCTGGGTGGAAGCTCCAGGATCTTAAGTATTCACCTGGCCTCCTGGAAAACAAAGATTTTTTTTATTATTTTTTTTTTTTATTTGGAAATCTGTGTGTGTATATATATATTTCCATATTTAGTCACATTTGCTTTGAAATATTTATAAAAATGCACCATAATCACATTAAATATGCAAAGAGTATCACGTAGTAAAGATCTGTTTGCAAAGTACTTGATACCAATGGTCATTTGCACGCGTTTTAGTGTTTACTTTATGAAACAAATGTTTTTGTGACCTTAAGCATCTCTTCAGAAGCACAGAAAAAGATGACTAGTTCACACTAAACCTAAGAGATGTTATATTGCGAGACTGTCTCCTTTTGCCTGATCCCTATTTTTAAGGGAAAGGGAGAGGTGATATATTTAAAAACTAACTAAAATACTGCAGGACTCAAGGGAAATAAAATAAGTCGGTAACAATCCGTATATGATACGGTGGATATGAAAGTACAAAACTTGAAGACAATATACACAATTACAATTAAAAGCCCTATATGGTGAAGTGTGAGTGTCATAGAAAAGGTTTTATTCTAAATCCTCCCTACTCTGCCTCCTTTATTTGACCTCACTTTGAAAGATCTTACCCATGGTAATCTGTCTCCATAGGCAAATGCTACTGGGCATCCAGTAGTTGCTTCCACTGTGTTATTTATACCACATACTGTGCTATATTTCTTTTTTATTATACTACCCACATCTCTCCTCTAGATTAGGACCGTCCCATACAGACACACATACTGGCTTCGCTTAGAAGTAAAATAAATCCAAATTGCTTGCAATGCTAGGGATCTTAAGAACTGTGAAGCCACAAAGACATGCACCTTCTTTGTCTGCACTCATTGCGTTTTCTTGTTTGTGTATAAAATTTATGAAAAATGCTGTTCTTCAGCAATTGTATCCCAATATTCTATTGTTACCGCAAACATTGTCTTCCTCATACTAATGTTTACCTTTTTTCTTACAGAAAGTGATGGGCAGCCACAGGTCATTGTGCTTCCAGTACCCGTGCCAGTCTTTATTCCTGTGCCCATGCACCTCTACACCCAGTTTGCCCCTGTTCCATTAAGCTTTCCATTACCTGTAAGTTCCTTCCTGTTGTAAAAATGTTTTTAATTAGTAATTACCTCAACTTCAGTTTTGGGATCGGCAAAAGGAATATTAGTTATCTAGAAAGCTCTAACAGTTTGGGCAAAACCGGTTTCTGACCATTTTGTAAGTGGGTACATTTTGAATCCAGGTGATAGACAAACTATTGGAAAGTGTCAGTATGTCAACTTACTGAATAATGTCTGTTCTTATTTCAGAAAAATAAATAAATCAATGTACTCCTGTGTGATGTTTTTTAACTAACAAACAATACAAAGAGAATTGAGTTCTACAGTGAGTTCTGCTGGTAGCTGTGATATTTTATATTGTGTGGATGACATTTTTAAAGGAGTGCACTCAAGTTGGCAAGGAAACATTTGATTTCTAATCTGCTAAAATTATAATGGAATTGCAGTACTGCTCTGGTTCCAGAACTCACAATGATTTGACTTACTGTGCAGGTGCCCGTCCCCATGTTTATCCCCACAACGCTGGATAATGCTGACAAAATTGTAGATGTCATTGCGGACTTAAAGGAAAAAGTTCCATCTGACCCTTTCGAAGCAGACATCCTTCAGATGGCAGAAATGATTGCAGAGGATGAAGAGAAGGAGAAAACGTTATCACATGGAGGTTAGCTGCTCTAGCATGGATCTTTGTAGATCTGTATAACTTTTTTTATTGTAAATTTGAGAGGACAACATATCATATATTGTAACATACTGACATAGTAATGTTGACTGAAAAAAGTCCATCAAATTCAGCCTTTCACACATCTCTTTTTACTATTGATCCAAAAGGAGAGGTACTGCTCAATTTCAGGTTTGTCAGATGTACCATTAATTGGAAAGCAATTCTAAAAAAAAATTACAAAACAAATTTGCAAGTAATGACAGATTCACTTTACCATAAATCCCCACCATAGCTAATGAAGATTGGCTCAAAATCTCCACTCATATTTAACCCTAGCATGTAGAAATTTAGCCCTGGTGTGTATGCTGTGGCAAGTAACTGTAAGGCCCGGCTAGTAGTACAGGATGTACAATGTTAAGCCTTGATCTATAATTTATCATAGAGATACATTATACATTCATTTAAAAAATTTTAATATATTAACTCGCCTTCCCTCCGGTCCAGTTACTCCATTTCTATAATCTGTTTGGAGAGACGGTGTGTATCACCTGTAGGTCTGTGCTGAAAAATGTACTTCCACAATTCTGCTACCACAGTTTATAGATGACATTTCTATGTCTGGTAAACTTAAAGGGTCATATAATAAAAAAAAATAAAGCGTTAAAGATAAATTCAGATGATAATACTGGGCGTGTCAAACTTTCCCTCTCTTTCAAGTATAATTTTCTGTATATATTTTCTACTATTTTTTGAAAATAATTTTTACTTTTTTTTTTTTTTTGTATTTATTAAAAATGTTAATGGTATGTATCTGCACCAATCTCTGTGATGATGAAGCATCAATACATTCATTTTTATTAATGGAAATATTTTTTGCTAATTTATCTATTATCATGTTTACCACAGATCAAGGAAGTACGTACAGTGGAGACTTGGAATCTGAGGCAGTGTCTACACCACATAGCTGGGAGGATGAATTAAACCACTACACTCTGAGGTCCAACAATGTTCCAGAGCCTGACACAGAGCTACGGCAGCTTTCCAGAGTGGGAACAGAGCAAGACCTTGAAGCAGATTTCCCAACAGGTCTATATTTTCTACAAGTAGTCTCATAACTTTATTAATTTCTGCAGAATTGCATAGAAAAGGGACACTACACTTCCCAAATGAAGTTTAGTGATAGTGATCACTGTTTAGTTTTATTTTGAAAACATGCATGCATTTAACCCTTTAAGGACACGACATGTGTGACATGTCATGATTCCCTTTTATTCCAGAAGTTTGGTCCTTAATGGGTTAATTATGCATTTTCATTGGCGGTATATTTAAAAATAACTTGCAACAGCTGCAGATCTTAACCCACTCTAGACTTTTTGTGGCTGTCCAATCACAGGCTTCTCAAAACAGCTCAGTGAGAAGTATTTGCAAGGCAGGAGCTCTGGGCAATTGCCTGCTTGAGTTTAGATCCACTGAGCTAAATTTAGCAGGAATTAACAGGACTGCTTGTCTGCTTGAAAGTAGGTGTAAAAAGGTCAATATATAAAAAAAAAATCTGATTTAAATTTTTTTTTAGATTTACCTTCTACTTCTTGCTTGCAGTTTCCTTGCCACCAGAGGGTGCATACTGATCCGGCCAATCAGTGTCCTCTCCATAAGAATTGTGGTCGCAGATATACAATTGAAAGATCTTGCAATCTTATCAGTGACATTGCGAGAGCCCAGGAGGATGCTGCCCCTGAATGCGCCTCTCTCACATTCATGACTGGCAATTCTCCTAGATGATGAGCATTGTATAGCATCTTTGCCTCCTGCTTAGATAGTTGACCCTAAATAAAACTGGCTACAAGTTGCCAGTTAGTGTTTATCGGACACACCAGGCTTATATATGACTGCTCATAGAGACCAACCATGTTTCCATGAAGGAGATTTCAGCAAAGTGCTTTTGCAACTAATATGTCACAAACAGGCCCGGACTGGCCATCGATCACACCGGGCAAATGCCCGGTGGATCAAGGTGGCTATGGGCCGAGACCGGCAGGGGAGGTTACAGGATCTCTCATGCAGGGCCAGTGCTATGTGAGCGCCGGCCCCGCTGTTTTCATTGACGGGCCGGTGAGGAAATCAAAGATCTCCCTCACCGGCCCACTTGAATAGACATGCGGCTGGGGAGGGAGAGGAGGACCCGGCGGAGCTCTATCTTGCAGCTCCGCCGGGTTCCTCTCCAGAGATCGGGTCGTTGCCATGGCAACGTCCCTGATCTCGCAAGAGACTCACCACTAGGACCACCAGGGAAGGTGTGAGAGTGCCGCCAACACCCTCCCAGGTACCACCTCGTCGCGCCCCCCCCCCCAAAACACGACACTCAGCACCCTAAAACACATGACACAGGCCCATCTAGTCTGCCCAATTTTTTTTACACACACTGAACCCCTAAACACATTACATTCCAGACACACACTAGATCCCTTACCCAAGTCTGGATCATATACACACACTAGATCCCTATATACGCACACCCACTAGATCTCCTATACACATTCTGGGTCCTTCAAACACACACTAGACGCACGCACACACACCACCTACACACACACACTACATTCCTAACATACACACTAGATTCATTGTAAGTAAACACATACTACACCCCTAAACACACAGTCTCTACAACCCCTAGCCACATATACATTACATTACACCACAAACACGACATGACTAAAACCGACCTTATTACACAATACCACACCACAATCGGCTCACTCTACACAGACGCAATCCCACAAGCAGGCTCCAAACAGATGCACAAAACTCTTTCCTGGCCTTTTTGTCTCCAGGTGTCCCATTTTTAGAGACACCAGAGACAAGTTACAAGGAAACACAGTGCAAGCACGTTATTAAATTTGCTTGCACTGTGCAGAACACATACAGGGCTTTTTTTTTCCTCATGCTAGAGCTCTTCAGCATGGTCTGCCCTGGAAGAGCATTGAATCAACATGCTCACTTTGAGAGGGGAGTGTTTGTCATTGATGATGACAAAATACACCCTCTATGCCCCGCACTGCCACCTTCTAAGTGGGCCGCTGTGATGATAAAAAAATGCCTGGGCCGAATTTTTTTCCCAGTCCGGCCCTGGTCACAAAAATAGGACAACCACCTTTCTGGATGCACACTTTCAAGAGCTGGGAGGTATGGAATTGATGGGATCTGATGAGTATATTATTAATCAAATTAGTATGGGACTGTTGCAGATTTACTTGATAAGCCTTGTATCATCTGAGCAGCATATAATACACATTATAAATAACTAATGGAGGTGGTAAGCCAAGAGTTGTAATAGTAGTAATGCGAATGTATCAGACGTTCAAGTGTCATAGTTTGCAGAAAAGCTGAAACTCAAAATTTAGACAAGAATAGCATGCGATCTCAAGAAACCTAGGAGATCTGAGTTTAATGTAAAAGGGAGGGCTGGAGAGAGGGTTTCACTTGTAGGCATGCTCACAGCACTGCCTGCAAGTGTAGAAGGTCTTACATCTGTCATCAGCTTGCAGTGTGTGCTGATGACAGATGTAATTGTTGCATAGAGTTGACATTAGGCAGCCCAAAACAGAATTCCAGGCTGCCTTAGTTATGTGTGCCTGGGATGCAACTAACCCCCAGCACAATAGTGCAAATATCTCAACTTTCAAGCAGAAACGCTGTACATACAAATTTCTTCATCCATGACCGCTTCTGAAAAGCAAATATGATTATGGATGTTGAAGTAACCGTTTAAGGGAAAAAATTTCAAACCTGCACTTGGTTGATAGCTTGGTGGCTGTAGACCGAGGAGACAGAGATCTCAACTTGATTCAACTATAAAAAGAACACCTCCTTTTCAATGCTTCCACTTGGAACATTCTTTCATACAACAAAACATTTAAAAAGAAAATCCTCCAGTAATGTCAGTTGGATGCCAGAGACATCTACACAGCCATTTTAGCTTTTGCTACCTTTCACTATCCTTTCTATCCTACGTGTCTGTTTTTTTTTCTTCCTCACTCAAAACTTTTTTTTATGTCCTGTTGAGGGTTATTTCCACTGGTTTGTTAATGTCAATGTCATGACGTTGAAGATGGCCCATCATTTTTTATTTGTGGTATTTTTCATGTATGAAAATTGCATTGAGTTGCTACTTGTTCTCTGGTGGGCTTGCTGATTTTTGAGCTGTGATGTCTTTCTTTGAAGCCGTGGGTACTTAGCCCACTCACTAGTGTAGCTCCAGAAATAACCTATTCTTTTTTTCCTTCTTTTTGCTGTTTTTTTTTTTTTTCCTGACCCATATATCTGCAGTTTGTAAAATTAATTATTCTATGTGCATTTTTAATTTAAACACAAACTTATGACCATTACTCATTTTTGGTCAATAACAATCAGTATTTTTCTCCAATTACAGAAGCATTTGACCCATTAAGTAAGGGCTCTACTTTATTTGGACGCTCACGGGGCAGGCGAAAACACAGGGATGGTTTTCCACAGCCTAAAAGACGGGTGAGTGATTACGTCAAGTTGATCTTCTGTCATATATACGTAGTAGGGATTGTACATTCAAAAAGAAGCTGACAAACTTTCTTTGTAGTAACATGTTATTCCACAGACTTAAACATTTAATACTAGTGAACAGAAATCACATTTCCTGTAATGTACTGTATCTGGATTTGGTAGCCGTATTTGCTTTATTGCATTTGAGAGCTGTCTAATTTACTCCTTAGTGGGTGAAATAATGTGTCATTGAGAAATGATTTCCCCACGCGGTCTGTTTTCCGATAATAGTGTTATGTTGACAAAAAAAACAAAACCGACTAATGATCTATTTTTTTTGTTGGGCCACTAATTGTTTGTATATAATATACAGAATAGAAAGTTGCCCTAAAATTTACTTGGCAGCTAGAATAAAAAAAAAAAAAAAAAAAGAATTAAAAATAATACATGTTTATGTCTGTACTTTATAGTCTGCTTCCACAAATCTGTCATTGCTCAATTTAGGGCCGGAAGAAGTCTGTTGTGTCTGTCGAGCCACGGAACCTCATGCAAGGAACCTACCCAGGGTGCTCAGCTTTGGGCTCTACACTGAAATACATATATGGGGTTAATGCTTGGAAGAATTGGGTGCGATGGAAAAATGCACAAGAAGATCCAGAAGACATAAAGTTTGGGGGTAAGCAACAAGTTTCTGGAAAAGTTTACTGTTCATGAGAAACTATCATTTGACACAAAAATTTAAGAAAACCTTTCTTCCAAATAAAATTGAAATTTCAAACTTTTATTTACCGATCAAACTGGTCAAAATAACAAAAACGTATAGTGTTTTCAATCCTTGAATAATGCAAAGAAAACATGTCCACATTCATATTTAAACACAATACTAATATTTTAACATGGGAAGAGTTCAGAAATCAGTATTTAGTTTAATCTGATTTTTCAATCATTGCTTTCATGCATCTTGGCATGCGCTCTGACAGTTTTTCAGATTGCTGTTTGGTGATTTTATGCCACTCCTTGTGCAAAATGTCAAGAATCTCAGCTTTGAGGGTTTGTGAGCATCTTCCCTCTTTGTCACATGTTAGAAGTTTTCATTTGGGGTGCATGTCTGGAGAATGACATGGTGGTGTTCTGGTGTTCATCCATTCACACCTTGATTGGCCTGGTTTGGGGGAGGGTGAGGGGAATAATCCTTAGAGTTGGGGAATCTGCCCAATTCCAGCCTTGCCTAAGCATTCTTACATCCTAGATCTTCCACCAATTTCCATAGCAAATGCAAGACACAGTGGTTTGTAGACCTGTCCAATGACCGTACTCCAGTCCTTATGGTCTTTTGCAAATGTGAGCCTGGCTCTTCTTTGCTTCTCATTGATGAAGACATTTTTTTCTACCTTTGCACAACTTCAACGCTGCTCCTAGTAGCCTCTTTTGAAACCAATCACCCCAGCTTCCATTTGCCACTCTTTTTGTTGGTTATTTGATGTCACCCTATATATGTTGAGTGACATTCAAATGAGCTTTCCGTCATCCCGGTCAGTGGAGAATTGTTTTTGCCCTTTGCCAGTCTATAACTTTGTCCCCAATATCTACTGCTTGATCGTGTTGTTTTGAACTGCTGTCTTTGAAATTTTAAGGATGGAAGCAACCTGGAATGGCTTACATACATGTTGATTAAGAAAGAATTGGAGTGGTCTCTTTTTATACATTTATGAATGTATGTTATAAACCAGGATTTATATATCCAAGCATCACATATGACACTGGATTATTTAAAATGGAATGTGCAAAAAATGTTCTACAGCTTTTACTTTTTAGGTAACCAACAGCAGAATTTCAACAATTTCCACATGTTAATTTGGCAATTGGAGCTGCTACATAAGTAGAATTGGTGTTTGTATCTGTTTATGCTCTGACATGTGTATAATAATTAAAACAGAAAAGAGTTTCTCCTACAGCCTTGTTTCTACAAATGGATGTGTCATTCACCTGTTTGACTCTGCTTTCTTGCAGTCCGGCCTGTAAAGCTAAAAGAAGACATCTTATCTTGCTCCTTCGCTGAACTCAGCTATGGACTGTGTCAGTTCATTCAAGAGGTACGCCGGCCGAATGGCGAGAAGTACAGCGCTGACAGCATATTGTATCTGTGCCTTGGCGTCCAACAGGTAACTCACATGGACTCTAATTACATCTGGGATGTCTCTTCAATGTCTGTTGTCATAAATCAATGCTTTCTGTTTGTTACGTATCTGTGTACTTTATACATACATAATCTTTTACATGTCTTTGTTTATAAAAAAAAGGCAGTGCACTTAAAACACTTTTGTCCAATTTGAAACATTTCCATTTAGAAGTACTCTCTTCACCCTATCTTTAAGCCAGTGTTTTATCCAAAAACACAATTTTTCATCTAAACCAACTGACTTCAGTTTTGCTAGTTACTTTTTGTGTGGAACTGTATCAGTTACCTTGGTAAAACCCAAGTAGATCACATCTATTTGATCGCCACAATCTACCCTGTTTTGGCTAAACACCATAGAGCATCCCAAGATGACATATTGTGTAATAATACGGAAACCTTGTTAACTAAATATAGTATGGGGGGCGGGGCCTGGCTGCAGAGCAGAGAGGAAGCATGTCTTAGCAGCTCCTGCTCACCAGAACAAACAAAGCAGAATATCGCGACTAAAACAGCGGCTACCCGATACAACAATGTCACCAACCGACAGGGAACATTGAGGTGAACAAAATGACACCACTTAAGCGACAGTTCAAGCAATACTCACCCATCACCCTGGTGAGGCCTACAAGCAAGGCAGGCGCAGGAGAGATGGCTGCTCCCCTGCTGCCACAACAAGGCGAAAACTTAAACCGGGGCCTGAGTTCCCAACAACCCCCCCCCCCCCAGGGACCGGCGGGGTAATCCCGGTCCACCCAAACTCGAACCCCATTCAAAGTACTGGTAACATGACACCAACACAGAATCCCGGGCCTACTACCGACAAGGCCAACAAAATGGAGGATGCCTCTCACGCTACTGACCCATGCAATGCAGTGCTGGAAACGGAGCGCCGGTTAAATAAAATCTTTGCCTCTTTTTGGGAGAAACTGGAGGCCCACATGCAACCTCCGGTGCCGGAGAATCTGCCCACAGACCTGCCACAGAACCTACATGAGGCAGTCAAGCGGAGGGTAGCACTAACCCCCTCTGAAAATAAACCCACAAGAGGCAAGCACCAACAAGGAGCCATCTCGGGTTCATGCTTCTGGAGCCCCACAGAGTGCAGCAGCAGACCAGGAGCAGCAAAACCCAGGAGAGGGCGCCCAAGGCCACCTCACCTGCAAGCGGAGATGCGACACAAGCTCTGGATTGGCAAAGCGGGCTCGAACAAGCAGGAGAAATGGCGGGACGCGAGGCCCTATGAAGCGACAGCCACAGGCAGATCCTCCCGTGGCAGTGGCAACCCACGATCGGTCTGGGAGACAGGCCACGCAACCACAAGACAAACTCAATATGCCCCACCAAGATCACGTCCACACGGCACAAGGTCCATACGCACCTCAACCCATGGGCTACCGAGATGGATGCCTCAACCTGCACAGTGTGGATACACACAGCCCCTGCAAGGCATCGGCTGACTTGAGAATCAAGCCGGGGACTCTAAGACAGGCAAGGTGCATATTGCCTAGTACCCTTAAGTACTTTAGTTGAACGTTTAGCTTCTGCTATAGAGACAGTCCTAACCTACCTTGATTACTTGGGGGGACGAGTGGGGGGGTCTTATTTTATGTTTATCTTATGTTTAGTTATTTGACAGAATGCTAATCGCTACACATCACATGCTCGCAAACTGTAATTTGCTTGTTGATCGTCTGCTATGTCTAGCATTACTAACTTACTAAAAATGCTCAGCTCACTCCTGCCATAACACTGTAAAATTGTGTTGATAATGTTTGCGCTTGTTAAAGCAGTTAAGCTAATACAGGCATCGACGACTCATCTGCCTACACGCCATTGGGTCAAGACAGCTATTCCCGCAATGTCTTAGATAAACCACAGTTAATTATCTGGTTAACAGTATCTAATGTGAAAAAAATTATAGGAACACAGCTTAATCTAGTATGCTAATCTCGCATATGGTTGCAGATTGTTTCTTACTGCATAGACAGTTTGGACTAACCGGTCTCCTACTCTACATAAACTTTAAAATGTGCAATCAGTATGTAATGCTTGCCATCTAGCATAGTATGTTGTTTCTTGCATTCTCATCTCTCACCTCACAAGTATCTAAGTTTAAAAACAGTCTTCACGTCACTATATATAAAAAATGTGCATTGTATTCCCATGTCATGCTTTACTACATTGATGTTTATTACTATATCGCGGGTACATGCTGTTGGGGCATGGCACATGCATTTGCAACTGTTATGTTTCCTTATGAACTCAAAAATAAAGAATTTATAAAAAAAAAAAAAACTAAATATAGTATGTTTTAGTGCAACTGAAGTACTGACTGAATATAATAGGTGTGTTGTAACAAGTTGTATTATATTGAACAATTTGAATGGACCTGCATTAATTAGGTGGCACAATGAGTATAATGCAAATATGGGTGCGGAATAAACAAAATTTAGTGACATGAGATAAAGTGTTAAGCAGTTAGTTGCCTCACTCACATACCCAAACTGGTTTGGTTGTTCAGAGAACAATAAAAATGCAGTTAGAGATATTCTCAGGGTTCCAACCAGAAGATTTGTGAAGATGTAGTGCAGAAATCATAAGATTACAGAGGGGGGAGGGGGAAGAATGATCACTATGGGAAAGATGGTTGGGGGGGAGGGGAGTGACCACTAAGGAAAAGAAAGGGGGCAAAAATCCTTGCACCAGCCCTACTGATGACATTCCAATGACTCTGCCAGAGCTGGAGTTACACCTCCATCAGCAGGGTTAAAATCAATACATGCTGCACGTACATATTCAAGGCACCATGACCACTTAAAATCACTGAAGTGGTCATGGTGCTTGGAGTAATTCTTTAGGACTTAAAACATTCAGTAATTTCTAACAGAAATGTATAATGTCTACATGTGTGTCATGTGCAACTGCATCTGTATTGTTATATAACTGCTTTATGTATAAAATTATATTTCACTAAGCACACTTTTTACTTTGGAAATAAAGAAAAGACTTAAAAGGAGCAACACTTAATGAAAACCTTAATGGGGGGGAGTGGGGAGAACAATTTTTCAGAATTTTCTTGTTTGGTTTTTATTTTTGTTTTTGTTTTTTTCATTCTTCCAGTACCTGTTTGAGAATGGAAGGATAGACAGCATCTTTACAGAACCCTATTCAAGATTTATGGTGGAACTTACAAAGCTGCTGAAGAACTGGCACCCACCAGTATTGGCTAATGGTAAGTCTTTAGAGAGTGGCACTTATTTAAGGCTGGTTATATCTGGGTTGTATCTCAAGTTACTGCATCCTGGATTCAAAATTCCTCTATATTTAATATTTTCCTCTCTTCTTCTAGGTTACATGTTTTCAAGGATAGAAGAGGAACACTTATGGGAATGCAAACAACTGGGGGCCTACTCACCTACTGTCCTTCTAAATACCCTCCTCTTTTTCACCACCAAATACTTCCAGTTGAAGACTGTGAGTGAGCACCAGCAACTTTCTTTTGCCTATGTTATGAGGCGTACAAAGACGATGAAGTACAATACGAAGACCACCTTTCTTCGCTTCATCCCACCATACCATAAGCCAGAGTTGGAGCCTGGTTAGTATTTTATTAAAACATTCACTAATGTCTAACAAATGTATGTCTACATGTATGTCATGTGCAACTGCACATATCCGTTAACGAGAAGCTTAAATAGTCAAATAAGGTTCATACATTACAGGTGCATTTAATACTGATGAGTATCCATTTTACAATAGAGTGGTGTGGTCCAAAATCTGCCATCTATGTTTTTCTACGTAGGGGAGAATAAAATTGGGGGGGGGAGGAATCGTGTGATACAATAAAAGTGATACATTTATTAGCTAAAAGAGGAATGATATTTAAGCTTTCAGGACACGAAGGTTCCGTTATCAGACATATCTGTTGCATGAAGGTCAGACTTATTTATACATGGAAGAAGAAACAAAAATACAGGCAAATATACAAATACCATTAGTCAGTTCATTTGTGATAGAAAATTATCAAAATGTTTTCAGTAATTTCACTTTAAAACTGTGATGTTTCCCATGTCTTTTGTAGAAGATACAGATTAAAAACCAGCGCTCACAAAAATACAGTTTTAAAATGTACAAGGCTACTTAATATCACCTATCGCCAAAAACAAGTATGAGGATTCAGTTCCATCATATGACCATGTTGTGTTAAGCCCATCACTACGCCACAATGCTCCAATATCGGTGGGTCTGACATTAATTTTAATATGGGAGACATTAAATAATGCTAGTGCTAAATGAACTAAAGTTTATTTAATTTATTGAATCTGTTGTAACGGCTTTGTGAATATACACAATGCAACGTTAATGTGATAAACACAATTCACCGATATTGGAGTACGGTCGTGTAGTGTTGGGCTTAACACGATATGAATATGTGATGTCACTTAATTACCATAATTTTTTGCTGAGAGATGATTTTAGGTAGCCTTGTAAAATTTAAATCTGTATTTTTGTTTGCGCGTTCTGTATTTTGTATACATTTTAGTCAATACTGCAGAACCGTTGCGAAATGCATGTTTCGGGTGTGCCCCCAGTTCCCCCCTTTTTTTTTTTTTTTTTTTTTTTTTTACTATGTATGTTTTGAAGTCCAGACCAGATTCCTTTTGGGTTGAGCACCCTGCCCCTTACCCCAGCTTCAGGTGCCCCTTTGTAAGTGACCACAGAAAAGTATAAGTCTGAGCAGGATTTGCATAGCAATGTGACTTTAATATGAATTTTCAAAATATATGAGAATATAAAGCAGATATATGTTAGGCATTGTAAGTACATACATTGAAGCACTTTTACTTTGTCTAGTTTTAACACTATATTTTTTTTTGGTGTTTTATCACATTTATTTTGCACCCCCCCTTCCAACTAGGTCCTCCGTCCACAACAAGCAGGTGCTAATGCTTTCCTGTGGGGAAAAATCTGACGCTAGATGTCCTCATGCAGAGTATCTAGTGGCTGTCTACCAGCTGACTTGCAATATTTAACATTGCAGCGCTAAGTGCAAAAGGGACACTGTACCCAGACCACTTCAATGAGCTATAGTGTCCCTTTAACACAATATTTTCATATGGTGGAACTGAATCACCATATTTGAGAGAGGTGATTTTAAGTAGCCTTGTAAAATTTAAAACTGTATTTTTGTGTGAGCTGCTCCTTAATCTATATTTTGTATAAATGTTGGTCTCTCCAGCAGCACCATTACTGCGAAACGCATGTTTTGGATGTACCCCCAATTCCCTTTTTCTTTTACTACAGTTAGAGCTCTGCAGGGACATAGTGTAAACTGAATAAACTTGTGAATTATGTCAAATAGGCACCCATAATCCCCTGTCTTATATTCAACCCAGCATCCAGCGCATCAAACATAACTATAACTTTGAAATCCCACATCCTTCTTTCAGTCTGAGATTTGAAGTTTACATTTATTACGGACACTTTCAACTACTGTTGAAATGTTTGCCCACAGGAGTGTCGGTTTATATTGTATAGTGTCTTTTGCTCTGTTTCCGACTCTGTTTATAAATAGGTTTTATGCTCTGAATCCTGGATTGATTAAAAACCAGGGGTTCGTGGGGTGCCTCTTTGACATTATATTATTCTCTTTTAGTTATTTGGATAGCATGGTACCAATAAAACAATTATCAATTTTTACATAGATAAACTGTCATTGGGGAAGCGGAAGCGAGGGGAAGACGAAGATGGACAGTTTGTAATGGAGATGGCAGAGAATACAGACAACCCACTCAGGTGCCCAGTAAGGCTTTATGAATTCTACCTTTCTAAATGGTAAGTTGGTAAAACTTTGTTTCCACAGTACAGCTGTTTTGTTTTTGATCACACAATGCAATGGAGATTGGCCATATTTTATTAAATTAATAGTAAAAGGTCACTAACAGAATAAACGTACTGAGTGAACGTTTAAAACTATATTGTGCAATGTACATATTGAGCTGGTTGAATATAGTATTGACTGTTTACATCGGCAGAATAATGCAATTTGAGCATTTAAAATGTTAAAGGTACAGGTTTATCATATTCCATTTGTTTGTTTTTCTTTTATTTATAAATTTCTATTACCAAGTTTCTAGAAACTGTGAAGTGTTATTTTAAGTTTAAGGGCAAGCAGCCTATTTGAGGGGAAGACCATAGATTATAAATTGGGTCACTGTTGATAGATATGTGATCGTCATTTTTGGGAAAATATATCCATCTGCACAGAGAAATTGAATACTATTTTGTCATTTATGTAAGGTTGTGGAGTATATTTGTAGGTCAGCAGTCATGATTTTAAAAGTTTGAGTAGTCTTTGTGTAAATATTTGAAATATGTTTATTTTAAGGAGGGACCTCAAAATGTCATGTTTTTTTATAAATTATTTCCCACCTGTACTTACTACGGAATTTGCTGTCTATAGTGTGCATCTGCATATAAACATAGCTGACTGTTTGTAACAGTATGCCCAGATCCAGTTGTCAGTCCAACAATGGCAGACTTTAGTATCTCCTCATTTAAGCATTGTATTGCTTCCCCTGTGCATGTTAGAAAACTATGGAAACCTGTCCTTTCTTGTTCTACTCAAGCATTTCTGTAGAATACTTTACCAGTGATGGCTAACTTTGATAAGTCATTTAACTGAACTTTACCATATTGCTCTGCCGTCCAACAGGCCGAAAGTTTACTTTTGAGTGTCTTGGTCACCACTCTTTATTGCACTCTGCAGAATCAGTTTGTCCATAATTGTTTGTAATGGTTAAGAAACATGTTGCAGAATTATGGCTGGTAATTTATTTTACTTTTTTCCACCAAGTGGCTCATAAATTGTTTAGTTACGATCATAGAGCCACTGCCCTGTTTATCAGAAATGATTATCATAAGTCTGATTGTGTGCAAGTAATGTGTATTTCGTTATCATTCCTTCAGTTGGTTTATCCTCCTCCTCTTTATTATTCCCCCAAGCAGTTCTGAAAGTGTGAAGCAGCGGAGTGACGTCTTCTACTTGCAACCAGAGCGTTCCTGTGTCCCTAACAGTCCAATGTGGTTTTCCAATATGCCTATTGACCCTGGCACGTTGGACAGCATGTTGACCCGCATCTTAATGGTCCGAGAGGTTCACGAGGAGCTGACCAAAGCAAAAGAAGACTCAGATGTGGAATTGTCTGATTAAGTGCACGTCAGATTCTCCCAATATCCCTCTTTGAACCTCCAGCCAACTCCTCTTCACAAAGCGGGGCAAGCACTAAACTGTGAATGCAACGACTTTTTCCCCCATTTATACCCATCCACTACTTTTCCTGATTCCTCCTGTATCCCTTTGTGTATAGAAATTCTCCCCCGCTGGATCTGAGTGGGAGAAGGGACATTGAAGTCCTGTGAATCTTAGCTGTCAGAAATTAGGCACAGCTACAAAATGACTATAAATCCCCAGAGGATGGTACACCTGAGTCCAGGTGCTAGACCCATATTATGAACTGTAATAGCTTTTTAACTGGACCTTAAGGGAGGTGGTTTTTAACCCTTTTGTTGCCAAATGTTTTGTGATGCAGAGAAGGGGGTGAGGGGCAGCAGAATGGGTTAAGAAAGATAGATTACCTTCTATATTAGTGTTCATTGACACTGTACATGGGGGGGCCCAGTAAAGGCACCACCATCATGTATCCTGCACAGAGTTTATAAGTCTATATAAACTGTTAAAAACCCATATGGACCCTTTTGTGGGTGTTTCAGTAGCAAACCACATGCTCTTGTCTCTGCGACAACATTACCCGGTTCTTGCGATGGCAGCAAGCCATGCAATAGCAGTCCCCACAAACTTACACAGCTTTCTCTGCACTTCTAAACTGGATCCACAGAACACAATAGAGTTGTATCCACAGAAACATGGGAGGGTCACATTCTGGAACTACTAAAAGTATACATGACTTCATTGCCCAGAATCATGACTTGTATATTGTTGAAACAGCACAGTCCTCATTGCTGCTATAAAAATACAGGGTTAGGAAGGCCTCCTGGCAAAGTATACTTTCCCTATTCATTTAAGATGAAATCACGAAATTTGGCATTCTGTTACATTTATAACATGACAGGTTTTTATGTTGTTTACACCACTGATTCTCAGTGACAGGAAGAATAAGTAATTGCCTATGTTTTCCCCCTAGATTTAAATTATTTGACCCAGCAGATAAATAAGCTTCTAAAAAAACAAAAGAGAATTGGGAGTGTCATTAAGATGTTACATGTGCATAAACATGAACCAGTAAAAATGTTGTCCACTAATGACAGTGCTGTGTATAAAATGTTCTGGTCTATGAAATCCCTCCCTATTCTGATATAAGGTTTGTTTGGGCAGAGAGTTGTGGGTTTTTTTGTTTGTTTTTTTTAAGCTAGCACGAAGAGCTCCTGAAATATAAGAAAAGTCAGATTAGTATAATTAACCTTTAAGATGAGATCTTCATCCACTGAAAATATTATAAAACTTTAAAAAGGGCACCAGTTTTACTTTACCAAAACATAGCACTGGCATTAGTGCCAATGATCCAGTCACTTTGTGACTTAAGATATAATTCCATTAGAAATTAAAAGAACACTATAGCGTTGGTAATACAAATGTGTATTCCTAACTCTATCATTTTAATCTAGCTATGGTAGTGTCCCCCCGCCTTGTCAGTACTCAAAGGTGAACTTTATGCTAGTTACTGTCTTGCTGGTACACCTCTTTGGCTGAGATCATTAATGATCTCAGTCAAACCAATGCTGTCCCCTAGGAAAGCATTGTGAGGCTAGTGCGCTTGCACGGCAAAACGCAGCGCTGCGCTATTCAGATGGTTTCTATGAGACCATCGGATTGAAATTTGAAATAGTCGAGTTGCATTTGGCTATTTCTGCAGATGCACCTCTAGTGGCTGTCAGTATGACTGCCACTGGAGGCAGATAAACCCTGTAATGTAAGCATTTCTGTAGAATGGCAATGTTTTCACTCGCAGTGTTCAAATGTTTGATAAACATTGGACTGCTAACGGTCTGTAAAAATATATAATTGAGCAAGGCAAATCCTAATTCTCCTAGTTTTCTGTTAAAATTGAAAGATAACATATTTCTGAAGAAATGCATTTTTTTTAAGAATGTAAACAAAAATGAAACAAATTTGACTTTTTTAGTGTGTGAAGAAAAAAAAAGAATGGCCTGTCCAAGAGATAATTTTCTCTACCAGGATAAAGCTTGGTGGTGAAGTTTCAAATGGTTATTCAGTGAATCCTCATTTCTTTGTAATTCATTATTCTCTTTTTGACCAAATGAGAAGGCTTCAGTTTGCAGTGCAATATGTTGCTTAGTTATTTGGTTGTGAAAGGGGTTTCAAAATATGTTCCCCTCCTTTTATGTCTTTCATTGTTTCTTTTTTTTGTTTCTTTTTTTTATTTTTATTTTATTTTAGCAGGTAACAGTTAAATATAAGACAAAGTAGTCCATACCGGTTTTTGTGTACCTGTTAGTTCTTATCTTGCTTGTACAATAAATCACCAGTTGTGTTTTTAATGCACCAAGCTGTGTGTGGGTGAAGTAAAAAATTAAAATACTGTATACTTTTTTTATTTTAAACTAAATGTTTCTCAAGTTCATCTGTCCTTATTCCTTCATAGCTTCTTCAGAAGTTCAAATGCCTCTCTCAAAATAGCTGGGTTTCAAAGACCATCTGTTTTCTTGCCTACACACCAAAACATAGTCTGCCGTGATTAACAACTCCATATACTGTTATTATGGACATCCTGTTTCTTCTCAAAGGTTTGCCGGATGAAAACTCCCTTGAAAACTCCACATGGAATTTTAAAATGGCCAGGCAAAATTATAAACTGAACTTAAAGATTGCCCTTGGCCTTTTTTTCTCTCTGGACACTAAATCATGCTGAATTAAAATTCCTTTTAAGAAACAGAAGGCTGAGTCACATGTTGACTCATGTCAGTAACTCTGAACTCTTAAAAACATGGGACTTTCAAGTTTTGTTTTTTCTTTTGTGGTTTTTTTTTTTATATATATATATATAAAAAAAATATATATACAAACACTTTTTTAATTATAATTTTAGGTTTGTGAGGTGTTATTCCTTCAGATTAGTCTGTTGTAATACATGAAAAATGTGCATTAAAAAAAAAAAAAGTCATGGGGTGCGTAGATAAGCACTTTGTTTTTATACTGACATAGTGGACGTTATAAAATGTTATTAGCCGTCACGCCTACAAATACTTCATATGACCGCCTTCATACTAGTAGGGGATTTGTTTATGGTATATAAATCTTACAAAACTTTTTTTTATTTTGCATAGTTTTAAAAATGGAATACTGCTTTTCAGTGGTTTTGCAGAATTACTCTCATCTGACTTTGTAGTTTCATTATATATTTAACGTATTCAGTATCATCATGGTTTGATCTCTTACCTTGAGTCTGCATGGCTCCACTAGGTCAGACAGAGATTCAGAAGATCCTGCTTAAAGGGCAACTGTCACCTCAAAACTATCTTTAATATAATAATCCTTTAATGAAGATTGAATGGTTGAAGGATATTGTCCTATACTTGAGGTAGGGATGCATTTGTCTAATTTAAAAAAAATATATATTTTTTTTTTAACCTAGACTATCTAATCTATTTCCTTTTAAAACTTGATGAAAGGATTATTATATTCCAAATAGTTTTGAGGTGACAGTTGTCCTTTAAGAGCTTCAGTTGGGCTCCTGAGCTAAGCCCTGCAACTTTGGAATGGTTTGACTCATTAGCCTGGGTCTGCCAGGCTCCACTCCCCGTCTCCACTAATTTTGACAGAGCTTAGCCCTGCATTGCTGGACTTAGCTCCGACATCTTTGTGGAAAGTAGTGGAGACAGGAAGCGGTCTTGGCAAACCTAGGGAGAATGCCAGAGCATTTGTACCACCATAACCATGCTTAAGTGTACTCCTCAATTTTCAGAGCATTCCTGACTTCTAGGTAAAGAGCATAACTGATTGTCACTTGCTGCTGCTGCATTCTCTATCCTAGAGTTATCTTCTTCCCTAAACCATGTATCTTCTGTTTATCACTAGAAATGTTTGGTGGTTATTTTTTTTTCCCTTTCTTTAAAGATATTACAAATACTATGAGCTACCAGACAGTTTATCAAGGAAAACGCTTTACAATGTGGATATATCCTTTTTCTTTGCACCCTTTTACAAAGAAATGTTTTGAGGTTTGTTTGTGGGGGTTCTTTTGTTTTTAAACCTATAGAATATAAATCTTACAGTGGAACTGCAGTTTGTCTTCCTTGGGTTCCATTCTGTAAATATTAGTCCCTGGTTGTTTACGGATATTGTTTTACTGACAACTCTAAAAGTTAACCATTAAACAAATTAATAGTATATCTGTCATGGTATACACAACTTCTACAAAGAAATGCACTAGTACTCTTAAAGTATATATTATGCCAGCAAATGTATAATTTTTCTTCAAAATCTATTTAAAAGGACATTCATCACTTGACAAATATATTATTTTTTTAAACCAGCAAGCAAAAGTTCTCCACACACGTGCTCACACACGTCCCTCTCTCACCCACCTCTCTGGGTACAATACGGGGTGCTTCATCTGGCTCTTAGGTAGCGTTTGTTCCCCTTAGTCTCAGACACCTTCCCTCCAAAAAAAAAAAAAAGCTCCTCTCCCGGCGGATTTAAAAGTGGTTGAGAACCGCGAACCAAGTTTTCCGGGAACTGTTCCATAACATTCGCGGCTAAGTCCCGCTGAGGTAACCAGGAACCAACGAAGTCATCATGCCGAAATGAGTTCCATAGCGGTCGCAGCCAAGTATCGCTGGGACTATTCGTGGGTTTGGTTCATGTGAACGGCCGCCAGAGAGACGGGGTTCGGTTTCATTCGCAGGAAGGGAAAGTGCCGAACCAGGGGCACCCAGGGAAAACTGTTAATGGCGGCTGGGCAGAGTAACTCCCAAACGGTGTCCCAGACCTGGACCATAGTCGGTGGGCAGAAGGCCGGCTTCTACATTCCTCCAGGAGTCTGTGGCTAAACGTACATGAGAAGGAGCGTTTGTCACAGTATTTTTCTCAAGGGGCATCCCGTCTTGATATTGCAAGGTGAAGAGATCTTCCAACGGCACATGCGACTTTGTCAAGCATGATTCCTAGGGATAGGACACTAATTTGTTAGATCAGTGTACCCCTGGAGAGGCTGTGGAAAATATAAGAAAGAAGCAGATAAAGATGTGGAAAAAAAATCAGGCAGCTGTATCATTCAAAGCTTTTTAATGAGGCAGTTAACTCTAAGTGCTGCATCTCATTTTAATACACAGGACCAAGTACATTGGCAACGTAGAACGGCAATTTATTTTGTCCCACTCATGAGTCTTTGAAGATTTGTTTGTGAGCCAAAATGCCACTTATGTGATTTCACTGCTACATGTCATATGTACCCAGTCTTTTCTATGCATTAATGGTGATGATTTGGCTGGTCTGGATTGTGTGGTACTAGGAGAGGGGTGGGGTTTTTTGTGTGTTTTTTTGTGGTGTTCACCTTCTGCTTTAAACACCCACCTCTTTTCAGCTGTTCATTGGAGTTCTAGGCTGAGGAAAGAGTAAAAACAGAGGAACACCGCTACAAGAGGTTCTCCTGCACTTTGTTATAGTGATATTCTCACAGAAAGTCTGACAAATGCTTTGTGGTGGGCAGTTGGCAGCATTCGATAGGATTGCCCTGCACTGGGAAGTGTCTTCAAGTAGGGCCAAATGTGTCCGATAGAGACAGGAGGAAGGCAGACGAGGGGCTTGGTGTTAATATAATAACCACATACCTCTGCGAATGACGTAGCTGGATCAACGGACATACCTCTGTGGATAACCACATACCTCTGCGAATTACGCCTCTCCATCCTCCTATTCTTTACTCTCTAATCATCACTCCCAATCAACCCTCCATCTTCCCATCACTTTCCCCCGCATCCCTCTTTTTCACACAAGTATCCTGTCACTCTGTACATTCTATTTCTCCATCCTCTTATCACTCACTCCCCATTCTGCTATTACTCATACCTTCTTCCATATCCCCTTATTACTCTCATTGATACATTGGTGTGCTAAGGGAGGAAGGGATACCCTCCAGGTGACAGAAGGCAGGGGTGCACATAGAACTCGCTTTGCTGGCGGGTAGGGGCAGAATGAATACTCAGGCAGATTATTAATGAACCGAGGGCCTGAGGTAGTCACGGACCCAGCTGAAATGCCATGCTCTGGCTTGGGAAATTAGAGATCCAACCAGAAAGACATAATTAATCACATATTACAGTGAGACTCCAAATTTCCTCCCCATCCCTTCACATTGAGCCCTGGCACCCTGCTCCTCTTCCTGTGCGGAGCTCTGTGTATGTGGAAGAGGTGGGTCCTGTGGAAGGGGAAGTGACATCACGTCCTGCTCCCTCCTCTCCTCCAGAGTCTGCTGAGTGCTCCTGGCCGTGAGCCCTAAGGAGCAGGCTGGCAGAGATAGCAAGTATGTGATTATTTTCTTTATTAAAACCACCACAGTCCCTAGAACTTTCTGCTGATAAATGGCATGTACACACATTGTTATATACTTTATACACACAATAACATACAAAGAAATAGTAGACACGCTCAGAAAACAGTATGCAGACACTGTTCTACACATTTAGACAACACACTGCTCTGTCATTCAGACAGTATATACACACTAGAAAACACCCTTAACAGTCACAAGTGGAAAGACATAAAGTAAGGAGGTGAAACACAACACACTTCACCTATACAAATTAATACTTCACTCTAGAATCAGAACAAAAAGGACTCCTTCCAGTCTTCTCAAAACATATATAGAATATAGGTTCTACAGTAGGAAGAAAAAAAACAAACATCATAGTATGCTATCTTGGATAAATATTAATAGTGGTGTTCAAAGTTACACTCACAACAAAAAGGTTGATTGAAGGCACATCAATAGTTAAGTTGACTAGTGATCTTCCCCACGTATAAGGGCCTTTATTCAGCACAGGACAGCACCAAAACTGATGAAACAGAATATGTTGGTGTTGCCAAAACATATTTATCAGTTTTGGTGCTGTCCTGTGCTGAATAAAGGCCCTTATACGTGGGGAAGATCGCTAGTCAACTTAACTATTGATGTGCCTTCAATCAACCTTTTTGTTGTGAGTGTAACTTTGAACACCACTATTAATATTTATCCAAGATGGGGCGTGTCCTGGCGGCGGTACTGAGCAGTCGCATGTGCTGAGCGCTCCGCTCCGACGGCACCCACACAGGAGTAATTTGGCAAATAGCCACACGAAAACGGGGCCCCATATACCCCAACGATCATGTCGCAAGCTAAAGGGAAGAGACAGGCTGAGAAAGCTGACCGGAGTGCCTTTTTTGCCTCACGGACACACCAGGGGAGACAGGCCTTGCTGCAGGATGAAACCCAAGATGGCGCCGAGGAGGCTGGAGAACTACAGCATGCTGACATAGCAGCGGATGCTCCTCTCACACAAGAGATGATGCGGACAATGTTGGAACAGATGTCTGCAAGACTAGAGAACAGCTTCAAAGCCACAATTGGGGCACTGCATAAAGACCTAAAAGAATTAGAGGTGAGAACTGCTGGGACTGAAAATAAAGTGGCGGAGCCGGACGAGGCCCACAGGGGAATGGAAGAGGAGATGGCAGGGCTGCACAATCAAATGCAGCAGTATGAGACAAAGCTAGCAGACATTGAGGACAGGGCATGCCGCAACAACCTGCAAATTCGTGGGGTGAGGTGGGACCCACAGAGCTGGCGGCCTACCTGACAAGCCTGCTGAAAGCACTGGTGCCAGACATGCCACTTGATCTGCTGCTCATGGACAGATACCATCAGACTGCCAAGCCCAGCTTTCTACCTCAAGACACCCCAAGAGACATTCTCATCAGAATGCACTACTACCACGTGAAAGAACTAGTGCTCTAGGCAAGCCGAGTGAAGAAGACGCTTCCAGACCCATATGGGGGGCAGACGTATCAACATACACGTTGAAACGAAGGAGAGAATTTAGAGAAGTCACAGAACAGCTCCGGCTCCACAAGCTGCCATACCGCTGGGGATACCCGGTGAAAATACTGGTGTCCAGAGGAAGAAAGGTGTCAGCTATCAACACGCCAGAAGAAGGAGCCCTAATACTACAAAGATGGGGACTCCCCGAACCAAACCAACAACGAAGCCCAAAGAGGACGCACAGTACCTCCAAAGACTGGAGAAAGTCCAACAGACTGACATAAAAGGCAACACCACGACTACAACAGATATACGAGTGATCGCAGGAGTCTGTTGAGAGGCTGGTCCTGACAAATAGACCATGTAGTCAACCGGGGGTATCGTATAATTGTTATAAAGCAATGTTAAATGTTAATGCCACAGCTATACAAGGTAGGCCTCTGTAGGAATTTTCGAAACCACACAAAAAAAAAATAAGTAAAATAAAAACAAAGATGCGTATGCATATATATATATGCATCTATAACTACGTATGTATATATGTTCCACTTTGCTTCATTACACCCTACAGTAGGCACTACTGCCTGGCTATTCGCCAAAACTAACAGACCGATTAGCAAGCTATAGAGTGGGTCGACTCGGGGAATGCTCCCCACGGGGAGGAAGTTCACACTTCCGCCTCCACAGGTACCAGGAGTACCTAAGCCGAAAATGGCACACCAGTTTATTATGCATCTGTATTATATGTTTTCCCGGTTATCAGTATGTCCCCCACCCCACCCCGGTCTCGCTGAGACCAGCCAACCCACGCCCATTCCCCGATATCTACAGGGAGTCCACGCAGCTGAACTAACCCACTGGATTTCAAATTCTGCAAAGGTACCCCTGCCCACCCAACGACCCCTAACCAGCGAGTGAGATATGCCCAAATCCTACCCTCACCTAGGGGAAAGTTGCTCGACTTGATGCTGCTGGGACGAGCGAACCCACCGTACTGGTCCTTAATACCTACTGTGACCCTTATCAAAGCCATTGGATATAAACCCCCATGAAAATCCTTTCTCTAAATGTAAGAGGGTTAAACCTACCGGTTAAGAGACACTAGCTATATAGAGAACTCAGGAAGACGGATGCGGACGTCATCAGTCTTCAAGAGACACACTACAGAACTGACAATTATATCCCACCGACAGCTTCTGACTACCCACACCAATACCACGCGACGTCCCCCACCAAATCCAAAGGGACCTCCATACTGATCTCTAAGCGGGTAGCATTTACCATGATCTCCGCAGAGGTGGACGCCAATGGGAGATATATAATACTAAAATGCACCATTAACAACACGATATATACAATTACCAATATATACTCACCCAATACACTACAAGGAACGTTCCTAAGACATGTGCTACAGAAACTAGACTCGATACAAGAAGGAATGTCAATTATCTGTGGAGACTTTAATCATGTCTGGGACCCAAAACTAGACACTAACATTTCACAACACAGTCCACGGTATAAAATACTACACAGACAGTGTAAAAAGCTACAGAAGCTCCTCTCACTACACCACTACTATGATACCTGGCGAATATCCCACACCTCGGAACGAGCATATACCCACTTCTCCCACGTACATAACACTTACTCGAAGATAGACGGGTTTCTCATGCATGGACAAGGACTTAACCAAATCACAGACTGTGACATAGGACAGATTACCTGGTCGGACCACGCACCAATTATGCTGTCAGTAAGAGATCAATATGATTATAAGCACCGCAGCCCGTGAAGGCTGAATGCTTCCTTGCTAAATGACCTGTCATTTAAGAAAGAGGTAGAGGAGACTTTGACTAACTACTTCGCTGAGAACGCTACCCCAGGTATATCCAAAGGCACATTATGGGCAGCACACAAATCTGTAGTCAGGGGTATCTTTATCAGAAGGGCGTCATACTTACACAGAAAATCCTCGGCCCAGACCACGCAATGGAAGAAAGAATTGTACCAATTAAACACACAAAACCAAATCTCCCCTTCTATTGAGCTAAAATTGCAAATCGCCAACATTACAAACAAGCTACACCACAAGGCAATAGAACAAACAGGTTACATGCTCCAGAGGCTAAAAATGAATCAATACACGCAAGGGAACAAAGCTAGCAGACTACTAGCTAGGAGACTGCAAGAACGTAGGGCGAACCAAAAAATTGCTTTTCTTGTGTCCCATACAGGAGAGAAGAAAATGATACCTACAGCCATATGCAATGAATTTGCCAACTACTACGCCGACTTGTACAACATTAACAAACATGACACCACATTTCAGCCCACGACGGAACACATAAATAAGTACTTAGACACAGTAGACCAAACAGGCGACTGATCTCATTAGACCCATCACAGAGGAAGAACTCCACACCATCATAAAACAACTACTGAAAGGCAAAGCCCCAGGCCCAGATGGGCTAGATAATACATACTACAAACAATTCCACCATATACTGACGCCCCACCTGGTGCACACATTCACGGAGGCGACCACCGCGCAGAAACTACCACAAGACACACTACTGGCCCACATCATAACGTTACAGAAACCAGGGAAGCCCCCCACCATCCCACAAAATTTTAGACCCATCTCCCTGCTCAACACAGACGCGAAAATATTCGCCAAGCTATTCGCGATGAGACTGAGCACTCTTCTCCCACAGATAATCCACAAAGACCAAGTTGGGTTTGTGTTAGGGAGACAGGGAGTGGATAACACGCGCAAGGTACTGAATATACTGCACAGTTTACCCAAATTACACAAGGGAGGAGGTGTTGTCATCTCCCTAGACGCCGAAAAAAGACCGACTGCACTGGGCTTTCCTGGAGGCAGTCATGACAAAATTTGGAGTACCAGGAGAATTTAGAGCAGCGGCCAAAGCGTTATATAGCGCCCCGACAGCCCAGGTACTTAACGCGGGTTTTCTATCAAACCCGTTTAGTATCTCAAATGGCACGAGACAGGGGTGTCCCCTGTCCCCCTTGTTGTACGTTCTGGCTTTAGAGCCACTGGCAACAAAGATTAGACAACATGACTCCATACACGGAGTACGCATTGGGGAAAAGGAATACAAAGCCAATCTATTCGCGGACGACGTGCTCCTGACCCTAACGCAACCACTGATTTCAATGCCAAACCTACTGACGGTAATAAAGGAATATGGAGACAGCTCATATTACAAACTAAACGTGACAAAAACCCAGGCCATGGGGATTGGGGTACCTAACGACGTACTACAGGTATTGCGGGAGAAGTTTGTAATGGACTGGAGGGCAGACAGCGTCTCTTTCCTGGGAATTAAGTTAACAAAGACAATGGGGGGACTATTCAAGGCTAATTACAAAGCTCTACAAAAAGAGATGGAGGCCAGTTTGTCCTTATGGGGAGATAAATACCTCTCCTGGCTGGGCAGGATGGCAGCATTTAAAATGTCTATCCTCCCCAAACTACAATACTTATTTCGAACACTGCAAATAGACCTACCAACCTCCTACTTAACCAAAACACAGGCGATGCTTACTAAATTCATATGGGCATGCAAACGAGTGAGAATAGCTGCCAAACACCTGTATAGACCCACTCACCAAGGGGGTCTAGCCCTACCAAACATCAAACTCTATCATCAGGCGACGTTACTAGCCCCAGTGCTGGGGATACAGTCCCCAACCCCCGTCCCACATTGGCTGGAAATAGAAAACCATTGGCTTCACGGGACAGACCTCCGCAGATTGTTGTGGGTACCTAAACTACTGCGCCCCAACCAACCTAATATCTTACCCACCACGAAAACACTGCTGAGGACTTGGGACAGAACACATAAATCATTGCTCTCTATGTCACCGTGGTCACCGGCAACACCTTTATCATGCCTATATGTAGCAAACAACACATTTGACTATAGGGAATGGACAAAGAGAGGCTGCACGCATGTGAGAGACCTACTGGAAGCACAACAGATTCCCTACCATCCTGGAAAAATTCGAACTGCCCCCCAAATTGATATTCCCATACCTTCACCTAAAATCCATGCTAGGGGCCCAAACGACCACAGTGGAGGGGGAGACCAAGCTCACGGAGTTTGAGAGGATTTGTTTGAACCCAAAGCAGAAGAGGGGCCTGATTTCCCTGTGCTATACACTCCTAAATATAGGCGACCCTGTACACATAGACAGATTCAGTGCAGAGTAGCAGGCAGACATTGGGAAGCATTTCGATGCAACCCAATGGAGACACGCTACCACGGCACACCTAGAGTTAATGTGCAAGGTATATTACAGGTGGTACATGGTGCCAGTGAGACTGGCAAAAATTTATCCAGGAACATCAGCTAAGTGCTGGAGGTGTGGGGGGTCAGAAGGTACAATGTACCACATATGGTGGTCTTGTGAGACACTGCGACCTTATTGGGAGATGGTAGAAAGTATACTTAATGAGATACTAGAGGATAACATTACACTCACCCCAGAAATGGGCCTACTGTTCATGAACATGGACAGATTCCAGGGCAGCGAAACAATTTTGGTCTTCCACATCCTAACTGCGACACTGACGCTCATAGCCAGAGAATGGAAGACAGACAAGGCACCGACGAAACTAGCCCTAACAAGACAGATTTCCACCAACTTACACTATGAACTCACAGCCAGGAAAAATCAGGGTAACGCGCAAGTTTGAGGATGCGAACATTAGGTGGGAAGGCATAAACGCGTCCAGGGAGATCAGAGACAGAGACTAACCCAATGTCACAGACCCAGCCCGACAGGATGAATTTATAAGGACAAACGTACGAGAACCCCTCAAGACTGCGGGGAGTCCAGGGAATTGGACCCCCAGGGGAAGAGCGAGAACAGGCAGGAGTCACCAGACAAATCAGAGAAGAGAAGGGAAGTAACAAAAACATGGAAGGTATAGCATAAAACCGGTAGGGAGAGCGGGCATATCACAATCTCTCCCCCCCCGCCCCCCCCTCCCCGTTCACCCTCCTTCCCCCCCCCACCCCCTGGGAACGTCAATCTAGACCAAGGATGCACTTTCAGACAGATGTCGCTTAAGGGAGACCAGAGACAGAGATGATTAGTAGAAGGGCGAATAAGCAGGTACCAAAACAGAGGCAAGAGGGCGAGGCAAATGCAGACAACGTGAAAAACTAGACCGCTGTGAAACTGCGAAAATGTGTACGATGTTATATATTATGTAAAGCTGGAAGTCGTGTAAATCAAGATTTGGGATGTTTCCTCCCCCCCACTTTCTTTCTTCTGTATCCTAAGTTTGCTTTGTAAGTGAAAATAAAAATTGTCAAATTGAAAAAAAAAATTTATCCAAGATACTACACTATGATGTTTGTTTTTTTCTTCCTACTGTAGAACCTATATTCAGTATATACACACTGCCTTACATATGCAATGCTATAAGCACAGTCAGACAAAGTACACACATTGTATGTAGTTTATTAGTGATTTAGGAAATTTTCTCCTTCTAAATGTTCTCATTCTTTTATGTACCTCAGGTCCTGTGATGCCATGCATATATAAGTAATTCTGCAAATTAGCATGGACGGTATTTTTTTCTTTTTTTTAAAAAAGGTGGCAAGCCTACTATAGCCTATGCCACACACACCCTGCAACACAACTATTCCTCTCCACTTACATACTACACTGCAAACAGCCCCATCCACACACGCAAAGCCACAAGGAGCCTCAGCAGAGGCACACAATCCCACAAGAAGCATCCCTACCAATGCAATGTCACATGCAACCTCCCTACACACATCACAAGCAGCATCCCCACCATTGCTCTACTACATACAGCCTCCTTACACAAATGTAATTTTTACAATCGCTTCTACAGCACCAACATATTCTGCAGTGCAGTACAATAGGTAAAACATGACAACCTATTAATTCTAACTCAACACATTGACAACATCTCAAGCAGCAGCCCACAAACACATGTGGTTGGAGCCGACTTGTGTGGTCGCACGTTTGGTATGCTGCTCGTAATGTCACCAGCAATTACAGAGGGAGCGTGTTATTAAATTTGCTTTATTTTATTGGGGCGGGAAGGCATGCCACTGCTGGGCAGCATGAACATTATATCTGTGGGGGAAGAGTAGCAGTTGCCAAAAAAAAATAGATGAAAGATATTTCTTGTCCACCTCTGTTACCTGGAGGTCAACAAACGTGTCTCACCATAAGGTAGTGATCAAACAATTTAGATATGGTGATACACGCCAATATTAAATTATAAAATATAACTGTTATTGTAACAATTACATTTATCCAAAACTAGGATATATTTAAAGAACCCTCCCAATAAACATACCCTATATTTCCAGTAAATTAGAATAAGTTCAAAAAACTACCAGTTTAAAGGATCACTCTGGCATAATGATAGATATACGATTCTATGATGAAAAAACAGGGTGGAGGGGAAGGAAAAGGGGTGGGTTCCATTCAATTATATTATAAAAGTCTGCACATATATAGGGTTAATAAGCTAATCCGATGTGCCAGGGATAATTATATCTAATGAATTAACCCAAAAGTTTAGAACACTGAAATATAAAGTATCAATCTCCCACTGTATTTCTCACTCCCACTACAGCAGGACTCAATGCCACCCTCCCGGCACATAAGGTAAGCTGGAGGGTGGCTGGAGATATCACACACAAAAAAAATCACTTGTGTGTGAGTATATATATATATATATATATATATATATATATATACAGTTGCAAGAAAAGTATGTGAACCCTTTGGAATGATATGTATTTCTCCACAAATTGGTCATAAAATGTGATCTGATCATCATCTAAGTCACAACAATAGACAATCACAGTCTGCTTAAACTAATAACACAAAGAATGAAATGCTGCCATGTGTTTATTGAACACATCATGTAAACATTCACAGTGCAGGTGGAAAAAGTATGTGAACCCTTGAATTTAATAACTGGTTGAACCTCCTTTGGCAGCAATAACTTCAACCAAACGTTTCCTGTAGTTGCAGATCAGACGTGCACAACGGTCAGGAGTAATTCTTGACCATTCCTCTTTACAGAACAGTTTCAGTTCAGCAATATTCTTGGGATGTCTGGTGTGAATCGCTTTCTTGAGGTCATGCCACAGCATCTCATTCGGGTTGAGGTCAGGACTCTGACTGGGCTACTTGAGAAGGCGTATTTTCTTCTGTTTAAGCCATTCTGTTGTTGATTTACTTCTATGTTTTGGGTCATTGTCCTGTTGCAACACCCATCTTCTGTTGAGCTTCAGCTGTTAGACAGATGGCCTTAAGTTCTCCTGCAAAATGTCTTGATAAACTTGGGAATTCATTGTTCCTTCGATGATAGCAATCCGTCCAAGCCCTGACGCAGCAAAGCAGCCCCAAACCATGATGCCCCCACCACCATACTTCACAGTTGGGATGAGGTTTTGATGTTGGTGTGCTGTGCCTTTTTTTCGCCACACATAGTGTTGTGTGTTTCTTCCAAACAACTCAACTTTGGTTTCATCTGTCCACAGAATATTTTGCCAGTACTGCTGTGGAACATCCAGGTGCTCTTGTGCAAACTGTAAACGTGCAGCAATGTTTTGTTTGGACAGCAGTGGCTTCCTCTGTGGTATCCTCCCATGAAATCCATTCTTGTTTAGTGTTTTACGTATTGTAGATTCGCTAACAGGGATGTTAGCATTTGCCAGTGACTTTTGTAAGTCTTTAGCTGACACTCTAGGATTCTTCTTCACCTCATTGAGCAGTCTGCGCTGTGCTCTTGCAGTCATCTTTACAGGACGGCCACTCCTAGGGAGAGTAGCAGTAGTGCTGAACATTCTCCATTTATAGGCAAGGCTTTTGGAGATACTTTTATAACCCTTTCCAACTTTACTTTTAAGTCAACAATTCTTAATCGTAGGTCTTTTGAGAGCTCTTTTGTGCGAGGCATCATTTACATCAGGCAATGCTTCTTGTGAAAAGCAAACCCAGAACTGGTGTGTTTTTTATAGGGCAGGGTAGCTGTAACCAACACCTCCAATCTCATCTCATTGATTGGACTCCAGTTGGCTGACATCTCACTCCAATTAGCTCTTGGAGATGTCATTAGTCTGGGGGTTCACATACTTTTTCCACCTGCACTGTGAATGTTTACATGGTGTGTTAAATAAAAACATGGCAAC